GAAAAATTTAATATCCTTCCTTATAAAGTAATATAGGGGTCTAGTAATCTAATTATAGTTTTTTATAAATTATTAATAGAAGTTATAGAAATCTAGGAATAATTATATATTCTTTATTATATCTAGTACTTACTACTAGGTAATTATAGCTACTTTCTTCTAGTTAACCTTAATACTCTAGGTTAAGATAATAAATCCTAAGAACTTTATCTAGATTATCCTAAACTTATACTTATAGATTACTACTTATAATCTAGCTATTTATAGCTACTCTAGTATAGTTTATATATATAGCTCATGCTCCTACTAGTTCTAACTATATATTAATAAGTTATCTATAAAGGCTATAATATATATATCTAAGGCATCTATTAGGATCTTATTAATATATTACTAGAATACTACTAGTCTATTAGTTAGCCTAAATAATAGGACTTTATACTTATAGGTTATATATCTTAAGTAGAATATAATAAGATCTTTAGAGTCTAGGTATATATATAGCTAGTAGAAGCCTTATTAGATATCTAGCTTTATAAAGATCTTAGCTTAGGATATCTATTCTAGTACTTTATTAATAAGTAGTAATAAGTAATAATCCTTCTTTATAATAGTATTTAGCTTATANTACTCTAATTATTATAGCCCTACTAGCTCTATATACTATTTAGTTAAGGATTATACTATTACTAGTATCTCCTAGTTATAGATATTATAATTTTATATTATTTATACTTTTTAAAAAGTATATTATAAGATACTAAAGGTCTATATACTTTTACTAGAGAATACCTATAATTACTTCCTTTAATATATCTATCTCTACCTATATTAGTAACTCTAGCTAGTAATACTTAAGAATTAATACTTTACTTAGTATAGTCTTTAAGATATTAAAGGCTTCTTAATAATTATTAGTCTAGAAAAATCTAATATCCTTCCTTATAAGATAATATAGGGGTCTAGTAATCTAATTATAGTTCTTTATAAATTATTAATAGAAGTTATAGAAATCTAGGAATAATTATATATCCTTTACTATATCTAATACTTACTACTAGATAATTATAGCTACTTTCTTCTAGTTAACCTTAATACTCTAGGTTAAGATAATAAATCCTAAGAACTTTATCTAGATTACCCTAAACTTATACTTATAGATTACTACTTATAATCTAGCTATTTATAGCTACTCTAGTATAGTTTATATATATAGCTCATGCTCCTACTAGTTCTAACTATATATTAATAAGTTATCTATAAAGGCTATAATATATATATCTAAGGCATCTATTAGGATCTTATTAATATATTACTAGAATACTACTAGTCTATTAGTTAGCCTAAATAATAGGACTTTATACTTATAGGTTATATATCTTAAGTAGAATATAATAAGATCTTTAGAGTCTAGGTATATATATAGCTAGTAGAAGCCTTATTAGATATCTAGCTTTATAAAGATCTTAGCTTAGGATATCTATTCTAGTACTTTATTAATAAGTAGTAATAAGTAATAATCCTTCTTTATAATAGTATTTAGCTTATATTAGTCTATATAGAACTATAGACCACCTCTAGGTTTCTATATTATTAAAATAAAAGATATAAAAGGTAAATTATAAGTCTTAATAAAGCCCTTATCTAAGTTATTTAGAATATACTAATAAGCTACTTCTAGTTCTTTAATTAATATATAATATAGAGGCTTATAACTAATATTATTATCTTCTTTAAGCTTAATCTAGTAGTTATTTAGCTAGGATAAAGATATTTAATTAGACTTTTACTTAGAGAATATATTCTAAAGATTATAATATTTCTTTAGTAGTATTCTCTTAATTATCTTTTTCTCTAAAGGCTTAGACTTTTCTACCTAGCTAACTAGTATACTAGTCTCTATAGCTCTCTACTCTTCTAGGATCTTATTAATCTTATAAAAAGAAGTAATAAAAATAGTAGTCCTCTTCTTCTTTATAATTTAGTAGAAGGTAGGAGCTCTAACTATAACTATATTAATTATAACTAGTTTCTTAGATAGTTCCTACTTTAGCTTTAGTACTTTAGGTTTAAGTAATTTATAAAGAGCCTTTTAAAATACTCTCTCTATCTAAGCTTAGGCTAGGAATTAATTCTTTTTATAAATTTAAGCTAGTTAGTAGTACTTACTTTATTATTTAAACTTCTACTCTTATTAGGTAATATTAGCTTAGTATTTATAGTTAATCTTAGTACTCTATAGTACTTCTAGAAGAAGAGAAAGTCTTATAGTATTCCTAACTTCTTTAAGTAATAATAGTTATTAAGGCTATATAAAGCTCCTTAATTAGTAATTAATAAGTATATTATTCTCTACGTACTAGAGGGCTCCTAAGATTATATTATACTATTTAATTAGAATAATTAAGAATAGGAGTCTCTCCTATCTTTATCTATTAATAATTATATCTAGGAATATTACTTAGAATAATTTAGTAATATCTTTACTATTAAAACTAGTAACTTAGAAGTCTCCTAAGAGCTTCTCTAGAAGGATATTAAATTACTTAAAGATATATATAGCTAGATCTTAGTTTATTAATATAAATATATTTACTCTAGAGTTAACTAATATTTTTACTTCTATAGTAAAACTATTAGAAGAGATAAGTATATATATTATATAGCTACTTTTTAAATCTCCTAATAATTTCTATAGGTCTAGTATATATAGGTTAATCTTTTATCTACCTAAGATAGAGATTTTCTCTAGATATTATTATTTTTTATCTACTTTTAGCTATCTTTACCTTTATTCTTATTCTTCTTAGGGTGTTTATAGATCTTAATATAAGCTAGTTTTAGCTTATAGTTAGAGTAACTTATACTTATATATTCTACCTCTCTATAATAGTAGTATAGTCTATTTTAATAATAATAAAGACGCTTCTTCTTACTAATATAGAGAATTAGAGAAGAGGTACTACTTATACTAGATCTAGTATTATTACCTATATATAATAAGGCGCCTACTAAGCCTTAGTTATTCTTATTATTATTCCTAGATACTCTCCTACTATTATTTCCTTTATTAGTTATATCCTAGTGGCTCTACTTTATATCTTAGGTACTTAGATTATTAGTAATCTTATAGTAGTAGTTAATAAACTAGTTATAAGAAATATTATTATTATTAAAGTATATTATAACTATAAATCTAAATTATTTATTAAGACTATTATTAAGAAGTTCTTTATATTTATTCTTATTATATTAACTATCCTATATAAGTATACTAAAGTCTATAATATACTCTTAAAGATAGATATAGCTCTTTAGATTAAGATTTTTAAGTTTCTAGTAAGCTTTATATTTTTTATTAGGATTTATAAAGACTATTTTTATATAACTATATATATTATTAACTATAAGGTTTGGTTCTTTATATTAGAAATTAAGTAAGCTAGTATATACTCTTATACTTTACCCTTAAGGTAAGTTAATATATATATATAATCTTTTTATTCTAAGAGGGGTATTAGTTATAATTAATCTTAAGTTTCCTCTATATTATATTATACTAGACTTTAAAGATTATATTCTTTCTATTACTTAGCTTCTTAAGATTAGGATATTTCTTTAATTTATTACCTAGGCTAGTAGGCTCTATAGAGGATTATCTTATTCTAGTAGTAAGCTAAGTAATCTAGAGAGTAAACTACTAGTTTTCCTATTATAATTTTTTAATCATGCTATTATCTTCCTTTATAGTAATAAGCTTATCTACTTAAGTAGTAAGATTATTATAATTTCTAGTTATCTTATTAAGTTATTCCTAGAGTTAGATAATCTACTATTATATCTTCTTTACTTTAATCCTATTAGTTTATTAGGTTCTAGTAATTTCTTAGTTTAAGTATCTCTAAGTATTATAAACTACTTCCTAAATAGTCTCTAGTTTATTTATAATTTATACTTAGAATTCTTTATAAGCTAAGTTCTCTAGTTCCTATAATATAGATCCCTAGGTACTAAATAAAAGGGAGGTATACTAATTTATAAGAATCTACTATAGATCCTTATCTCCTAGGGTAATAGTAGGGCGTGCTATACTAGTTTATAAGATTTATAGTATTAATTATAGTTATTAGTTAGTCTAATAATTAGAAGCACTATTAGTTATATAAGGGATTTAGATTCTAACTAGAGCTACCTAGGTTAGTAAGGACTCAAGATTAGGCTAGTTAGTTAGAAAGGATAAAGAAAAGGTTATAATACTTAGAATTATATTATAATTATATCTCTAAGCTATAAGGCAAAGTTATAGACAAGAATTAATTAAATTCTAAGTATAAAGAAGAAATAAAACTAATTATAATAGTTAATAAAACATTTATTGTGCAGCACTTAGTCAGCTAGTAGTGGTTGCTTGCCTGATTTCCTGCCTGATTACTAAGGCCGTTCGCCGAGCATCGATGCAGCAGCCGTCACATTAGTTAGCCCACGGGCTGACTAAGGACTATGGGTTAGAAATATCTAAGTACATTCGTGAGGGCCTTACAGGCAGTGTCATAACACTTAGAATTATATATATATATATATTAATTTTTATTATAAGTTACATTCTAACCTTTTACTTTGCTAGGTTCTAATAAGATTAATATGGATTTAGTAGCATTAGTATTATTTAAACAGCTTCAGTAATTTCAGCACGTGGAATTTTGCAAGGGGGGCGGATCGAATCAACTAAGGTGGGCAGAGTGACTGGGCATTAACTACATTAACCATATGTGCATGATTAATGATTGGCCTGAAAGACTGACACCTGAGGCATCATACACCCCAACAAAACACCAGAGATAAGCCATCTGACCCTACTCCCAGAGACACGAAGTCCAAGTCTCCATCATTCTTCCCGCGCGCGCGAATATCTTCTAACCACAATCCAGCAATTATACACCATCCTACACCATTCGGTATTGTGACCTCCTTGCACTTACACGTACTACCATCTGGCCCAAATGGATATCGACCCGAGCCGGAGGAACAAAAAACCCCGCCATTTGCTTGAGTCGGAGCGTGAGAGACTCGACGAATTCATTGATTCGATCCACTATTCTGCAAGGTATATCTACAATTGATTATAAACTGAATGACTGTTTAACCCTTTGTAGATACTCTGATGACCAGTTCGAGTATCGCCATGTTCAGTTACCCAAAAACATGCTAAAGAAAATCCCCGCCGACTACTTCGACGCGTCGAAAGGAACGCTGAAGCTGCTTTGGGAAGAAGAATGGCGAGCACTGGGTATTACTCAGGTACGTTATGCTTGTCAATCTTCTTTGACGCTGCTGGCCGCTGACAATTCTCTCCACCAGAGTCTTGGATGGGTACATTACGAATGGTAGATGCAATTTCTCCCCCACCCCCGCCCTCACTCCAATACTCACACTAACTCTCTCCCTCCTTGGAAAGTCACGAGCCAGAGCCTCATATTCTACTCTTTAAGTCAGTGGCCACTCTGATCGAAGACCCCTTCAACCACTCACTAGTTTACACAGACGACCCCTGAACTATCAGCCGGCCATCTCGCAATGAATTATCGACTTCAGGCTAGACAAATAACAGCGCCCTCACCATTCGTCGAGTCATCGTCGAAACTCGAAAAGCGAGAAAAGAGCGGCGCCAGATACTGCGAGCACAAGGCAAATGCAAGGGTTGCTCCGAGACAAACCCATACCCCAGGCATGAGGTTCAGAATGAAATATGGTATGATTCGCATAAGCAAGGTTTCTCATCTACCCACTAAACAGCGAGGGTCGTTGTAAATCTCATTGTTCTTCTCCACTACCTTTCAACTTCCGGGGTATGCGTTCAATCTTGGGGCTCTCAAATTACGTTCCTGGCCAGCCATTGCTCCCATTGAGTAGCGGTGAAGCTGCTGCTAATCCCTGGTTCCTCAATCCCCTAGAGCCTGAAGTCAGCTGCTGTTTAAAGGTCAGAGCTTTATGGTTTAGATTTCGCACATTGAAATACACTGTCGGAGATACATGGACTCCGACAACTCGGCCAGCCTGTGCTTGGGATTAGATTTCATGCATTTCAAATGAGAGCGACTGTGCAATGTACATACCTTGACCATTAGCTTTACATCATTCGTGACCTTATTGCCGGTGTTTAGTTGTCCTTCGGCGTCTGGTTTATTGGAAACCGTCAGAAGACTCAACATTTCCTGCTTGTCCACGCCGATACTCTCTCCTATGCTCGCTAGAGCCTCATAAGTCTCATTTCGAGTTTGACTGGCAACATTGGCGTCAAAAAAATCCTGCTGACGCTCGAAAAGAGCAGCGCTAAAGTCCCAGAACCTGTGCGGGGCAAGTTTCAGAACTGCTGCTCCGGCTTCATGCGTGAGTGTTGAGGATGGATGCCAGGGTTGAATATGTTGCCGGAAAATAACCCGTAATCGAGGCTGATATTTCTCGTGAATGAGGGGCCGGGCACTAGCGTAGAAGGTTTTGAATAGCCTTGCAGAGAACTGAGATCAGAGATCAGTGAGGTGCCTTATATGACTTGCTCAGCGGCTCCTTGTCATGACGTACTGGACAGACATAGTCAAGGTCTTTACAAAACATCAGATAAGCCATTAGCTTTCCACCATTCCGCGCTTTGAGAGTTACACGGACGTACACAATTCAAGAGTATGCTGCTGTTCATGTGCAGTAGAAGGGACTGGTAGTGTCTGCCCCGAGAATTTGGGGGGCAGTGCCATTTTGCTCCTGTAAATCAAGAGTAGCGAAGAACGGTACTCGCGATGACGGTGCAGAATCCGTTGTAGGCTTCGAGAAAACGATACAACCCCGCCTGGGAGGGGCCTGGCATATAAATATCTGGTTATATGAGAAAAAAATAGCGGGGATCATGCAAGCTCGTCATTTGCCTACCATAGTCTCGTCATCATGAGACCTGTCTTAGCAAGCATATCCTAGTACATACTTCCGAGTAAAGGCGACCTACTGCACTAACTGCAACACCTCTACAACCACAGCCACATCATCACCCATTGGATGAACAACTCCAGCATAATAATGTCACCACTGTTCTAACCCACGTCATCCATAGTGAGAATTGGAATGGTAACTAGTTCCGGGTGAATAAGGAAGGCACGAGACGAAAGTCAGGGCCTCATGAAAAGGGTGATTCTCAAAAGCTCTATCAAAGACACTGATTGCAAAAGAAGCGCAGTGCTGCACACAGAGAATTATTTACCTCCAAGAGGTCTCTGTTTGAAAGAAGCCATGTCCCTGAGGTGCATGGAAACAGATACCCACTCAGAAGTTTTCGGGTCGTATTCGCCTTCCACCTCGATCCTGCAAAATCCCACAGATCCCCTGAGGCCCACTGGACCACTAATGGAGAACGTACCGCTGTGGCGAGCACGCAATTCATCGGCCCAGCTTTCATTCAATCGCTGTTTAAATGCTAACGAGGCTGCGTAGAAATCAGACCCAGGACCGGGCCTCGGCAGAGGCAAACGCTGCAGTATAGACAGGAAGATTGAGGGGTGAGGATGTGAATTTCCGTTAACTTGATCTGGGCTGCCTTGAGAACCCGAGGAAGAGGAAAGCTGCGTTTCAGGCCGTGATGTTTCGCGTAGGTTATCCATCGTTTTGAGATCTGACGGCAATAGGGTTTTGGTAGCTTGATCCGATAGGCTGAGTGCTTGTTCATCATCCGAGATGTTGAACTTATTAACAATCCTTTTCCAGAATACTGAGTACGCATCCTTTACGGCATGCGCCACAAAAGAAGGCCTTATGGATCTGTGCAATCTATCGCTTGCCTTGTGTGACATAGAATATGATCCCCAGAACACCCCATTGTCGGTGAAAAAGAGACCTGATCGATGATATGTTGGCGGAGCACGCAATGGCCAATGGGGTTGTAGCCAAGTCTGCGATACTGTAAAAGGGGTCCCCAGCATGCTCGCCAGTAGGTCGGATCGGGACGCCTCGGCGAGAACAATAGATGCCAGTTCATCTACCCTAGTAAGCATCGAAGCAACACATATGATGAGAATAAATTAAACCTTTGAGAGCTTGAACCCGTTCCTTGTCCTTCGACACCTTCACCAATGTTTTCCACTCAGGATCCGATGCTTTGTAAAACTTGCCCTCTTTTAATTGCGGCCAGCCAAGCGGGATGAAGAAGCCCTTTGAATCGTGTAGTGGCTGCCCCTCATGTGTGGTCGCCGTTTTGTCGCCGCTAGGGTTGGAGCGTGCGCGATTGTCAGAAGTTTTCTTCTGAAAACCTGCACTTTGTAGGCTATCATCGTAGGCCGCTAGCATGAATCCGCTCCAAGCATAGATGGCGACTCCGAAAATCAGGCAGTTTGCGGCAAGCCTCCTGCTACCATTAGAGGTGGGAATGAGAGTTATCAGTGCACTGTTACGGCATACCTGAACCATGGTCGCTTGACTTTCACATAACGGAGATTGGAAGAGCTCGAGATGTAGCGAAATGGCGATTGAACTGATGGGGATGATCGGAGACTAGGATGTAGCGGCCGTATTTGGGGCATTGGTACAGTGCATCTGGAAGAGCGAAAGCGGTCGGCGTTGTTGGCTGCTCTTGTGTTTGAAATGCGATGTTGTTGAAGACAAAACTAAGCTAACTAGTAAATCATAGATCAAAGAAATGTACAGAAAACAGGATGAATGCGACCTGCCAAATAATCTGCGTTATTGAAAGATGGGCGAAAGAAACGATCATTTGCAAAGATATGGAATTGCCACGTGATTTTCGGGGGATCAGCGGTTCCTCCGTGGCTTCTCCGCCTCCACCACCTATGGTTGACAGCCAAAGTACTCCGTCGTGCTCAACGCACGCCAACCACCAGTGGAATCCCATAACATCGTCGCCAACTCGCGTACTTATTCCTCTAAAGCAAGAAAAGTGAATCGTGCCAGCGGAAAGACTGTTGCTTCTCAGCCTAATTAGTGACGCATTGCACCAAGCTCGATCTCAGCATGCGCGCGCTTTCTAGCTTCTTGACGACGCTAGCCGCCACTGCCATTGGAACCAGTGCCTTAGAAGCTTCGATATATACTTTTGGGCCGATTATCGATAGGCAAGACCTTAAACCAACTCTCATATCGAGCGCCACCCTTCAGCAACTGTTAGACCTTCGATCCGGGTCTTCAACGACATCGATTATAGGAAGGGCGGATGAGGATAGCATTGAGCTCCTGAGCAACCTAGCGGGGTTTCCTAGCCCTTTGTTCAACTCGCCAACGGATAATGGATATGAAAATACTCTTCTTGTGCTTCTGGAAGGTCTAACTGACTCGATTGGTACGTCGACACCGCAGTCGTCAACAAACCAAATAAACATGACCCTGATCAAGTCGTTTCTTAGACACCTCACTCCGAACGAAATATCAAAGCGAATTAGTAGCTTCCGCGTTTCCCACGGAGTCTTCGATGAATTCTTTCTTTGACTCCTTCCTAGAGGCCCGCCGTGGGGACCTGCTTGACTCCGGAGGCAAGAGCTGTCTGATTTATGGTTCAGGAAGCCCCAATCCTGATCAAAAGGTGATATTCTACTGGATGCGCATACTATACAGGTCATAGTGCTGATGTCTTGGTCGCTGGTGTTTAGGATGGTTTGTCATGTCTCCCTGACATCCTTGGGACGCACCGCAGTGCGCTGCTGAACTTGATCAGCACAGGTGAATCTTTCATAAATGAGCATATGGGCTCTATTGTATTGCGCGTCGTACTCAAGGTTAGTTTCACTGTTGCACGATACGCAAGCAGCTGCTAATTTTCCCCGCAGCCTCTCACGAATCTAGAGGCTCTGCCGACCTCCATCAGCACCTTGGACTCTGTCTTCTCCGACCTGCGTTCATTCGGGCTAGCCGGCAGCAGGGCTACGGCGGTAGTCTTGCCGGGTTCTAACACAACCCATAAGTCCTACTCGCGTCGATCGCTGGAAATGACCAAAATTGACTCCGAGATCAACTTTCACCGGAATGCACAACCCGTACTTTCCGAGAAGGAGACAAAGGTTCCGCTCACTCTAGCGCCTGTCTGCTACGGCTCGAATTCATCCTGCACCGAGTCCACCAATTCTTGCTCGGGGCATGGAGTTTGCTACAAAAAATCTGGCACAGAAGGTGACTGTTATGCCTGCCGTTGCCACGACACTCTCGTCAAAAACGAAGATGGTACGGAACGGTTGGTACGGTGGGGAGGGGCCGCTTGCCAAAAGAAGGACATCAGCTCTCCCTTCTTCTTGATTTCGGGCGTCACAATTGCGATCATTGTGATTATTGGTACTGCTATCGGAATGATATATAGCGTTGGAACTGCTGAGTTACCAGGCGTCATCAGCGCTGGTGTTGGTGCACCCAGGACACAGAAATGACCTCGGGCTGGATCCTTCCCTTGTTTTGATAATGGCGCCACTAGCAGGCCATACTATCCTATCTTAGAGTTTGTCTTGTCAATGCTTGTAAACTAGGCAAATTGAATTTCATGCCTTCTAGCCACTGCATCATACTACGTCGCTTCGTGGACAGATGAAGAGACAAACATCATCTGATATATTCGGTTGAGTAGATATCCAACTAGGTATGTAGAAACGACTGAACATCTCAAACCATAAAACGCCACTAAGGGTTATACAGTACAGGGGGTATGTAAATGCGTGCAGTCCCCAGATGGAGACCAGCTCGATTCATACTTCGAATAGATCAACTCCGAGCAACAGCCAGATACCTGAGCGCCTTACCAACAAATCCCATATAATAATGCTATGAACAAGGAAAATTATCCACGTCGCGAGTAATAAATCATCCACCTGCACTCGCGAGGTCAATCAAAAGGACGCGGCGTCGAGGTCCGTGCTAATGCGTTCGTTAGCCAACTGCGAAGCCTGCCGATGGACCGAATCTGAGGCTCCCTTCCCATCCCAAAGCAGGCGCCTAGAATGCCAATAATATTGCGTATATTTCACCATATAAAGTTGAAAACAACAACAGAAGAGACTCAACTACTCAGTGAGTTCTCCCGGCCTCGAGCTGACTAGGAGTTGACACATTTTGTGAGCGTGAGTCTTCGACACCCATTCTACGACTTCGATCTCGATTCCAGAAGGGCATGGGAAAGCGGAACAGTCTCGAGGGCGATGGCCTCGATCCGTGATCATCATAGTCAGGCCGATTGGGTTCTGGACGTTCCCCGTCGTCCCTTTCAATATGGCCTCGCGCTCTCCAGAAACCACGACCCGTCAGCCAGGACGGATTGGGTGTGGCGGCATCCGGGACCCGTTGTGTGGGACGGTCTGAGAGTATCAAGGCTGAGCGAAAAGGATTGACTCGACCTCTTATGAAAACAGCTTGCGGTTGAATTGGGCCAGCCAATCGAGTCGTCGTGTGGCGACCAGCACGTTCATGGGTTTGCCTTGGTTCTGCACCGTCGGGACGAGGTTTAGGTGTGTAGTAATCCGCCTTACATAGGGGACATGAAGCCCTCCTGCTAGTTAGCCAAGGGTCAACGCATGAGGCGTGAAAGGCGTGTCCACAAGCAAGGCCACGTATATCGTCTTCATCTTCAATTATGTCAAGACAGATTGCGCAAGAGTCTCCAGGATTCGCAGCAAGATCGATTGAAACAGCGGAAGGTAGGATATTCTCATCCTCTTGCAACGAGTTATGGTCTTCCAGATGCCCCGATTCTCTATCATTCCGATCCGAGCTTGCTTTGGACAAGGTATGGCTTGCGTGTGCGAATTCTTGAAGGGTCTTTTCTTCAGGTTGTGGGTTTACTTCGACGGATTCAATAGGTTTTGATGGCTGTGAGGAGGCAGATTCGACTCGGTGATGAGATTTGACGTCGGAGGTAATTAGAGATGATGTACCGCCCACTGCGACGGATGTTCCGTCGCCTTGTGCTTCTGGACATGCGCCGACATCGGGGGCAGATATACCACCAGAGGTTGACAGCCCTGCGTTTGCTCGAGAAGATCTCCAGACCTTGTATTTGGTCAGCGGGAATCGCTCATTAACCTCCTCCATAGTCATTAGCTTTTTCTCTCTCCTTCTTCGGTGGGTTCGCGGCATTGCGACCAAGTCTATGGGATCCCCTGTCTCTTCGCCTCTCAACTGCCGGTTCCGCTGGTTATATCTGAAGCAATACTTGACGCCGACAATGATCCTTTTTCACCATTAACCAGTTGAATCATGGTGTACAAATAGCAGAGTCGGACATACCATAGGTTTGTGAATACAACTCCGAAACCGAGGGCCACAAAGAATAAGAGGGGTGAACTAGTGGGGCCTGATCCTCCATCATTAGAGCCATCATCTGAGCCAGTGGCGGCAGGCGGCGAGCTTGTTGTTGGAGACATCACGAGAACACTGTGACTTAGAAGACCGACGTGTCCTGTGCGGGTGTTGGGAAATGGATCGCGCGATTCGAATAAAATTGATGAGGGGGCTTTCTTCTTCGACTCGGTCAAACGAGGGCGCAGCTTCGAATTCACCCCTTTGGAGTATAGTGCGAGAGCCGCGCTGGAAACTCCGACAGACGGTGTTGACGGTGATGGTTCAATTCATCGAGTCGATAGGAGGTCAGGGAACACCTAGGAACATGCACCCGCTGGAGCATCACTAACAGCAGCCACTATAGGAGCTGCAGATGCCCTGATACCACCCGGGCTTTGGCGATGAATCGCGGCTGATTCTGAATTTCTGATGACGGAGTCAAAGAAGGGACATCGGTATTCAAAGGTGGTCGAACAGACACCTCAGGCGAGACAGACAGTCATGGATCACGGGATGATCTTCCATCCGCGCCAAGCCTTGCAGGGTCTGGCCCGCCCGAAAGGAGGGGCGGGTCCTCATGATTCGGGCCGGAAGTCATCTGGAATGGTGCCTCGGCAGCCTGGTTTTCCAAGTCTATCGTTGCCAGCTCCCCTCTATCGTCGATTGGCATTGATTAAGAGCACTTTCTTCACATGCGACTGGAACGTGAAGGAAAATGAATAGTACTAGTACTGGCACAGATTCCAGACAGAGTCCCAATCCCATCGTCTTCTTCGATGTCGCTCTTGGTGGTACGTGAGCTCGAATTTTCAGCTAGACAGAGGTGCAAGCTGAATGTTGTAATCGCAAATCAATAGGAGAACCCCTCGGTCGCGTCAAGTTTGAGCTTTTTGCGGACGTGACACCGCGGACTGCAGAGAACTTTCGTCAGTTTTGCACTGGAGAAACCAAGAATCACCAAGGTCGGCCGCTTGGCTATAAAGGGAGCAAGTTTCACAGAGTTGTAAGTTGGCCTGGAGGCTATCCGTACGATCTGTTGGTATCTAAATATTGCGCCTCAGATAAAGGATTTCATGATCCAAGGAGGTGATTTTATCAATGGCGATGGGACAGGTTCAGCTACCATTTACGGGACCCCCAAGTTCGCAGACGAAAATTTCATTCTCAAGCATGACCGTCCAGGCTTGCTAAGCATGGCTGTATGTCTATCGAAATAAAGTAATTGCCGGGGAGGGAGGCTGACATTTTTAGAATTCGGGGCCGAATACAAATGGAAGCCAGTTCTTCATTACCACAACCGCAACCCCATTCCTGAACGGCAAACACGTTGTTTTCGGCCAAGTCTCTGAAGGGATGGACATTGTGCGAATGATTGAGAACACTCGAACCACGAGAGATAAACCAAACCAAGATGTCACCATCATCCAATGTGGAGAGATGTAAATGTGAACCACTTTTCATTTCTCTGAAAGTGCGATATATCTACACTAATTCAAAAACACAAAACGAGGTTGGTCGCGAGGACTATAGCTTGAAACTGCTTAGGTACTCCGTTGCCAGAGTGATCGCATCATCAACCTTGTCAGGATTAATGCCATTGCCAATAGACGTGGGGCCTTTGCCGCCTGCTTTACCTCCAACTGCCCTAGACACAGCTGTAGCCCATTCACTGGCAGAAGCGCCTTGGTCGCTCATTGTCTAGAGTATGTCAGACCCTGTTGTATTCAAGAGGCTTGGTGTACGTTCTGCTTACCTTTGAGACGTAGCAACCGTGTGCGACACGACTATCATCCTGACTGGCGGCGAGGACATAGACAGTCTTATTTGGTAGCTTTGTTTTGACGTAGTTTATAGACTCGCTGACAGCTTTTGCATTGGCGGAAATGGGAAGTCGGGCAACAAGCCAGGACTTTTCAGCATTTTCTGCCGCCTCAAAGTACGAGGTTATGCTTTCCAAAGCCTTCTTCGATTCGAGCTTCTGCTGTGCCTTTTGCTCGTCAATGATCTTCTTGTTGATCTGCGTGAAGCGCTCACGGAGCTTTGATTTTTTCAAAGCAGAGATTGAGAGTTGGTTAAGCTCAACCTGGATCTGTTTAGCGTTCTGCTCCTTGGCTGGTCCAGACGCCATTGCTTCCAACTGATCCAGGCGCTTCTCAAATTCCGTTGCCACGCGCTGCACTTCATGGGCATCCTCTCCTGTGACGGCAATGATTCTCCGAATACCCTTGGCGATCCCGCTCTCTTCCAAGATGATCAAATCCTTAATGTCACCCGTTTTCTGGACATGAGTTCCGCCACAGAACTCAATGCTAACCTTCTCCCAACGCGGGTCTTCCACATTCTTCAGAATCTCACCAATCTCGGCGCCAACGGAGACAACCCGGACAGGGTCGGGATAGGTCTCGCCAAAGACGGCCCGCACTCCGGAAATCCGTCGAGCAATTGAGAGAGGAACTTCTTGGGCATATACAGGGCAGTTGCGCCTGATATAATCAGTCGACAAGTCCTCAATCTTGGCCAATTCTGCATCCGTAATCTGTGATTTGTGGGAAAAGTCGAATCGCAACTTCTCAGACGAAACAAGAGAGCCCTTCTGGTCTACTCCATCACCTAGAACTTCCTTCAATGCAAAGTTAAGAATGTGTGTTCCGGTATGGTTATTGCGGATAGGCCACCGGCGGAGCTCGTCATATTCACATATGACAGTGTCTTGAACACTAAAAGATCCATATTTCATGAAGCCGGTGTGCAGGACATAACCGGCATAAAGCTGAACGTCAACAACCTCAAGTTCAGCCTGTCCATCAATGATGATCCTTCCCGTATCGTTTTCCTGTCCACCCTGTTCGGCGTAGAAATTTGTGCGATCGAGAATGATGCCGATTTGCTCCGCATCGGGTACTTCCTTCGTTGATGAATGGAAAGCTTTTCCATGGTAAATTGCCTTTATTTGAGCAGTGATGTTTCCCTTCTCAAACTTGGCATCATCATCTGTCTTGGGCACATCATTCATCTTTTCCAGGTTTCCCAGATCATGAACATCTAATTTGACGGCTCCAGTTGTCGTCTTCTTTTGCCCTTTGCTGGCCTCCTTTGCTTTCGCACGCGCCTCTTCAAACTCTCGGTCATCGATTTCAAGACCGCGCTCTTCAGCCATGATGCGAGTCAGATCGACTGGGAAACCAAAAGTGTCATAAAGTCTCCAAACATCTGCACCGTGCAGTTTCTGTACTCCCGTCGTTGAAGCCTGTTGAGCATACTGCTCAAATTGACGCTCTCCACGGTCTAGTGTTTTCGCAAAGGATATTTCTTCCTCATCGAGTATCTCCATCACATCCTGTTGCTTATGCTTCAATTCTGGGAACATATCGCCCAGCTGTTCCACAAGGGTCGGCACGATTTTGGAAAAGAAATTTCCAATCTCGACATTGAAGTATTTCCGAGCGTACCGCGCACCCCTGCGCAGTACTCGACGAATAACATAGCCTCGGCCCTCATTGTTTGGCACTACTCCGTCTGAGATCGCAAATGACAAGGTTCGGACGTGATCCGCAATGACACGATACGCAGTGTCGATGCCATCCGAATCATCCGAGCCGAAGCGACCCTGATATTCCCGTGCGCCAGTAATACTCCGAATAGTCTCGAAGAGGGGACTGAATACGTCGGTATCGTAATTTGACGACCGATCCTGGAGCACAGAAACCAGCCTTTCGAAACCCATTCCAGTGTCGACATGCTTATTCGGCAAAGACCGCAGAGAACCATCCGTCTCACGGTTATATTGTATGAAAACATTATTCCAGATTTCCAGGACGTTCGGATCATCCTGGTTGACAAGCGAGGCAGCGTTGCGTCCACCAATCCGGTCGTAGTGAATTTCGCTGCAAGGGCCGCATGGCCCCTGATCTCCCATCTCCCAGAAATTGTCTTTCATATTACCAGGGAGGATATGGTCCTCGGGGACACCGACTGCCCTCCACAGCTCCTTGGCTTCTAAGTCTGGTTCAAGACCACCTTGCTTGTTACCTTCAAAGTAGGTAACGTAGAGGCGACCAGGATCCAAGCCATACACTTGGGTTAGTAGTTCCCATGAATATCCAATTGCCTCCTTTTTGAAATAATCGCCAAAGCTCCAGTTGCCAAGCATCTCGAAAAACGTCTTTTGAAGAAGTAATTAGTCAGGATAGCTGAACAATACACTGCCTGAAGAGTGCCCTTACGTGGTGATAACTGTCCTTGCCGACATCATCCAAGTCCTAATATCAGAGCGTTAGCCACATGCTGAGTGACTGTACACGCGACCACTCACGTTATGTTTCCCACCTGCGCGAATACACTAGATGATGTTAGCGACGACCTCGCAGATTGTGTCAGTTTTGCAAATAACCTTTTGAGAGTTGACCGCACTCTTCAGTTGTGCAAAATCAGAATTTGGGTTCACGGTGCCCAAGAAGATGGATTTGAACTGGTTCATCCCTGCGTTCGTGAAGAGTAGCGTTGGATCGGAGTGGGGAGCGACCGGTGATGAAGCGACTATGTAGTAAATGTTCTTGTTAGTTGAGAATGTCCCCGTCTTGAGCTATCATGCTGTCTTTTTTTTTTAATGCCCCTCCTTGCCCCTCACTTTTCGTACATACCGAAAGTATGGCCATTCTTGCGAAAATAGTCGAGAAACGTGTCGCGAACAGTTTTGGCCGTCCATTTTTGATCGTCGTCTTGCTTTGAAGCCATCGCGGATGTTTGCGCGCGTGAGCTTGGAGGTGTGATGCGCAGGGTTGGGGAGCCGTGAAATTTGTCGAATGTTCTAGTTTTTGAGTTAAAGGGAGAGAGATGAGTCAACCCCCAGGCAGTCCGCGAGAACCTGGGTCCGAGCATCAAGCAACTGGCTCAGATCTATTCCTGGCCCGATAGGGTCTCATAAGAATTTGAATCTAATATGAAATAAGTTATCGTCTTTTTGATCAAACTTCCGAAGTTTTGTCGTCAGCACCCTAGAAGAGGATGGCGGCGCAACAATTCGAGGTGGAAGTTCACGGAACGAAGCGTCCCGCCGAAGGAGAGCTTGATGATCAGCCCCTTGCGAAGAAATTCGGGGGTTTGCGAATAGGTATGAAGCAGTTGCCGATAATACCAAAACAACCTGACTGAGTGACTGGCTGTTGTTTTCTAACGATCCCATTCCGCGTAGGCCCTTTGGCTATGGTCCGTTCGCCGGAAAGGCGGCAAGAGCAACCTTGTCTGATTCCTAAGCCCAACGGTTTTGACGACGCAATGATGCTAGATGACACGAAGCACACTGTCTACATCCATGATTTGGAACAGGAGTTGGAGGAACCCCTATTCCTTCAGGATGGTCTTACGATCCTGCCCGGCCTGAGCGACAGGTTGTCAATGCCAAAGTTGCTCGTCTCAAGTGCCAAGCCTGAATGCAAGGAGGTAGTTCTCTACAGGGAACCTGAATCACTTTCGATACCAAAGGATAAGGATCAAGTCCGACGGGCACTTATAGAAACTAGAGAGAGAGCTAGACTGGGGCAGTCGAAAGATCGGCGTGATGTGGATGAGGGGAAAGAAGGGCAGGTTGCAGGGCAGCTGGAAAAGTCCAGGAAGAGTGATTACGAGCAGTTTGGTAATGATATAATGGATATTGACGCGGAGGCTGGGACGTGATATATACTGTACATGTACTAAAATACTAAAGTTGTTTTGGTGCTGACAACAATGCTAAGTTGTAATATTCTCCCATCAATACTACGAGTAAGATTCTGTATGCTTTTAAACCCTTCCCTCCTGAGGGGCAATTCTAACAAGATTTCGATCAGTCGTCCCCACCATCAAGAAGCGCACTACGACACCCTTTTTGGGAACAGCACGAGGTAAAGGAAGGTGTAGAGGCTGTGCCAATGTTGGGCTTCAAATATAGTCGAGTCCTGATGGCGATTCATGTTGAAACAAGAGTAGGCGAGAGGATCCGGATATGTTGAAGATAAGAAATATTTTGGTATTGACAAACTCGTCGAAATCATTAGAGCCCCCAAGCTACCCTCATGTATAAAGTCTAGAAGATACTTTTGATGGCAATTCCCAGGCGGTGTACCGAAACTAGGAGTCCATACTATGTCCAAATCTCAACAACCCAGTCATGTTCTCACATTAAGCATTTACCGCGTAGCCATGGCCTTGGTGATAAGCCTCTTAAGAGCAAGCTCCTTCTTCTTGAGATCCTCGGGAGTAGAGTCCTCAATCTCGAGCTGGGCCATAGCATCACTGAGAGCGGACTCGATCTTCTCCCTGTTGCCACGCTTGAGCTTGAGGGACATTGTGGGGTCGGAGACAATCTCTTCAACGCGAGAGATGTAAGACTCGAGCTGTTGACGGGACTCGAATCGCTTGGTGAACTCCTCATCGGTGGACTTGAACTTGGCAGCATCTGCAGAGATTCGGTCAGCAATGTTGACGAGATACTAACGATATGCGATGACTTACCCTCAACCATCTGCTCAATCTCAGTAGTGGAAAGTTTGCCGACAGCGTTGGAGATAGTGATGTTGGCAGTACGGCCAGAGGACTTCTCAGTAGCGGTAACCTTGAGGATACCGTTGACATCAACCTCAAAGACAACCTCGAGGGCGGCCTCACCAGCTCTCATAGGGGGAATAGGAGCCAGTGTGAACTCGCCGAGAGAGGTGTTATCAGCGCAGTTGGTACGCTCACCCTGGTAGACGGGGAACTGAACGGTGGTCTGGTTGTCGACGACTACGGTCGAGTCAGTAAATGAAGCTAGGTATCAATGTAGACCGTTTGTCTGAGCACATACCAGTGGTGAAAGTGCGCTTCTTGATGGTGGGGACGGCTGATCCAAATCTCGTTAGAATTGTTCTTCAGGAGGGAGGGGTTTAAAAGCATACTCTGTCCACGCGGAACAACTGGAGCAAAGATATTGCCCTCCATGGCGACTCCAAGGGAGAGAGGAACGACGTCAAGCAGCAAAAGGTCGGCCGTTTCAGCGGAGGTGGCCTATAGAGGAAGTATAAGCATGTTGTTATCGAAGGTTCGGCGTTGAACCTAAGAGTTCGGGGATAAGGTTTTAAAGTTTCGGGGGAGAAACTTAAGAAACTTAGGTTATAGTACCTTTCCGGAGAGGATGCCAGCTTGGACGGCGGCACCATAGGCGACAGCCTCATCGGGATTGATGCTTTTCTCAAGCTTTTTATTGTCAAAGAATTCACTGAGGAGCTTCTGGATGCGAGGGATACGGGTGGAACCGCCGACCAAGACAATCTCGTCGACCTGGCTCTTCTCAAGACCAGAATCCTTCAGAACCTGCTGAACGGGCTCGAGGGTGCCGGAGAAAGCCTTGGCGTTGAGGTCCTCGAAGCGAGCACGGGTGATCGAGGTGTTGAAGTCCTCGCTATCGAACAAGGAATCAATCTCAACAGTGGTCTGAGTAGCGTTGGAGAGAGTTCTCTTCGCGCGCTCACAGGCGGTTCTCAGACGTCTGAGAGCGCGAGCATCACCGCTCAAATCCTTTCCACTCTTCTTCTGGAACTCCTTCTTGAAGTGTTCAAGCATATTGGTGTCGAAATCCTGGCCTCCTAAGTGCGTATCACCAGCTTGAGAAAGATTAGCTATCTGGAACCTCACTTCGACCTCACTTGAGCATCACTCAAGACCTCACTTGAGCATCACTGGATGATACTCGCAATGACACCCAAGTATCCACATATCACTAAAAGAAGAATTGAGGACTCACCAGTAGCCTTGACTGTGAAAACTCCTCCCTGAATGTTTAGGAGAGAAACATCGAAGGTACCACCACCAAGATCGTAGATCAAGACATTGCGCTCCTTGTCGGACTTTCCAGAACCGAGACCATAAGCAATGGCCGCAGCAGTAGGCTCGTTGATGATACGGAGAACATTGAGCCCGGCGATAGCACCGGCATCCTTGGTAGCCTGGCGTTGGTTGTCGTTGAAGTATGCGGGAACAGTGATGACCGCTTGTAACATAGTTAGTCAAAGAAGGAATAACAAGACTGAATAGCACTGACCCTTCTCGACCCGCTTGCCCAGCTTAGTCTCGGCGATTTCTTTCATCTAGCAAGGGTGTGTTAGTAGGTCAGTCGGAAAATAGTAGAATGTTGCTGAAGAGCTTACCTTCATCAGAACCATAGAAGAGATTTCCTGGGGAGTGAAAGTCTTCTTCTCGCCAAGGTAGTCAACCTCGACGACAGGGTTACCGCCCTGGTCAACGACCTTGAAGGGCCAGCTCTGGACATCCTTCTTCGTATGCTCATCATCGAATCTGCGGCCGATAAGACGCCTAGGACAAAGATGTTAGCACAGAACATTTCTAGCGGCATGTATGGGACTTACTTGATGTCGAAAATGGTGTTCGCGGGGTTCATGGCGGCCTGGTTCTTGGCGGCCTCGCCGATCAAGCGCTCCTTGTCGGTGAAAGAGACGAACGAGGGAGTGGTGTAGCTTCCCTGCTCGTTGGCAACTGTAATCAAGGTTGGTATTCGACTGGGCTATCTGGCGTTTTCGAGTATACATACTGATTTCCACATTGGTGCCCTCATAGTTGGCGACACAGGAGTAGGTCGTGCCTAATTTGTCTGTTAGCAATTTTTTTTTTCCTTTTAGAGAAACAAGAGCCAAAAACGTACCAAGGTCAATGCCAATGGCGCCCTCGTAAACCTCGTCAGACATGGTGTTTGAGAAAAAAAAAAAAAGAGGATATAGAGGTTTTGGATGTCGAACAAGCGTTGAAAGGAAAAAAAAAAGGTTGATAGAATAGTGGTGTTAAAATATCAAAATCGGTCAGTGGGCGCGGCGGGCGGTGAATGAAAATTTAGAATTTGAAAACTCTTTTTTTCCCCTTCGCCCTTCGGTTGGCGGGGCGGGGCTGGCTCAATGAGGATTAGATAAGCTTCTTTGCCGTAGGATGGCTTTTGATTCGATTACTCTGACACGTGCCCGCTTTCATATTCAGAAGAGACCAACATCTGGATGTTGTACTCCGGAGTAGTTTGGAATGCTAAAGCACCACTCCGCTTATCCTACGAGTGATTTGGTCAAACTAGAGGTCCATAGAGATCCTATCTATATGATATATTGTTTAGGCACTCTCTCGATTTTGAATTCACAAGCAAACAGCGCTTAAAGCTCCATGATAGATGTAAGTCTAAACGACCAGGACCTGGTTTCCGATGGGCATACCATACAAAGGCTCAACGCGTGTATCAGAATAGATATCGTCCTTTGAAAGCACAAGCAGCATCATCCAGCGCGCTCAGTTCCAATGATGGTGCCTTCCAGGGCTATTTCATGGTCCTGAACAGCTCGCGACATTGCTTCTCTTTACAAATTATATTAATGTGCTATCATTTCCCAGGGCTGCTTTAGCCTTGCCTATTGCGGGGCAGGGGTGTGCATACCCTGGCTCTGGAGAGTGTACAGCACTAATCTATCATACTTTAGGCAGTTATGGCCGAGCACCTTGGGGCCTGGGCATGACTTAAGGATCTACGACGAGAAAAGGCGTGGTCATCGCTCCCGTGGTTTGCTTGATAAGCCTGGTGTAGAGAAACTTCGCTGCCTCTATCCTGGGCAATGCTCGCGTTACGATGGTGTGAGGACAGACGGACTACTGGTCCAAGTGCTTGTTGCTTTGTCTCCTCCTTATGGATTGATAGTCAGACTAATGAGCTAACTTAGTAACTTGAATAGCAGGTGTCTAGCCCAAATTCCATTGGACATTTTTCTAATCTACTTCGACAAGACAAAAAGTTGATAGCCCAGGCGCCCCTAAAGTAGCACCAGAAACGGCGTTGAAAGTAACCCTAAGTCCCCCAAAGTACCTCACATCACAAGACACCTCATATCTAAGAGCCAAATAAAGACTCCATAAAGAACCTCGAAAAAAGCTCGAAAAAGCCCTCATAGATAACCTCGTGGAGCACTTTGTATGGAGGAGAGACTTTTCTTGGGCAGTTGGGTTTTGGTAATATTAGAGGGTATCACATAGTAAGATGCCCTGCTACAACAAGAATGATCCTTGGAGTGCGTGGGAGTTAGAACCAGCCGAGTATTTACGCTGTTGAAAGTCCCTTCCTCCCCTCAAAGTAGATGGACAACTTTGAATCGACGCTGAGAACCCTTCAATAGTTGAGATTCTCCTCGGCTGCGTCTTGGCATCTCAACCTGTCACTGGAATCGCCTGACTTTGCAGGTGACAGTGAGAAGGAGCCTTTCGCTGCCCCAGGTCGCCGCTTGTACAGCAATGCAGCGCACCGCGTTTTCCCGGCTGCTCTTGCCTGGCCGATTGTGGCCTTCCCCCAGGCCTTACCTCCGGACCATATACGGAATCGAGTTCCGGCGGCAAACCCTGCGGCGCAGTTTCTCCAGCTCTCAATGCTTGAGCAAAAGCAAGAAGAAGGACAACGCAAAGGGCGCATCAGCTTCAGGCTCCGAGACAAAAGCCTCGCAGGCATCCGCCTCGTCCGATGACCCGCTGGACCTCTCGCAGCTCGAGGACGGAATCGCGGCCGCAGTTTCTCGGCTGAAAGATGATCTCTCAAAACTTCGAGTGGGAGGAAGGCTGAACCCGGAGACAATTGAGGGTCTCCGTGTGCAGCTGGGCAAAGACACAAAGGATATAGCGAAGCTTGGAGAATTGGCACAGGTTGTTCCCAAGGGTGGACGTATGGTGACATTACTGGTAGCCGAAGAGAGTGTACGTCTTCTGAGGAGCCCTTCCGGCAGACTATCTTTTGCTTCCTGCGAATTTGACAAAGACATTGAACTCTATTTTGACGTGCTCTGACCTGACTCGACTACCCCTAGTATTTGAAACCGATATCTTCAGCAATTCTGTCCTCCAACCTTTCCCTCACACCCCAGCCGGACTCGCATAATGCGCTACAACTCAACATTCCAATCCCGCCCCCGACAAAAGAATCCCGAGATCAGACGGTACTGGCGGCCAAGGCGGCGATGGAGAAGGCTTCAAACAGTGTCCGCGATGCACGGGGCGTTGTCCACAAGCGTCTCCAAACCTTGGTGAAAAAGAAGGCCGCTAGGCCTGACGATGCCCGCAAATCCCAAGACAAGATGGACAAGCTGACTGAAAAGGGACAAAAGGAAGTGAAGGACTTGTTTGAGACGGCAAAGAAGGCCATGGAACGAGTTTGAGGCTGTGATGGTTTCATTGGTTTTCCACCATCATGTATTATACTATTTTGCATTTCGCTGTACGTTTATGGTCCTGCGATTTTCATGATTCAAACGGTCCTTTGATCCGTATCAATCTGCTGTAAATCTATTGCTACATGAATATGGCTGGTGAGGTAGAAGGAAAAGAAACGCGGGTATGGCAGGATAACGGAAATAATGTACAGTATAATTGGACGTCCATCTGCTCAAGCACGTTTCGCAGGACGGGGTTGAACGAGGAGCGATTCCACCTTTGCCATGAATTGCGATTGCTTCCCAGCCGCGTTGTAAGTCTCATTGTTCTGGAGATTCCTCAGAATCTCACCAACGAGAGGCGAGTCGTTCTTTGTCTCGAGCGAGGGATACTTCCCTAGACCAAGAGATTGGATCAGCAATTGGTGGTCCTCGGCCTTGACACTTTCAAGTTCAACCGGCCGCGGGTCAACAAGCTCCCCCTTCTTCTGTGACAATTTGTCCGCATCTTCCTGCCTATACTTCTTGGCTGCCTCAAAAGCCTGAGCCTTCTCCTCTTCACTCAGGAATCGAACATATTCCCCATCCGACAGTCGCTTGCCGAGAATATATGGAGGAACATAGCCATCGGCAATGCGGCCACCCAGCGAAGAGAGCTTTTCAACGATTCCAGCGGTAGTGGCGGTGACATCTGTTGGGAAGGAGGGCCACGTCTCGCTCAGGTTTTGTAGGCTAGGAGGTTGAGGTTGATAGCGAGTAGGTGTTGGCTTGTCTTTCTCCGCGAGCTCACGGTAGACATCTTCAAGTTCGTTTTCTAGAGCGGTATCGCCTGCTCCATCATCTAGACGCCTTCGGAACGGTCGTTTCTGATTCCCCCGTTGAGCAGATCGCTGGGTACCTGGTTTGCGATCCCGCGAAGGTGTCCTAGGCCCTGCGCTCCCGGGCTTTCTACCTTGAAAACGGGGTGGGCCCTTGAGCACATTCGGAAGTTGTCCAGGACGCCTGGAGGCTGCAAGTTGTCTGGCATCGACAAAGCGACGTGGCCCGGCTTTGTCTGTGTTGGAGTTCTTGAACTTTAGGAGGGCGGGTGGAATCTTCAGCTTTTTAGGTTGTGTCGGTTTGGTCGGCGGCGAAGCGGAATTGGCTGCATCGTCATATTAGCACCAGACAAGAATTAGACGAATTGATACAGTGAAATGGGGCTTAGAAGCGTAATAAATGCCGAGCGCGTATAATGATACCATGGCTTCGGACAGGAATTCGGGATCTCGAACTTACAAGGCGGAGCTGGGTCGTCTCTCAACGTCTTTGATAGTGAGAATTGGCGAATTGACGGGAGAGATGGCTCCATCCATCCTACCCGCCGTGGGCGTAGTAGCATACCGCGAGGTTGCAGCATCTTTTGCAGTATTGCCTTCTAGACGTGAAAGTTGGGGTCGAGGTTATCTGGAAAGAATTCCGTCCTCGAATTTCGGAATCTTCAAGTCACGTGCTACTCAACCATCACCTGTGTACACAACCAAAGTCCTGGAGTGCATCAATTTATCATACTGGGCAGATTTTTCTCGAACATTTCTCGGTTAGGCGTTACTGTAGCCATAATAGTAGCTGCTATATCCCACAACTGCTTCGATTTCAATCGCCAACTGCCGCTCTATCCTGCTTCACGATGATCCGCCGCAAACCCACTGCGATAGCAATCACATCCGATGACCTCACAATGTTCGAGGAAGAGCTCCAGCGCAAACTAGAGCGCCAAAACAACAATCGAGACCAGACCGAAAATGGATCAAGAGTTAATTTTGACCCAAGCGACGAGCTGAAGCCTCTACCTGGCGACAAGGCACGGATAGTTCGGTCTCGCGAGGAGCGCATCGGCATCGGTCAACAACAAAGGAATTGATCTTCCTGGATGTGCATGAACTTTCATCTCCAATCTGAGTTGTGAGCCTTCGTGGGAAACTCCATCACGCGAGAGCCTCTCTGCTCTTGATATCTACCAGGATATGCTTTCCGCCGATGTTATTTGCTATGCGATTCATAAGCTCGAATCTTGCTCGCTTGGGATATTGAATGGGATACCTTGGAATGAGAGCTGGCTTTAGAATCACTGAAGTTGACCCTTTCATACCGGAGGAGTGCGTTGCCTCTTACCGTAGGCGTACTTGGGGTACTTTCGAACAGCATTTCTTATGTTTCCATTGATATCTATGAAGGAGACATATTCAGTCCATCTGCCTCTGAGATACGAAATGAGTGGAGATGGATCAAGCAAGTGTCCATACTTAGTGGGCAAAGCTCAAAGACGCTCATAGTTCTTGCATCAAGAGGATAGTGTGACTCATAGATGATCCCACATATCAATAAATCTCAGGTTAAGGGCTACGTAAAGGAGTACCAAATAGTATTTCGGACTTGAACGGGCAATTTACGGTATAGAGAAGGGAGACAATGTTGAGAAGGGAAATCCCCGAGTGCTAGAAAATGCGGACGCCAATGCGAATGAAATAACCATGGGTATCATGCTGAGGTTCATCTATATCCGCTGTAGCATTGTACAATTAATTAATCCTCCCAGACACTCTCGACTACGCACAGGGTGTAATTTGTGCGAGGTGTTAGCCCAGCTCCTAGCCTGATCAACGCTGGCGTTTAGGGCTGGTCTCCAATCCCATATCTACAGAGTAATTCCAACGCCTCTTCAAGCCGTGTGGATCGAACACACTTGCCACGCTTTGCTGCCAATCACGTGCAGAAAATACCACCGGTTGCCCAGTCATCTGTGGCTGCGCGACCGGTGAAGGCCGTGTAACTGCGATCTTAGCTTGTTGCTGGGTTTGCAAGCCATACTGGTCCACCAAAGAAGGCTGCATCCCTTGAGACGTTCCCGGCATGGCCATTGGTGGTGAATTTGGGTTCACAGCAGGACTAAAGGAGAATGCCATATCCCATTGACTGAGCGTAGGTTACATTAGTGTCAAGACAATAGGAGACAACAGATCAGGGTATCTCTTACTTGATGATACGAGTCGGATCCCAACTATTCTCATCGACCAATGGGGCTTCCGTCTGAACAGGGTGTGATGAAACCATCCCCGGAGGCTGTAGTTGGGGTGTACCAGTCTTCGAGTCTTCGGTGCTAGCTGATATCGGTGGGGTGATCGGGTACGCCTGGAAGCCAGCCCTTTCCTGCAATTGAGAGATCTGGCTGGGTTGTGGGTGGTATTGAGTTTCAAGGGTAGGACTGGGTTGGTACGGTTCCGACGGACTGCCGTACGGAAATGTGGGTTTGAGTTCGAAGGGGCGGTTAGTGTTGGCGGAGAACGCAAGCCGTAATGAATCGATCTGCGCTTGTATCTCTGGCATTGGCCAAGCGGATGAGCATCGCTCGAGAATCCGCATATGGCGCGTGAAGTACTCCCGCGCATCGGTATGGAAATCGGGATCAGGAGAGGTAATCGCAACCTGCGGAAAACAGTCAGCCAAAACGCACAGAGAAAGATAAGGGTGTGACTTACCAGGTGCAACATGGTGCATGTCAGGATACAGTATATTGTGAAATTGATACCCCGTTGCATGAAAAGGAGGCCTGGCAACCCGAAGCGAGCCAAGATTGCTTCCTGAAGCCTGCAAAGAGACTTTGCGGATGAATAACATAATGCCATGTGCATTTTCCAACCTCCACCTACGGTAAACTTAGAGGCAAGCAGCTGTGGCCGGTGACAGAGGACTATGCCCAAGTGGCAATGCGAATGCATGTTACCAACGAAGTGAGAAGGGAGCCATGGAGGTGAGCCGTCAGGAGGATAATTGACCTGCAAATCAGGAGGCAGATTTTGTAACCAGTCGGTGAAGAGCGGATTCTTCTCGACGAACTTAGGATTCGATCCCCAGTCTTTTTGCCTTTTGATTTTGTGATAAATGTCCGCAATGAGACGTATATGATATGCGTTGCGGACGAAGTAGGCATACTGTCTGGCTCGATCGATTTCATACTGATCCATGTTCTTGATGTCCAATTCAGGTCGCATATTGACGGTCTGGGGGTCTACACTGTAGTCCGAACGGCCTAATGTTTGTTAGGATTAATAGCTGTGTCTCAAGTAAGAGATTCTATTGGTCATCATACCTTGAGGCGCCCCAATCATGATCTCCACAACTAATAGAGCTTGCCACACTCTGGTCTGGACCAAACACTCTATTGGGTTCAAATTGCAGGCATTCTCTTCTTCGTGGGTATTATAATGCTCATGAATATCCAAGTCCTTGGCCATGGAGATGATGGTTTTGACTGTCTGCCATGAACGATAATAATACCCCTTTTTGGGTAACGATTCTCGGGCCTTCAGAAGAAGCAACATTGCTTGAATGGTGCTTAGACGCGGGACATCCATGAAACTGGACTCGTGTCCTAAACCAATATTAGTCTGTAACAATACACAGTGGACGAAAAACAAAAAAAAGAAAAAGCGGAAGAAGCCTCACTATTAGCCAATGCCAACCACTGGGCGCCCTGAGCGGGATCGTCTGACAGCCTTCCAGCGCATGCGAATAGAGCTTCAAGCAAGAGCGGCGAAATCGACTTTCGATCATGCTGCCACTGATAATATAGCTGTGCCCGGTGGACAACGGGAACGTAGGGATGTATATCATCAAAATAGATCTTGAAATAGTTCATAACTTCGTCGTCTGAAGGCATAAGTTCCGGGGGAATGCGAATCTTGGAGCCAGCTCCAGTGCGGAGAGGGGGTAAATCCTCCTCCACCTCATCCTGAGTAGGAATTTCAGGTTCTAATCTGTCCATCCTTTGCTGGCGAATATAAGGTGCTAGCATCACAACTATGAGCCAAGGTCATATCTGATTGTATGAAATTTGATCTTACCAATGCCAGTCTCATCAATCTTGAGTTCACCAAGTACCTCACTAAGGTCTTCGGCAGTGGAATGATCGTGCTCGCTGTATACAATGCTCTCGGCTGTTCCTATAGGTTGGTTCTGGGAAACAGAGAACATTGGCTGTGACTGATATGAATCATACGGAACAGCTTCTTGCGTTGTCCTTGTCTCATAAAGTCCAGATTGATTCGAAATAGATGGTGGCACATAATGAGAAAATGAGGCTACCGCATCATTGTACTGATGTATTGTTTCACCATGGGAAGATGCATCTTCCCGGTAGGCGTGAGGGATAGCATATGAAGAGAGCGATTGTGAAGATTCCGGAGCGGCTGTCGTGCTTAGTGAATTGGGAGGGTAGGATTCGACGGATTGCCCTGAAGAAAAATCGCCGTCTTGCCCGATAGTAGGAGGGACACACACTAGCTTTAGTCGTGTGCAAGCCGAGCAAGGCCAAGTGTTTGTTGTAGCAGCATCACACTTGATCTTTCGCTTCCGGCAACCATTGCAGGCGCGCATAACTGGACAATGAAGCTTAGCAATAGACCATCCTATGCAAGAATCACAGGCTTACCCTTGAGTCTCTTGTGCCGATTGTGTTCATCCACAAAAACATAGTCTAAGTAAAACAAAGCAATCAGTATTCCAGTACATGCGGAATTGAAATTCGAATAATACACCGTCACATTCAGCGATTGGAGTGATAGCAATGAGGCTAAACAATCTTACTTTTTTGTCCCTCCCGAGGAGGGCCCGTCGGGGGCATGAATGAATACCCTTGCATTGCCAAAATAGAGTTGCGACAGGACGAGAACAAGTCTATCTCAGACACAAAGTCGAAGTTCAGACCAGGCAGCGGTAGTGACGGAAGACTGGGGTAATAAAGGTAGGCGCAAGGCCCGCCTTGCACCAACAATTATGACAGATGTGGACGATGTAAACGTTGGATGATCCTTGCTGAAGTGATGTGACAAACTGCAACGTTGTTCAGAGCGCTACAGTGGAATCAACGAGTTCTGAGTTCGGTATCGCCCTGTATAATATATATGCGCACTGGACCAAAGCGAAAGTGTCTCCGCGTGTCCGGACGACGTCAGAAACTAAAAAGTAGACCAATACTATTGCGCGCGTAGTATGAGAGCGGAGGAAAAAAAAAAAAGGTAATAGCCACGGAATACGTGCTGGAAGCGCGAGTATGTCGGTTTTAGATGGTTGGCGTGACCAAAAGGGAAAATGAGCTCGGTATGGTATCGCGATTTGAAGGGGAGGAGATTCGCCGCCGGGGGCAAAAAGGGTGAGGATTCCAGATGTATAACAGGCTATGTATAGAGTGCCTAAAACCATTGGTGCGCAAATGTCAGCGACAGCTATAGGATTGCCAAAGTGATAGATAGAATCGGATAAGAGTGGGCTGGTGTAACGTTGCGAGGGGTATGATAGGTGACTCGTTGGATTGTTATACAACGCATGTTTTCTGAAGCGAATCGCATACGCGCCGTCAAGGGTAAAGACTTAATCGAACAACGCGCTTCGTGGACAGTTTGCAGTGGGGAGGAAAGTAAGAAATGGCCGAGGGTACTTACGGGCAACGGACGTGTTGAGATTATCCGGTCCGCATCGTGGACCAGAAGCATCTAATCTTATGAGAAGTTCAGGGTTGACTGCGTGCTCGAAAGATGTAAACTGGCACAGGGCATAACAATGCAATTGATGGTCACCATCGGAAAAAGCGCGCGTGTAGTATGAGTCGTCAATGGCATATGAAGGGGGATAGGAGCCGCTCGGGTTTTGGTTGGCTAGACCCGACACAGAAGCGTGAAATGATATAAGCAGAAGAAGCGGGGACCGTGCACGAATGCGACGAGTTTGATCCCAAAGGAGTGTCGGGACACGGGGTGAGGGTCGAGGAGAGGTGCGGCTAGTCCATCATAGCTATGATGCTTCAAGTATCGCGCGGAAAGTTGAAACGGATAGTGTCAGAGAATCGAGTCAGGTCGCCGAACCAGGTACTATAATGGACACAGGGGAACCAGGCAAAGCAAAATAGGAATGAACAAGCCAGCTGTGAGGGCCAGGGAAGAGTGGTTTCTGGAGAAAGAATCGTCAGCGCCTGGATAGGAGGGATAGAGGGAGATCGGCCTCGGGAGTTGAGGGGGCGCTTGATGTGCGGCATCCACTCGCATCACTGATCTGACTGTCGAAGGGCCGCTGACTCCGCCTGGGCTCCTAGAGGAACTTCGGGCCTTTGGCCCTTTCTTGAAATTTAGTCTTTCGGTGCATCTCCCAAGCCCTATCTTTGCTTTGATCTACGTTTTAGACTCTTCAAAGCTTCTTGGTTGTGCATCCTTCTGAGACATGAGCACGAGTTCGCCTGATGGACTAAACGCAATCTATCTCTAAAGCCCTAAAAAAAAGGCTTACCATGCAAGTCATTAGTTACCCGTTGATGCGCGTATTAATTATTGAGCCAAATATGTTATAAGCGCCGAAGCTAAATCAAGCTGGATCTTCAGTCTCACGACCGGACCTGAAGAAATAGGATCCCTTACAAACCAACGCCGCAGTAGGTGCGGGGCTACTGCGAGGAAAATCGTTGTTCCCTCGGCTCATTTGCCGCCTCTGCTTCTCTCTCCCTGGGCACCACTTAGTCTAGGAGATACATAGACCATTCACTGTACAGCTATATCCCCCGCTTCTACCTGCCAATATAAACTGTAACAAAAAATGGCATCCGAAATGCAAAACTCGAACCCGACGATTCTGAACACGGCCGATCTTCCTACACGCTTCCGCCCCTCAGTCTCCAGCAAGAGCAGCACATATGGAAGCGAGTTCTTCGCCTCCGCGCTGCCCTCGCTCGCCGATGGTGCGCTCGACCCTACCTCCGACTACTCACAGTCGCCGTCGGACTCTGAAAGCGACGGTGAACTGATGGAGGAGCCTATTGATGAGCAAGAAATATATGGTGTGTTTGCCAAAAAGTATTGATGCTTGTAAGAAACTCCTTGGCTAACGACTTTCAAGATCTTATATCAACTATCAATGACCCTGAACACCCGATCTCCCTGGGCGCATTGGCGGTTGTCTCACTCCCGGACATTGCAATAAAGCCTGCTCTTCCAGATGTACCCGAATCACCGCTTCAGACGGTCACTGTTCTCATCACTCCAACAATCACCCATTGCAGTCTGGCCACCGTCATTGGCCTCGGTGTGCGCGTTCGACTCGAGCAATCACTCCCCCCTCGGTTCCGGGTCGATGTACAGATCAAGGAGGGCACACATAGTACTGCCGATGAAGTGAACAAGCAGCTGGCGGATAAGGAAAGAGTTGCCGCTGCACTCGAAAACGGTACATTGATGGGAGTTATAGCAAAGATGCTCGAGACTTGTCAATGACATCTCAAATTTTTCAACCCAATTTTTACGTGGGAAATTCAAGATTGACGAAAACCAGCCAATCCAAGTCTGAGATTAAGTTATGGCTATACAAAGTGAATCCCTTCTCATTCCAGTCCATGTCTACGGTCACGAATCTAGAACGCCACTCTCTTTCAATCCTTTCCAGAGCTCCGGTTCCAAGAATTTGCTCACGGTTACATCCTCTGGCAGGCCCTTTCGCCGCCTTGTCTTCAGCACAAAGTCGCGCGCTGTCGCCATTGCGGGCGCCATCTCCAACGGCTTCAGCTTCACTTCGCGATCTAATGGATCTCCGGGCACGACACTCCACTTGTCAAACACAAGACTGACGGACGCTTGTCCCTGAGTGTGAATCCGGAGATCTGTTTCAAAGCCAAACGAGTCTATGACCGGAATTAACCCGCGAACTGAGTACAGCGGGGTTCCCGCGATTGGTCCGTCGGAGAGAACATGGCCTCTCCTTCGTGACAGAACGGTGTAGACGGAGGCAACGGCGTCTGCAGGTCCTGTCATGGAGCAAGAATAAATCGGTTCCATCAGACGCGGAGACGCCATCAAGAATGATGAATAGACGGCTCGTCGAGCTGTGGGAATGATTTGGCCCCCGCCTCGGTAAATTGCCTGATCGGCTAGGGAGACGTCTGTGAGCCTAAATTTGGCGTTTCGAATAGCTGTGGGATAGCCGTTAGTTTCGAGAGAACAATCATAAAGAAATTAGGCACGTACGCTCTTCACACAGAGGACCTTCTCGGGTGCCCCAACTGAAGCCTTGTGTTATAGAATCCCGGACACTCCCCAGAAGTTTCTTGTCGACTTGTGAAGGTAGGGTATCATCCTGTAGTATGTTTGGCCCCATCTCGTCCGGGCCAAAAGCCCATATACTTCTCGCAGCAAGTTTATCCCAATCGTACTTTTCCTCAAAGAACTTGGCCACCTTGCGTATCGGATCTTTGATACTGACTCGGCCGCTTTCAATGTCTTCAGCTATCCCATCGTCCAAGGGCTCGGCAATCATTGTGATCTTGTTCAGTTTGTTTGGGGTGATTGAATAGCACATGATGGCTGACGTCTCAACCACAGTTTCGCAGAATCGAGTCACAGGGTCAGAGACCTTGATTTCCATTTCTGAAAAGAGTCTTCGGAGATCATGAAGCACGCAATCCATATAGAGCTCTCCTGTTCCTAGGACAATATGTTCGCCTGATTCCTCAACCTTTGTTGAGATAAGAGGGTAACTCTTATTGACCTTCCGAAGACCTTCGAGCATTTTCGGGAGTTCCGATGGATTGACAGGCTCAACGGCAACCTTGAACACAGATTCAGTCATGTGTCGGATGGGTCTGAAGATATGTGCCTCCTCATTGTCTTCAAACTTGGTGGACACAAGGGTTGCCGTCTTGACGATAGAGTTATCCACACCTCCTAGGAGGACTAAATTTCCAGCCGTGACACCACTAGTTGGGATGTTGTATCGTGTCTCGGGAATCCATGTCTCCGAGATGGTGGCATTCACCATATCTTCCTCATCATCAGGGGTGTATCCCTCGCCGAGAACCCGAACCGGCAATCCTGGCCGGGCTGTGCCGCTCAGTATTTTGCCTAGAGCGTGAAACCGCGAGGCATCTGTGCTTGAGAGAAGCTTTGTAACGTGAACAACGAGTGGACCGTCCGGATCGCATTTGGCCATTGCAGTAGCCACCTTGGTGTCCAGCGGCCCTGTATAGTATCGCTCCAGTGCCCTCTTTGCGCCGTCCACGGGAGATGGAATATGTTGTAAAACCATGTCTACAAATCCTGTGGCAGGACCAAAGAACTGTTCGCATACTAGATCGAGCAGAACTTTGGCATCTGACTTGAGCTGTGAGGGTTTCAGGCTGATGCCAACGCTAGCGAGCGTCTCCTTCAAATCCTCTGGGCTCTCACTAAGAGTGTGCGAGTAAAGTTTGTAAATGGGCTCCAGAACGAACTTGACAAACGTCCGTTTGGAGTTCTCCTCTACTCCTTTGCGTGTGAACTTTCGGCTTTTCGGGTTGAAAAAAATGTCTCCCCAGAGACGTCGAGCAAAATCCGACGTCTCTATCTGGGGATAGGTCTGGGCGTACATTTGGGCAAATGACTCCAGCGTGAAGCACCATTTCATTGAAGCGCAAGCAAAAGCGACATTGCCTTTCTCAGGACTTAATCGCTTCTTTTCGCCCTGCCCGGGCAGGACATTTTCAATCATAGTGTTGACTTCTTCAATCACATGTTTCAGCTTGAAATAGGCATCGCTGGGCGGTATCTTGAGTTCGAGAATCAGCCTATCCATCTTGCTCACCACCATTGTCAACGGCAGATCCTCCAAGACTGCGTGCTTGATGATTTGCTCCGTATTTGCCTGCACCCCTTCCACAACATCGACGATGAGAACGACACCGTCGACGAGTCGAGATGAGGCAGCAACCTCATCCACAAAATTCACATGTCCCGGAGTATCGATAATGTTGAACAGGTGCGATTTACCCTTTGTGTTCTGTAGAACCAAGCTCATGGGCGCCGATTTAATAGAGAGGCCTCGCTCTCTCTCCAAGTGGTGCACGTCCGTATATCGAAGTTGTTCCTCCCTTTTCCTCCCTGTCTTCCTGTCAAGCCGTTCGGCAAAGTCGTGTGTCTGCATAACAAGCATATCCATAAACGCGGTTTTTCCATGGTGCAAGTGTCCAACAAGCGCTACATTCCTTACTTGGTCGGGGAAGTTGAGCAAATCTGTCATAAACTCGCGCGAATAGAAAACCGGTGGCAGCTCGCTCTCTTCGATAGAGAATTTCTTCTGTGTGACGGGAGCAATTATAGGTTCTGAGAGGGGCTGGGCGTCCTCTTCTTGTACCAAGGTCTCGACATCGGTGCCATAGACCTGTTGCGCGCTGGGGTAGTATTGTTTATCTTCGTGTAGGATAACGGCATTGGAAGGACCTTCTGTCACGCGGCATAACTGTCAGGGAAAAAAAGTCATCGCGTTTGAATGAGGACAGCGCACCGTCTACTTCCATCAATTCCTGCTCAGCCGTATCTTCATCCTCGTCTGCACCGAAAGCCTCATCATAGTCGAAGGCCTGCGGCTTGGATCCATCGTGCTGAAGCTCTTCGTCCGACTCTGCGGCGTCGCCGATGTAGTTACCAAACCTAGTGGACCTGTCAGCGCAAGACACAAATAAGGACTTTGAGAGTCAAAGTCGACTTCTCGCATGCTTCGGACTAACTCATCATAAAGATCATCCATTGTGTTGTCTGGGGAGATGCTCCAGGTGCACCGAAGCTGTTAAGGCTGATGGTGCATTACTTTTTTCGAGCCAGTACAAGCTCTTCGGGGTAACTTCAGGAACTTCTGCCGCCGAGCTTGGCGTTCCGGTTTACTACACGGTACTCTCTGTCACACCCCACCACCGGTGGCCGACACCGCTTCGCTTGTCCTCCTCAATCTGTTCAATTTTTGGTTTATAAAAGGGAGCTAGGCTCTTGTTTGCGATTCCTCATCTCAAATCGCCTGTCCAATTCACCTTCGCGTCCCTCGTTCCTTCGTGGCTTAAAAGCTTAACCACAAAGTTTCATACCAGCCCCGCACATAACGAATCTTCCAATTTGCCTCCCAGCATGGCTTCTCTTCCTCCCGTCTACATTGTGTCCTATGCCCGTACTCCTGTCGGTGGATTCCTAGGGTAAGAATGCCGACATGCTTGCTGCATTGCATCCCCAACCGGACGCTGACTTGCTTCCTTACAGTTCTCTCTCCAGCCAGACTGCCCCGCAGTTGGGTTCTCATGCGATCAAAGGTACGAACGTTCGCTTTCAGGCGCAAGGTGCTTCAAGCTTTCTAACAGGCGATTCAGCTGCTGTCGAAAGAGCCAATGGTATTAAGCCATCCGACGTTGAGGAGGTGTTCTTTGGAAATGTTCTGTCCGCAAAGTAAGTATTAGAACGTGCCCCAGGCTATTGACTTTTACTTACATTGTCTGAACAGTGTCGGTCAAAATCCCGCTAGACAATGTGCCCTTGGCGCTGGCCTTGAGGCTTCCACAATTTGCACTACAGTCAACAAGGTTTGCGCTTCGGGCTTGAAGGCTGTCATTCTGGGTGCTCAGACTATCATGACCGGAAACGCCGACATCGTTGTGGCTGGTGGAACCGAATCTATGTCGAACACTCCTCACTACCTTCCCAACCTTCGCACCGGGGCGAAATATGGAAACCAAACCATGGTCGACGGAATCGTAAAGGATGGCCTGACGGATGTCGGCAAGCAGGAACTTATGGGTCTGCAGGCAGAGGAATGTGCTCAAGACCACGGGTTCAGTCGAGAGGATCAGGACAACTATGCCATCCGCACTTATGAGAAGGCCCAGGCTGCTCAGAAGGCCGGCCTCTTTGACGATGAGATTGCTCCCATCGAGCTGCCAGGATTCAGGGGCAAGCCAGGTGTTACTGTCTCGCAAGACGACGAGCCCAAGAACGTAAGTACTGACAGTATCGACGTGTCTGTATCCGAAGCGCTGACATTGGTTCTCAAAGCTTAACCCCGATAAGCTTCGTGCTATGAAGCCCGCCTTCATTCCTGGAACTGGAACCGTCACCGCCCCTAACTCCTCTCCTCTCAACGATGGTGCCGCTGCTGTCGTCCTTGTGTCTGAGGCCAAGCTGAAGGAACTCAACCTGAAGCCAGTTGCAAAGATTCTTGGATGGGGTGATGCCGAACAACAGCCCAGCAAATTCACAACTTCCCCTGCGCTTGCGATGCCCAAGGCTCTCAAGCACGCCGGCGTGTCACAGGATGACGTTGACGCCTTTGAGATCAACGAGGCATTCAGTGTGGTTGCCCTTGCCAACATCAAGTTGCTTGGGCTTCCCGCAGAGAAAGTGAACATCCACGGTGGTGCCGTGGCCATTGGCCACCCTCTGGGAGCCAGCGGTGCCCGTATTCTTTCAACCTTGCTTGGAGTCCTGAAGGCTCAAAAGGGCAAGATTGGCTGTGCGGGTATCTGCAACGGAGGTGGCGGCGCCAGTGCTCTGGTTGTTGAGTACCTTGCCTAGATGACGACCTCGGTGTTGACTATGGCGCCTTGTCGCCGCTACAAAATATTAGAGTCACGATGGCTCTGTCATGACGTTACGCATTGTGAGATTATGGATCTTTTGCATGGATACCTACCATCGTATAGGCAGTAGAAGAGATAAAGTGGATATACTTATATTAATTTATATATTGTTGCGAGGTCGATTTTTGTACCCTCTAATGACGGATCATACACATCTAGAGCCAAGAGCGACGAATAGACTAAAAATGGCTCGGATATGTTCGAGTTCACTTATCTGTGCATACACAGTGTATATTAGTATATGATTTGTTCTGTTACCCTGTGCCCTGAGCTATCGTGCCACAGGGTAACAATATACCACTGAGAATCGAGAAAGTACTCCAAATAACGTTTGTCAGAAATCGATCATTTCCACATGGTCCAGGCGGCCTCGGAGAAAGGGATGCCTCGCATCCTTGTGAACTAGCATTATGCGCATACTGTTGGTAGTTAGCTGCCACTGCGCCAAGCTGGAGGAGGAGCAACCCCGATCCGATTCCAGACATTACGCCAACATTATAAGACGTCTGAGAAGTCGGACTTCAATCTTTTGCGGTCCTCTGCACTATGTGGACGAAGCGGAAGACCCAGCCCTTGACGGCAAACAACTAGTATGCAGTGTCGCACACGTGTGGGCTCCCAAGGTATGATTTCTATAAGATGGTGTAGAACCAAAGAATCCAAGCATATAGTATATACGAGGTAATCTATAGACTAGGACATCGTAGTGAACTTGAAATCCGAGTTCCAACCTAGGCAAACGCACCCACAAATGCCATTAATAGAGCACCAGCAGCAACAGCTATACAAGCCTCAACCCGGCGCTGGCCTCGTAACGTAACATAACTTGCTTCGCTCAAGAAGTCCTCAGCCAGAAGTTCGACCAACCCGGCGAAAAGCAGAAGCCCGCTGCTGATTGCATTGGTAATGCCAACCATAAGAAGACCCGTAGCGCTGGCTGGGTCATACATATTGTGTAGAACAAGGCCGATGGCCTGACCAATTGGCGTTGTAGCCCCATAGGCGAGGGACATGAGCCAAGGTTTCACGGAGGAAGGAGGAAAGAGATCCGGAATCAGAGATGCGATTCGGGAACCGAGGGCGAAGCCCTCGAATGTCTGGTGGAAGCAGATAGCCACTAAAAGGACAACGAAAGATGTGCCTGTTGCAACGCTAACAGCCATTCCGATGAATATGCTGTGGAAGAGGATGCCAGCCTCAAGCAAGAGACATTGCAAAAGCTGCCGCTGCGGGTTTTGCATTGATAACTTGGGATCTATGTGAGACATTCCCGACTGGGAGCGGTGATGGTGGGAATGCGAGGTATGGCGGTGGTTTCCGTTAACGCGAGGAATTCCATTTCTGCCGCTGTCTCCGCGGTCCATATCCTCATCCTCTTTGAGGAGATTTGTTGTAGCGCCCTCTGGATCGAGCTCATCAGTCGAATTCTGCGTGTGCAAGTCGTACCTTTGGGTGGTCGACGAAGGCGTGCGAATCTCAGGCATTGGTGAAAGATTGATATTATCTGTTGATCCCATTGCGTGAAGACGCGAGTAGTTCTGATCCCCATTTTGGTCGTCACCGGGTAACTCGGTGCCTTCGCCCATTAATTGGTCATACTCGCTCCCATGGACATGGCCAGCCCCCTTCATAGCAAAAAACATCTCGACCAAGACGACGACAAAGACTGATATCATTGCAACAAAGCCAGGCATAGCGCGATATGTTTCACTCCAGAACCGGGGAAGACATGGGTCCGTTAGCGACACAAATGCCGTGGGGAGTAGATGGACGAATGCTGTCGCAATCAAAACGCCCGTTCCGAAGTGGCGAGATAAGAAGAGAAACCGGCGGGGAATAGGTAGACTCGGAAACCGGCGAGCAAGGATGGGGAAAGAACATGCTTTTGTTTGTGAGTATAACATTAGCTGGAGGTAACCGAACAGAGCACGGTACTAACATACCTAGAGTGCTTAGTATAAGGATGAGAAAAAGCGCCATCACATGAACTGGAGTGTTGTAGGCGCCTTGCTTGCTTGAGCCACATGTTGGCTTGGCTTCGTCCGTATCACGATATACATTTCTTCTGTAGAGTTCGTCTCGGAGGAGGGCGTCTGGTATTCCTGAAAGCTGAGATCCTATGATAGCTAGTTAGCATTGGTCTCTAGCCCAGAAAATGCTCCATGAGTTACCGAAAGTGCCCATATCCGCATGCCGTGACATCATGAAGCTGTTTATATCTGATTACTTATTGTATGCCTCTTGAATTTCCGTCACATCCATGACCAAAAGGCGATTCAAGCCAATAAGAGTGTGTTAGATGGCACGGTGACCAGGCATCGAAACATGAAAGCAAAGGGTATTAACCGAGTAAAGGCGCAACTACTGAGTGCAATCCAGAAGGAAACGTGAATTTGGCTCTCATAGACCGAAAGTAGGCATGACGGGGATGGTGGGTTGCGAACGTGGGCCTGGACTTTTTAAGACTTGAGAGAACACACGTTGCTCCCAACACTCCGAGCTCCGGATACACTATCTTATCAATCAGCCAATCGGCTTAGTAAGGTCTTCGGCCCACCCGACCGGAGCCTAACTACAACTACAAACCAATGACAACTTGAGCCCTTGGTTCAAAACTACTACCAACATAGTACAGCAGGAAGAAGCATACTACGTAGTATAGATGTCGTGTCGTTCAAGGATTGAGTATAGCAATTATCTAGTTCTAAGGTTAGTCCAGCCACTGGTCCCATTTGACTGATGGGGATTACTATGCGCATTAGTAAAAACAAGAGAATCTGTGCATGAACCACGAACATTGTTTGAACCGTTTCCAGATTGGCGAGCGGCATTCCATTCCTTTTCCTCCACCACTTCCCATTCAGCGCTGGTTATTTCACCCATCAGGGTAGATTTCAGCCTGTCGGTAACCTTTGTTGGAGCTGGTAATCTCCAGTTTCGGATGAAGTCGGTCCCTTCAGACGCACCCAAGAAAGAGTGCGCGGTGCCATGCGAATAGTGACCAAGCATAGGGAAGGATTTAGTTCGGTGAAGGGTGGTCCTCGGGGAGTCCTTGGGGGTCTTGTTTTTGGCTTGAGTATCGCGACTGGCAAGGGTCCTTATCAAAGTGGACGGGTTTCCCGGGGGTGCAACGAGAAGCTGCCACAGATTTTTTCCAATGTCGCAAACATCCTCCCAGGAATCAGATCCGTGATTAAGACCCTGGCTGCGGCATAGCCAGGATACGTTCCAGGCTAGTAATGCGACTCCTTCTATGAAAAAGCCATATGTCCTAAGATCATCCTTTGCCACCTCAGACAGCTTTTTTTTGATACAAAGCGGTCGAGGCCGATGTGGGGGAGGATGCCTATCAACATCCCGGGATGTTGAGCCAGATGACGATGACTGGTTTGACGGCACCGAGGCTGTCTCTCGCGCATGATACGATGCGGATGGAGTGTATATGGTTGGTGTAGGATAATTTCTGTGTGGAAGTGTAATCTCCGCGGGTAGCCTTAGAGACAAATAATGCGAGACGAGCACAACCATGTGGGCTATGTAGGAAAACGAAGTTGAGAGTTCTTCGGCATTGGCACCTGTTCGAGTATTAGCTTTCAAGGTAGACACAAAGAGAATAGGGAGAGCTTCCCATTCAAGTCCCTAAGGTCGAAGATGTTGACACCTCCAATCATGTAGGATTCCTTGAGCCCATTGTCCCGCTTTCTGACCTTCTGCCTTAGGCCGTAGAGGCTGGCGACTTCTCGGCATAGGAATATCCGGGCTTCGGCTGTTTTCGTATGTAGAGAGTTCCAGAGATGATCCGTCCTCTTGTGATTGTTTTGGATACTGGTCAGTGCTCCTGTCTCGCGTTCGGCGAGTTGATATTTGGCGGATTCCGAGTCGGAGCGCCGTCGGGCTAGTTCTAGCCTGCGTTTTGAGATATCAACATTCCTATTCTGAATCTCGGACCGTAGGCTTTCAATCTGGGTGGCAAGCATCTTAATTCTCCCAGCAGACTGGGCTTGCATACTGCCAATACTCTGTAAAGTCCAAAGCTTGGAGCTTCCATTCTCCGACACAGCATCATGTTTCCCTAGCTCGGTTGAGATTTTCTCTGCGCTTGACTTGTATGCCACGGCATCTTCGATTTGTTGGCCCAGATTTTCCTTCTCCAAGAGGACGCTGGCGCTTTCGAGGCGTACCTGATAGAGTGAGCTGCGGGCACACGTTGAGCAAAAGAGGCGTAAGCGTGAGGTGTGAGCACGAGCACATATGTCGCAACTCATTTCAGGAGACTTGCAGTACTTTAATCGGGTTTCGCGGCGATGATAGTTCAGGGACCGGAGTCATCAGGTATTGGTTAGTTGTCCAGCTGCTCAAACAGGGACCCATGTGTGATGGCTGGAAAAGCAGAAGAGGTGCATGGGAGCAGCGATGTATCATGGCTTTCTCCAAGTATATTTTGGAAAGATCGTGGATGCGCAGGCGGTATCGGGTCGTGTTGAATGGAGTAAGATCGATGCAAGTGATCGACTTGAAAGGCTCGCCCGGCTCCTTGAAGACGTCACCTGATAGTGCCTCAGGCATACAAGTGACCTGACCCAGGCTGGCCTCTCATTGTTCGAGAACTCGTCTGGCAAGGAGTCAAGGCAAGATGCTAGCTAGGTTTATGAATCCAACAAATAAAGAGCCATAGGAATTAAGACATAAAACGGGGATGTATGACTGTAAAACATTGGCGATAACAAAGCAAGAAACTACCAGGTACATCAACGAGGCGCGCCAAATCTGCGTTGAACTAGATTTTCCCCGACTCGAACAAACAATCAATCTACTACTAGATCTATCTCAGACGCAGCTCTTCCGGCGCACTGAAACTTTACACCCGAAACAGACTACTGCGCAACCGGATGGTCGAAAGGATATTGACTCTTGAATGTGGAGAAGTGATGCTGAGCTGTTGTTGATTTGGCGGAGTTTCAAGTCACAGAGACAGTATCAGCAGAGAAAAGTCCAAGTCGCCCTGACATACTGACCTGAACTCATTGACGGACGACAAGTCCTACACTCAACAATCACTATGGGTGCGGGGGATAAGACACAAACACCCTCTCGCATCCCTAGCCGGAAGTCTGAGGCAACTCAAGCAAAACTCGCGACTACCACTGAGGCGCGTGGTCCTTCCGAAAATGAATCGCAGCTCAAAGAACGCATCAAGGACTGTGACTGGTCTGAGCTAGAAAGCAGCTACATGCAGATGATGGAAGAACATGAAAAGGCCGAGGGGGAATTAAGAGATCAAATCACAAAACTGCTTCAGGTACTTTGCAACAAGCTATCCTTAGGCGCATCATGCTAACCATACTGTTTAGATTTTTACATCTTGGTCGCAGACCACCGTCGCCCATGATGAGACTAGGGCTCTGAAAAGGTTGGTCAACCACTTCGCCGAATGTTTTCTACGTTGACGCAATGCTAAAACTGTCTTCAGGTTCAGGACGCAGATGAATCATGTTCAAAATTCCGAGGAAAGCTTGGAGAAGAAGAGAAATCATTGTATGTCGTTCACTTCAATCATTGAATGGCCAGCTCTGACAACTGCATACAGACATGGATGTTGTAAAGGCATTTGAAAGTGCACTTGCGCTCTTAAATGATCGGGTCAGGCCATGAATGCATCGAGTGCGACTCCTCGAGGGGTATATTATCGATACTTGTGCATGTGTCGAGTCAACAGATCGAGCAGAGCCGGGGTGGTGATATTTGAGAATCATATTGTAGCGACTGCAAAAGCCACCAAACATTATATTATAAAGTAACGAATTAATGGTGCTAATACACTCGGTTTTTTTCTCTCTTTCTCTCTTAAACTTCGTCACGCCTGCTGGCTCTGCCTATAACATCCTGCCACTGAGTATCGGCACGTCTTCTATTACTTGCCAGAAGAGCCTCCTCCTCCGCATTTTCCGCATCCTCGTCAAGCTGCCGTTCGTCCAGTTTTGGAGATCGTAGAAGAGAAGTGACCAAAGCAAGTAGGTGGATACCTGTGAGTAGTAGATGCATTAGTGGTGGCTTTGGTTTATCTTGGGCTGGGATGCAAGATACCAAGAAAGGCAAACTGGGCCCAGAAGAAGATTACACCGAAGAACGGAAAGCGTATTGTCAGTCGATTGAGAAGCGTACTGGCAACGCTAGGGGTGCAAACCGCTCGGGCTGCCTCGTTACCAATTGCTTCCGAGCAAGGTTTGACAGAGTGTTTGGTCTCCTGACAGTCGGGTAGTCTTCCAGACGAATCAGGTGAGCGATCACAAAATGTTTGAGGCCCAAAAGTTGCATACTGAGGGGCAGCAACCATGGTTATCGTGTAGTTAAGCGCCAGTATTGACAGCATCAACATGGCTGTCATCAACAATAGGGCCTGTGGGGAAGTATGCCCTTTGCGAACCTGAAAGATGTTGATCCATAAGAATCGGATACCAACGGTAGCAATGCCAACCACAGAGCCGAAGAAAAAGATCAGCACAAGTATGGTGAAGATCAAGTAGTCGATCGGAAACACTTTAGCCGACTGAACGAAAATTTGGTTGATCGGGTTGAAGATGTTGATATGTCCGAGTATGTACCCGCACCGATGCTTGCAAATTGAGTTCTTGGCCTTGTCAATTGCCGTTAAGAGCATAGAAATCCAAGTCAATAGCACGACCAACAATAGTAGTACACCTCCCAAGAGCTTGAATGGGCGGAAGATAGCTTCAAGCCTGTACCATGCTCTCATAAGAAGGCTCTGAGATTCCCCTTCAGCTTCTTCCGCCAGGCGCTGCCTTCTAATCAGTGTTCTCTCTTCTCGTACCAGAGCGTCCAGCTCTCTGCGGTCTTTGGAGGACAAATGGTCATAATTGCCCCCGCATCGACCTTCTAGCTGTCGCTGGCGTTCTCTGTTCGACTCGAGCTGTACGACAGAGTTTGCCTTGAAATTCTGGTTTGATACGGAAGGGCCGCCCTTGATAAGCCGAACAGGAAGAACGGCAAGCCCTGTCGAGGTATGTAAAACAAATACACACATCCCAATCGTGGTTAACAGACCAACAGCAAAAGTCAGAGCGCGCTCGCCGCCTAAAAGAACGGTCAGCACCTAGAAGCAGCAGATTTTCGAGGTTACTTACGGTTCTCCGTGAGCAGTCTCTTGAAAAAGTCTAATCCATTGTCGTCATCAGATTTGGAAACGGGCACGAAGAAGCCGACGAGAAACAAAATGATCAATATGGCAACAAAGGACAGTGTATATTTGAAAGCGCCCCAGAATCGTTGTCCGAAGCTTTGTTCTCCTGTTTGAGCAGCCACTTCATCATACTCTTCATACCAAAAGTAGATAAATGGAATAATGAGAAGACAGAGGAGAATGTCCACGGAATATAAAAAGTAGTATACAAGGGTCAGAGAGAAAATAATTTTATCCACTACCTCTTGGCTTGCCCAGTCTTTCCGCTGACCGACGGCAGTAGAGACAGTGGAGGAAACCAGTGCAACATCAACAGGTAGTAGGAGAGTGGTCGCAAGAAGACATGCGATTGCGATAATACAAGTCACAGTCACTGATGGGGAGCGGTCGCGAGGAGTCTGATAAACATAGACGAAGACGGAGGCAACCGTGAATAGAACAGCCACCACGATCGCATAGACGACCCAGATAAGAGACGTCTGTAAGAGAGTCATGATGCGACCAATGAAGCTCTAATGACTCTGGTCCTCAGGAGATGTAGCCGGACGTTGTCAAGTCGATGCTTGAGGAGGACTTGCTTCGCGTTACGTCATTGGCTCTTGAATAGTGAGCTCTGATCACGTGCCCACGCGGAGCTCTTCTGGGGCCAGTCGTGCGGAGTCGGAAAATATGCAGTCGGAACAGCAACGGAGGCTCCGAAGTTCTTCACAGCAATAATTCCTTAATGATTTATTACGATTGATGATATTGCGACTCTTAACTCTTATACCACGCGGCTCTCTGAATTCCACCTTTGTTTCTCGGGCGATGTCGTCGCGCGCGCAACTTAGTCTAAGCGGAATAGCATAACCTGCCCCGACGGGGTCCCACGAATTTCAACCGCGATGCAGTGCTATACTGAATTACTCCCCCCGACGGGAGTCACTCATGCATTGGCCGTGCCCTTTCTCTCCGTAACGGCCAGTAACCTGATCGTTGCCCGGACGTCGCAGCTTCAGATATTTTCCGTGCGCACTGTCCCGTCTCGCTCAGAGAAACCGGATTCCGGATTGATTCACCAAGGGCAAAGCACGGACAAGCTGGTCTTGGAAAGGGAATACTCGTTGCCTGGAACAATAACGGATCTTTGCCGCGTCAAGATCCTGAATACCAAAAGCGGCGGAGAGGGCGTACTTATTGCCTTTCGTGATGCTAAACTTAGCTTGATCGAGTGGGATCCAGAGCGTTACGGCATCTGCACCATCTCAATTCACTATTATGAACGCGATGATATGACCCGTAGTCCATGGGCATCTGACTTGGCCAACTACGGCAGTATACTGAGCGCAGACCCGAGCAGTAGATGCGCGGTTTTCCAGTTCGGGGCTCGAAACCTCGCCATTATACCATTCCACCAGGCAGGAGATGACCTAGTGATGGACGAATATGGAGCAAACCTTGATGACGAGAATCTAGAAAGCGGTGGCTCAAAGATTCGCGATGAAACTAAAGACAAAGTCGCTACTGCACATCATACTCCTTATGCTTCATCATTCGTCTTACCATTGACTGCGCTGGATCCATCAATCATTCATCCCAAAAGTCTAGCTTTTCTCTATGAGTATAGGGAGCCAACTTTTGGTATATTGTACTCGCAGGTCGCAACTTCAACGGCTCTACTCCACGAACGGAAGGATGTTGTCTATTACACGGTTTTTACACTTGATTTGGAACAGCGAGCCTCTACAACCTTACTTTCCGTTACTAGACTACCTAGCGACTTGTTCAAAGTGGTGGCTCTGCCACCCCCTGTCGGCGGGTCGCTACTTATCGGATCTAACGAACTCGTGCATGTCGACCAGGCAGGCAAAACCAATGCTGTGGGGGTCAACGAGTTCTCTAGACAGGCATCTTCTTTCTCTATGACTGATCAATCAGACTTGTCTCTACGGTTGGAAAACTGTGTCGTGGAGAGGGTTTCTGAGGGTAATGGAGATCTGCTTTTAGTCCTCTCCACCGGGAAAATGGCGATTGTTAGCTTTAAGCTTGACGGGAGGTCAGTCTCTGGAATCTCTGTTGTTCTCCTAGCAAAGAAAACAGAATCTTTCATGTCTTCTACCGCCTCGTCCTCTGCTTTCCTCGGTGACGGGAGGGTCTTCTTTGGTAGCGAGGATGCGGATTCCGTGCTTTTGGGTTGGCCACATGCTTCTTCGTCCACGAAGAAGTCCAAATCCCTGGCGAAACATACGGCGAATGCTTCAGGAGACCTCTCGGACGATAGCGATGATGACGTCTATGAGGATGATCTCTATTCTTCTGCGCCTGACACAACAACGAACAATCGACAGGCTCAGGCGATCAATTCTTCTTCCGCAGGGTTGGAAAGTCTACAGGTTCACGACAGGCTGTTTAGCCCTGGTCCTATACGCGACATTGTGATGGGAAAGAACTCCGCAGTCATTACGGACGGCGGGCAATCAGAGAACAAGGTATCTGATCTTGAACTCGTTGCAGCGCAGGGCTCTGATGAGGGTGGCGCATTGGTAGTTATGAATCGGGAAATTGACCCATTGGTTCTTGATTCAATGCGCACGGATTCAGCGGATGCTCTCTGGACGGTCTCTATAGCCCAACCCCTAGGCGGTGACAATGAGCAAAGATATCGCGACTTTGTCATATTATCAAAGCAAGAAGGTGCCGACAAGGAGGAATCTGAGGTGTTCATCCTAGAAGATGGATTGAAACAATTCCCGGCGCCAGAGTTCAACCCTAACCACGACTTGACTGTAGAAATCGGAGCTTTGCCGAGCAAGAAAAGAGTGATTCAGATCTTACGGAATGAGGTCCGAAGTTATGATGCTGGTAAGTCGCTGTCATAAAAAGCCACCAAATAGAAGCTAATTCGACTAGACCTGGGGTTGGCCCAGATTTATCCTATATGGGATGATGAGACCAACGAAGAACGGGTGGCTGTCAGTGCCAGTATTGCGGATCCTTATCTGGCTATCATACGTGACGATTCATCGTTATTGCTACTCCAAGTCGATGAAAGCGGTGATCTAGATGAAGTGGCGGTACCGGAAGATGCCGCCGCTCGAAAGTGGCTGTCCGCTTCCATATACCTCGACAAGAATGGCCTTTTCGCGTTTTCAAAGCCTAATACATCCAACTCGCCCGAGGGCAGCACGGTTTTATTCCTGCTGAGTCAAGATCACCAATTATTTGTGAGTTTGTGAGAACTTTGCCTGGATTGCCAGCTAATGCTCGTGGATTGAACTAGATATACCAATTGCCAGACCAAAAGCTTGCCTCAATCATTGAAGGTGTCAGTTGCTTGCCGCCTATCCTGTCGACTGAGCTACCGAAACGATCTACTACGCGCGAGCGTTTGGTACAGGTAACTGTTGCAGACCTCGGTGATCTCTGGAGCAGTATGCCCTACCTGATTGTACGCTACTCAATCCCCGCTAGTAGACATACGCTAATTTAGACCGATTAAAGTTGCGGACCGAGACCGATGACATCGTGGTGTATAGACCGTTCCTCGGTACCTCTCCCGGCGAGGAACCAGGTGGCCTCAAGTTCTTTAAAGAGTCGAACCATGTTCTTCCAAGTATTCCTACCAAGGCAGATGACGAGCAGTCAAACTTGAAGCCTCTTCGCATTCTAACGAACATCTCGGGGTACTGCACCATCTTCCTGCCTGGGCCGTCAGCGGGGTTTGTCTTTCGGACTCCAACGGCTTCGCCTCATTTTATGCGTCTAAGAGGTGGTCATGTCGGAGGCCTTGGGTCCTTCAGTAGCCCCGATAAAGGATTCGCGTATCTTGACTCGAATGTGCGCTATCTTTCCCACAGATGTTGGCTGTTCTTACTAATCTTGGGTCTTAGGGTGTCGTCCGGCTCGCAAAACTGCCTAGAGAAACACAACTAGGACACCCATGGACAATGAGAAGGGTGCCGATAGGGGAGCAGATTGATCAGCTAACGTATTCCTCTGCTTCTGAAACGTACGTCCTGGGTACCTGCACGCGAGCCTCGTTCAAATTACCAGACGACGATGAGTTACACCCCGAATGGCGGAACGAAGGTTGGTACTATGCATTACTTCTCTCTTTGGTCCTGGGCTAATCAGCACAAGTGATATCTTTTTTACCTGAGGTGGATCAAAGCTCTCTGAAAGTTGTCAGCCCCAAAACATGGTCTGTGATTGATAGGTATGTATCCTGGCCGAATTATGAGCTCAGAAGCTGACGTTTCTCAAGTTATTCTCTCGATCCCACCGAACACATTATGGCCATGAAGACCATGAGCCTTGAGGTGTCTGAGAATACACATGAACGCAGGGACATGGTTGTGGTAGGCACTGCAATCACGCGCGGTGAAGACATACCTTCGCGGGGCTGCATATATGTCTTTGAGGTGATCAAAGTGGTCCCTGACCCGGAGCACCCGGAAACAGACCGTAAGTTGAAGCTTATCGGCAAAGAACCTGTCAAGGGAGCCGTGACGGCACTCTCCGAGATTGGTGAACAGGGCTTCCTGATCGCCGCTCAAGGACAAAAGTGTTTAGTTAGAGGCCTCAAGGAGGACGGGTCCCTTTTACCGGTTGCATTCATGGATATGCAATGCTATGTTAGCGTGACCAAGGAGCTCAAAGGAACCGGAATGTGTATCCTAGGAGATGCCGTCAAAGGTATCTGGTTTGCAGGCTACTCGGTACGTTTCTCTATGCCCACCCCAGCATGAAAGATAGAACCCGTATTGACAGATATACACCCTGCAGGAGGAGCCCTATAAAATGAGCCTCTTCGCCAAGGACCTCGATTATCTCGAGGTATCAGCGGCAGACTTCCTCCCGGACGACAACAAGCTCTTCATCGTCGTCGCCGACAGCGAATGCAATCTCTACATCCTCCAATACGATCCTGAAGGTAGGCGCCCGCGCGGTCACACCGCTGGAAAGACCCCAATGGTATTCTTTTGATTCTAACGCACTCCCCAAAGACCCCAACTCCTCCAACGGCGACAAACTCCTCAACCGCAGCAAATTCCACACAGGCAACTCCATCTCAACCGTAACCCTCCTCCCGCGCACCCTCGTCTCCTCCGAGCGCGCCATCTCCGGCTCCAGCCCAGACGACGAAATGGACATTGACAGCGCCGCCCCGCTCCACCAAGTTCTCGTCACCTCCCACAACGGCTCCATCGGCCTCGTCACCTGCGTCCCCGAGGAATCCTACCGCCGCCTCTCGGCTCTCCAGTCTCAACTCACTAATACGCTCGAACACCCCTGCGGTCTGAACCCCAGGGCGCACCGCGCTGTTGAGAGCGATGCCAGTGCCGGAAGGGGCATGCTTGATGGCAACTTGCTCTTCCAGTACCTGGATATGAGCAAGCAGCGAAAGGCCGAGATCGCTGGGCGGGTTGGCGCGAAGGAGTGGGAGATTAGGGCGGATCTTGAGGTTGTTGGCGGAGATGGGCTTGGGTACCTTTGATTGATGAAACTGAAAAAGGCAGATACTTGCTGAGCGTGGTTGGAGCAATTGGCGGGATTTCTACTAATCTGGGCTGTTTTCTAACATATCTGAGGTTTTCGTGTAATGAACAAAATATATACTAGACCGCGTATGCCTACCTACATATGCTTCCTTATACATTCGTTTCTGCATTATTATTCGATCTCCAAGAACCTTCTTTTTTTTTTTTTTTTGTTTCATTAAATGAACATTTTTACCTGCTTTCCTGCCTGCTAGCGTCTATGACCAACACAACGGGTTCCCAGCCCTAATGCAATTACATCACAGTATTTACTTTTCCAGTCACCTAACCCTTGAGCCCGAAAACCAGAGCCGGGGTATGCAAGGCCAAGAAAGATGAACAACGACGGGATGCAAGGGAAGAGAAGAAGTAGAAGGGATGATTTTTTCAGGTAATATATGCCTCAACGGCCAGCCGAATATTGCTATGCTAGATCATGCTTTTCTTCTCCGTCTTCAGGCAACCCAGGCCTGGGAGAAACAGGCACGATCATTATGATATATGATATGCATCTGAGAGGAGACCAGAATAGCTCCTTTCGCAAACATTGCGCAGATCAGATGAGAATAGATAGACACGAACGGAAAAAAATAAATCGGAGAGGGAAAGCAAGAAATGAGGCCCAGGGGGTAATCCAGTAGACTCCATTGCGCCACCCGAACCACCCAGTAGTCGTTCCCATAACCGTACATGCCCGGCAAAAATAAAGACATCAAATCATGGTACGTGAAGATCTCCGAAACATATATAAGGTCCATCCAGATGGACACATGGCCCCAAAAAAAATAATGAGGCCCAGCGTAGTAAAGCATGAGAAGAAAAAGCACGCCCGAGGAGTATAAGACGTTGCTTCAGAATACGTCTTCTGCAGCAAAGTATCGCTTGCTCTGACCTCGGGCCGTCACGTACTTCATCTGCGGCATATTCGTATGGTGTACCACATGTGGGCGGTACACAGCATCAACAGGTCCCTGCCAGTCTTCTATGGGTAACGGAAAGTATTCATACAACACATCAGCGCTCTCACTTGCGAAAGGCAAGCTTGATGCAAATTGTTGTTGGAAATTCGTGGCGCCCACTAGCGGCACCGTGGCCGATGTGCTTCTTGACTGCGTCTGAGGCGCGACATGAGAAACTTTGCGCATCTTGGCTGGTCGACCAGAAGAGTCAATGCTGAGATTTCTGGACGCGAGGTCATTAGAGAAAGACGACAGAGATCGCCCATGGTCATTGAGATGGATCAGATCCGAGTTATCGTCATCTAGGAGAGATAGGTTGATGGGAGCTGCAACGGAGTTGCTTGTCCGACGGTGGACCTCTGCCGGTCGCGAGAATTCGGGGCTAGATTGCGTGTAAATCGACGAGTGTGGCATCGTTGTAGGAGGAAGTGCTGCAGCCCCCTGAGAAGTAATCTGTGTCCAATCCGGAGAAGCTTGGGATGGGTGAGGCACGGAAGTCTCTGGAGAGCTGCTCTTAACGCCAGCCTTTGCCCTGGCGGACGCCACGCCTGATTGCGGCCCAGAATCGCTGGGTGAGGTGCGATTTATACTAGCTGAAGCGGTATGGGAAGCTTGAGCATTCTTCCGGGAAGCAGCAGCACTGCCACTCAGAGGTAGATCCTTGCGGGATTGGAAATTGCGAGGACTGCGGCCACGGACGATGACCGGTCCGGAGTGTACCTCGCAAATTTGTATCTTTCCGCCAGTGGACAGGGTCGCAATGACCTTCAGCCGGACCACAAAGTGCTGTTGCAGCTCCTTTCTTCGCCCATTGTTGGCAGTCGCGACGCGAAATTGAAGGCGCTTCCAGGCAATTGGGAAAGTCGCGTAGTCGGTATCTAGGTCCTGTCCAGCCATCATGTCCAATGGGATCGCCGGGGGTTCCTTTTCGACCTTAGGAGCGCCGGTGCTTGGGTTATTCCCGTTTGTTGCATCCTCATTGGTAGAATTTCCGTTTGCAGCGGGAGTTTTCCAGGGAACTGAGATGATCTTTACCGAGTTCCCCTCCACAGACTCGGTAGCCGATACGGTTAGCTCCTGCGCGACGATGGGTATCCGATCCCCGGTGTCGGTGATGATATAACGCAAGCCCCGAGGGAGAGTTACTGAGCCAGTAATCTGAAACAGATTTCGACGGTAGCATGTTAGCTCCGCGCCTTGTTGGGGCGGAGCATTCTCCGTCGGAGAAGTAGTCCACGGCGATTCGGCAAGAAAGAACATGCCATGTAGCTGAGCGGAGACTGATATTGAGGTGCGCCGAAAGGAATAGTCGAGGAGTGTGAAAGGATATGACGGAATAGAAAAGCTCAGGAGCTTATTGTTATGATCGATAGACGAGTCGGCAGGCGGCTCAGCGGGAGGCGCGGGATCAAAGGGTGTCACCATGTCCGTGAATGGGTCCTCATATCCAGAGAATCTTTTGAGAGTCTCCGGAGGCAACGTATGATGGGGAAAAGTCAAATCATCTCCGCTAGCAGGAGGGACCGTTAGAGCACAGCATCAGGCACAACCAGGAGAAACCACAAACCTAACGAATGTTTCCGAATCAAAGTTGGAGCGCTGATCTGGGAGGTCCATCCCTGGCAAGGCATTGAGGTAATCCGAGCCCTGGATATTGGCTAGCGAAAGTGGGGAGGCCAGGTACGGCATCGCCATGGTGTCGAAGCCGTCCATGGCAGGGACCTAAAGACTTCGAATTGAGCAGCCGGCGCTGCAAACTGTTGGAGTGGAAGAGGCGCGATGAGGGTTTGGAATCCCAGAAAGAGCGAACTGTCCGACGAGGTGAGAGCGAATGGCGGGATCGCAGAGAGGAGGAGGGGAAGCGAGGAACGGTAAATGTTAGAGAAGAGCGGACATGGAGGAGGGAGATGTTGCAGTAGTATAGAGAAAGGGTCGCAGAAGAGGGAGGAAGGGAAAAAAGCAAGAAAGGTTTGGGAGAATCAGCAGAAAGTATACAGAAGCGTTGGCTGAGGGAAAAGGAAGGCGATGTAGAGCAAGTCTTGAATGGCGCCGAGTGTGGATCGGACACCCCCGAAGTCAGCAAGCACTCCGTATGAAGAGCACGTTAGTGGGGACCGTAGCTAGTGGGAAAGAAGAAATGAGAAGACCCCAGGCAGGAGAACGATCCGGAGAGAGGCTAGCGCTAGGACGAGAGAGGAACAGATAACAGGAAACAAGACGGAGCCGGCGACTGGGGGCGACAAGGTGGAACTGGAGCTAGACAAGACTGAAAGAGCGCCGGCGAGTGGCAGAACTTCGAAAGGCGAGACAGCGAGTGAGTGGGCTGCGAGGAGGGGCGACCAGAAAGCTCAGAGAGTCTGGAAGAGGGGAAACCACAAAGTTCAAACGGCGGCAGAGCTTCTGAGAGGCCAGTCGCGCATCGGGCCTAGTGCGCTTCCAGAGGCTGGTCCAACTTAGACTTTAAGCGGAGTGTGCCGCACACGGCCTTGCTGTTTGCGTGGAATGACCACCAAAACCTGGGCTGCTGGCGGTGGGAGACTTCAAGAGAGCAGGCGCCTATCAATGCTTTGCTACATGTCCATCAGTATCGAGCCTCAAGGCGTACCTATTCAAGAAGAAAGCAGTTCTGCCTGCCCAGTGACTTACGGACCTTCCGTATTAGGCATGGCTCCACCTTGATAGCACTAGCCCAAGTTTATTAATAAGACTCCACTCTGTATGCCTGGGGAAATTGTGTACTCTGGGCTGCAGTCCGCTGCTCTTGCGGCAGGGAAGATAGGGTATAATCATATTGTTATTGCTGTTATTCTTCAAGTCGACGACTAGTGCCGCCGTGCCGGTTAACACAGGTTAAACGCGCACAGAACCTGGGAGATATGCAGGCGGTAGTCTAAATTCTGAATAGCACCTTTTCGAGGCCGCCTGGGACTCGGAACCGTCTGACTCCGGGGGAGCAAGTCCTTGATAGCTCCCCTGGAACCAGCAGCACACCAGGAACCATGGAACAGCAGTCGATATGAAAGCAGCCTCTCTTTCACCTCTTCCTCCTTATTGCACGGTATGGGGAACCCATCCATTCTTTCAGCTGACCGCAAGACTGGATTGGCGCAGATGGGATCGGCGGTGGTCTGGCTGACATGCATGCGATCCTTTGCCCTGAAGTCCCTGAGCGCAAACCTTCACGTCTGCTGCTCCTGGCAAGGGAGTATCCAAGGCGCGTTGCAACTGATGCAGGAGAAGAGTCGGAGAATTCATCCTCCTATGCCTTCCCAGGAGCGCCGTCATGCTGAGCTCATGTGTCTGCCTGAGTGATTTAGCAATTCGCCACGGGGTTCTATCACGCTCACTCCCTTCTGGGACTGTCGCACAGCTTCTTCGACTCTGGATCAGCCGCCATCTGGGGCCCAGCGATTGGCCCGGCATTACCGTCGTTGGATGAAGCTAAAACCAGTTCAGGGCCTTCCTCCTTGCGGTGGCAGCGGTGCTCAACATGTCGTGATCGCCGGCCCTCGGTGCTTTTTGCAAGAGCCAGTCAGTGTTCAGATCCTCCCGGGGCCTAAATCGATGGGCTGCAGAAGCAAAAAGACGCGCCCAATACGACGCTTCGATGCACCCTGCGCAGGATTGCAGGATTGAAGCCCTTGTATCTTCCAGAACATTTCTAGAATCTCACCCAGGAGCCTAGGTCTTGCATGTGATTGCCGCCACTCATAGCAGGCGCCATTATTATTCTAATTACTTCGTCAATTATTCATTATATTATCGGTACTTATTATTACCACAACTCAGTACGTACAGAGCCGGCGATGAAATCACCAGCTCCTCTGTGCGACCCAAGGTGCTTGACTTTCTTGACTTGTCTTGACTCTTTGACCGTCTCGTCAAGACAAAGATACTGCAGGAGTCAAGAATCTGACATGCCGAAGAACGCGTGCTAGAAAGCAATCGAAGCGTTCCACGCGCAGGGGTTATCTCTGGCAGCTCTGAAGTCTCAACGGGCTCCTCCGATCGATGCGCTTCAATGCAGATAAGCTCCCACGATTCAGATTTTTCTTTCCTATTTTTTTTCACATTGTCTCGGCATCAGCAGGGGGTCAAGCAAGAACATTCCAACAATCTTGAATTGCATCCCACCACCCACTGCCAGACTGCCACTTTTCCAAGCCCACAATCGCCATCAGCGAACAAGAATTAAATTCTGCCGCCATAAGAAGCAAAAAATTCGAATGCAAATGGCGTCGGCGGCGGCAGAACGACCCACACTCACATCATCCCATCTCATCGCAATCCAGTCCATCATTGTCACAGTCTCCTCTGCAAACGGCCAGATAAGTCCTTGTCGAAGACTCGAATGCACAATCCATGGGGGCCAATCGAATGCCCAGAGCTGCGGGTACGACTGGTCTCCCGCGACACCGTCCATCGCGGCAGAGCTGAAAACGAAATGAAAATCGCCCATCTCGTCTCACAGGAACCAGGAACGGTACACCTATCGGATCGTCTCCTCCACGCTTTCTATCAGGCCTTGCAAACTGCTCGGAGGAATCAAGTCAATCGACTGGTCATCAGGACGCCAGACTAATTCTTCTGATACCTGACATTTGGTTGAGTTCCTCTTGACGTCTGCGCTTGGCACACTCTGCAATGCCCAGCAACGCCACGGAGCCCACAAAGCGTTGAGCTCGACGTCGTTCGCCTGCTTCCCAGCCACCGCGACCTCAAGGTTCACGACGCGCGACTCGTGTTCCAGTAGTTGACACTCCCCCTCGACCAACAAAGTGCCACTGCCGCAGGCAGCGTAGATCATCCGTAATCTGGATCGACCAGTGCCAGTGATCGCTCTCTCCTTCCAGTTTCTGGAGACAATACGCGAGCGCAATAGTACAATTATCTCGTTGGTACGCGACTTATGAAGCGTCCTGTGAAACTAATTGGGCGGGCGCCCATATGTCAACGGTCGATCGCCATGCCCTTAAATATGCGCGTTTCACAAATAAGAACCGAAGAGTCTGAGACGCCAGGAGGTCAAACCGATAATCGACTTTTCCGTAGTCGTAATTCAATCTCCCTCCATAACCGAGTAATCGGCTACTTCGATGGAGAATCGCGTAGGCGGGCGAAGATCATCCTGGATTCGGAAATAGAAACGATGATGGTTAGCATCTCAGAACCCTTATAAATAGAAGAAAATACGAGGTGATCGTCTGTCGTACTCCCTCCTCCATAAACAGGGATGGCTGCAACGTACATGGAACGGCAAGTGTCTAATTGGTATCGCTTCCCAAATATAAAATCGATCCCACAGTATATATCCCGGCTTATAATTCATTGTATGTATATGCACTGTCGCGAGGACCTTCCCCGCCATCTTACCATCGCTCTCTTATACGTACTGAGGTATATAACAAAAATAGACAGACCAAAAGGAAGAAAAAAATGGGGGTATACAAGAAGACCGTAAAATATCATCTCGTCACTCGCAATGAACTCTAGGCTTGAGGGGACTCAATCAAGGTCCCGGCACCATCGTCCATGTCGCAGCATCACAGTTAACCTCCTCAAAGCTATGCAGCGTGCTAAAGCCCAGCTCCGTCAACCAGTCGAAATTGCTATCCGCATCCACCTGCAGGGGGTCATGGTTAGCACAAGGCGGAATCCTGGCCGGGGTGCGTTGTTTTCTTGCACTTCCCCAGAAAAAGAAAACATGCATCATGCAAGGAGAAGGAAGAGGAAGAGGAGGAGGGGGAGGAGGGGCCAAAATTATACTATACTTACACAGTCTACAATGACCGCTTCCGCGCCCTGTCTCCGTATTTGCTTGATCCCCAAAAGGATCAGCCCCTGCAGCAGGGTCGCGTATTCACCGACCGAGGGCGAAATCACGGGAGACGAGATCCCCCCCGTTGACGCGTGGGTGGCCTTCATGGCGGGCATGTGCTCCGCTAGACTTGCTCGTTCGTTGTAGATGACCACGCTGCCGAGGATAGCCCCATCCTGCGGTCTTCTGGCGCGGATGATCCCACAGTGAGGTGCCCCGCCAAGAGCCACTTTGTAAATGTCCATCACGCCCTGCCTGGAGTTAGTCTTGACGTGGTCGATGATGGAGTCTGCGTAGTCCCATCCGTGGACGAGGTCGTAGGTTACTTCTGCGCTCTGGAGACTATGGACTAGGCCTTCGGGCGGCTGGAAGGTCTGCAGAGTGCGCAGCACGGCGCTGCAAACCGGGCGCGATAACGCCGTGTTCCACCCTAGATTGGCAAACCACTGGCGTAGCTGTTTTCGTTCCACAGGGTTGGCGGCCGGGATGCCCAGGTAGATTCCGGGCAGGCGCGATCCAAGTTGAAACCGCTTCATCCCTTTTCGCTGCAGGAGTGTCCGGATAGCGCGGTTGTGAAGCGAATTCCCAATCGAGAGCTTGCGCCTCGACGGGTCGACGATCAGCGACCCTATTACGCCCGTGCCCGATGCGCGGAAAAAGTAGGTTGAGCAAAAGCCATAGAGGGCTCGTGTGGTGCTGTTCCGAACGACAAAGTGAGCTTCGTCGATATCGTCCCTTCGAAGGAGGAAACTGTTGGGTGTCACGCCCAAAAGCTCGGACCGTTGGCCCCGGCTGTCCTCTCTAACCGTGGTGAGGAGCGAGTCCAAAGCATCCGAGTCTCTCTCTTCGTTCCAATTCTCCACGAGCCAGTGCTGCCTCGCTTGATGGAGCTTTTGGCTGCGGTTAAAGGAACCTGGCAGGGACCCCTTTGGTGCCGATTCTCCGTACAATACTCTGACCAGAGCCTCGAGAGCCGTGTCTGTGAAATCGTACGTGCATATATAGGTCCCGATTGTTGTATCCATGACGAAATCGTAGGGCGAGCTCGCAGCTACCACGACCATCGGTTTCTCCCGTGGTTCGCCAGACGGAGTAAACTGCGATCTACATATCATAGAGACGTGTTTGGTGAACCCCTGCTGATACATGTTCCTCACAGCATCTGCAGTGACGACGATGACGGCACTGGCGCGGTCGATTAGACTTTCGTGGATTGGCCGAACACCATTCGATGTGTATGATGTGTGCAGAACACGACCGTTCCTGTGCCGTGAAAGCGACCTTCCCATCTCCTTAAAGACGCTCTCGCCACTGAGGACAGAGGCGGTCCTATCCCAGGCTACCGCGTCAATCGACATCTCAAGCTGCTCGGTGACTGAACGGGATACAGCCGAGGCCGGCAAAGGCTTTACCAACGGAGTCAGAAGCAGTAATTCTTCGTTGGCGCCGACGAGGTTGGATAGCGGCAACAAGTTCTTCCTATCGCGCACGACAGAGATTGAATTGCTGTACGCCCTTGTTGAGAGACTTGTATGTGATGGCTGCATCTGAGTGAGCGACGGGAGTCCTCCAGGGTTCAGAGCCTGCTCCCAAGAAGTGCACCTCGACTTCAGGGCCAAGACGCGCTTGAGTGACTGCTCTATTTGGGATCGACTGAGGATGCCGTTCTCAACACCAAGCTTTAACCCGTTGATGGCCTCCTGCTGCACCTGAAACGACCTGCACAAGAGCACTATATCACAGCCTGCGTTCTTGGCCATGACAGTCCCGCCACCGACACCAATATTGTGGGTGAGGGCTTCCATCTCTAGACACTCTGAGACGACAACACCGTCGAATTTCATATCTTTCCGGAGCAAGTCATCCACAACCTGTTCGCTAAGGCACGCATGCATAACGTTCATCCCAGCCGACGACATGGAAACACCACCCACCATCATCGCGTCAAGCCCATTGATGATTGCATTCCGAAATGGAACCAGTGCAGTCAAGCTGAGCTGCTCCAAAGACTCAGTAATGATGGGAACGTCTGTTTGAGAACCGAGAAACTCTAAATTTCCGTACGAGGGAAAATGCTTGCCGCAAGTCACAAGGCCGCCTTCCTGGTAGCCCTTCATGAATTCTACTCCGTACTGCGATACCTCCTGCGGGTCATCGCCGCAGGTACGGACGCCCATGAGCTGATTCCGTACATTATTCAAGACGTCTAGCACAGGGCCTAGAATCCAGTTGACCCCCACGGCTTTGAGTTCTTGAGCGGTAGCATAGGCGACATCATGGGCCAGGGCCTTTGACCCTGTTGCCGTAATACCCATGGCGCTAGGAAACTGCCGGATGAAAATCTCGTCGTACAAACTGTTCACGCCCCCATTTTCCTGGTCCAGAGCTATGAGCAATGGCACGGGATGGCCAGCATTCCGAGCAATCGTCTGCAACTCAAGAACTAGCTGGGTCGCATCTTCTGCAGCTGTTTGCTTGTCAGTAAATTTATTCTTGAAACGGGTTTGAGCACACAAGGGGAATAGTTTCAAAAATGGACAAGGGTAATACATTTTAAGTTCTTCGCCGTCAGCAGAATTGAACCGAGATGGTAGTTCTCAATGAGAGAGCGAATCTGAGGGCTGACCGTTGTGCCATCAAAGCCCATCATGAAGAGCTGCCCCATTTGCCTGTTGATAGGACATGGCGCCCAGGTGGTTAGCGACGATCCGGCCGCAGTTTAGAGGAAACACGATAACCAGGAACACCAATCAAGCCAGAGGATTGACGATGGAAGTTGGGATGTCTCAGCGCAGGCGCAAATGAGACAATACATGCATAAAATAAAAAAGCAGAATATAAAGCTTGTGCCAAGACTCGAGTCGTACCTGTCCAGATTGTCCCAGGCAGGGGGCAGCATGTCCTCTTTTGGGGGCATGATGGCCCTCGGCTCCTGTGAGGAATGCCAGGCCACAGCCCGATGCGACGGCCCACGCACCTCAGTTGGAGTCGAGAATCCGAGTCAAAGAGGGGTGGAAGGTGAGGTGAGACCGACGGCGACGAAGAAGCTGACAACAGGGTGCGTCGGCAGTTGGCTTAAGCTCGCTGGATGACAGCACTAAGCTGGATGGCTCGGGTAGAATGGAGGAATCTAGGCCGGGCAATTGAGCTACGACTGTGGGACGAATGAAATTGCATGGATATTAGGCGGTTAGTCCAGATTCCGCGGAGAGTTTGATTGAATGGGAGCCAGAGCATGACCACTCGCGAGGCAGGAATAGGGGCCAAACAAACAAGTAATGGACAGTATATCAGCCTAAAGTAGCGACATCACCATTGTGCTGGCTTGCGATATGGGGAAGCGAGCACCGGACCGAGTTATTGCAAGCGACGTCTGAACCTCATTCGCGGTCTCGCACCCACGTTTGAAGCTCTGTGGGGAGTAGATAGAGTGTCACGTGCATCTGGGGAACCTCGGGCTCTTCAAGTTGGAAGTTGGAACTCTGGAGTCTGACGGCGGTTTGGTCACGGTTGGTAAAATGTTTACCAAACTCAGTACCGTACAAATACCAAATACCACATCACCTTGGAGGGTTGCAGCGGACGCTCTTCCGGAGTTTGATTTTCACCGAATGCAACACGGGTTTAGCGCGGCCTTGCCCAGCCCATCGGTTATCATTTTCCTTTGATAACGACTCGGTCATAGCATGCCACCTGCTACTGCAACATCACAAAAGATGAAGCTATTCAACGTCGTTCTCTGCTATCGTTCTTCACCTTTGCTCGGCATCGCTTCGCCAAGGTTTCTCAGCGCCCGATGACCCGGACGCTGGTCGTTCCCAAGGAAATCTTAACCTACCGGGCTCGAATTCCCGATGATGGCTACATCATTCCAGCGTTGCCGCCTCATTCCAATGCGCACTGAGGTTGATCATGCCGCTCATCCGAGTAAATCGATTATGATAAATTGAGAGCCAGATATGACTCCGCACTATCGTCATTCATCCGCATTGTCAGCTTGACAAGTAAATCCAGCGCATTGCGGCCAGTAGTAGCTCGAGGTAGTGTCACGCTCCACCGGAAAGGCAGATCCAGAACGTGGAATTGTAACGGAACCATGGGTAACGAGGCCAATGGCCACCTACGCTGCTGGTCCTTTTATTCTTCCTTTATGGCTGCGCGGGCTGTCTGCATCTTTAATTCACATATGCCCCTCGGACGCAGTGCTTCTCCTTGCTCTTTGCAATATATCATCGCACTACCCAAAGGTTTACTTGATATTAGCTTTCCACCTCTAGTGACGTAGTTCACGAAGCTTGTCATCATGTAGGTGGGATGTTCCGAGTTAGCTATGTCCAGGCTAACAGTACTACAGGAGGGTTATCATTCGGGATACATCTCTGCAGGCTTCAGAGTATATCGCTGACTATATCATCAGTACGCTGCCACATTAGAAGGCTGACCATGAACAGCACTAACGTCGTCTGCTTTAGGCCGCATCAAGACATTCAACCCTACCGCAAGCAACCCATTTGTGCTTGGGCTTCCAACTGGGAGCAGCCCGGAAATCATCTACAAGACCTTGGTCCGGCGACACAAGGCTGGAGAGATCTCATTCAAGCATGTTGTGACATTCAATATGGTATGACGATCCATGAGGTTCTAACATTTCTTTCGCAACTGACATGCGTAGGACGAATATGTCGGGCTACCCCGCGATCACCCCGAATCATACCACAGCTTCATGTATAAGCACTTCTTCTCGCATGTCGACATTGCGCCACAGAACATCAACATTCTCGACGGGAATGCCCCAGACTTAGCTGCCGAATGTGCCTCCTTCGAGGCCCGCATTGCCCGCTGTGGAGGCATTGAACTGTTCCTCGGCGGCGTTGGATCTGATGGGCATATTGCCTTCAATGAGCCAGGGTCCTCTTTGAACAGCCGAACTCGGGTCAAGACTTTAGCCTTTGATACGATACTTGCAAACTCCCGATTTTTTGACAACGACATGAGCCAAGTGCCTCGAATGGCCCTAACCGTCGGCATTCGGACCATCATGGAAGCTCGCGAAGTTGTCATCGTCGCAACAGGCGCTCATAAAGCGCTCGCTCTCAAAGAAGGCCTTGAGGGCGGCGTGAACCACATGTGGACGATCTCGTCCCTCCAATTGCACCAGCATCCGCTGATTGTCTGCGACCGCGATGCGACCCTCGAACTCAAAGTCAAGACCGTCCGATACTTTGAATCAATCGAGCAGGCCGGAACTGATGCGCGAACCCAAGGTCCTCCCCTAGTCTACCGACCCAGGACATACGTCCCAGCTCCAATAGCTGTCAACAAGGAACCGACTCCCGCTGCCACACCGGAAAAGACATCAAAGGATCTGCGCATCAACACAGATCTCAAGCAGTCCTTTGAGGATGACGAGCTGACTCCAGACAGCATGTCTTCCCGTATGGTTGACTCTGCGATTGGTGGGCTTGACTCGACCCTCAAGGGCGAACTGTTGTTTGATCGCATGAGCGCACGGATGGATTCACATTAAGTTTCCCTTTCTGCCATTGCGATAGGAAATCCAGAGACACTATGGGTGTCCCGAGTGAAGGTTTCAGGGAAATTGGAATCACGCGGTGATAGCTTTTGAGTCGAGTTTGACGCTGGTTCAGTCTTTTTAGGTTTGGAAATGCCTATGGAGTTTGTAATCTGTCTGCTGTGCTGCTTTTTGCTGAAATTTGTCTATTCTGAGAATGTGATTAGATGTAGCTAACTATAGACTGCTCGGTGTTTTGGGTTTTATGGGTGTAGGCATTATATTAGAAGCTGGAGTCTAGAATGAAGTGTGCTTTTTTTATGGTGCGTTGTGTGTGTTATGTGTATCGGGTGGTTTATCTTTCCTCATCATATTGCCATCGAGTAGATGATATGCCTATCACGAAGGATTGGTTTGGCAGAGAAAATGAAATTCGTTTTCACTTTATATACGAACAGATATATATCTCACATAATAGTATGAGTCAGGAATCTACAGCTTCGCGAAAACCGTCGCAACTGCATTCCCCATGTCAACAAGGGTACTCTTATTCCGCACCCAGGCCTCAATACCCCTACGTCCATTCTCCACACCAAGACCGCTCTTCTTCCACCCACCAACAGCCATCTCAGCCGGACTCTCGCCCCAGCTGTTCACCCACGTGATACCAGCCTCGAGCTGGTCGATGATGCGGTGTGCGAGGTTGAGGTCTTTGGTAAAGACGCCCGCAGCGAGGCCGAGTTCTGTTGTATTCGCGCGCTTCACCGCCTCTTCGACAGTGTCGTAGGTGAGAATGGACATGACGGGGCCAAAAATCTCCTCTTTGACGATGCGCATATCATCCCTGCAGTCTGTGAAAATTGTGGGGCGGACCCAGAAGCCCGCTTCTAGGTCCTTGGGGAGGGAAGGCTTGCCCAGGCCGCCATAGAGAAGGGTAGCCTTGTCCGTTTCGATACCGTGACGAATATACGAGGTGACCTTTTCAGCGTGGACGGCGGAGCTGAGCGGGCCAAAGTTGGTGTTGGGGTCGAAGAGTGGGCCGGGGCGGATGAATTGCATCTTTTCGAGGAGTTGGGACTCGAATTCCTTCTTCATAGACTTGTGGATGAAGACTCGGGTGCCGTTTGTGCAAACTTGGCCCGTGCTGTAAAAATTGGCCATCATGGCGCCGTCGACGGCGTTACTGACATCCGCGTCTGGGAGAACGAGCAGCGGCGACTTTCCTCCTAGCTCCATGGTTACGTATTTCATGTTGCCAGCTGCGGACCCGGCGACCTTGAGTCCTGTTGAAACTTGGCCGGTGAACGAGACTTTGGCGATGGTAGGGTGAGAGGTGAGGTAGCTGCCGACATCGCCTGCGCCGTAGACAACGTTAAAGACCCCATCTGGAAGTCCAGCTTCCTTGTAAATTTCGGCGAGCGTTTGAGCGTGGAGAGAAGTGAATTCGCTGGGTTTGTAAATCATAGTATTTCCGGCGGCGAGGCAGGGGGCAGACTTCCATAGCGCACTGTTCTTATTAGCATCTTTCTCATGAGCTGATGGAATTGACGTACATCTGAATAGGATAGTTCCATGCGCCGATTCCAACACAGACTCCCAGCGGGGCCTTTTTCGAGTACACCCAAGCATCTTCCCTAAGCTGAGCAGTCTCACCATTCAGACCGCCGCCGCCTACAAGATTCGCATAATATTCCAGTACGTCTGCTCCTGTGACAACGTCGACAGTGCTCGTCTCTGAAAAGGCCTTTCCGGAATCCAGAGTCTCGACGCGGGCGATTTCATCGTTGCGCTCGCGGAGTAAGGCCGCGGCTTTTTGGAGAATACGAGCTCGAGCGATTGGCGAGGTTTGCGACCACGATGGAAATGCACGATCGGCCGCAGCGATGGCGGCATCTATATCGGACTCTGAAGCAATGGGGAGTTCGGCCAGCGAAGTGGCGTCGGCAGGGTTGATGGCGGAAAATGTTCGGCCGGACGAGGCAGGCTGGGGTTTGCCATCGTAGAAGAGCTGGCGCGGGGGAAGAGAGGGAGCCATTCTGTGTAGTCGCGTCTCTGGAGTAGAAAAGGGGAGGAAAGAGAAGAGAGATAATCTATCTCGAGGAAGGCAAAAAGTCCGGCAGTCCGTCATAGATGTGGGCAAAGTACTCCGCTTCACACCGCCAACGCCTCGTCTGGTCTCGACTGTGATCCGCAGCCCCAAACTCAAGCCCCTGCCGGATTGACAGGGCGTGCGGGCTGCGCGGTGCATTCTACTGGAGCAAAATTCCGCAATCGAGCTCTACAATTTGACATTATGCATCTCAAGATAAGACGAGGCAGACTACAAGCGTCATGGGTAATATCGAATTCGGGGGCCGCGGAACAGGATAACCAGGAACAAACTCGGGACAAAAATTCGGTGAGCACTCAGCACTGGGTCTTTTCCGTGACTTTTTACTCCATTCAGTATGGATTTCACATTGCTCGGCGTCTCGAGTCCTGCAAATTTGGACCCGAAGTGGGAAACTCCATCCAGAGTGAGACGCCAACTAAGCCGGATGAGGACTACTGCGGATAACCGCCGGTTAGCGTGCGTTTTGCTGCATGAAGAGAGGATCGTGGCGCGCTTTAGCGCTGAAACTCCTGTGGATGCGGTCTTATTGCGGAGGGGATGACGTCGGGGTCGGCCGAGGGCTCTACTGCTCGTTGAGAAAGACTCGAAGCCAGTGTAGGTGAGGTTGATTAACCAGGCTGAATATTGAATGAGACTGAAATAAGAGTATGACAAGGCCGATCTTATCTGCATCTGCAGCACAAGCATACTCGACTGCAGGAGCGCAGGCACAGAATAAAGATGCCACGGAGTCCTACCGGTGGATCATGGATCCGTCGGAACGGTTTTCCATTCGGTGCCTTTTTGATGGCGGTGGGGAAGAAAATTATGGCTGATCAGACAATAAGCCTCCAGCAGGACTTTTATTCTTCTTCGTATCCTCTCGCTCTTTTTCCTTGACACACTCTTTCCTCTCGGTCGAGCGCTTTGGTTACTTTTCTATCAGCGATCCTCTTTTCCGACCTCCATCATGGCCACCACCAACAATCTTCCCGCGAGCGACATCAACAGCTACGACTATGTGATCGTCGGAGGTGGTACGGCAGGCTGTGTGATCGCCAGCCGCCTGGCCCAGTACTTGCCCAACAAGCGCATCCTGCTGATTGAGGCTGGCCCTAGCGATTACATGGATGACCGAGTCCTCAATCTTCGGGAGTGGCTCAACCTTTTGGGAGGCGAGCTGGACTACGACTACCCCACCGTTGAGCAACCCATGGGTATGTTACACCATGTGAAACTACACCCAGGACGAAATACTGACTTTATCACAAAGGTAACAGCCATATCCGCCATTCCCGTGCGAAGGTCCTGGGAGGATGTTCCAGCCACAACACCTTGATCTCGTTTCGCCCCTTCGAGTATGATTGCAAGCGGTGGGAGCAGCAAGGATGCACAGGATGGTCCTTTGAGACCTTCACCCGCGTTCTTGATGGCCTGCGCAACACCGTTCAGCCCGTTCACGATCGTCACCGCAACCAGCTGTGCAAGGACTGGATCCAGGCTTGCTCCTCCACGATGAACATCCCCATCATCCACGACTTCAACAAGGAGATCCGTTCCAAGGGTCAGCTTACCGAAGGCGTGGGATTCTTCTCCGTTGCGTACAACCCCGATGATGGCCGCCGTAGCAGCGCCAGTGTCGCCTATATCCATCCCATCCTCCGCGGTGAGGAGAAGCGCCCCAACTTGACCATCCTCACCAACGCTTGGGTATCTCGTGTCAATGTTAACGGCGATACCGTCACTGGCGTCGACATCACCCTGCAGTCTGGTGAGAAGCACACCCTTACTCCTAAAAAGGAGACCATCCTCTGCGCTGGTGCCGTGGATACTCCTAGACTCATGCTCCTCTCTGGTCTGGGTCCCAAGCAGCAGCTGGCCTCTCTGGGAATCCCCGTCGTGAAGGACATCCCTGGTGTTGGTGAGAACCTGCTTGACCATCCAGAGAGTATCATCATCTGGGAACTCAACCAGCCTGTGCCTCCCAACCAGACGACCATGGACTCCGACGCTGGTATCTTCCTGCGCCGCGAAGCTCCCAACGCCGCTGGTTCGGATGGCCGCGCCGCCGATGTCATGATGCACTGCTACCAGATCCCCTTCTGCCTGAACACCACTCGTCTTGGTTACGACACCCCCGTCGACGCCTTCTGCATGACTCCCAACATCCCCCGCCCCCGGTCCCGCGGCCGTCTCTACCTCACTTCCTCAGACCCCACCGTCAAGCCCGCCCTTGACTTCCGCTACTTCACCGACCCCGAAGGCTACGATGCCGCCACCATCGTCGCCGGTCTCAAGGCCGCCCGTGACATTGCCAAGCAGTCCCCCTTCAAGGACTGGATCAAGCGCGAGGTCGCCCCGGGACCCAAGGTTCAGACCGACGAGGAACTCTCCGAGTACGGCCGTCGCGTCGCTCACACGGTCTACCACCCTGCCGGAACAACCAAGATGGGAGATGTTACCCGTGACCCCATGGCCGTCGTCGACCCGAAGCTGAAGATCCGCGGCCTCAAGAACGTCCGTATCGCCGACGCTGGTGTCTTCCCCGAGATGCCCACCATCAACCCTATGTTGACTGTTCTGGCTATTGGCGAACGCGCCGCCGAGCTCATCGCCGAGGAGGCTGGCTGGAAGCGTGAGCAGCCCAGGCTGTAAATGCGCCATCTCCTTTGATCTGCCAATCTGGATTGAACATAAAAGCGTCTAGGAGTTTGTGTATATACAAGGCGGTAAATCTTGCAGTATATCCATTCTGTTCCTTTCTTTTGGATTTAGAAGGATGCGGCGGTACTATCTGCTTTTCAATTTTTACGAATGATGAGTTTTGCTTCTTGGATACCAGCCTTTGACCCTCTGGACGGGTTAGGGATCGTTCGTGATATTAGAGATCAATTGGTGTATATAAATATATGAAATGAGGAAAAGAAACGATAATACACCAAAAATAATGTAATAAGAATTTTCATCATTCATAATATTTCATTCTATATCCAGGGACCAACCCATACTCTATAAATTCTTTGCAGTACTTGTAATACATTCTAGTCTTATGAGAACCAACGCTGCGAGACTCAATTTAGTAACGATACCAAAATCCAGTACCAATGCCAGGAAGTAGCATCCTGAGAATGTTGTTTTTCAGCGCATGAAAAAGGACGCATCACTACAAATCAGCATCTTTACCCATATCGTAAATCTTCGATCCTCTCTTCCAGACTTGGTTCACAGTCAACGTCCGCCCGGAGTATGGGTCATCCTCATCGCTCAGAACAAGAAGGTCCGCGTCTGCGCCGCTGTCCAAGCACCCCTTGACGCCCTGCAAGCCAAGGAGACGAGCAGGCACAGCCGTCGCAGCATTCAACGCCTGCGCCGTCGATGCCCCGGACCAGCGACGGAAGTTATTCACGCACTCAATAAGCGTCGCGGAGCTACCGGCGATCTTGTCCGATCCCTCGAGGGTGAGTCGAGCGCCGGTCTTGATGATGCGCTCACCGTTTGTCCAATCGTAGACTCCGTCGGGGAGACCGCAGAGCTTCATGGCGTCCGTGACGAGTACGAGACCCTCTGGGTGGGCGTTGTATGCGATACGGATGGATGTCGGGTGCAGGTGGATGCCGTCAGCGATGATTCCGTAGTAAGGACGGATTGGATGGTTGCTCTGATGTCCGAGGAGGCCAAAGATGCCTGGGTTGCGGTGGTAAAAGGGGCGCATTGCGTTGAAGAGGTGGGTGATCATTGTCGCGCCCTGGTGAGTGGCTTCGAGGGCCTGCTCGTACGTTGCGTCGGAGTGGCCGACTGAGTAAATGATTCCCTGGGAGACGATGTGGGGGATTGTCTGGAGCATGTTGCCGACTTCCGGAGCGGCAGTGATGAGTCTGATGGTCTTGGTGTCGCCGTAGAAGTTCTCGCGGCCGTAGCAGGCGGCTAGGTCATCTGGGGTTGTTGCGTATCGGAGAACTTCCTTCTTGTGGACTCCATTTCGCGCTGGGCAGAGGAAGGGTCCCTCGACGTGGGCGCCGAGCGATTCGGCGCCGTCCTCTGGTGTGTGTTTGCTTCCTGAGGGGCCGAGAGAAGGGAGGACTTTTTGGTAAACTTCTGCGGTTGAGCTGACGAGTGTCGGAAGGTAAGAGGTGACTCCTGTCCTGGCGAGGCCCTTGTTGACTAAACGGAGGCCTTCATCGTATTCCTCCTTTGAAGCTTGGGGGACTGAAAAGTCGAAGCCTTGAGCGCCGTTCAACTGGCAATCGATAAGCCCTGGCGCGAGGATACGGCCACCCAAATCAATGACTTCATCTGGGGACAGATGTAGTCCGTAAAAGGCTTCTTGATCGCGGAGGATCTTTCCAGAAGTTGAGTCTATCCACACATCTTGTTCGATAAGCTTGTCCCCCTTTACGATGCGGCAGTTGGTGAACTTGATGACGTGGGACTCGGGCTCGGTTTTGCCAGGCATGGTGGCGGGCGCTGGGAGTAGTGGTTGCTTAGGTGCGAGGGAACGGGATGCCGAGAAGCAGCATGTATATACTCATGGCAAGCAGTGACCCATGGTGACACAGGGAGGGACAGACCTATGATGGAGTACCGTCACTCCATGTGCACCTAGGTTCCTGATTTGACGGCACTGGCTTTGGTCTGACGTTGCTTCATTCCGGTGGCCGATGGAGAGAAAGGAGGTTGGATGTGACGTCGACTGGCGGAGGTAGGTGAACGTGACATACTTTGTAGTCTGCCATACGGGGTACCAGCACTTATCAATCCTTTATCTAATGGGTGCCTCCGTTGCATATACATTGGAATTATCTACTACTAGCAGCTGACTAGCACTAGCAGGCTAGCACTAGCCGGTAGATACCAGGGTCTCAGACAAGTCAAGTCAGTGCTCAAAGGGCGTTGAGTCGACAAGGTGAGGTTCGAGATAAAGCGCGCCAGATAAGCCTGCGCTACTGAGGACTGGCACGATGGGGGTGGGGACGATGGAGACGCACGACTCTGGAGGGTTACACACAGGTATGTATTATTGCATTTACAGATTCGTACAGCGTTACCAGACACCATGACCAATCCCTTACCAATATCAAACTCTGCCTTTTTGGAATCCTGCAAGAATTCAACCTTTGATTCGGAGATTTTCTTTTGATTAAAACGCATCATGCAGACTACTGTCGAGCCAAAGTAACCCCTTCGTTGATGTATACTCGTAGAGAAATTAAAGACGAAAAGCTTGAGGTAGCATCTACTCGGCTCCCCGCATCCGGAGCTGAGGTTTTGGTAGCACCGATGCTACCGTCTCCTTTGTTAGCCTGTTTAGCCCCCAACTGGCCCCAAAGTCTTCGGTTTCGAAGCTGAAGATTGAGGATCCGTGAGGGTGCACGGCAGCTGCTGCACGCGACCTGCTCGTGGCTTTGCTCGAAGCAGTTTAGATTCCCACAATGCAGCTGTCTGCGCAGCATCGAGTCCCTGTGGTGTAGTTCTGATTAGAAACTGAGACAGCTTCTCCTCGTTATCACAGGCAGTGGACCGATCGATCCCACCGTCTCTCGCGACAACGCAACCCTTTCTTTCGCTTGAGATAACAGCTGACTTTGTTGACTCTGGTCGACCGTCGGTTGGCTCCAATTGCCTCGTCTATTTAGTTGTGTTTCTACCCCGGACCCAGTCTCTCGCAGGCAAACACGACTGGAGGTCCTGGCGCGCCTGATCGTCAACTTTTTTTTTCTCTTCATCTCTGTCTCACCTATTTTAAGGGTCTTCCAAAGGAATTCTTGATCTTGTATATTTATTCAGATACCTGCCCGCATTGTTGCTGGTTGCCGGTTGCTCACATTCCTGCGTCCCGGTTGCTGGCTTCGGTTGCCCCCTTATCTTCCATCGCTCTTCTGGAAGCTGACTTATTTATTCCAATTCCCTACCGCTCGGCTTCTCCTCACTCTTCCCCGACTCAACTCTCAATCCCCCGAGAGCCAACAAAAGTTGTTTACCAGCTCACTCGCCACCATGTCGGCAAGCGACAATGAAAAGGTTGCTCCCCATGCCGTGGATCCTGAGGTATCCCAGGATCCCACCGTGACTGGCAAGCCATGGATGTACAAGCCGATTAAGATTGGTCCCTGGACTCTGCCGTATTTTGCTTCTCCGCAGTTCCAGCTGATCCTGGTTTCCTTCGTCTGCTTCCTCTGCCCGGGCATGTACAACTCCGTCTCGGGTCTCGGTGGTGGTGGTCAGCTTAATTTGTCCGATGTCAGTAAATCAAACACCGCCACCTACAGTACTTTCGCCGTCGTTGGGTTCTTCGCCGGTTCCATCGCAAACCGCATTGGTCTGCAATTGACCCTCTCCTTTGGTGGTTTCGGCTACTTCCTCTATGTCGCCTCGCTTCTATCCTACAACCACAATCAGAACTCGGGTTTCCTGATCTTCGCTGGTGCTCTGCTTGGTGTTTGCGCCGGTCTTTTGTGGACTGCCCAGGGTGCCGTTATGATGGGTTATCCCAACGAGCATGAGAAGGGAAAGTATATTTCGATTTTCTGGGTCATCTTTAACCTTGGAGGTGTCATTGGTGGTCTGGTAAGTTTTCCTACCTTTTTGACCACGAGCTTTGAGCATGCGAGCTAATCAACAATCCTTTGTTCAGATTCCACTTGGTCAGAACATGCACAGCACCGCCGGTCAGGTCAATGATGGCACCTATATTGCCTTCATGGTTCTCATGGTGGCTGGCTTTATTCTCGCCTGGGGTCTTGCTGATTCCAAGCACATTATCCGCCAGGATGGCACCCGCGTCATTGCGATGAAGAACCCCACATGGAAGTCCGAATTGCTTGGCCTCTACGAAACCCTCAAGACCGACTGGTACATCGTCACGTTCTTCCCCATGTTCTTGGCTAGTAACTGGTTCTATGGTTACCACTTCAACGGTACCTCTTCCCCTTCCTCCCTTTTTGCTTTCTCCTTTCTCCTTGTATCAAGCAAGCTAACAGATAAACCAAGCAATAAACGGCGCATTCTTCTCTATACGCACACGAGCTCTGAACAGTATCCTCTATTGGCTCATGCAGATGGTTGGGGCATTCCTCTTTGGTCTGATCCTGGACTTGAAGTACCTCAAGCGGCCCGCTCGCGCCAAGCTCATCTGGTTCATTCTGTTTGCCCTCACTATGGGTATCTGGGGAGGTGGTTATGCCTTCCAGAGGACCTACACCCGCGAGTCCGTGGCCCCTGTCGATGGCGTGCCGCATCAGGGCAAGGACTGGGCCGACAGCGGCTTTGTTGGCCCAATGTTCATGTACATGTTCTATGGCTTCTATGATGCTGCCTTCCAGACGTGTGCATACTGGTACTTTTTCACTTGCCAGAGTATAACCACGCTGTGCTAATGATTTTCCAGGTTCATGGGCTGCCTTTCCAACAACAGCCGTAAATTGGCCAACTTTGCTGGTTTCTACAAGGGTATCCAGTCTGCCGGTGCCGCAGGAATGTGGGCGTAAGTGCCTTGGCCGTAACGCAATGCAAAGCAATACTAAGTTTTGTCACAGAATGGATTTCAACGGCAAGCCGTACATGACCATGTTTGCCTCGTGCTGGGGCCTGCTGGGTGCTAGTCTCTTGTGCGCCGCTCCCGTCATCTTCTTCAAGATCAAGGAGCACACCGAGCTTGAAGAGGACCTCCGCTTCTCGGACGAGACCGTTGGGGACGTCACTGGACTGGCAGTCGCCGGGCACACCGGCGAAGAGTCAGTCCCCGAAAAGAGGAAGGAAGCTCTCTGATGCCTTGATCTACGGTCTTGATGAATACAGCGATGGAAGTTCACCCCACGAAGACATGTCTTGTTCTCTAATTTTGTTTCTCGGTGAGCCGATTCTGTCCGGCCCGACTTGATCTGCACAGTTTCACTCAGGTCTGGCTGGCACTTCGTAGGGAGCTTGGGGGTTTCTTGAACATTTGACCACGTACCTTGATACCACACTTGCTTTGGATCGGTTCGTTTGATACCAGTTCACTTTTAGTACTTTCTTTTAATACAAGGCCGGTAATGTTGGTCTATCTTAGTCGATACTCAGCTCTTAATCCAAGTTTGGAGCTGCATAATGCTCTCATCCTAATGTTCGACGTAACCTGATATATCAACATAGATAGTCATGACAGTATCATCTTGTACACCCTGTCGTAGTATATCCAAACTATGTACAGCTCCTTCAATATATTATTCTGTTTTAGATCTCCTCTCAGAGATCCAACCACATCTCAGCCCCTACCTAACAAGAGAACCCGGCTCGGGAGTTGGCAACGCCACAAACGACTCGGTATGCGTCGCAGTAGCCGTCCCATCCGTCGCAAACCCACCCCGGATCTTCACTTTCCCCTCGGGAATATCATACCCAAACAGAGTCCGGTTAAACAGCTGCAACGACGCCTCGGGCTGATAGTACGGAACCTCGTGGCCCGCCTCATAAACCCTCGTGAATGAAAAGTTTCCAAACTCTCTCGTCTCGCCGTACTCGATGCCGTCAACGAGGAGGGGCACGTAGCCTGCGGCGTGGAACTGGTTCTTGTGCGGGTAGTCGATGGCGAGCGAGACGGCTTCGCCGCCGAACCAGTTACAGATGTAGTCTGCGTCACCGTAGATTAGGGAGACTCGGACGGGGTATGTTAGAATTTCTTCCAGGTCTTCAAGGAAGTTGGGGAAAACAAAATCGCCGCGTTGCTGGAAGGCGAAGTAGACCTCTTGGTTGGATGATGTGTAGCTTGATTGAGTAGTTAGCAAGCGTGCAAGTCAGCGGGGGGGAAAGAGAATTCGCGTACTTCACCGAGACGCCGAGGGCGTTCATGACCCAGTCTTGGCGGAGGAAGGGCTCGAAAAGGCCAGGAGGCGTGGGGTCCTTTTCAACGAATTAGTAAGTGTGACTGAAGCAGGAGTCAAGGGTTGATTCGCCCTGGTGGGAAGAAGAGGGCTTACATCGTAGGGGTGGCGGATATCGTAGACGCCCCGGCCGCCAAAGGAGTAGTAGGGGCCCTCTGTTGTTCGTCAATGGATTGTGGACTTGAAGATAGGATAGGACAGGTTAGGTTAGGGCTACGAACCAACATTGTCTCTGCACATGTTGGTTGCCTCCGTGCAAAGAGCAAAGTCGCTCAACGAAGTGCGGTTGGTCAGCTTGCACAGAGCGACCTGGTCCTGGCAACCGTTGGGCATCTCATTGGCGAACTTCATGTAGTTGTAGACTGTCTCATTGACCTACACGCATGGTAAGTAATCATGCGTCTTTTGTGGATTTATACTGGGCAATACTTACAGCCTCGATGCCGTAAGTGTTGTGGACTGCAAATTCGGGGTAGTAGGAGGCCTAGTTTGCCAGTTAGATTATGTCTGCTTCTCGGACTGACGCTTACGTACCTGGATACCCTCATCGATGATTCCGTTGATGATACCAAGAGAGTTGAAGTTGAGTTCGATACCTTGGACGCTTCCGTTGGCGATCTTCTGGTTCTGCTCGTAAAAGTGGTTGAAGAACTGTTCAGGTTAGTCACCACCGAGAGATTAACAGTGGAAGGTGGAGTGAGCGGGTAAGTGGGATATCAAGTGAGGAGTCAAGTGAGTCATGGGGGGTAGATGAGAGATAGCGTACCGCTGGGCCATAGTGTCTAAAGTGAGGTCAATATGAGCCAAATATCCGCAAAATACGAGCAAAATGGAAGACTTACCCTCCATAACTCTCCGTCCACAAGCTAAAGTCCTTGGACTTGATCTCAATATCCAATTGGGGCAGACCACCAAGGAAGCCCTGGACGATTTCCCAGGCAGCATGAGCAGCAAGATCGGTGGTGTCTAGTCCTCGGTTAGCCTGTACACAAGTTGTGCAAGAGAGCTGACGTACCGATCAACGTAGCATTGATCTTGGGGTAGCGACCCTGGACACCAGCAAACGAGGCGTCCTCAACAGCACCAGTAACGGGGTTGAGCGAGCCCTCCTCGGTTTCGGCATATGAAAATCCTATGATTGAATGAGCGCCTGCCGGTCGTTCAAGGTACAAATGCTGGCTTGTCATACCGACTCCCAATGGCTGAGAGATGAAGAGGAGGTTCGAGACCTCGCTCCACGAGTAAGGGTTGACGTCTGTCGTAAGGTTCTCGTTGATAGAGCACGGCCCCAGCTCTGTGTAATCCACGTTAACCTTAAATCGAGGGGTGCAGGACTCGGTGGTACAGACCCTCGAATAGACCGATGAGCGAGTCACTTCCAGGACCCCCATTCAACCAAAGGGTAATCGGCGCAGTCGCTGGGTTATTTCTTGCCTCGAAAAAGTAGAAAAAGGTGTGAGACTCCGGCGAGAGATCGACATATCCAGAGTAAGAATTGACGCCAGGGGTGGTCTCGCAGACACCCTCTTTGCCGGGCTCCTTGTACCGGATAGTCACGCCATTGGGTGTCTCGATAGTTTTGACACCGGTTGGATCCTGAGGCAGCTGACGCCGATCGATGGAGTACCTGGGATGCTCGTGGGATGAATCCAAGGAGGCTGTAGCCAGGGATAGCAGAGCAAGGAAGCTGAAACGAGACATGACGAGCTTCGTTCAATCCTCCTTCGTAGATGGAACTTCCGCCTGGGATGCAGAAGAAGAACGCCAACAATGAAGGGGCCATTAGGCCCTTTTATACAGCACGCGAACGGATCGACAAGTACAGCCATGAGCCAGCGGCCATCCGCCGCACCGGCAGCCAGACCCGTTTGAATCAGCGACGGCCCCCATGCTTCTAAGTTCTACCGTAGTAGTTGATAAGCAGGTAGCACTGGGGTTTGCTGACGTCGTCCCAAACAGGATGGTGACAACAAAACCTCAGGGGCTTGCATCTGAACGGGCCAGTCAGCTTGGAGCCTGGTCTACGGTTGCTGTGCTGACCTTGCAGATCGCACCATTCTGCGTGGGTACTTCAGAGGCAGTGGCTTGTCTAGGCGCAGGTGAGGGGAAATGATCGGCGATCGTAGCATTGCTGAGATGCCGACCTTCCTGAACAGTTTAGCTACCTGGCTGGGCGTTGAGGGAAATGGTGGGGATTTCAATTTGGACCTGCCTGGCAAGAGGCTGTTATTGCGTACTGATAAGAGTTGGATATTAAAGAAGAGGGGGAAGCGATGAGATGGGGAGACGGAGAAGGCCGAGGCTAAACAAAAGTACACACAAGGAATTTCCAAGAACGCCAATGCAAGGCTTGGGTTGCTTAGCCAAAAGCTGCAGGAATTCGCGCACTTCTCCAAGACTTTGACCCATCATTCCTACTACTGTGTCGTTGCAAGCCAAACAGTTAAGCTATAAATCGTCGTATTCTCATGTCCTACTTTTGAAATTAACCTCTCTATACAGTGATAAAACAGTCCCCCCAGCGCAAGCCGAGAAAGAGAAATGAAATGAAAGCAAATTCCCAATAGTCCCTGAGGTGTCATCATTTCCCAAAAGCAAACTCCGTGTTTATGCTTCCCAAGCGTCCCGTATGTGGAAGAAATATGTGCAAGAGAAATCAGATGAAAAGGTAATGAACAGAAACATCATCGTATCCTGGATACTCAAACGAGTTAAGCGCCCAGACTTAGTCCAAGGTCCAGATCATGTTTGCGTGTCTCGGTTTGGAGCGCGTCGCCGTTGGTGGCTTGCACCTCGCACAAGCCGCTCAAATCGACGCCTTTATCTCCAGTCTCAAACATGTCGGAAAAGGTGAATGGGAACCCCTTGGTGGTGGCAACATCAGCCGGTGCATTCTCCATGCCGTTCTCCGACGAAAAAAAGTCGGCACCAGCGTCGTCAAAGTTGATCAATGCATCGAAATCGTTCTGCGTCACCTCGGCATCATTCGCCAGATCCATGAGCTGGCTGAGACTCAACTCAGGGTCGTCAATGTTGGGAATGGCAAAGGCGTCGCGGTGGTAATTCGGGTTGATGTTGTTCGTGCTTCCGTTGTCGCTGCCGTCAGACGGCGGTGGGGTGGATGCAAACGCCTGCGCCTCGTCTAACTGCAGGGCAGTTGCCCTGTTAGAATCCGCCTTCGGGTATGTGAGATCAGGTATCTTCTGGGCTAGAGAGTCCGGGGGCGGCGTCAAGGCGCTATCCCGGGAGGTAGCGTCGCGCGTCGCACGGTTTTGCAATTCTTGCGGCGGCACTGTGAGTTGGATACCCGCTTTCCTGATTGCGGCTTCCAAGAAGGAGGTCGCGAAATCGGCTGAGGCATAAATTTCCCTCAGGCGCTGAAGAATGCGCATACATTGGTAGAAGCGTTGCAGGCTGGTCATCCTAACATTCGGGTCGCTGGACTTGATATCGAGGAGGTGAATGATGACGGCGGGAAGTAGCACAGTGACACCGGTGGTGGGGAAGTAGCGGGTGAGATCAAGGCTATGCAGGTCTTGGGCGATATTAGTTATTTCAATGGCAGCGAAGCGGACCTTGTTCCGTGAGATGTCCTGCAACTCGGTGTCCATGGAGGGGAATGGGACAGCGGGGAGGACTTGGGGTCGATGAAGAGCACTCGAGGTCGTCAGGTAGACCATCTTGAGCAACGCACGGTGAGAATGCAAGACTTCGTTGGCCTCGCTGAGCTTCGTCGGCGCCGAGGGAGAGTACTGGATCTCTGTGGGAAGATGGGCCAGCCAATCCTCCAGCTCCTGATCACAGCGTCGCACTTCAAACGTCTCTGCTGCTGATTTCTTGGGGACCAGCATCATAGTGGTTTCCATTGTGCCACCGAATTTGTGGCTCAGAACAGAGTACTGCGCAGAAAGAACATGGCTGACGCAGAGACAGAGCTTCGCCTTTTCGATAAACATCGAGGCCAGCTCTCGCTGGTGGCTCACACTCTGGAGGATCTCTGAATTGCCGACCATGTTCACAATTTCAGGCGAAAATGGGTGGAATTCAAAGTCCTCAAGTGTGAGCATGGGAACATCACAGTCATCATCCTTGACGCGCATGGGACGTCTCATTCCCAGAGCGATCAAGCGATCACGAGTGTACGTGCTCCACCAAATGCGTTTCCACATTCGTTGGCGCCGGATGTCCATGCGAGAGTTGGCAGGATCACGATGCAAACCGATAGTGTGGGCCAGGGACAGGCTGACTCCCATCCAGTGCCAGGTATCCTTCTGATCATCAGGCGTCTCATACCAATAGGTCATCAACAGGAGAGACTGGACTAGGGAGATGCGGTCAACTTCGTAGTCGAAATCGTACAGTAGCCTGGCGCGCTGGAAGAACGCTTTCCGGGCTGCTTTTCGGGTAGGGTAGCCGGCGGCGTGCAGGTATTTCAGGTCGATGAAGGCCGTGCCGGCAAACATGACAGCCTGGAACAGCAAGAGACTCATGCGACGGATGCCGTCATTCTGAACGACTGTCTGCAAGAAGTCCTCCAGATCCAACAGAGGCATGTACGTATGTACGTAGTGCACATAAGCCTTGAGCAGCTCGTTGCGCAATGACACATCAGGCACTGTCAGTGCTCCTTTCATTGCGAGATAGTCGATGTCTTCCTTCTGAAGTCGGGCCGGCAATCCGCGGATATAGTCGGGTAAGACGATGCCACCAGACTGGGGGCTGCCGAAGGTCGGATCGAGCAGCTGCTGAATCTGTGAAGTGACATGAGACAGAGGAAGAGTCGATGGCACTGATGGGTTCGGCGCCATTCGTCTTCGAAAGCGGTCGCCAGAGTCGACTCTGTTGACCTGGCTTTGATCTATACAGGAATACCGTATCAGCACCGAAGTTCTTAGGTCTCGTAACGTATTGCACAGGCAAACGCAAATACGAACATAGTAGATGAGGCATATGGTGCCCTTGCTCCAAGTCTACAGAGCCCTGTGAAGGAGAAGTTGGTGTCACATGGGGAATGCCATTGTTCTCCCCGAGGCTTCCAAAAAGTCCATCGTCGAGGATCTCAGCCGGCGACTGAGACAGCTGATGGCTTGGATTGTCTGTCTCAACTCGAGACTTCCTATAATAGCAGATCAGGTCAGTTCTGACAGATTGCCCCTAATTTGAGAAAAGAAACGCACTTTCTCCTCTTGCTTTCCGTAACAACACACTCTACTTGGTCTAGCCGGCAATTCGTGCACGGTGAGCCATTCTCCACCACATCGCACCGAACCTTGCGAGCCCGACAGCAGCAGCAAGCTTTTGAGGCGCGTCGTTTTACTGGACGGGAGTTCGCCGAAAGACCTGCTGTTGAGGCCTTGCGCTTTCCCTTGGGGTCCGTCTCGACCGTTGGATTTGGTGAAGAGGGAGACTCGGTCATCATGCATGCAAAAAGGTCAACAAAATCGACCGTGAGTCATCCGTGGGTAATCTGCGGGCCAATTGGTGATATTCGGCGTCGAGAATGAAAAGCGTGTCTGAAACCGGTGCAAATAGTATAAAGACGGCAAATGGTCACGAGGGAGCCAGGAACGGCGACCAGCAATATCGGAAAATCGAATAGTGTCAAATAAGACGGTTATGGAGGGGAGATGGTCCTTTCGTAATTATAGCTTTTATGAGATTATCAACTTTTTTTAGGGTATACGGGGTAATGACGTCCCGGTGCTTTATGTGTCGTCCAAAGGAACAAAAATTGAGGCAAGGCACGGGGCCTAGGGGAAAGACAATGTTTAAGTACTAGCAGGATGAGGAAACGCTTTCCACAGGACCGTCAGGACTCAGGAGGCGTTGGCGTTGGGGGATGATGAGTCCCCAGATCCACTTCCACTGCTGCCTCCCCCAGACCAGAACCAGAACCAGAACCGGAGGAGTTGAACTCCATCACCAACAGCAAGCAGAGCAATCATACTGGATTGCGCCTAGCGCCGGCCCAGCGAAAGTTGGGATAATTACCTCACTGGAACTAAGGTCGAAATGCGGGCCAAGTTCGGCGGGGTCTGTGGCAGCTGGCTGTGGCCACTCACTGCGCCTGCTTACAGCGCAGGGCCCGCATTCCTGGCGCTTCCAGCCAATTGATATCTGACAGTCTACCCCACATGCAAAAATTCAGCGCAAAGAAATACCTAACAGCAAAAATAATGAAAATCGAAAAGCCGTTTCCACATCCGCTCCCCACCACACACCAACTGGCCAGCTTGAGCCTTGAGCACCCCTCCCCATGCCGCATTGGGTGTCTCTTCGGCCCGGTCACGTTACTGCCCCCTAGCCACCACATGCAGAGAGGATGACTATGCCGGCAAATTGCATTGCCACCATTGGTCATTTCTTGGTTCAGGGCCTGCTGTGAAGTGTCGCGGATGGTTGGTGGTGACGCTAGCCAGATCGACTGTTATTCTCGCAATTTGAGGGTTTTGTGTGGCAGAGAGCTGCTGTGTCAAGGAATCCAACCAAATTCTCGGAAAAGATTCCGAGTCCTTGAATTTTCATTGGCCCAGGAATGTTAGTGCTGGAGGTTCGGCCAGACCTCCGGGGGCCTTTATTACTCATTCAGAACCGTCTCGGTCTGAAGGGAATGCAAGATGAAGCATCCTGGGAAGGGCATCAGGAAGATGAGATAGTTAGCAGGGTGCATCAAGGCAAGCCGATATACAGAAGAATTGTTCATAGACAATGATTGGCATAAATATGGCCATTGCTGTGCTCCATTGAGCCGAGGTCCGCGAGATATTCAAGCCGCAAGCGGTCCGGCGTCCGGCATCCATCCTCGCCTGCCCAGCAAATCTCACGGCCCAGGATTCGAACCGCCGAGGGACATTTGTCTCTTTGGATTGCGATTGTCCGGCAGGCGTGGACACGACAGCGGAACCAGGATTTCGGGGACTATTAATTCAAGGCCTGTTCATGCTTACAGTATACTCCGTAATGCATGAATCCTTGCGAGGGCAACTCTAATCATACTGAACACGGCCGGAGGGATCGTCTGGGACCGGCAAGCCGTCGATAACGGGCCAGGAACTTGACTTTCCTGGAAGGGAATAATTTCTGCTAGGTCTTGATGGCGAAGATCGCACAGTTTAAGTTGGTCGATTCAAAACCCGGCTTCCCTTTTTGTGGCCTGTCGTCATCTTAACAAAGCGAAAATAGTGGGCGTTCTTCAGACAAGTCCTATAAAACTCGCTTGGCCGAGAAACATCCAGCACGACACCCCGCTAACTGCCTAAAGCGGAATCGAGCTGAGAGCCTGGCTGAGGATCTTTGACCATCGACCCACAGCTGGACTGGAGAACTCAAAAGACCTCCAACAGTCCGTGCGATGTGTATGGGGCAGAGGCCGCTGCGGTTTGAAAAATGTCGCACCAACCGTCCAAGACGCAAAAGGAGTCATGAATTTAGGCCATTTAACCTGATTAAACGGCGAATTCATTCCTATTCCTCTACCATCCAGACTAGACGTAGATGATTGTCCTGAAGTCTACATGTTTGATACCACGTGAGGATTGTCGTCCAGAGTCCAGAAGAAGGAACTGCCGATGGTCGGAGCACCTCGCTCCGATCTTTCCCAAACTTGGGTGGAAGCTTCTTGGAGCACGGCTTCGTGGCTGGGCAGACGGCTATACGGCTTCTTGTCCATGATTCTTGCAACTCACAGCATGATATGACAGGCCGAGCGGCGCCAGAAGGAGCATGCACCACAAAGCCGTCTTGTCTCTCAAGTTTCAGACACATTGAAACAAGGGAAAGTCAGAGACGACGAGGCCCAGAACTGCGTGACTTTTGCCAACAATTAGCGAGACTCGGAGCATTCTTCAGCCATATGTACTAGCGCTGAAGAGACTCGATCACATGAAGCATGCACAGTGTCGTCATCAATCCAAGATCGAAGGTCGATTTCGAGTCACTGGTTCTCTGAAAGGTCCAGAGATAGTTAAATGCCTGAGGACCTTGAAGGAGACACAGACTTTTGGGTCAATTGAACCCGCAATGACATGCTCTCGTGCCAATTTTACCTGGAGATCCTGCAGGCGGACACTGAAAATTTAGCACATCACGAGGCCGTCGAGATCAGACTTCAAACTTCAAACTTCAGCGAGTGAAAAGAGCAAGGAGCCAACGCCAATCAAGGCAGATTTGGCGGATACCGATGTGGGACTAGCCGCGAGTTTGACGGCGATTAATTTCTCCAAAACGAGCTGGGGGCCGCTGGGCTTCCCCGTAAAACCCCGTAAAATCCCTCGTGTCCGACTTTCTCCATCACCTACGCCTTGTCGTAACTCCTTTGAGCGGCTCGAACTTCGAAGGCGCAAAACTCACCAAGGCTGAAGCTCTTGGCAAGTTCCTGCTCCATGCTCTCCATCCCCCCGGATTGATCTTCACCCCTCAATGGATAATATGACATCTCAGGGGTCAACTTGGATTTCCGATATGGCATCGACGACCAGCCTCCAGGAACCCAGCTTAGTCCAAGGTTCAAAGAAACTTCCCGGTATCGAGTTCCAAAAGATCAAACCGGACAACCCCCGAAAACCGATTGCAGACCTGCCTCGCCTCTCGGTCAGCGGTAACCCGACCCCAAATCTCACTCCCAGTCGCAGCCTCCTGAGAGGCCAGAAGCACCGCAACCGCTTTGAATGAAACCATCGGATCCGATATCTCGCATGATGTGAAGTCATAGCTCCTCTCGTAAACAACATATGCCTCTCTTCCTGCACATTGGCACATCTTCTCTGTCAAGTCTAGCCAGACCACTTACCCTCCTTTACTGACTCGCTCGACGCCACCTCCGTACCAAGTTATTACCAACCTTCACCTCTATCAGCTTCCCTCGCATCACGAATTCGGACGTGAGGAAGTTTCTTACCATAGTCAACTTAACTCTGGTCTTGCCTGGCCTGGTCTCGTGCGCACATCCAGCCCTTTGTTTCATCCTATTCCCGCACGAGTTATTCTGCTTTCCAGCACACCACGCCACCTGAGCCGTTCCGCAACAACCCCTTCCCCCACCATCTTGAGCTCTTAGTCTCCAACACTTAAATTCTAGAAACCGGCGACTCCGTAAAACGCGGGGGTGGTGATCTTTCTGGGACTTCCCAGATTGGAGTCCGTCCACCCCTCCAATTCGTAAACTGCGGGGTACTCCGTGGCCCACAATCCAGTTGTACCTGGGGATATCCCCCTCCCTGGGTGTTAGTTAAATGTCAACTCCACACTCCACGCACGCACAAGCCTAAGTTATGTGATGCACTGACCATCCTAAATGGATCGACTCGAGGATCGAGGCTTGGGATTTCGCCTAATTTGCCACATTTGGGTTTGGAAAATGTTGCTTGTCATGGAGGAAGCTCTGCATGGCAAGTAACGGTGGGTCTGAGCTAAGGCTGCTCTCCTCTGGGTGGTTTAGTGTATCTTCACCCAGAGGGCCATTCTGCTCTGGAGTAGCTGCTTCTCTTTGCTGTTGATGATAGGTGCAGTTGATATTCAGGGCATTTGGAATTTCGGTTTCTGACGGGTGGTGTTTGTGGCGGAAATATATATACTTACAGCGTACATATTGTTTGATCTTATTCAATGCTTCGTCAGGTATCAGATAGGCAATTGAACTTGGAAAGTCACTTGTCATTAATGAAGAACAGGATCTCTGTTAGATACAGGATATTTAAGCCCATCAGTTCACCGCTGGTTGTGGATCCAGCGGCTTGTCAACGGTCATCAACCTTACCCAGTATTATGGCACCCCTTCAAACGGGATGCTCAGCTACCTCCGGATCCCTACTGGAGGCCGACAAATCCTACACATCTACCACCTACTAGTACCACTATTGTGAACAAGACAAACGACTTTGTATATTCAGTCCAACTAAGCCGTCGACATGGCAAGAACAGAGTATGTACTGGGAGGATATCTCGAACAAAAGCAACTAAACACAAAAACGTGACGGCATCAACGGGAGCGAGAAATACACTAACATCCATGGGGGAAGAAACAGCATAAAACAAAAACTAGAGGCATAAAACATGACTTCGTGACCATGACAACAAGAGGGAAAGGAAAATTGCGACAAACAACGACAAAGGAAACGAGTCTTCGACCCATCATCTAGACAACAACATACTAGACGCCTCCACGACCCATCCGCTCAATGGAGCCCATGATACTACTCCTGCCTGGGGTAAAGACTGCAATCCCGGACTTGCCGCCGCTGTTACCTCGTGCGTGTGCACTTCTTGGGGCGCCAATCCTGGGGATTTTTCTCTCGCCGTTGTTCGAGCTTGAGTTGGAGCTTGTGCTTGGACCGCGTCGAAGGCCGCCAGAGCCAGAGCTGCTACGGGTGGTATCTTGCTCGGGTTCTTCAGATTGAGGGCGTTGCGATTCCTGAGGGGGGCCTGGTTCCGGGGTTACCATTTCTTCGTCCCTCGACTGCGACTGCGATGACGAAGCAGCAAGGGGTGGGTTCTGCATAGAGAGCCATTCCTCTACCAGCGCAACAAGGTCGCCTTTCTCTGCACGTTCGGCCTTGAGTTCGACGCGTAGCTGTTCGCTATCGCACTTGAGGGATGCCATCTCTTGCTGCAGGCCCTTAATCTGTGCCTCCAGGACGCGTTTCTCTGCCTCGTGCTCCTCGTTATCGCGAGCGAGTATGCTGGAATCAGGGCGCGCGGACTCGTGCAATGCGGCATCACGCTCGGCCTTGAAGCGCTCACCTTCTTCAGTGGCAGCTCTGAGCCTGTTCTCGGCTTCCCGCAGGCGCTTTTCCCATCTGGCTTCGTAGCTCTTCTTCAGCGCCGCGACCTTGGTTTCGTGCTTGGTCTTATACAGTCCGTGGAGATCATGCGCGACCTTCTGGACCGCTTCCTGGACCTCACGTGCCGTTTCTTCTGCTGTTTTAGTTGGATGGTCGGACGTCCCATGCTCGCAGGTTGCCGTGTTGCGGGCAGCAGTCAGCTGTGTCTCGAGTTCCACGACACGGCTTTCGAGCTGCACTTTGCCCTTTTCTGATTCCTCCATATTCTTCTGCATACGCTCCCTTTCGCGCTCGCCCTCCACTATGTCTGCTTTGACAGAGCGAAGCACTTCTTCCATTTCCCGGCCTCTCCGCTGCCATTCTGTCTGCTCGATCTCTAGGGCTTCCTTGCGAGCAGCAACATTGCGGACTTCCTCCAATGCCTCTCCGACGCGGCGTTCTGCATCTGCTACGGCCTGTTTGAGGCTGGAAACTTCCGCCTCCTTCCCGCTAAGTGTTGCTCTGAGCGAGGAAATCTCGGAGAGGAACCCTGATTTCAGTGACTCTAACTCCCGGGGTGTGATTGTCGGAATTGATCGAGGGGTGGGAGCGGCAGGAATATCAAAGTCAAGCAGACTCATCTTTGCCGGTGTCCTGATAGACTCCCGCGGGTTCCGCAGGGGCGACCGGCGTGAAGGGGAATATCGCTCGTGTGGTTGTACGCTGTATCGTTGTCGGCGGGGGAAAAGGCCCACCTGATCAGTAAGGTCCAGCAGATTCGGAGTCTGACTTGGCTCTTGGGTATCTCTTAAGTCTCTCTTCCTTGGAGTGGGCGAGCCGATGGGTGAGCTCATGTCTAGGAGAATATTCTTTCTGGGCGACTTTTGTGATGTGAGGGGCGTGCCTGGTGCAATATTCTCACGCTTCGTATCGTCATAATCAACCGGGAAATCTGGTAGAGGCCTCGGGCTCTTGTAAGGAGAACCCCCTCGTAAGTTTGCAAAGGCCGTCATATCAACGTTCGCAACCGCCGAGAATGTGCTGAAGCAGGTATCATCCATAGGGTCATGAGAATCGTCGTCGACCATAGCGTCGTCCGCTTGATTGGCTTCTAGGCCTTCCTTGCCGTCCAGAGAGGAGCCCTGATTTTCATTGTTTTCGCGCAGAACAGTACTCATGCCTTCATGTCGCCTGTCCTCGACCATACTGCTCCCAACGTCTTGCGCGACACCATCACCGAAGCTGCGGTCCTGGTCATATTCGGAATCCTCGTCGGCATAGACATTAATCTCCGGAACGTCCCTTCGGCCCGTCCCTCGTTTATACCTATCGCTTTCCTCAGACCCAAAGTCATGTACATCAGGCGTCTGGTCATAAGATCGCTTCCTCGGCGTCGCAGAATGCTCCCTCATACCCAGACGCGCCTGGTATTTCCGTAGCATCTGCATATCAACCGTGTCGTCTCTCCCCTCAGGTCGAAAAGGCGAGCTCTGCAAATCCTGAAATGACTCCTCTTCCTCATTATCGGTCTCTGGCAACTGGGCATCATACCCAGCATCCGCACCATCCCCGTAGCCGAAGCTTTGACGGAGATTGCTGGGCGCATTGTCGATCACATTCTTTGGGCTGAGGAAGGGTTTCTCGGTCTCGAAGTCTGCCGCTAATCGTTCGCCCATGCTTGTCCTTTTCCCCGTAGCATCGTCAAAGTCTGTTGAGAGAGCTCGTGTATTCTGGCGGGATGTCGTTAATGGGGAGAGAGGCTTGGACATGGTCGTAGGGCGGGTCCGCTATGGGAGGCTAGGAAAGTAGGCGGATGATGACTTTGGACAAGGTGAGATTAGATGTGAAGAGAGAATTATAATTCCGGCTGCACCGGTCGCAGGCTTCCCAATGATTTTAACGGTGTGTGCTTGCTGAAAAAAAAAAAACAAAGCTCGGTTTGTTATGATGTCTTCCCCGAGCCGTTGCTGGGATGAGTCGGTAAACAAACGCTAGCCCGAATAGGACTAAAGGACCCACTGAACAGAGGCCTACGACTAGTCCTCAAGACCCTTGATCTTTGTTATAATAATGGGGGCACATGTTCGATTCTCCAATCAGTAATCTATTTAATCATCTCATCATATATCTAATAAGTAGACGCGCTGAACCGCAAATACATAGACGCCATCGTCAACGCAAGACGCAGTCTAAGAACATGGTATCGTGATCCACTGACCACTGCCTCGTGAAACCAAGAAATTCATACCATCGAGGTGTACCTCAATAAAATCAAGAAGAGTATATTTAAGCACGCTCTCCTACCTCATCAACATCCGTCACAAGGATACGGATAGTTTCCTTGTGGTCTTGACCATCACCAGGCGCAAAATGACAGCGTGCAGCCGGCTGGATCGTAGCAGAAGAATGTGGCTTCTGGCTGATGAACCACAGCTGTAGCGCTCCAATGATCGCAACAAACGCGCTTCCCCACCAAGCAAGCGCAGTGAACTTCATGTCCGCTCCTGTGCTGTACAGATACCCAGCAACGGGAGGCGCAATAGTACGCGCGGCAGCACCAGCAGATGCAGCAAGGCCATTGATCTTTCCTAGAAAAGAATCTGAAGGGCATGCTTGTTTAATGAGGATCAAAAGCACCGGGAAATCGATGATTGAAAGGATGTTCCGAGTGACCAGGCAAGCGTAGATGCCGGGATAAAGATAACCGGCCGGCAAGAAGACGAGGAACGGGACCATAAAGTAGGCCAAGGGATGAAGGACGGTGACGATGATGAAAAGCTTCCAGACTCCAAGGTAATGCGCCAAGACAGGGAAAATAAGGCTTTGAATGATAAGTGCGATGATCCCGTCCGAAGAGATAATCAAGCCAACCATACGGGTCGAGAGGCCAATTCCGCCGGGAAAAGTGAGACCCGAGTCGTCTGGGCTAAAGACACCGCGTTTGTCTTGTAGGAATATGGGAAGAAGGTGGTCGTAGGTCATAGAATGGTAGGTGAAGATGGCCAAAGCGACGATGAGCATGATCACACGTGGAGTGAAGGCGGTTTGCTTTTGCGAATCCATCTCGGGTTTGGATCCGTCCCCGTAGACCGTCCAAGCTTCATCATCATGCAGCTGCACTTGATTAAATGTGCCGTAAGATTCTGCTCGTAGGTCGACATCTGGATGGGCAGTTGCCCCCGCAGGCACTAGAAGGGGATGCTCGACTGAAACATGATCCAGAGGCCCGAGGTCGTCCATCGGCTGCATGTCGGGATGAGTCTCTTGCAAGAAGAGCCAGGCGAAAATTATACTGCCAAGAAGTAAGATGGAACAAACCAAATTGGGCAGTAGGTAGGGGAATTTGCCAAAAAGACCATCATGAGAGAAGACAGACGGATAACTTTCAGCAGGCTTTGCAAGTAGTCCTCCAACGGCTGTGACGAGATTGGTTAGTTTTTGATCGTTTCCCGACAATTCGTGATCCACTTACCAGGTCCGATGATGGTGCCGATGGACCAAACGAATGGCATTACTGCATAAGCTCGAGCTGTGACCGAACATGTTAGCTGGCGATCTTGTATGACGCCACAGAGGAAGTTTACTTACGCTCATGCTCAGGTCGCTTGACTATTTCACCGACCATGGTCTGGATAACGCCGATGTTTCCATTGAGCAAACCTCCAAGCGCCCGGCCAAAAAGAGCCACCCAGAAGTTGGGAGCAAGGCCAACGAGCAAAAGGGAGGTGATGGTGCCGAACAATCCGGTGCAGAGAACAGGTTTGCGGCCGATTCGGTCGGACAAAGCCCCCCAGAACATTCCGGTACATGCTTCGACCAAAGAGAAGGTTGCGACGAGGATTCCAGCATAGAAAGACGCGTCGTTGCCATCACCTATGTGGAAGTCCCTGACCATCGCGAAAGCGTAAGCTATGCAGCTTGTCACGGCGATCGGTTCTGCGACCCGACATATTGCTAAAAAGAAAAGATGTCAGCAAATGAATGACTGGCAGCAATTAGATAAGGAGCGGAAATACCTAGTAAGAAGAGTTGTGTGGTTGGAAAGTCGTCCGAAGATGTGTATCTTTTTGGGGTTAATGCCATTTTCTAGAAGTCGTCCAAGTCTCTTACAACAAGCCCTCCACAACACCGAAATCACAGTTCCACTTCTTGTGTTTGGCTTCTATTGCGTTGGCCTTTTATTGCTCTTTGTTTCTGTAAAATTCTTCTATGCTGGGGCCCAAATGACAAGGCTGAAGCAATACTTTTGCCTGTTGCCTGCCCCTAACACACCCAATGCTTATCAGACTAGAACGAAGGTGAAATGCCTGCAATGCAGTGAACGGTGAAAGGGATCGAGTGTCTTGAAAGGTTGTTGGCAAAGAGGGGACGGCGGACGGGAACTGCCTTTAAAGTATGGGCGGCGGTGGAAAAGCGGAGAATCGATTGGCCACTGGCACCTGACCTTCAACTCATGGCGAATTATCTGCAAGTTTTGAATCTTGTTTGAAAAGTTTGCGATTCAATCCTTTAAATCCCGCCAGAACGATCCATGGAACGCCGGAAGCAATAGCCGAGAGGCCTCGCCACTGACTGGTATGCCCCCGGTCTTGGCGGGAGATAAGACCTGGCCTGCTTGCAGGCACTCACAGTACTTGCATCGCGATAACGGTATCTTGCACGACAGAGCCTATAGAATCAGAGGAAGATGATACTAGCATTGTGGTGTAGATAGCTCCAATGCAGGAGGTCCTCATCGTGGTTTAGGTCTTGCGCAAGCCAGGCCAAGCGGGCAATATTGTCCTGCCTCGGCGGCATGATCCCGTATGGCATCCAGATAAGAGCTAGCCGACATCGAGTAGAAGGCGTTCACCTCGCTTTTTGTGCCGAAAGCACGACAGCGGTATGCTATCTCCAGTAATTCAGACAAGTAGTCGAATACGCGTCTCTTTGTGACTTAGAGGACCCTTGTAATGCGCTCGGAAACGACTGGACGCGTACCATTTGCACAGTGGGGGTTTCCAGCCAGTCTAGAGCTCGAAATATTGTTGCGCCAAACGTCATACGGTAATCATTTTTATCGCCTGCGATTATGTACATGATAAGGGCGGCTTGAGGCAGCAAGGGAACGCTTAGAGTCGCGGACTCTCGGAAACTGGCATGTAGGACCGTCGTTCTCGCGCAGCCTATAATTGTCAGCTCTTCCACCATCTTCCAGTCCTCATCACGACCGTGAATCCATACCTCAATCCATTTTTGCACCCAGGGTCTGAAGACAGCCCATATTAAAAGCCCGCCCGTCGCAATTATAAAAATGAACACGATCGCCTCGTCTTTCCTCGAGTCCCTTTCTGTACAGTGAGAAGTTGCGTTAGCTTCAGGATCTCTGGTGATCGTACGGAATGGATATATCAATCGTTCACGTACGAAAACACGTTGTAAAGACATCCTCCTCTTTCGCACCCTTGCAGGTCGGCAAGTCGTAACCTAGGCAAAACTTTCGATTGCAGTCATTGCAACTTAATGAACGATAGTTGCCAGCTCTTTTCTCATTCGATGGATCGATGTCTTCGCTGCGAGTAAGAAAATGGAAGGCATTGTTGAATGACGATGAGCCTCCTTTATCAGGATCGAGAGGGATGATGGTACTGTTCGAGAAGCAGGTGCATTTACAAAATGATGCGGGCGCTGGAAGACGCAGAGGCTGTTAGTCAGAGGTCCTCTAGAGTCAGTTATCGTAGCTCACATACAAGAAGCTAACGCAAATGATGCGCAGGAAACGAATGCGATGAAAAGAAGGGAAAGGCGCGCAATATTGCTCGGTCGTGACATAATGATATAGACACGTTAGGTCGGAGAAGAGGCGAACCTTTCCTGGAATCCTGAACGCGCGCTGAGCTGGTGGTGTGATTATTGGGTGCTTCAGTCGTGTTGAAAGCTAGGCTTATCTTCGAGGCAGATCACGTGACATAAAAGTATATCGCCATCACCAGAGGTTGTATAATATACTCGTTGTTGTTACCGTCTCTATATATCATGCTAGTACACGTCCAGGAGGCTAGAAACTAAGGCTATGATTTCCCCTTCATTCCCTTCCGCCGGTTTTCTCTCTGTCTTTGCTCCTTGGCTGCATCACGCCTTCTTTTTTTCCACGCACGATTGTTGTCTCCTCGATTCTCCCAGAACCATTTGGCAAAATCCGATTCAGCTTTCGAACCGGCGCCTAGCTTAGAGACCGGGCTCTCTGTATGTAGAGACGTTTCGGAATTTTCGGACGGGTTCCAGTTTATGGTTTTTGTAACCTGAGATGTGTCAGGCGTGGGTGCGGCACTCCTGAGCCCGCGGTCTTGAAGGTCTCTCTTGGTGAAAGGCGTGAGTGGTGCTATTTTTGCCGGCGCCTCGTCTTCGGATTCTTCATCTCCTTGACCAAAGAAACTAAACTGCGCAGGCGGCTCCGAATCGGGCTTTTTCTCTGCAGCTGGCTTTTTAAAGAGCGCTTCTAGCGGGTGGATATCCGCCGGCTGTTCTTCGCTTTCTGATTTCGTCGAGTTTGATTTACCCAACAGCTTAATTTCAATGCCTGACCTTTTCCCCTCGTCATTTTCAGATTCATCGGCATCGGACTCGTCGGACGAGGTACTTTCATCACTCTCCGAGTCCGTACTGTCGCCTTCCGAAGACGACGAGCCACTTGAAGAGGTCCAGTCTTCCGATTCTGACTCCATCGCATTAGGCTCCGCAGATTGGCTCTTTGTCTCGGCCTTCTCAGGTTCTTCACCCTCGGGGAGCGGCTTGACCTTGGTTCTTTTTGGCTTTTCCTTGTGTCCCACAACTTGCCCCGGTCTGTATTGATCTTTCCTGATTCGCTCACTGGCCGGTTCCTTCAGGTCCCCAGATTCGTCTATCCAGCCTTTGTCTTCGTCAAACGTAGTTGTGACAGCTTTACCACCATCGTTGGACCGGACGAATGTAGGTTGCATAATTGTCTTGGAGAACTCATGAACAACTGACTCCTGCGATGACTTGTCCTTCTTGGATTTTTTTTTCGACTTCTCGGGCTCGGGAGATGCCTTATTTGGTGGCACCTTTGTTCGGAACAGACACTCCGCCTTTTCGGTATACTTCGATTTCAACTGAGACTTGGCGCTCTTTTCATCCTTGCTTTTCGACCTTTTCTCCTTCTTTCGCCGGTCTGCCTTGTCATTTGCCGACTCCGTCCAGCCCCTTTTGACCTTGCGGTCTGACGGAAGTTCGTAGCCCTCTAGCACGTTATCTTCGGCCTTGTGTTTTTTGGACTTCTTGCCTGAAGAAGGTTTGTCGCCTGAGGGAGTGTTCTGCCCGTCCTCATCTCTTTGTCGCTTTTGTGGTCGAGCTGACTCTACTTTGAACTTCCGACCCTTGAGGATAGACCCATTGAGCTTCTTCTTGATCCTATCGGCCTCCATCGCTGGTAATGTCACGTAGCCGTAGTTGTTCTCAGGGAAGGTCGGGATTTCGTGGAACGATATGTCTGTCGCAAGAGGACGAATCGATGCAGGTAGGACTAGTGGGAGGAGCTCCGGATTGAGGGGTGAAATATGCAGGCGAGTCGTAGCTGTGGATGGAGAAGTCATTTGGGGAACGCCTGCGCTTGACAACGGTGACCAAAATTCGCTGTTAATATAGGCCACATTAAGTTCGGCTCAAGTAAGTGGGAACTGATAATGTGAACAGATAAATGAAATATGATTGCACTAGCTGGCTGCAATTAGCAATTTTAGATCAATTCATTATGATTGAAATTCCAAGGGTCATCATCTCGAAATGTTGGTCGCGAAAGGAAACCTCGAAAACAACTAGAACTTTTTTTTGCGGCAGAAATCCAGGCCGTGGCGCAGCAGGGTAAAGAAGAGGTCTCAGCCACAGCTGGAACAGACATGTCTTGCCAAGCCCCTCATACTACATCAGCAGCGTTCTAGCGGCATATAAGAACAAAGGCCAACAACGTTGTTTATAATGGTGTCGGTCCCATCAAAGGCCAGATTCCCAATTCTCCTTCGCCTTGCGACAGTTGACTCGATCCAAGTTGCCTCGAACCTCTGCTGCCGTTTTGCAACTTCCACTCCCCCAGAAAGACGCATTTGGAGTAGCAGTGAGTTTATGTAATTATTACCCTTACGTCGCCCGTACCACATTGATACGGGCGTACAGCCCATTATTGAACTCAAAAGGTCATCGATCTCACGATTCGCTCGTTCCCCATCTTCTCTTCCGCTACTGCGAGACCTCCATTTCATCCTTCACGCTCCAAATCCCATCTTGAACATAGCTTTACTGCGCATAACTTATTTTGGTTTCTTGGTTTAGAGTCTCTTGCGTCCATTTGGTCTGATCGTCGCGACTCGTCGCCTTGTCGTCTCTTTCCGTGGTTGACCGAGAGCTAACGGACGTCTGATCTCATCGCGGCTTCCACTTCCCGCTTACGGTCGTCGCTCATATGGCCACTTTGAGTTCAGTTTCGCATGGTCATTGCTATCCCTGCCTTTTCTCCTCGCGCGACTAGGGTTGGCCTCTAACCAAGCGGTTCCCTGTTGGGCTTCGTCCCCCAGTCGTGTCCTCATTTCATCATCCACTATCTCCGGGGGCAGGTATCGTCTCCGCTCTCTTATCCGGGCCATCGCAGTCAGCCCCATTCTCCCCTCTTCTCCCACAATCTACCTTTCGGCTTACCAGCCGATCTGGCCTACCTTGTTCTTTCTTCGCCCTAACCTATCCACGCCAAATTATTGGTAATGGGCAACTCTCAGACGAAAGAGACCCGACCGTCTCTCTCCCAATCATCCCGCCGCAACCATCAATGGGGTTCCAGCGGAAGCCAGGGAAGATCCCCGTATGGCGACCGACATCATCCGGAGGGTTCAAGATCGCACCGAAGCAGTAGGCCGGACCTGTCTCTTCTCGGAATTGGTGGAAGCTCAGAGCGCGATGTGGCGACGATCCTTGACCATCGGCGAGAAACTAAACAGGAGCGAGAAGCTCGCCGTCTAGAAAAGGAACGCGCGGCTCGCCTGAAAGAACGAGAGCGGAGTATGAAAGAGGAGCATGTTGACGGAGGTTATCTGGTTACACAGGGTGTCTATACAGGGACGGAAGATTTCAACAAGGCCGTGGTCCGCCAATTGATGGTAAATGACTATGCGCGTGACTCAACCGTTGGATAATGCTGACTACTTCACGTAGATTGAACGACGACTTGCGCCGTTTTGGAGAGGTCTGAATGATTTCTCGGATTCGTGGACGGAACATCAACTGATGGCAGTGGCGCGCGGATTGCCTATACCCCCGCCTGATGAGATTCCTCCGGAGTTGGAATATAGAAATCCGCCGAAGGCGAGCGAAGACGCCCGCGAGGCGTTAGATACGAGGTCAATTCAACATCTGACCGTTCCAATCACCTCTCGATCGGCATCCTATGGTTCAGATGCCTCTCATTCATCTACCCCTGCCCATTCTCTACCTTCCCCTTCCCCTATTGCATCCGGTACCTCAAGCTCGCCTTTGTTTCGCTCGAGGGCAAAGACACTCGCTTCTTTGACAAGCTCTAGGCACAACTCCCAGACCGAAACGATCCCCCGGGAAATACAGCTACCACGGGATCCGTTTGTCAATGGTCAACCCATTGAGGCGTACCTCTACAAGGATGCCTCTGAGTGTCCTATCTGCTTCCTCTATTATCCTCCTTATCTCAATCGTACGCGATGTTGCGACCAGCCTATTTGCTCCGAGTGCTTCGTTCAAATAAAACGCCCAGACCCCCATCCCCCAGAGCATGCGGATTCGGACTCGAACACCCCGGCCCCAGCTGCAGAGACCGAGCGAGCGGAGAATCAAGAAATCCAGCTAGTTTCTGAGCCTGCGGCGTGTCCGTTTTGCGTTCAGCCCGAATTCGGTGTGACTTATGCACCACCTTCATTCCGCAGAGGGCTAAGTTACGCGTCTGATCCAAATGGCCGTCCGAGCATAGCAACTCCTCTATCTTCCACGTCATCTCTTTCCTCCGGGACCACTCCTGCTGCTACAACTACTACTGGTCGGAGACGCGCGACATCCCTATCTGCGAGTGATCCTAGTGTGATTACAACTGACAAGGTACGTCCAGACTGGGCTCAGAAATTGGCAAATGCTCGTGCGCATGCGGCTCGAAGGTCCGCGGCAGCAACTGCTTTACACACCGCCGCCTACCTGATGAACTCCAACGGATCTGCAAATGATTCTCGAGGATTTGGACTCGGCAGACGAGGGGTTGTGCGACGCCATGGCGGGCAGGAATCTCCAGGCACTCCCGGTCGAAGCGGCTCACCGGCACTTCAAGCGCTTGCATTCTTGACGGACAGACGCGCACCCGGCCAAGAGACAGACTCTGCCGAGGAGGGAACAGGAAACCTAGCACCGCCACGAAACAGCTCTAGAAGGACGCGAATCGACGATCTGGAGGATATGATGATGATGGAAGCTATTCGACTAAGCCTCGCAAGCGAGGAGGAGAGACGAAAAAGAGAGGAGAAAGGAGCGAGGAAGGAAGCCAAAAAACGTGAAAAGGAGGTAAAGAAAGCCGAGAAGATGGCTCGCAAAGCTGGCCTATACAGCAACAACGCAAGCAGCTCTGCCCTAGAGTCGCCGCCAGATGCTAGACTGGGAAAGGTTGCTAGCAGTTCTTCATCTATCGCGGGTGGCGAGGACACAGCTTCATCTGGAAAAGGCAAGGCAGTAGAGCGGGCCTCTTCGCCGACTGATAATGCCGATCATGCCGATTCTGCTGGCTCTGATGATGCACCGCCTGGCGTGGCAGAGTATCTGCAGCCTCAATCCTCGTCTTCAGGTCTTCCATCGACACTTCGGGAGCCTTCAAAGCCATCGCATCTTCGCCATGTTTCGAGCGCGTCGTCGTCCTTTTCTTCACTTGTCGAATCGATGACCGAGGAGCATGGGAGCTCGTCTCAAACGGGGGAGGGCACTAGCTCATCTACCGAGCCATTATTCAACTTTCGCAGTCTGGCTGCTGTCATTGGTGATGAGGACAAACCAGACGAATCACCAGAACATATTGAAGACACTACGCCTCGCTCGACGTTGGAAGGGTCGGCATCAAACGCCACTGCCCCGGCTAGCGAGCCCTCAACGCCAGAAGCGGACGCAGCCGCGCAGGAAGGCCAGAAAGTCGAGGAAAACCAAGAAAGCTTGAGTCCGAAAGAGATTGAGGCACGATCGGTAGAGATCACCCATGGCATAAATTCGGAGACGACTTCATGACGCACTCTCCATAACTCCTCATCCGTTCCCCGACATGAAGCTGCAGCCCGAATCATTGGAGCTGCTGTCGCTAGCAATGCAAGTCATTTCTTGGTTTCTCGGTGGAAAAAGCGACATTCCTTTCGTTTTTCATTGTTCTTTTTTTAAACCTTTTCTTTCATTGGCATTATGGGTTTGGGAGGTTTCTTTCGCTCTTCACATACGTCATATAGTGCTATAGATTTCTTTTTTCTTATGTTCCCATGTGTACCAGCTGGGATGGGCAGCCGAACTGCATATTTGAAAGGTTCTGAGGGTATTGAAGCTCGATGGTTTTGTACAGGCGAAGACTTGTTAATCCTTTTGGAATAGAGCAAAAATACAAACAGCTATCTGTACGTTATTATTGATGTCGCAGATCTTGACAGGGGCAAGGGTTCGATTGGAGGAGCGCTTCCAGTTGGCACGGACTATAGATCCGAGTAAGATTGCGATGTTTATCAGAATTTCAATGGAGGGGAGCAGCAGCGGGATCAGGTTTCAACGCGTTTCAACTTTCAAGGACTGGGCTCCACCGATACTTGAGAAATGAGAACGTGCATCGCCTCGAGGTTCAGCATTAGGTTTGCAACGTGGGAGAGGCGGTGAAAATGACACGATTATGTGGTTGCGATCTTGATCTTACATCGTACTCTTCAGTGTGAATCTGTACCACCTGGGCTGGTGCGTGCTGCGAAGATCGGCACTGCAAGATCCTGCATTATCGCTGTCAGTTGCGACTTTAACTTGGGATTCAAGTGTGGAGAATTTGATAGGAGGAGTTGGAACTTGTTGAGGCCCAATTTTGGTCCTCTCTTTCCAACCCGATAAACTCCCTTTCAATAGTGCAACTGACCAGAGTCTGACTTAATTTCACTAATCATCGCCAAGCGGGGGCTACTGCAACGGACGCGATGCTAGAACCAGACAACGCGCGCCAATCACTCGCTCTCGCGCTGTTCGGCATCTTCGGATTGGAGATTCCCAGCTCGTCTTGAAGTCCGGCTTTTCAGCCAATCTACGCATGACAGCAATCTCGACGAACACCAGTTCCACGCCGAGTCAGGCTTGACGAGCGCGATACGGAGACAGAAGAAGCAAAAAAAAAAGGCAACAGCAACGATCAACAGCTAGCGAGCCCGCCGGCCATCCTTCCTACGATTTGCATCATTTAATGAGACTGATGCGCAGTTCCTGATCCCTGACAGAGGGCCCATAATGATGTGACGGATGGATCTGATATATAACCCTCTCTGGCCATCGCCTTCGGTGGATCCGTGGTTCAGCCTCTGCGAAATCCTGCTCGTTCCTGGATCCAACGGCACCGCACCTTTCCATTTATTTTCGCCTCGATTCTCCCTTTTTCATTAGTGTTTTGCGTGATTGTTTTTTTACTCTAAATCAACTGTGGCTGCCTGAGCTCATTGTATTCCAGAGTGGCTGCCTCTGGATACAACAAACATAATTACTTTGATATCCGCGATCTTGTCGCAGTCACAATCACAATCGCATTCGAGCGGAGAACCCGAATTGACGTCAAAATTCCGCTCTCAAAGAAAAAGATGGCCGTGTCGGACAAGGACCGGCCCCGCGGCCTGCGAGTGCCCTCACTCTCTACGTTTAGATCTAAAAACAAGCAATTGGATCCAACTCCTACCATTCAACTGCCTTCGCCCTCACAGTTGTCGCTGCACACAGATTCTCTCTCTATACCCTCATCTAGTCCGCTGCAGAAGGCATTGCCATCACAACCGTTGCCGTCCCCGCCGCAACCGTCCTCGCCTGCGGTGATAAACCCATATCCATCTCCCCCGCAGGTATCCCACTCGCAGCCTTCACCTATCCCGAACCTAAACTCGGCTCAGTACAATCGCAATGACGCCCCTCCTCCTCCCCACCACGCCAATCCTCCCTCCAGACCTATGGCCCGGTCTATTCCACCCCCCAACTCCCAGCCGACCCGTCGACCTGTCCCAGGCTCCGCGCCAGTAACAGCCACAGCCCCAGGACCACAATATGCACCAGCCCCGATCCCAGCGCAAGCAGCCAATCCAGTGAACCTCATGGTACCGCAACAGAGAACCCCACCTTCCAGCGAAGGCGGCTCCGAGCAGCGCCTCTCCAACGGCACAAGCGACTCATTAGAAGACTTCATCCCCGACCCCGAGCCCGAGCCTGAACTCGACGGCACAAGCGGAACACCCAATGAAGCCGGGTCAAGCGAAGACGACGACAACAGACCCTGGACTCCTCCCGAGGTCGAGCCGGTTCCCGTCCCGCTCAACAAACTGCATTACTCGTGCTACCAGGAACACCGCGCAATGCCGGCTGCCGCGAACGTGTGGTATGCGCTGCCCTGCATGACGTGTCAGAAGTTTGACCGAGAGATCCGCCACCGCTGCGTCTTTTGCTGTTTGCGTGTTTGTGCGGATTGTTTCACGGCGCTGAAAAAGATACCGCAGAGGTCGCTGGCGGACTTGATGCAGACAATTGAAGTAAATGGGAATGGTGCGGCGATTCAGCCGTCTGTGACAGAAACCTAATTTAATCTCCACAGCATACCCTGAAGATGGCAGTCGCTGATCTATCTTCTCATCTGTTGCCGTTCCGTTCGAAATGTTCGTGTAAATGATCATATAGTAATACCCTGTTAGGGTGATGATTTATGTGATATTTAATCTAATGTCAATGCTTATGTCAAACTTCGTGGTCCTATAGCCGGTATCTATAAGTAATATTGTAACTCCAACTCCGATCAACGCAAGGGAACAGTAAGGGTGTATAGGATAGAAAATATAGTACAAACATATATTGGACAGCCATCAATCATGGTCCTCCTCGGTCACACCAGGACAACCCTCCATCTCTTCTGCATTCTCGTAGCGATACTTGCACCAGAAACAGTAGTAGTGTTTCTCGCGCAGGTATTCCACCAATAGCTTCAACCGTTCCGCCGGCTCTAGAGCATTGAACTCGTCTAGCTCGGGGTCTTCTTCTTCGAGCTCTTGTTCGAGGACAGTGGTGAGGTCGGGCCCGTCACTGAGCGCTTCGCGGTCTTCCCGATCTAGCGCGGCATCTTCGTACCCCGGTAATCGTGGGTTCGGGAAGAAGGACGTTGGTAATGATTGCTGTAGCATATGTCTCGTTTGGATGGCGCGCTCTTTTTCTTCGCGCTCGCGCACGAGGCCGCGGTAGAGAACGCTGATTTGGGAGGTTGGTTTCACCGGTGCTTTGGCTTTGGCCTTCTTCGGCTTTGCGCCATCGGACTCGTCCTCTTCCCCATTCTCATCGCTCCCTTCGGCCTCGGCATTGTTCGCTGCATCCAGTTCGGCCTCCCCATTCTCCTCCGCATCCAGCCGCTCCGCAACCTTCTGCGCGGCATGAACCTGCGCCTCGGTCCGCTTCATCTCCCGCTCCAGTCTTACTCGATCTCGATAATCGCCCTGATCCTGCTTCACCTTCTTCACGGCATCCTCAGCCTCCTCGCGGAACTTGCGCTTTCGCTCACTGTCCAGACCAATTCCTCCTCTATCCTCCTTGAAGATGAGATTCAGAGGTTCTGCGTGACCGTGCGCCTGGGAGTCACTGCCATCTTTATTATCATCCTTATCACCTGACGACCCTAAGCCGGTATCGACAGCACCAGGCGCTTGTTGCTTTCCTAACGTCTGACCCGGCTTGAAACCCAGCTTCGCCATCATCTGGAACCCCTTGTTGGAGGGGTTGAGTGTGCTCGTTGCAAGCGCTGCATCGCGTTTGGCGGCTTCTTGGGCGGCGCGCTCGGCTTTTGAAGGGACACGCGCGCGGGCTTCGGCCTGGTAAAGGTTGAAAGGTCAATTGTTTGCTGATTCAGTGCAATGAGAGTGACTGCGAGGGGCGTGTAGTGTACCTCTCGTTGAAGCCGGCGCTTCTTCTGTGTAAATGTTTCTTTTTGTTGCGGCTCCTCGATGATCATGTTCATGTAGTCATCTTCCTCGTCCGAGGCCATTTTTTCGTGCGGGGTTGACCGCGAACCGGGGATTCGAGAGTTGGGTTGGAGAAGCTTTCGTTGGTGAGAGAGAAGGAGAAGAGGAGGGAGTGATCGTCGGAGGAGGTTTCCTAGTCAAAATGAGGAGAGACCAGGGTGAGAATCCAAGCGGGAACTTCGGATGCAATGACGACAAAAAAAAGGTAGCGAGATGACTTCAAAGTTGAGGTTTTGCGGGGAAAAGTCGACGGGGCCGCGCCTGCTTTAGCCTCATTAGGGTTGGTGCCTGAGCGCCGAGGCGGTGAACATATACTTCTTTTCTTGTTCAACCTTCGCCCTTTTTTCACCTCACTTCAGCATATGTCTTGGCTCGGCGCAAAAATGAGCCATTATTGCGTTTCTGCTTCCCATTGCCTTCAAACCAGACTACAATGTCTGGCAATAAAGATGTTATGCCTTCGGGAAAAGCTTTCTTTCGTCGCGTGATCAACGGCTTAGCTGCAGCTCCAGCGCGGGGTTCGTTGACACTACTTTAGCAGCCCACCTGGTGGATGTGTATCGATTGCAATCAAGCCCGTACCCCTCATCTTATGAGCTCATGACCTTGACTCAGTCCGATGTCAGCGAGGCTGTGCCCGCGACCCCAAGAAGGGATCTGTCGCAAATCCTGGCATTTTTCTTTTCCTTTGACTCTTGCCGATCACCGCAATGTGGCTTCAGTAGCGTTGACACGATCGTCGATTTCCTCCACTCAATCGTGAGAAAGAAAGCCAAGCTCCGCTACACTCGTCGTGGCATCAAAAGCAACCTTAAGTTGCTGTCGACTTTTAAATCAAGCCTGACCGACCGCACGGCCGATAACTTGTTGGTCAATTAATCATGCCATCACGTGGGGACCCAGACCCCTTGATTTTTTATCCTTCGGTCCTTCCAATAGCAAGGAATGACGCAGGGAAGGTGTCTGGGTCCACGCGACGCGGCGCATCTTGCTTCTTCTGATGGTTTGCTGAAGGGTACTTTAAGTCAGGGTGAGGCCGCTGAGGCACCTTTCCCGCCGCACCGTGCGGTTGACCTACTATGGCCAGGATCTCCACTAGGATGATGTTGACCCAACTGTTGGTGCTGGCTGTGTTCTTCGCTACAGTCTCTGCTAGAGAGGTCGTTGTAGACCTTGGATACGCACGTTATAGAGGCGAGACTCTGTCTAATGGTGTCGCACAGTGGCTAGGGATTCGCTACGCTGCGCCTCCTCTTGGGCCTTTGCGGTTTTCTGTGCCGCAGGATCCAGAGGAAGTGGCTGGAGTTCAGGATGCATCTCAGGTACGTCGACGATTGACGGATTTGAGCGATCATGCTTAACAGTGAACCCAGCACGGCCCCCTTTGTATTCCGATTGACAGCTACCCCATCCCGCAAGAAGCATCCGAGGATTGTCTGTTTCTTGATATCTACGCACCAGCAGGGTTTAGAGGACGCTCGGCAAGGCTCCTGCCTGTATATGTCTTTATTCAAGGTGGTGGCTTCAACACTAATGGAAACCCCTATTACAATGGGACTGGTCTGATTCAAGCATCCGATATGGGCATTGTCATCGTCACCTTCAACTACCGCGTTGGCCCCTATGGCTTTCTGTCTGGCGTCGAGATCCGCGAGGGTGGCGGCATAAATAATGGCCTGAGGGACCAGATTCAGGTTCTTGAATGGGTCCAAAAGCACATCAATAAGGTAGGCTCGCTATGAAGCAGGGTATCTACTATACTGACCATTTAGTTCGGAGGAGATCCAAACCATGTGGTCATAGGAGGTGACAGCGCTGGCGCCGCCTCCATCACCCTGCTTCTTTCTGCGTACAATGGTCGAGATGACGGCTTATTCCACGCAGCTGCCGCGGAATCACAGAGCTTTGCCTCAATGTACACCGTTGATGAAGCGCAATTTGCATATGACAATTTGGTTGACCGCACCGGCTGTAACACTGCAAAAGACACCCTCGCCTGCCTTCGTAATCTGGATGCCGACGCACTTCAACGCCAAAACATCGCAACATCTCTCCCAGGCGCCCAAGAGCCTCCGCTCTATTTCTATGCACCGGTTATTGACGGCGACCTCGTCCCCGACTACACTTACCGCATGTTCGAGGAAGGCCGCTTCATCCCAGTCCCCGTCATATTCGGCGACGTCACGAACGAGGGCACAGTATTCACACCTATGAATCTGACCTCCATAACGGATGTGAACAATTTCCTTCGAGATCAGTTCCCCGCCCTCACTCCTAGACAGCTCTCCCGTATAGATCAATACTATCTCCAAAACGTCAACTCCACACAGCCATACCTAAACTCCACACGTTACTGGCGCCCAGCAAGCGATGCCTACGGCGAACTCCGCTACAACTGCCCCGGCATGGCCATGTCCGCCGCATATGCCAACGCCGACATTCCCAGCTGGAACTATCACTACTCCGTGCTCGATCCAGAAGATGAAGCCTCAGGCGACGGAGTATACCACGTCGTCGAGCTCAACGCCATCTGGGGCCCTGACAATGTTTGGTACTCTGAGGACGTGGGCTCGCCACCGCCGGCTTCGTACTATACGTCGAATGCGCCCATTATTCCCGTCATGCAGGGGTATTGGGCGAGTTTCATTCGCAGCTTTGATCCGAATACGTTTCGGTATCCGGGGAGTCCAAGGTGGGAGACTTGGGAGGGAGGTCGCTGGGGTGGAGGTCAGAGGCTTTTTATTCGTACGGGCGAGACGAGGATGGAGAGTGTGCCTGCGGATCAGAGGGAGAGATGCGACTATCTCATTTCGATTGGGGTGGAGATTTTGCAGTAGCATGCCTTCACTACATCACTACTACCCTATTCAATATATCCACAATGATATACTCCGTATACGAGTCTAAATACGAATTGAAACGAGGTAAACTTTTTTCTTCCTTTCCAATGCAAAGCATAAAATATAAGGGTAAACTGTATACACCCGCGATAAATGCATAGCATGCACAAAACACCAATCATCGAAGAAGGATATGGTACGGAGTAATCGTCTACCTCTTCCCCTGCCGCAACCTCTTCTCCCTCTCATACGCATTTGCCTCACGGCCTTCCTCATTCTGCACCTCAGCCACAAGCCGACGATACTTGCGCTCATACTCCGCATCCTTCTCCTTCTTTTCGCGCAGCTTCTCGCGAGCCACAAAGTTGGCATCCTTGCGCAGCTCGCGCATCGCACCCTTGCGCTCGCGCTTGTACTCGGCCTTGAGCCGGTTGAGTTCTGCGCGTTCGCGGTTGGGATCGTAATGCTTGTCAGGGTTGAAGGTGTCTTCGAATTTGGGAATCGCAGCTTTGATCGCGAGCGGGCGGTGGTTGTGTAGGAGTAAGGGGCGGCGGGCTTTGTTTGCGGTTTTGAGGTGGGTGGTGAGGCTTGATATGGTGGTTTGAAGGGTTGTGAGGGCTGAGGCGGGGAGTGACGATTGTGCGGTCTTCCTGGTTTTTTTGTTGGGAGCGGTTGAAGAAGAGGAGGCTATGTGCTGGAGGACGGAGAGAGCTTGTTGGAGGATTTCTGGGGCGGCGGATTTAGAGGACCACAAGGTTGACGCTGTGTTTAGGAGGGAAATTAGGGTTGTCAGGAGGGCGAGTTTTAGGTCCTCCGTTTCTGAAGGGGTGGTGGTGTTGGTGATGTCCCAGAATTGGAGTTTGCGAGGGTTCAAAGTCTTTGAAATTTTGAGACGGAAAGACTGGGAATGTGAGTTGGTATCGGTAGGATTGCGCACAGGAAATGAGGCCAGGCGTGGTTGAGAAGGGGGAGCCTCTGGGCTAAGGAGGCAGAGTGCGTTTAGGATGTAGTTGAGACACTCGGGCATGTAGCGTTGCGAGACCGTTTGGTACTGTAAGGCTAGACTCGCAGCGTAGGTACCCGTGCATAGATCTGAGACGCTGTTCACGGGACCCTGTCCGAGGTACCGTGCGACGCACAGGTGGGCGGGCGTGGAAATTGCATGGAAGTGGTCTGAGGTAGGGAAAATTGCGGCCACGCCGGTGAGGATGACAAGGTCTCCCGGGCGCAGGTTGAGCGGGCGATCCGTCGCGATTTCACGGAGCTGCGCCCTAAATGCTAGAGAGACGCTCTCAGGGTGAGTCTTTGCAAGCGAGTGGATGTGTCGGAGGACATTCTCCAGGATAGCAAAGGGAGGGTGTTCGGGTTGATCAGCCATGTATGCGACATGCTGAACGAGGATGGCAGCAAAGCGGCCAAGCTTCGCTTTATTTTCGCTGTGGAGGCGGGGGTGGTGCAGGGCTCGAATTCGCTGAACGACTGTGGGAAGGTTCTCATATGAGACGTCTTTAATGATCTTGAGGAATTCCTCGTGCGTCCCAGGACATGGATATGTGTATGCGAGACCGTCCGCGGGCATTTCTGAAGTAGCTGCGTCGCCGGGCTTGCTACCACCAGGGAAAGTAAGGCCGTTTATAAGTTCGTCCTCCTGCTCGGATTCCTCCTCGGAATCTTCTGCGGAATCAAGCATGTCGTCGTCTTCTTCATCAAACGACGCACTCACGTCTGACCTCGTCTCTACGAGATCGTCCTCAAGGATAAAGTCGTCTTCGTCGTCAATACCTTCAGGACGCGAAGTGGAATGGCTCGTAGGCTGCTGCAGTCCGAAATCCTTTGCATCATCTGGGAGTGACTCCTCTTCAAACATGTCAGCGTTCTCATCGTCTTCGTCGACTTCCTCCTCTGCGGCTTCTGCTTCATCTTCGCTAACTTCCTCGCCACGCATCCGACGAACTCGTTCTTCCTCTAGTTTCTTCAACCTCTGGGCTTCCTCCTCGACCTTCTCTTCTTCCGTCTTTGTACGGTCCGTGGGCATCGATCGCTTGTCGAACGTCAGTTGCTTCAGACGTTGATCGTACTCCGCCTCGGTATCCCCTTGGGACTTGCCCTGCAAAAGGGCTGCGCGATCGGGGTTCATTCCGGCTATGTCGCTCTTCGGAGGTTCCGGTTTTGGTGGGGGCTTTACGCCTCGGAGCATCTCGAAGAGATCTGGTAGACCTTTGTCGAGCTCTTCACGCAAATCATCATCATCCTCCTTGGCCATCTGCCGCTGCGCTTTGTAGAACTTGGACTTGGCGATGACTTCTTGCATGACCTCGTGCTTTGACTTTTTCCTCCCGGGCACTTCTTCCTCGTCTTGCGACCCAGGTTCCTCAAATTCGCCGTCGTCGAGAACTCGTTTCCGCTTGCGGGGTATCTCAGAGTCGGACATATCGTCTACTTCCAAGTCTTCCTCGAAATCATCCTGAACTCCTTCTCCGTCTCCAAATGATAGTGATTCACCCTTGTGTGTAAGAGTAAATTCCTCTTCTTCATCATCGTCATCATCCTCTAGGTTGAACATTGAATCTTTGCGCATCTTCTTTTGACTGGCTCTGGCGAATCGTTCCGCAGCTCTTTCTTCGGGGGTCATTGTAGGGTCGTTCTCACCGAATCGGCGATCCATGATACCGCCGACTTTGTTCTTTCGGTCCATTTCCTGCAGCAAGGTTTGACGTCTCTGCGATAAAAGCGTCAGCAGTATACTCTCCTAATAGTATGACAATCGTACCTTTTCTTCACCAAGAGACTTTGTAACACCAGGCCGGAACCGCCCAGCAGCGGGCTTGGAACCGCCATCGCGCGTAGTAACATCAAACTTATTCCGAGAGACCGTCCTAATCTCAAAAGGGTTGAATCGATCTCGAATAGCGTCAAGAGCGGCTTCGCGCTGGCCTCGGTTTTGCGCATTCGCACCGGACTTTGCATTTTGGCGCTTCTGCTTCTTAGACTTTTGAGGACCTACCACGCCGCTGTCGCGGAGCGATGCCTTGAGCTGCTTCAGCTGCGACGGAGGCATGATTGCGTGGCGGGCGTCGGTGCAGAAGAAGCTCTTGAATTCGTTCTCCGCCGAATTTTCTGGAAGAGATTCACCGCCTTGTATTCTGCCCGCTTCCGGGCATTGTTCTCTGATGACATCGTCACATTGATGGATGTGAGCTGCAATGGCTTCTCATATGAGTGATAGGTTATTATGGGTATGTCTAGGTATGTGAAACATTAACCTTGTATCTGCTTGGATTATTGCTGACCCTTTAGGCGTGTCCCTGTTCTTCGCGGTTCGCGGAATTGCTGCCGACCTCCACCGAGTGAACGAGTTGACTGAAATCAAAAATGACGACAATGATGACAAGATAATTAGTGAGGGGACGGAAGATGGTCGGTCGCGCGCTTCATATCTTTAAAGTGCAGGAGCTGATCCACGGTAGCTCTCAAGCTCGATACACTATTGAAGCTCTCCAACAGCACAAGCTATGATCTTCGCTCTGCGTATGGAAGACTGGCTTGACTGTCAAAGTGACGAGCTGACAATGTCACAGGGCTTTGCGCATTATTGCTGAACGATCCGTGAAAGGAGATACCCGAGAGCTGCTTCTCAAAGACCTCGCAAGCAGAACCCCCGAGCAGAGAAACAAAGCCCTCGCGGCAATGTACTTCCTCGTCAACAACCGAGCTCGTACGTCTCAGGGCAGTAAACACCATATATCTCACATAACTAATCAGCAACTGTAGTCTCCCGGACCTCCGTATGCTCCCGACTAAAAGACCTCCCCACATACACCGCCTTGGTTGATTGCCTCGTCAACTTCCTCGACGAGCACGACGAGAAGACTTCTGGAACAGTCTCTCCCATATTACCCCAAACACGACCCGTCGGTGAGAAGAAGGCTTTGAGCACTTTGAACATACTCTTGCAAGAGAATACCCCCGCTGCGCTAGAAGCTGGCGTCGTAAGCCGGTGGCTCGCCAAATACCCCTTCCCATGTGCAACCACGGAGCCCTCTCGACGACAAGATGTGGTGATACTCATGAAAACATGGTGGTCTGACGACGCAGTAATGAGCTCTATATTTGCTACGCTATCATCTCACCCGGACGGCGCCAAACAGCTACGCAAGCACGGGTTGATGGGAAGCATGTTGGAAGAGAACGACCATGATGAGGTTAGCGATGAGAATGATGAAGACGACGAAGAGAGCGATGTGTGGATGGTAGATGGTGACGACACTGCTGGCTCAAGCCGGGTTCCTGGGCGACGGCCTCATAACCGCAATCCAGAGGAACAGGCTTTACGGAGGCGAAGACGAGAGGCCATGGTACTGAGTGATGGAAGACGCCCAATAGGGCATGACGATATCATACAGCTTCCCATTGTTGAGTGATGCATATAATCTGAAAATATGCATGGACTGGGAAAGAATACTGGTTTACTTCATTTTCAGACGCTATGATACCCAACGCATTGTCTATGATTGATTGATTCATGTGCATTTCATCTTCTTAAAGATAATTCATAATCCCATCCAAGCCGACTTTGCAGCGTGATCCATCTTCTTCCGACTATGCTTGAGCATTCCAAGTGCCCTGAGCTCCGATATTGCTCTATAGAACAGCGCCATCGTCATTCTCTCATCACACTGGTCACCCTCTTCGCTTTCAAAGACGGCATGGAACGCCTGCCACAAGTCGTGAATATTGACCAATGCTCCAGACTCGAGATAAAGCTTATATAAAATCGACGTCGGGGGCTGTTTCGACGAAATCTTCCCCTCCGGGCTCTGTGACGAGGATATCAAGTAATCAAACGGATTTGACAATGCGCGTTCAGTGGCGAACCGCGGCCGCGGAGCAAAGACCTCTTTGATGGGATTTCGCGCGTCGAATAGGAAAGCCTCGTGAAGCGGGAGATCCTGCGGTTTCCGCAAAGTGGTTTCGAAATATGCCGACAGAAGGGTATGCGCGCGGTCAATTATATTTGTATATTTGAGGTACTCCTCGGGCAAATTTGCTTTGCCCTTGTTGAGCTTGACTCGTTGCTGAACAATAGTTGTTCCAATGACGGCATTCTGGCTGTCGTATTCGCTTCGTAGAGGCTCGGGGCCTTTATGGGCCTGTATCAGAGCGTTGAAGTCGTTTCGTATACTTTGAAATTCAGGAAGGTTCGTCACGGATTCAGGAAAATAGGGTATCAGGGCTTCGATCTTAGTGGAGTCTAATCGTTTCAGAGCTGCAAGGGTGTCTTCGAGTATAGGCGAGTCATGTAGTTCTCCAGAGAGCGCACGGATGGATAGCTCCGATATACTCACTTTCTTGGCGATGTTGAGATCTTTGAGAAGCAACGAGATGAATTTCACTGTCTGGAATATGTCCTGCATGGACTGCTGCCCAGACTTGGCAAGCTTAATCGCTTGGGCGAAGAGGTAAGCATCATCCCCTAGTAGATTGCGCACTTCTTGTGTCTGGCCGTCTTCCACCAGAGTTTCACAGTAGCTAGTCCACATTAGCCTGAAATATCACAAAACAAGACGTAGCGAGCATACTTCCTGAAGGATGGCACGTTCCGAATCGCCTCGCACAGCTTGCCATTATTGATCGTTGCTGGGATATCGCCCGCAAGAAGAACAGAAATGGGATTGGCAAAGAAATGAGACATGTAGGCGTACTGAAAGGATATTAGCCTAGACGAGCCCCAACGAATGGACGGCGAATACCTTGACTGTTCGACAAAATGACTCCGGAGTCTGAAAATAATCACTTGACTTCTCGAACAAGACACCCGTGAGACCGCGTCCAAGCCATAATTTCCCGCCTTCCGCCTGTATTCTCTCGTATATATGATCCACGCAGTTACTAGCCTCGTGGAGTTCGAAAAATCTCCCTTTGAGGAGCGCAATACTTGACCGTGGTAATCTGGCCTCAAAGAGCTCAACTGAGGTTGAAATACCGAATAACAGAGTCAGAGGTATTCGATCGTGCCACGAACTAAACAATTAGCGTTCATCCGCTTTTGAAAGGACGATCATCTCACCTGAGCAAGAAAAACAAATCTGTGAGAATTCCCGGATCAAATGCTTCGCTATCTCGGAAAGCTAGCACAAGATGCTTGACGCCTTTTTGCGTAACATATTCACCCAGGAGGTCAAGGTCGTATGCAAGAAGTCTCGGGCCCTGCCATATCTTAGCAAACGTTCTTTCGCTGGTGGTTCACAATCGCTTACCTCCCGGTCTGTAAGAAAGCGTTGATAGCCATCGTTTCCCTCCGTGTTGATGATAGCAGCACGTATAATGTTCTTCAGCGTCGTCTTGAGGTTGGGCGCATCGCCAGATTCTAGCACTACCACACCACCTTCGCCGGTCAAGATGAGTTGATCGTTGAGCCGGGAGAGAAGTCTGGCAAGAGAGGAAACATTCGATCCGACGGTAAGAAGCGCGGCTGGAATACAGCCCCCATAACTGTGCTTGTTAGGCCACGATTGACGGGTTTGAGGCTGAACTCTTACGTCTCAGGCGAAGCTGTTTTAACAAATGAGGATACGTTCTCAAGGACTTCGGCATCAACATCATTCAGTATTTCCTGTACAATATTAGAAATGCGTGCCTTCGGGAACTGACAAATATATCCTGCTGACCTGGATCTTCGCCTCCCTTGTGGACCATAATTGTTCGTAGGTTTGGTATCTTAACTGGACGGACTCTTCGGATTCGTCGCCGTTGAGGAGCGGTACGAAAGGACATGGAATATCGTCAAGCTCTTGAGGCTCTTGCGCAACCTTCCGCCGCTTTGAGGGTCGTTCTTCGGGAGCTTTTCCTGCATTTGCTGGCCGATAGATATAGACGCCCTAAGTTGTTAGTGCTGTGAAGCCCGGATTGAATCAATTGGGTAATAACCTGGTTGCTTGAAAAGTTCTCCGAAGAGATTCCGATTCCCGACTCCATTTCTTTCGACCAGGTCATTTACCCTCGGTCTGCAATCGCGTGAGCAGGATCCAGGGCTCTCGCGTTGTCTTCGGAGAAGAGTGACTTGAATGCCTGAATTCCGCGGCATAGCTACATCTGAGCTAACCCAAATCGGGATATTTCAAGCTCCGCGGGAATGGAATAATTTCCTCGTCTCAATGACTTCAACTTTTCCAGCTATCATCGTTCCCACATCGCCTTCGCTTGAATTCCTCCGACGTCAATGAAATAATCGTTCTACTTCATGCTCCGCCCGGTGGTTCGAGGAGCTCGGTGGTATCAGCATGTGGCCCGCTCCAGTCCGTCAATTTCGCCTCGCCGCTTCACAAGAGTCTTCTCCGCGGTAGCACCACACTCAAGCAACTCTGGCGAGCGCAACGAAAAGGTCACATTCTACGAGCAGAATACCCGGGATAGCAAACACAGGCGAAAGATAGACTACGAGGCTGAAGATAAAACAGAGCTGGAGAATGTGGAGCACGAGCTTTCGAAGCTGGACCAGGAGCTGGAGCTTTTGAAAGAGGGACCATTTGGGCCCAATAGCCCCTTCATACAGAGTCTGCCCGAGAAAGACAAAGCTATTGCGCTGGAAGCATTACGAAAATATGAAGCGGAACATGGCAAAGATGAACCGGACAGTCTCGACCAGGTTTTCGATGAGGAGTTTGAGAATCTGCTCAAAAATGAGTTTGAAGATCTAGCAGCGGAGGACGAAAACTGGATGCAAAATCAAAACGAACAATCGCCAGAAGAAGTTCCACGGCAGCCCTATGAAGTCGTACTAGAGGACTCGGAACATAGCGCCTATATTGACAGGTTCAACCGCAGCCTCAAGCGGGTTGCCAAGGACAACTCCCAGCAAAGCGCCGGGCAGGATCTCTGGAAATGGTACAGACGGTGCAAACAGGTCATCCCTCGGTTTATCGAATCCATACCTGAAGCGGCTATGACATTGCTGTGGTCATCTCAGCTAAACATGCCTTCCAAGACAGCGCGGACCCTCCACATACAAACTCTTGCGGAAGACGCCGTATCTGTCGGCCGATCTCTCTCGACCTCAAACATGCTTACCTACATCAACTCTCTACAACAATCTGGTAAAACCAAGTCTGCCCTGGATCAGTGGGAGTTGCATCAGGCGGGACTCAGCCAGCGAAAGGAAGATCTAGAATCCTATTGGAGGTTGGGCGTGCAGCTCTTTGCTGCTGAAGGCGATCCACAGCGAGCTCAGGATATTGCTCTCGCTTTTCTAGCGACTGATACATCTCGAAAGCCTCGGGTTCTAATTCCTGTCATCACCGCTTGGGGACGACAGCCTGGTAAAGAAGCCGAAGTGAAAGCGTGGGCTCTTTATCTGCAACTGAAGGCATTGCTCGGGCAAGGAATGACTATGGAAGATTATGATCAGATTAGCATTGAGCTTCTGAAAGCCGGAAGGCTCAATCTCGCCATTGCTGTATTCAAGGACATGATGGTGACCGGTCAGGATCCGGCGAACGACTCGACAGCGCTATATAAAGCAGCTCTTGGCCTAGTCGGCAACTTGCAAGCATCAAGTATATCGGACCAGCAAGTCAACAAGGTCTCGCTTTCTACGCTTACGGTCCTCCCTCGTCGCTTCCAGAACCGATTCTTTTATGCCAGTTGGATGAAGAAGCTCATCGGAATGGGCGAGGTTGATTCAGCCGCCATGGTGATTGAGCTCATGTATGAACGAGGCGTCAAGCCGGATCCGAAACATCTCAATGGCCTCATTGCCGGCTGGCTTCGCGTGGGAGATGCACCGGCACGGGAGAAAGCTGAAAGCTTGGGTTGGGCTATGATTAACCGACGGATTGACCGGGTCTCACAATCTGAATCCAAAAAGGATACAACAGAGCCGACCTTGTCCGAAAGTAACCAAGCAGGTGCTCGAATCCCCAAGTTCATGCAACGACCAATGCCTACAGCAAACATAGAGACATTCTCTATTCTACTTCTTCATTATACCCGAAGAGGTGACGAAGGGGCGATTGAGCAGTTAGTGAAGGGCCTCACAGACGCCCGGATCCAACCGAATTCCTACTTCATGAACCATCTTCTATATGCCGAGCTTCGCAAGCATGATATCAGCGCCTTGTGGAATAAGTTCAGAGCCATGTCTCTCACCGTCCAACCAGACCTCGAAACTTACGCCTGCCTCTGGGACTGTGGCAAGCTCCAGTACGACCGTAGCCGCACGGCCTTTATCACAGACTTTCCATCTGCGCGAAGGCTGTTTGCAGAGATGGTAGCCTGGTATTCAAATCTTTCAAACCGCGGCAAAACCACCGCACAAGAAGAATTCTCCAAGGATCTCTATGATCAAATTATCCGCTGCTTCTGCTTATCGCGTGATTTACATGGGACGCTTGTTGCACTTTCCTCTCTCCGTTCAACATTCGGCTTCTCTCCCGACGAGGCGACAGCTCGCCTTATCATTCTGCAAGTCGCGCGGCTCGCTGCCGTCCCATCAGATACCCCGAAACGCCGCCTCCGCCGTCTCTCCTCAACACCCAAAAGCAAAGAAAACATCGCCCATGTCCATCGTCTCCTCGAACTCATCAGTGCTCAAAAGACTACGGCGCTCGAATCAAGAGGCCTTAACCCTGAGTCCCTAGATCCCCGTGAGATGCAAACACACCAGTTTGAAATCATGACTGACCTTTTGCGTATTGTCATGGCGCGAGTCTCTGGTGTTTCACCATCGGAGTCTGACCGCGTCGAAGCAAAGATTCTTGCCGTGGCAGAGGAGATGGGAGTGCGTGGGATTTACCTTGGCCCCAAATTAGGGGATGAAGACGCCAGCTTGCTCTTGACGAGGTAGCGTCTCGTGCCTTTGCCATTGGATATCTTTTTCTTGTTTTTACCCTAGGGTTCGGCTCAACATTGTATATATAGAGGAGTTTAGGGGGGCCCATTTGGCGTTTGTATCATCTTAACTACCTGTCTGTACAATTATCAAACAACGCTACACTGTATCCACGTGACCGAGATGAGCGGGGAGAAAGAACCCTCAACATCAGCCCCTCTCCTGAGCTTTTGCTTTTTGATTCGCTTCAACAAGTTCAAAATGGCTGGTCACCACTTGCGACGCGAAGACTTTGTTGTGGGATGGGTGTCTGCCCTGCCAATTGAACTCGCGGCTGCACGGAAGATGCTCGACGAAGAGTACGATTATAACTATGATGACTCTACCTATACATTGGGCCGTATGGGAGAACACAACGTCGTTATCGCCTGCTTTCCTGCTGGACAGCTTGGTATCTCAACTGGGGCCACGGCCGCCGCCGACTTGAAATCCAAGTTTCCAGCCCTAGAATTTTGTCTCATGGTTGGCATTGGCGGCGGGGTTCCGAGTCCAGAAAACGATATTCGACTAGGCGACGTGGTTATCAGTAAACCAGAGGGAACATATGGCGGAGTGGTGCAATATGATCTAGGCAAGACAGTCTCTGGTGGACACCAAATGCGCACAGGCTTTCTGAATGCACCTCCCGCAGCGATTCTCAAAACAGTGGCCAGGTTTCAATCCAATCATGCCCTTGGGAAAGACAACATGTCTACTTACTTGTCCCAGCTTGAGTGTACGCAGTTTGACCGGCGGAAAGTAGGTCCAGATGTGCTCTTCCAGAGCTCATTCCGCCACAGAGAAGGGTCGACGTGCGCGGATTGCCCTCAAGAGATGACCGTCCCACGTCCACCACGAACTGGCAGCACGGTCGCTATTCACTACGGTACGATTGCCTCTGGAAACCAAGTCATGAAGGATGCAATAACAAGGGACCGGCTTAGCTCTGAGCTTGGGGGCGTCCTCTGCTTTGAGATGGAAGCTGCCGGCCTCATGAACAATATGCCCTGTCTTGTCATTCGTGGGATATCTGATTACTCCGACTCGCATAAAAATTCAAGCTGGCAACCATATGCAGCTGCTATAGCCGCTGCGTGTGCGAAAGAGATTCTCCGTCTGCATCCTACGAACTCCGGATTGAAGCAGCGCAAAGAAATCCTCGACTGGATAGCTCCCCCAGAACAGGAGCAGAGACATTCTTTCGTCACTGGCTCTCGTGTTCATGGTACTGGCAGGTGGCTCCTAGACCATCCAATATATACGGAGTGGCGCGATAACCTGACAAAATCCAATGTTCTTTGGTGTTACGGTATGGAGGGTTCTGGTAAAACAGTTCTCATGTCTGTAAGAAACTCCCACTACTTAGGGTTCAGGCTGACTTTCCGCAGATCTACTGTAACTGATGACCTGCGGAATCGACTTTCAGCCAAGGGAGTTCCTGTTATCTTCTTCTACCTCGATTATGAGCATCAAGCTAGGCAGACAATGGCCTACTTTCTCAAGAGTCTTTTAAGACAACTACTGGACCATATTTTACATATACCAAAGCCACTAGTGGAAGCCTTCAATAGGCTGGGTGGCTCGCAATGTTCACTTTCGGCTCCTGTTCTTGAGAAGATTGTTGTGGAAGTTATGCCATCCTCGTCCCAAGTATACGTTTTGATCGACGCCCTTGATGAATGTGTCGATTCGGGTCGACGAAAGACTATCATCAGCTTCATGGAGCAGGCGGCACGCAGCCGACACGTTCGACTCCTGCTCACCAGTCGTCCACATGTTCAGGAAATTCGTTCGACATTTGATAAGAGTTATCAAATTTTAGTGCGCGCATCCGAGGCCGACATCAGAGCATATGTATCCCAAGAGATAAGCCGTGCTCGTGTCACAGATATTGTAGACACATCCTTTGTGCACCGAATCATGGATACGATTATCCATCAAGCTGAAGGGATGTCAGTGAGCCAATGCAGTATCCACGCTTCGTTATAGGACTATGCTAACTGTAAGTTTAGGTTCCTGCTATCGGTCCTCCGTACTAAGACGGTGCTGAGAGAGCCAACTGCGGGCGATATGGAGGATTCATTGAAATCTTTGGCCAAAGATTTACCAGAGGTATTCCGGGAGACAGTGTCTCGCATCCAGCAGCTTCCAGAGAATCAGAAAAGACTCGGAATGATGACACTCCTGCTCCTCTCACACGCCAAACGCCCTATCATTGTGCAAGAGCTCACAGATTTCTTGTCTGTCCAGCTCGGCCAGACTACAGTACGTCCCAAACATCGACCCTTACCTCGAGTCGTGTTGGAATGCTGCATGGGGCTGGTAAGTATAGAACCAACTACGGAGACAGTTCGCTTGTCTCATTACGCAGTCAATGAGTACCTAGTCGAGAACAACCACAGGCTATTCGCGGATGCGGAGGCCAGCGTTTCAGCATTGTGTCTGACTTATCTACTTCTCGATCCATTCACCAAAGGACCTCGTACAGAAGAAGATGAAATCGATGGCCTGCTAGATTATTGCCCTTTTGTGTCCTATGCAGCCGCACGCTGGGGTGACCATGTCCGACAGTGTGAGAGAAGCCCCATTGTTTGGCGGCTCGCTGTTCAATTCCTCCGCAATCAGCAGGCAACAGCCTGCTCAGTACAGATTATGCAGTACGACAGAAACTACCAAGAAATCTATTGGGCCCCAAAAGAATGCTATAGCGCAAATGCTCTCCATATTGCTAGCGACTTTGGGCTGGAGAATCTGGTCCTCACACTCCTATCTCAGAACGCGTTTAAGCTGGATGCTACGACGACTATTGGCACTACCGCAATCACCAAAGCCGCGTCTAGTGGGCATGTCTCTGTCGTCAGAGCTCTTTTACAGAAAGGGGCCAATCCATATCTGGAAAATTGGTACGGCAACGCACTTCACTGCGCGGCTGAAGCTGGACACTGCAATACGATCCGGGAGCTGGTTTCCTGCGGTATGGACCCTAATTACCGCTCAGCCAAAGGCCGACTTCCTCTCGATTGCGCATTAGATCGTGACAATGCGGAAGCTTTCGAGACTCTTATTGCTGTCGGTGCTAGATTGGATAATACAAACGAAGGATATCGGCCTATTCTCATTGAGGCTGTACATGCAGACTGTGTCAACATTGTTGATCTCATTCTGACCAACGGCTGGGTGGATGTCAATTGTTGCTCTGATGACGGAGCTACAGCAGCGCATATTGCCGCGGCGCATGATAACACAGTGATCTTGGCCAAGCTAATGAAGGCAGGGGCCAACATCAATGCCGGGACTGACACGGGTCTAACTCCTCTTGATTATGCACTCAGATATCAGCGTGACAGTGCTGCAAATCTACTACAGTCATACGACGCAACGTCATTTATGGCCCGGTTCCGGTACCCTAACTAGACCGATATCTTTACTGCCTGCTGTGGTGGACTGATACATCACTGCTATATAGATCTGGACATTCAGACCCTAAGTTTGAACGCTGCCAGCTGCTTAGTGATCCACCTAGTCAATTGCTCCGACGCAGAAAAGTTGAGAGAGGACAGAGCCTCTAGCACCATACCAGTGCTTGCTTTCAGTCATTTCTCTCCATATACGGCGAACAAGCCTCATACACACGCTTGAATCCATCATACGCCGCAACCCTCAGAAACACCCCCTCGTCCACCACTCTTGCGGTCTGCATTGACCCAGCAATGAAGAAATCCGTGAGACTCGGTTTCGATCCCAGCACAAATGGTCCAAAGTCCCTGTTCGTCCTCATCAATTCACTGAGAGCAGTCATCTGCCCACTTACTGCCCTCCATCCCCGCTCCTCCTCCTCAGAATCCTTGAGTAAATCCTCCAGTTTATGCCCGAGATACGCCTCGCGCGACTGCCGGAAATACTCCTGCGCGCAGGGTGAAAGGATATTCATCTCTCGCGGTATCATCATGGCGCCGAGTGGCCCCCCGACCACGGAGCCGAACTGTTCTTCAATGGTTCGGCCCAGCTCAGATGTTTGTTGGATTGGAGGATCGGGGTATGTTGCCTCGAGGAACGGGGCGATCTGCGCTGAGTCCATGATATAGGTATTACTGGGAATGTGCTGGACTGCTGGGACAGTGTATCTGGTGCTGCCACCGGTGGGAGGCGGGACGCTGGGATGGGTGTATTAGCCCTAGCCTAACGAAGCTTGGTTTTCAAGACATGGGTTATATGCGAGGAGCGTATCACTCACAGCGGTTTCAACGTCCACTCGATGTCTGGGAACTCGAGGAAGATGGTCTTATAGGGGATACGTTTGAGATTTAGCATCATGCGGACTTTCCAGACATATGGGGAGAAGCACACGCCCTTTGTGCAGGCTAGGTCGTATAGGATGATTTCAGTTGCCATAGTTGTTGTGTTGTGTTTGGTGGTTTCAGGAGTTTCAGAGGATGAGGAAAGGAATGATGGGCATTGGAGGTTGATATATATGAGGGCGACCTCGTATTTTGGGTCCAGAGTATTGTTGAGTAACCCGATTAGGGCTATGATTTGTTGAGCACCGAACATTCTGACAAGCTCTTAAAGCCGGTATGCCCGACGTCAAGGAAATCGCCTGGTATTGTTGAGTAGATATTCACTCAGACCAGGCATTACCATCTACGCCTGCTCACAAGTCGCCATGCACAACCCAACTGGAATGATAGTCAAACATGATATGTTTAAAAAGTGATTCGTAAAACATGGATGAAGTAAACAGAGAAAGAAAAGAAGCACACCATCTAACCCCATCTAATGCAAATCCCTCATTTCTTCCCCTTCTTCTTCTTCTTCCCGCCACCAGGGCTCTTTTGCGCCGCCGCCGCAGGAACAGGCGGGTCATCTGCCTCAACAAGCACCGCATCCTCGTCGCTCTCCGTGACCGTCGGCGCAGGTGGAGCTGTAAATGTCGTCGTCGTCGTAGTAGTAGCCGGTTCGACTGTTTTCGCCTCCGCGCCAACAACAGCTGCCGCCATTGCCGGAGCAGCAGCGGTTGTTGTGGTAGTAGGACCGCCCTTCTCGGCATCCAATTCCTTCATGAACCCTTCCTGGATACTAGCCTTCTTCTTCTCCCACCACTCCTTCTCCTCATCAGCCTTTTTCTGGTGTTTCTCTATCCGCTCGCGGATCAGCGCGTTGTTCACCATCTCGTTGGCGGATTGGAAGATTGTCTGGCCCCAGCCTGCGACGTATGCGTTTGCCTATTCAGGTTATATTAACATCAGCCGCAGTGTATATATAAGAAGCATAAGTCGCAGAACATACCTCACTAACTACATCCCGAACCTCCTCCTCCATCTCCTTCTCAGCCCTCAAGAACCTCTGCCACAAATCATCGCCCACACTGCCACGCTGGAGCAACATAGCAAGCGCCTGCTTCTGGCTCCGCAGGGCCATGACGCGCCTAATGTCTTCCGTCGCGCGACGAAGGAGAGCGGCCTTGAGTACAGACTCGGGTACTTTCTTCTCCTTCTCACCACTTCCTTTTTCTTTCGGGGCCGCGGGGTCGAGATGCATGAGGGAGAAGTAAATATCTCGTTGGAGGTGTGGCGGGAACCATGGTTCTAAGGAGGTGGCTTTTCCTATTGTAGGGATATTCTGGTTAGTAGGAGGGTTATGGATGTATGGTTTTTTGAGGGAGGATGCGTAGCGTACTGGCTTTGCGCTTGCGGTAGAGGGAGGAGAATGTTGCAAGGGAGCCGATTAGGACGCTTAGGTAGGCGAAGGGAACGGCGAGGGTAATCCAGTCGACCATTGTGGGGAGGTGTGTGATTGTGTGCGGAGAGGATATTATGAAAGGTGAGTGAGTTGGGATAGGACGGAGTGAGTGTTCAGGGATAGTAGGTCATGACAAGGTGTTCGCTTTTGGCAAGGACAGAGCAGAGACACCGTTAGAGAAAACCCAAAAACCCAGGGAAGTACTGAGAAAATACAAAGTCAATGGCAGCTTTGTGCTGGGATGATGGGAGACGGAGATGAATGGGCCAAGTAGAGGATCTCCAAAGGCCACTCTGGTGTCTTGGCATCGCCCGTCACATGTTCCACCCCAGATCTACAACCAAGACATTGCCACAACTATACCTTTATATGCAAGGCAATAATGCATCTATTCAATCGATTCAGTCGTACGGTACATAGATCTCCATGCGAAGATAGAGCGGAAATATGCTCTCCACAGGCTAACGCAACACCAAGAACAACCGTTGAACAGCGAAGAAAGAAATGACTCGAGGTATAGAAGAAATAACAATGATGGTAATAATAAAGACGAAATTGTACGCAAAAGGTAAAATGAATAGAGTCCGAATATCCGCCATTGATCTCATTACACAAATATGTTCGCTGCCGCCAAATTCCAGAACCAAGGTGTGCGCAAGAAGAGTGAGTAAACAGGAGGGAAAGGTGAATAGGGAGAGTTGGTAGGGGAAAGGAGAGAAAAGGTAAGGCACAAGGAGATTACATCTGGTACAGCGAGCCCAGCTGCTCCTTTGTCTTCTGGCTTATCGGTCCGATCTCTTGTACAGCTTGCATATCCTCGAGGACATCGTTAAAGGCGTTTTGGATCCCAGCCGCGACCTTGCTGCGGTTCCATTCGCTGCGCGTGTGCCAGAGGAAGTCCATCAATGCAGTGTTGATCTGTTCCAGCTGTTCCACTGAGCAACCACTCGTGCGCTGTGTCATCTCCTTGTGCAGATTCTGTACATAGTCGAGATCGATGATCAACGTAGCCTGCTCATCCTCATGATTGAGCAGAGACTGCAGGCCGGTGGGCTGTCTGGAAGTCGCTTCGAAAAGAGGGACAGGGGGCTGTGATCTCTGCTGGGATTGACCAGCAAAGTCTGGATGCCCAGGCAAAGAATCGCGGGGTTGAGGGGGAGACGGTTGGCTACTGTCGCCCTGCTGCGTATCAGGAAGGTGCATCTCCTCTTGTGAAACTCGATCAGGGTACTGGGAGAGATCCGGGTAATCGTGTCTGCCGCCGTGAACCACAATCGGGCTCTGCGTATAAGGCTGCGGAACGGAAGATTGATCAGACGACTTCTTGTCCGATGTCGTCTGCGTGGTAGAAGCTTCATTTGTGTAGTCACCGGGCTGCGATCCTGGGGCCATCGGGGTCATTGGTCCCTTTTGCGAGAAGCTAGATAGTCCAGACTCCCGTCTTATTTGCTGGGAGGGGGCTGTCATAGAATAGGCTGGTTTAGGCTGGGCCGAAGGACCGAACGAACTAGCCTGCGTATCTCTTCCAACGGAGTGGTCGGAGTTGGTCATGTACAGGTCCCCGTCTCCGTCAGGTTGAGACTCGTGTGATCGGTTGCTTGGATGCGATTCGTTCAAATCTGTACCGCCACTGTGATGGTATCCATTTGTCATGAAGCTCACTGTCGACCGTCGCGTTGGCGTGACGGGCCGGCCAGGAACTTGAGGGCCACTATCTGGGAACGAAGCACCAAGGACGACTGGCCCACTGGAGGGCTCTGAGTCTGTATTCCCATGGGGTACCCTATTGGCCGCACGGGCCGCGATCCCTTCCTCCTCTTGAGCCCTCGCTTTCTCCAGCGCAGCCTTTTCGCGCTCAAGCTCTCGAAGATACACGTTTTCGCACTCGGCAACCAAAGCAGGCTCCGCTTGCTCAATGGTCGCGATATCCACCTCGACGTTAGATAAAAGTTCGTTTGCACGTAACAAGCGTTCCTGGTCGTTAAGCTGGCGCGCATCCTTTGCTAGTCGTTTGATATCCGCCAAAAAGTCCTTTGGCCGCTTGTAGTAACCGTTGGAGAGGCGCTTCTCAATGGTCACGATCTCCATGTTGTAGAAGAATTTCCCGGACACCGTTTCCCTGAGGCCAGGAGCACCGTGCTTGTCGTACGCCTTTTCAAAAGGTCGGAACGTTGTCCGCTGCTCGATCGGCAGATCGCTTGTGACAATGTTTGGGTCTTCCTCTTCCCACAGATACCGGATCTGAGACTCATCGATCACGCCAGTCCTGAACCGCTTGTACTTTTTAATCTGGTCCATGATAGGCTGAATGCGGATCTTTAGTAGATTTAGTGTCTGGTAATCCTTCTTCTTTTGCGCCTTAAGCTGTTCTTTCGAGAGAGGCGTCTTCTCCTTTGGTGGCGGTGGCGGTGCTACTTCCAACTCCTCAAGCTGTCTCTTCTTCCGGTTGTCAGGGTCAGGAAGATGTGTGGGCGCGGCTTTGATCAGGTCAATGACCTTGGCAAAGTACTCGTGCCGCGCCTCATTCGCCGGCGCCTGAAGCTCAAAGACATTTCTCTTCGAGTAGCCAAAGAGGTTCCGCACTAGCCCCGTATCCATATCCTCACTATGAGCCTCCATGATGCCAAGCAGCAGAACCGGGTCAGTGGGAGGCATAGAGCGGAGGAGTCCCAGGAACGTTGATATCACAGCCTGACCGACAGTCTCAGACCAATTTTGCAAACCAGGAATGTAAATCACACTTGGCTTGTGACGTTTGACCTCTGCGAAAAGCTGGATAACAGCTGCTTCGGGTGACCGGGTTGAGTCGCTAAGCAGTGTCGGTAGATCAAACGACTGGACGTGCAGGCCCTCAAAGTGGTGTAGCAAGGCGCCTGCTAGGTAATGCTGGCCCATTCCCAGGGACCCGCTCAGTAGTAGTCTTGGCCGGAAGACTCGGGACCGCTCGAATTCCTGCTGCATCTGCTCACGCTGGAAGCCCCTTGAGGACTCTTCTGGTTCTTCGAACTGGGCCTCCTCCAGAGCGGTGAGCCTCTTACGCTGAGGAAGGATTTCGGACAAGATACTCTTGAGCTCAACAAGCGGCTTCCGTAGCAATGGCTCGATAGGCTTGGGTAATTGTGAAGCACCAGACGAAGTCGAACGCTCCGATGACGGGACCATCTTCTTGATCGCCAACATAAAGTCCTTTGGCGTGACCTCAATCATTTTTGGATCAATGATGAGCTTCTTGTCGGATTTGTAGATCTGAGGGTATCTCCTCTGAACTGCGTTGAGCGCGGCTTCCGTGCACAGAGCGCGCAAATCGGCACCTCCGTAGCCCTTGGTGATCTCCGCAAGCTCGTCTTTGATTGGACCGGGCAGGGCGGGATCCCAGCCTTTGGTGTGGATATCTAGGATAGCACGCCGGCCTTCGGTATTTGGTAATGGGAAGTAGAACTCGCGGTCGAAGCGGCCAGGACGGCGGAGAGCAGGATCTATAGAGTCCGGTCGATTTGTAGCGCCAATGACGATCACTTGGCCACGACCATCCATACCGTCCATCAACGCCAGCAGAGTGGAGACGATTGACGCATGGATCTGTTCCTGTTTGCTTGAACGGACAGGAGCCAGTCCTAAACAACATTAGCACTTATATCCCAGGTTATACTGTATCCGAAACTTACCATCAATCTCGTCAAAGAAAATGATGCTCGGCTGGGTCTTGCGAGCCTCCTCGAAGAGCAGACGAAGTTGACGTTCAGCTTCTCCCACCCACTTGCTGAGAGCATCAGCTCCCTTTCTCATGTAAAATGTCACCTTTCGCCCTTCAGAGCTGACACTGTTCGCCAATGCCCTAGCCAACAGCGTCTTACCCGTTCCAGGAGGTCCATGGAAGAGCACACCTCGAGGGGGTACAATATGGAACCGTTGGAAGATCTCCGGGTACAAAAGTGGCAGTGAAACCATCTCCTTCAGCTGGTCAATGTGGCCCTGCAACCCTCCGACGCTATCAAAGTTGACATTCATGTCAACGCCCAGAGGGTCTGCATCAGCCAGGGCTTGCTTATCTTTGACACGGCCAAGGTTTGCTGGTGTGCCAGATAGGTTTTGCGCTGGGTCGGCACTGTGTGTTTGAGGGGCCAGAATACCAGGAAGAGGCGTGGGGCCGCCTGCGGGCCCTGATATTGATCCCTTGGGGTGTTGCATGCCTTCATCGTCGCTACTATCGCTATCAACGCCTCCGGTCGCAGCAGGTGCGCCTGGTGGCCCCAGTATTGCCGACGGCCCGCCACCTCCAAAGGGTCCATACGTAGGGAACAGTGTACGCTGCCAGGTGCTGGCGCCTCCACCACGGCCGCGGCGCGAGGGGGACTCATTAACCTCATTCTCGGCCTCTTCTATCGGCAGGATCAAGTCGGGGCGGATAATGCGGTAATCAACGTCCTTCCGGCTGCGTCGGGGCTTTTCATACACGATTTCTTCACGTACACGCCGACGAGGACGCCCTCCGCGGAGATCTTCGAGCTCTTCGGCCAACTCATCCGCGATATCAGCAGCTTCGGATTGTCCACGAGATCGGGAGGTACGCTTACGAAGGCCTGGGCGTCGACCGGTTGAGCTTTCATAGTCCTCGTCGCGAACCTGGCTCGGTTTTTGTGGCGAGCCTTGCGACTTTCCAGACTGCGAAATTTCATCCTCATCATTGGATTCCTCTGCATCAGGCTCAAAATCGCTTTCATCGTCGTTCCGTTGCGAAGATTTTGGCTTTTTGCGACTGGAGCGACGGAGTTGTGTGTCCTCACCATCCGCCTGTGTAGCATCTTCTTCCACATTTTGACTCCGAGTCGGCCTAGTCCTCCTCCCCGTGATTGGACCTTCATCGTCGTCATCTTCTTCCTCATCGCCCTTTGCATCTTCATTCTCAGATTCCGGTACAAAACCTTGATCGTCTCCGCCTGCGTCTTGCGTCACACCTTCCTGGAACGAAGCCGGGGCGCTTTCCAGGACCTCCAGCTGCGAGGCCTTGATTTCGGTCAGAGTCTCTTCGATGACTTCTATATCCTCCATTTTCGTGTCTGCCTCCTCAGCCTCGGGACCGCGCTTCGAACCACGCGATGAACGACGGCCCCGCTCTATCTCCGGACTATGCGTGCCCCTTTCAACCGTCTGCATATGGCGTCCCGAATTCGTTAAAGCATAAATGTCTTCTGAAGGGTCTCGGGTCCGTCGAGTCGTCCGCCGTGTTCCCGTGAAATTGTTCAGCGCACTTCCCACCTTCAACTTGACGACCGTACTCTTGCGCTTTTTCGGCGGCGAAGGAACCTCATCCTCATCTTCGTCCTCGATACTGCTCGAATCGTCCTCGTTGTAGAGCGGTCTGTTCGTAGCTGCTCGTCGGGCGACGACACCTCTGGCGTTTCTCGGCGCGTTCAAGTCCTCCTCCTCATCATCAGAGCCATCAAAGGAAAGCTCGTCAAGCTCACTCAGTTCATCGCCGTCGGAGATGATATCGTCGTCTGAGCCGCGACGGGCCCGTTTCTTCGTGGGTCGGGCCTTTTTCTTTGTCTTTGTTTTTGAACCTGAGCGGCGGCTGGAGCGGATGGGGTGATCGCTGTAGTCATCGTCGTCTGAGTCGGACTTGTTTGCGATCTCTTCGATTGAGCGTTTCGTTCGACCCATGGTTGCGGAGTTGTGGTGCTTGGGGTCAACGAGCGGGTGGTCCGTAGCGCAAAGCAAGACCAACAGAAAGATGAAGTGGGAATAAAGCCCAAGTAAGATGGAGTAGATAAAGGCAGGCTTGTTGCAAGCTCAATCGACAGACGTACCAGCACACCAGTTCGATCACGCGCCGTACTTCAGGAATGAAACCTCTCATACAACATCAGCGAGACTCCCAACTCAACACACCAGAGCCAATTCCCGACTGCGAGTCGAATCGAGTCCAGATCTTGAAATCAAACAAAGTCCGGTGGGTTGTATGCAATGCGCAGGGGCGACTAGCGAAAACGAACGGATCAACGAGCGACGTCAAACAGATCTATTACCCACGCACAGCCGGAAATCGACTCGACACAACAAAGAATCAAGAAAAATTGAGTGCCGAAAGAGAGGAAGAAGAAAAACGCGTCTAGGCAATAGCGGTCTGGTCGCAGGTAGCAAGCAAGAGAGTAGGCAGGCTGAGAGTCGATCGATCGGGGGTTCAGTCAGCGCAAAGGAAAATCAAACACAGAGAAAAACAAGCAACGCAAAGCGAGGAACCGACCTTGTCAACAAAGACCACCAGTGAACCTGAAATGTTCACCCAGCTCAGTTGCAGATATTTTGAAATCGATGAAAACCAGAAGGCGACGGGGTCTCATTCACGCACACGCTCTTTGTCACAATCTCTCTCGTTGCTCGCGAGTCTCTCCTTGGCTGGTCACCAAGCCACAACCACCCGCCACACCAGTCACGTACCAGCCACGACTAGTACCTAAGTTGGTCTAGCGCCCGCGGCAAAACATGCTTGTTGCCTGAGGGGTCAGGCACGAACAGCGCCATCCGCTCCGAACCTCCACCCAACAACCAGAAAGTGCGGCGAACGGATCCGACTCGATCATCACCACAAAACACACATTGAACCACCTCCATAAAAACCACCCCCTTCACCCCCTCCAACCCCGTAGAAATCATCAAAATGATCCTGAAATGCGAAATAAGCCATTTGCTGTGCTTTCCAGCGCGTAGTGCGCCCGTTTCACGGCATCCTAGGTGACGGAAAAAATGAGTAAACGGAGAAAGAAGAAAAGGAATGACGACGACTGTTATTCTTTTTTTTCTCCCTCCGCTGCCATCGAAGCTTATCGCTCTTTGACTTCTTCCCCCGCTTGTTCGCCTTCGCCTGAACCCCGTTCTTGATTTGACCTGGAGCCGCCGGCTGCTCGATATCATGTGATTGATTAGTCATGTATTTCACCTCTTTCCGATCGAGGTTCTGGGCTGGAGCAGTTCGTGGAAGGAAGTGTAGAGCCCCTCATTTTCATCATTGTATATTGAGGGATAGAGACGTACACAAGATGCCTTCTCGACTTCCCGTCTCTCTTTCTCGTGTCGGCCTTCGTGGCCTTGGCTCAATTCGCACTCTCACAACCACACCAACCCGTCAAAACACTGGGGTACCACCACACCCACCGCCACAGCAACCGAGCGGGTACAAAGAAGGAGTGCGTCTTTATCTCTCACATACTTTGATGGAAGAAGAGAAGTTAATGAGTTCAGATGTCCCGCTACAAGCTCTTTGCAAGCCCCTTCGCCAAGGTCTTTCTGGGCGCCGTCTTCACGTATCAGGTCATCTACTGGACCTGGGTGAAGCTTGAAATGGAGGAGACGAAGGAGGGGAGGAACAGTATGTATTCCTCCTTCTTTTTTTTTTTTTCTCAATTGCTGTGGTGGTGTTGTTGTTCTAAAAATGGGCTCGGTTGCTAACGTCGGTGATAGAGGAAGTTGCTGCGCTGGAGAAGGAGGCGAGGGAAGTTACGGGGAAGAAATAGCATAAGCTATGTGGGCTTCTCTTATTTCAGTCCGTAGAATACTCATTTATAATCGTGTCTACTATTTACAAAATATACCCAGTTGATACTCCAAGTGTTTCCCTCTTATCTTGGTTGGTCCAACGAGCTATATATATATTTTGATGCAAAAGTGGAATGCGCCAAATGCAGTATTTAATCGCTACACAAACATAAATCTCAGTAAAGCATCCTGCTAAGTTGGACGGCGTTGGCCGTTTCTTTTATCCTGATTGAGCAGTGCCAACTTTTGGATGTCACTTTCATCCCCATACATCATCCATCAATGTTGTACAGGGTGTTCCCTTGGCGTTGTCGGAGTTTGAGTTCTTGATTTCTTCTCTAGCACCGTCGTTCCAGACGCAGTGCAGTGGGGTAGGCTTTGCATTGAGCGCTTGGTGTGGAATTTTCTTTTGCGTTGGTTGGGTTGATCGAGTAGGACTGTTGAACTTGGCACTTGTAGTGAGGGATTGCCGGCTTGCGTCGAGATCAACGACGGGGCTTGGAGCTGGGAGCAAGTCCCGGACATTGACATGGCATGTTCGTGATCTGGATGGACGCTGCTGCATACAGACTCGATCTCACTGCGATCATCCATGATAGGTTCGTCCTCGTGGTGTGTATCGCGTAGATCATGCGCGGCGTCTTCGCACCCTCCACCCTTGGTGACATGACCCGACGGTAAGAACCAATCTTCGATGCGCCCGCCCTTCTGGTAGTGTTCGATATCAATATGGTTGAACCGCTGGTTCAATGCGACGAGGCCCTCGCCTCGAACATGTATAATATCTCGACAGAACCCGCACCAGAACTTTCCATTCCAGTCAAGACGGTGCTTGCAGTCCGAGGCTTGTACCTTCTCATCGTCGTCGACTTGATGCTCTTTCTTCAAGTGCTGCGCGTAGGCTTCTTGTCTGTTGAACATGCGCGCACATGGTACGCCGTCCTGCGCGGGGTCGGGTAGTGTACATTGCCAGCTTTGGATTCCATAATGCTGTGACAGTTCGTGGCGTTTCCAGTCCTCTTTGCTACCGAGTTTCTTGTCGCAGCTGTAGAATGTGCAGCCGTATGGTCGCTCGTGTCGTTTTAGGTGTTTTCTAGAGCAATTTATCTTAGACGAGTCCACACCAGTAACGTCTGATACCGACTTACTTCATCTCGCAGCGTAGACGCGTTTGTTTTGGGCAAAACTCACATTGAATCCAGCCCGCCTTGTCCGCGGTGCCAACTGAATCTTCCGAAAGCGAAAGCATATCAAACGCCTTGAGCAGCATGTCCTGGAAGACCTCTCGCGTTTGACCCGATAATTCGCCCTCCTGCTCTGGGGCCATCCTCATTAAGATCTTTACCAGGCCCGCTGCTCCCTTCGATACTACTGCGTCGCGCGTATTGTCAACCTTGTTATTGGCCAGCTGGGATGGTTCAAGATTCTCTCGGTGGGATCGCTCTAGGGGAAAATCTCGCGCCGACAGCTCCACAGGCTGTTGCGGGAAGTGCTCAATCCCGTGCATTTCATGGTCTTCGTCAAGTCGCTTGATTGAGTCTAATGTAGGCATATCGGAGGCTTGTGCAGCAGCGTGAACTTGGGTAATCGGATCGAGAAGTTCTTGATTAAGGCCCTGGACAAACTGTTCCGACTCTAGAAGCTGTTGCGTCTGCAAAGGCATTGCTGAGTCCGACACATTGTCGGTAAGCGATGGCGATACTATGTCATGTGGCTTTACACATTTCTCGTACCATTCTTGCGACCTAGCAAGCAGTCAGTAACGCAAGCCATCAAAGCAGCTCGTTAAATTAGTGAGCGGCCTACTTTCTCAGCAACGCCTCCGTGTCCTCGGTATTATGCATTCGGGCGAGATGCTGGCGAAAATTATCCAGTCGAGGCCATTTCTTATTGCTCCGAGGGCAGTTATGTCCGAAACACATGTACAGCACCTTTGGTCCGCGCTCTGGCTCTTTCTTGTGAACGCATTTCTTATGCCGTGCCAGGTCATTGATCGTCCCGAACCCTTCCTTGCGAGCGCAATTTGGCTCATCACATTTGAATAGCTTCTTGTGCCTAGCTTCGTGTTTCCTGCACTAGTTAGTCTAAGCGACCTGGAAGAGGTGGATCGAGGTGCACCTTTTATCCGAAGGACATTTGCCGGACCAAGTACAGCCCGGGTACTCGCACTTGATTGTATCAAGAGATAGTAAAGACGGCGAATCTGGCTGTTCAGCGATGTCCATAGCATCGCCGTGATGTGTTGAGTTGATGTCCCACGGCGGCACCTTTTCATCCTGCTCATAGTCATGAGGAAGAAGACCCGGACTGCACGCCGAGTCTACGGCATACGAGGCGGCGATAGAGCGTGTAGTACAGCTACGGGTGCTATATCCAGAGTCGGACGAGTGTAGCCCGTTGTACTGGCTACCAGTCTCAGAGGGTGTGCTATATTGATCGGTCGAACAGCGACGGCTGAACCCGTTCATATGGTGAGCCCTCCCCGTCGGCCGTGTGACGAAGCTCACGTTGGCAGGAAGGCCGGTTACCTGGAGTGGGTTCCATGAGTCCTGGTTGCTCATGAAACGCGCGGAGGGATAATGGAAGTAGTCCATGGGCTGCGGGGTCGGCGAGGCTGACTGTTTGGGGAGCGGCAGATACTGATTGAGCGACCCATGATTATAGGGATGGACACCCACGTCGGGTCCGAATTGAAAGCCAAGGAACGAAGCTGGATCGCCAGGCGTCGGGTCGGAGGAGGAGGGGAACTCGTTGGGTGAGAGGTCAGCTTGGGATGCTGTCGGGGTGATACCCTGAAGGACATCGCTGTGGCCGTCCCAAGCGAAATTCGACCCCTAGAAGAGAATTAGAACGACTCAATTGTTTTATATAATTACAATTGTCGATGGAAAGGAACTTCTTTGTCGTGTCCATTGTTTGATGCCATTTCGGTGGAAGATGGGGCGATTCTGGGGAAGAGACTCGGCGGGTACCTACACTCATCGCGGCCGTCGGTGCAACCTCCAAGCGATAGTATATTTGCCCAGAGCAGGGATCGCATGCACTGGAGGCCTGTGCTATCGGCAAGGTGCAAGCAAGAGATAATGCGACCGAGGGGAAATAGTGCAGGCAGAAAGTCGGTAAAAGCTGGACGGAGGGAAATCATATAGGAATCGAAGTTGAGGGTTGGGTCTTACGCAGAACAAGGGCACCTTCGTCAGATGCGGCGGCGACAGGCGATCAGCTTCAAATTTTCACTCGACTACTGTCGGTTGGGCTTAGCTTGCAACAATAGTGGTGTGCCCGGAAAAAGAAAGGATGGAGAGTGACGGCGAGGATAAGGAAGAGGATGAGGAGGGAAAAAGCAAAGAAACAACGGATGAGGACGAAAAAGCATGGACTACTAATAGGCCTGGGAAAAGAGATTTCACATTCCAGAACCCCACGCGATAACGTGTCGAGGATTCGACATGACAGGAGGAATTCTGCAGCTGGGAGAAGGATAACAAGACGATGCTGAGATCGGATGAGAATAGGCCGAGTCCACAGCCTTAGTGCGTGATGGAACTGCAGAGACTCAAAGTGAGGCATCCGCGGCCGTTGAAAAATTCTCATTCGCCGTCCACCCAATCTTCTGTATAGTAAGGATGGAGCAGACTGCAGGGGTGTATACTCTTGCTCCCGTCCAGAAAGTTGCGTGGCTGTGCCTGTACGGAGTAAGGAGGACTTAACTATACTGACAGGCCCACCAGACCCAATCTGCCCTTCTTACATACTCCGGAGTAGGCGTCGATCGCCGAGTTTAGTCTCTTGTGAGCCTGTCGTGTTCCAAGGAAAGGTTACCACCAAAAGTAATCATAACTGGACTATTGCATCTCTGTGCATTCGTTGGAGAGCTTTTCGCTTAGTACATGTATATAGCGAGTCGTGTTATGCAGGGAAAAAAATGAAGCCGTCATAAATTATTCACAAATGTCACCACACATGCTCTCATGCAGTACAGAAAGGGGCAGTGAGCAGAAGAATGAGCAGTCTCAAATGGGTATATAAAAGGTTGATCCATCGATACAACAATGCCTAAGAAACAAGTCATGAATCGTGCTTCCGGTCGTGTGGTAAATAGTCGAGTAATAAACAGGTCGCCAAAAAAGCAAAACCAAGCCAAATCTAAGCACACCCCACGATCTGTCAAATCTGCCGCTAGGGTATCACAATCATAATAGCTGGTAAAACTCAGGCGGTTGAGACGTCAATTCATTGGCCTTGGCCTTGGTAGTCCCCTGGATTATACGGCATTCCCGTCCCCATTGGTCCGTGGTAAGGGTAGTGGTTCTCCGCGACGCCGGACACGTACACAGCAGTGTGTGGATCGCCGTACTGCATCTCCGTGGGGGACATGGAGTAACTGTTATATTCCGGCAACACCCTCAGGTCTTGATTGGAGACCCTCAGTCGAGGCACGGTGTTGAAGGGCGGAGGGTACGAGACCGAAGTCGGTTGTGGGCCGGCCAGCTCAGAAGGCCCAGACGGTCCAGATGGTCCAGACAACCCTGCGTTATGCGGCGCATACGGCGAGACGCTTTCGAAATTGTTCAGCGGATTAGGCGCTGTACTCTCTATCGGCATAGACGTGGCAGGAAGGTATGTGACTGTCGCAGTCGTGTTGTAGGGTAATGCAAGCGAGTCGGGCCCTCCCGCATGGCTGCTGGGATACTGCGCGTGCGTAGTAGTATAATTCATGGAAGGGCCGAGCGCATCAGCCACTCCGTTTAAGTTCGGGTTGAAATCGCTGGCCTCATGTGGGATCGGCATCTGGCCGGAACAAGTATCCGCAATATTAGTCGCACCGTTGCTACTCTGGAATTCTTTTGCTTCCACGAGACCCAGAATTGGGATTGCCATCTGTTCCATGTGCTTGGCCAAGTGCACAGTGAGCTTCTTCCAGTTGGTGCAGACATTGTGGCAGAATCGGCATGGCTCATCGCTGGGCTTTCGCGTCGTCTCATGGTGGCAGCTATCCACAAGGTCCCAGAGTCGTTTAACCTCTTGTTTGTGGTTCATCTCCGCCTGCATCTCAGGTGTAAGCGGGTCGTTTGGGCCTCTAGCTGTCGACCCCTTGTTCTTCGCTTTTTTGACTTTCGGCTCCGGCAACTTGTGCTCTCGGACGAGATGCTGCACGAAGTTGTCTTTTCGATAACATTTATGGCGGCAATCCGTGAACGAGCACTCCCACCACTCAAGCTGCCGGTGGCGTTCGCTCTCGTGTCGAACCCAGTCTGCTTTCCGCTTGAAGGACTTGGGATCAGAGCAGTCTGGGAAAGTGCACGTGAATGGTTGCACATCTTCATATATATGCTTGGTCCAGTCTGATGGCTTTTGGAACTTCTTCACATTGAAGCAGACTGTGCATTCAAACTCCGCTGGCAATACAGTGACCTGCGGCGGCGGATAGGGGACGCCTGGTGGAAATTGCGCCGTCGCAATATTGGTCTCACCAAGCACCTCAGGCTCGTCCGTCTCTTTTCGTCCAGGAATTTGAAACTGGGTGTGTGCATCTGGATCTTGCGCAGAAGCACGAGGCGGTAAAAGCCTGGCCTGGCCGTCTTGGGCGAAGCAGAACTTGCCCGCCTTGCATTTCCCTTGCGTTACATCTTGGGCATGAGTTTGTTTGATTTCCAAAAGCCGCTTGTATCGACGAACTTGCTCCTGGGCGAAGCGATCAACCAGAGAAGGTGCAAGACGCGGGTTAAGCTGGACGATCTGTGCTCGAAACCCATCAAGAGTCGGCTGTGGCAAGTCTCGTGGCAGGGGGAATTCCATGACTAGCCCCTTCTCGTCACTTTCCTCGTCGTCTTCATCTTCAGCAGCGTCAGGCTCAGGCCGAGTCTGTTTTGGCGCTTCAGATTCATCGGGTTGCGCGGAGTAATTGAGGTTCGGAACAGGTGGACCACCGTGAGTCGTCATGAGCTCAAGCAAGCCTGGTCCTTTGTTCGGCAACTCGCTCCTGCTTCTACCACGAGCTTTGAATGAGGCCCAGGGGTTGCTGATCGTCGGACCCGGGGACACTACATTCAGAGATTCTTTGCCCCCAACGGCCGCCATCTGCCGTGTCATGGCTATCAATGCACCCCCAGTGTTGCTGTAGCTCGGAGATTTGGGGGAGAGCGTGAGACTCAACTTCCGATGTGGGAAGCTGTCTTTTCTCGAAGGAGTAGGCTTGCTGTCTGGACCTTGGCTACCTTCCGAACCTGGTTGGGTGATAGTAGAGAGATCGGTTCTTTGGCGTTGACGCTTCAAGAGGTTGCCTTGCTTCCTGGGTAGGTATTTGAGCAGACTGTTCTTCCTCTCGTGCTTTTTCTCCTTTGGATTGAGGCTCATCATCTGGAAGGTTCTGATGCTCTCAGCGTCAAGTTCTCGCGTGCCCCAAGTTGCAACACGAGATATGGTGTCAATCTCCCGGGCGCGTCTCTGATATTCGGCCATAGCTTGATGTGAATTGACAGGTTGAATGCGTGTGGTTGTGGGAGACGAAGTGTGTTCAATATCACGCCATGGCGGCGACCCAAGGAATTGATGGGATGTTGGTTCGGCCGCCTCAGCTTGTTGGGACTCGGGAGGAGTGATCTCTGACGCCTCCTGAGCCCATTTTTCTTCGTTCCACTCGACAGCAGGCGATTCAGGGGCCGATGTGCCAGGAGCCGATGACTCGGTCAAGTCTTCGCTAGACTCAATCTCCTCCCGGAGCACAAGGCCAGGGCCAGGAATATCTCCCCGATTTTGTCTGTACTTGATAGTAAAGTAGTCTTCCTGGGAGAGGGGTGGGTCCCCGGTACTTTTCGCTCTGCGTCTGTTTCCGTGACGATCGGAGCGGCCCCGGATGGAAGGCGGATGCTCATCGCCAGCCTCACTGCGGGCCTCGCTGACGGCCTCGGACCACGAAAAGATATCGGCATTTTTTTCCTCGAGCTTTCGCTGAAACTCCATCTCGTTCGGACTGGGAATGTAAGCGTTCACTCGCGCATCCGGCGCCAACCCTGAATTGCCAGTCACACCGTTTCGAACCCACGTCCCGTTACGAGCTCGGGATATGGTGCGCTGCTCTACTTCCGGGGTGGTATCTTCTTCCGAGCCATTAGACAAGCCTCCTGGGGAAAGGTGCACAGAAGACTGGCTTGGACGGCGGTTCACGGGAAAAGAATCCCTGACGGGCGAGTCACCTCGTGAGTAGCTCTCCACCTTGACGATAGGGCTTATCGCTTGCGCCGACTGGGGAGCTACACGAGGACCAAGTGAGTCGCTCAGAGGTGTTGTTATCAGGCGAGGTATCGGAGGATGGTGTGCAGACCGAGGAACTCTCTGGCTCCCAATGCTGGCTGCGTCTGAGGATGGGCTCGGGTTGTTGGTCGGGTTCGGAGTGAGGAGTTGAGAAGGGTCCATGGTCCCTTGAGGGGAGGGCGGACTGGAAGCGAATTGGTTAGGTGCGGAAGTTTGGCTGCCCTGGGTCGTCGGCCACATGCCTACGCTTGGGTTCATGTAAATGGCCGGCGAATGATGGGCGCTTATATCGCTGAGCCAAGTCCCATCATCAGGGCTGCATAATTCAGAGTAGGAAGTTGCGTAGCCCTCAATATTACCAGGCGTGGACGCATTGTTGCCGGAATGGTCTAGCGGAGACATGGAGACATTGCGTGTACTGGTCCGGTCATCGTCGTTGACCGGGGTCAACCTGATCCCGGAGGAATGAAAGTCGAGTTCGTCAGGGTCGACAGTGGTTGAAAGGTATAGGTTTTGAAGTTCAGGATGGTTGAAGTTTCTCTCGGTGGGATCGCTCGGGACGAACTGAGGTGAGACCGCCGACATCTTTTGCGCAGAATCCACTGAGGGACTGAGGAGGGGAGTGACGGTGGGAAGACTGCTTCGCTTCTTGCTTGGAAGGTTCAAGCCAGCTGACAACGGTACTAGTACTGCCACTGAGACCTAGTAAAAAGGATAAAGAGTGACATGTCTAGACCATGGTAGATGCGATCGGATGCAGCGACAAGACAATTGAGATGGGGCAGGGAGTGCGCTTTTGTATAAGAGGGGAGCCACCAGCGTTGCCCGATGCAGGTCTAGGTCATTCAGGCCGGCTTCCAGAGCGTTTCTGTTGTTCGACAGGGAGAATATGCAGTGATCTAGTCCAATAGACGATGACGTAGAGGGGCTAAAGGATACAAAAGAATAAGCAAGGCAGTATGGCAGCGAGGGACAGGTTGGGGAAGGCTACGAAAGCGAGTGAGACAAGGCGGACAGATAAGAAAGCCAGAGAAGAGAATTCAAGGCGGAGCTGGAGATGGGAGGTGATGACAGGCACAAGAGGACGCAGGCGGCAGAGGAGGCTCTGAGAGGAATTTGAGACAACTGGCCAACAGGGCTGAACGCGAGAAGAAGAGCGACCAGCAGAGGAGGGGGAGCGATCGTAAGAGGTGGGGGAGGCCAGTCGCTAGAAAAAGCAATGAGTCCGAAAAGCTGCCTTGTGAGGACCGAATCACCACACTGTTTGACCCCGGCGCCAAACTAGAGGCTGAGAATTAACACTGTTCAGTCCCAGCGGCTGAGACTGTCGGCTGTCCTCTTGAGTCTTGAATTCGATGTCCACTCTTGACTTTATCCCCACAGACTCCACATCCACGGAGAAAATATCCCGTTTCCTGTCAACAACATCCATATTCTCATCATTATTCTTGGCTGTAAGGGTAAGGCCGCATAAAACTGTCTACAGAGAGACAAGTTGCTCTCCGAGATTATCCCTCCTCGAAACAAGGAAAAATGCCTTTCCAACAATCCCAGAAATGACTCGAGTCAAGCCACAACAGCAAAGCCACCCACCTACAAGCCACATCACTTCTCCCCAACCAGAATGTTCGCAGGCAAGGCAGATTTCTCAACCCCTTCACTTGGTGGAGGACAATGTTCTTGCAGGGGAAAAACATCATCGATGACCAGATGATGACGGGCTGGACGCCCTCACTTGAGATATGACCAGCCACAGGCCACAGACATCCAACATTCCAGACGCAGATTCGGTCCTCCGTATCTCTGCATGCACAGTCACTAGCCACACCGCCCTATTGTGGCACACCATTGTTGCAATCTTCGCCAAGAGAAAAGTAAGCCTATCGCGCTTCTGGCGGTGCTGATGGATGGTATCTGGTACCAGTGTGAATCATGGGGTCAGACTTGGATGGATCCATGGGTCAAGATTGACTCTACTTGTTGACGTTGGATCAGGCACCAGGCACCTGGCGCCGAGCCAAAAGCCACGATCAGAAAAAGCGAAGTAGTCAACCTCATATCGATTTTAAGATGAGACATACTTGTATCTTGAGAGACAAATCTAGCTAACAAGTAAATGCACGCATGTAAAGACTCGACTCCGAAACATCCGTATAATGCCCATTCCATGCCCGTTCCATGCCAGCTTAAAACAATCCAAATCGCTGAAGCGCAGAACAGAACCAAATAAACAGGATCAAGTGGCGTAAGACAGACTCTGGAAGAAAAGAAGACAACATTATCATTGACGACAGAACACAGTATGAAGAAGCAAATGTTGAGAAATCAAACCAAGAAAACGACAAAAACGAACGAAAGAATAACATTATCAATCGGCCATCAACTCCCTCATTAAACATAAATTCCGAGGCACAGAACAAATAGGAAAATTTCAAGCGAGTGACAAACATTCCAGACGTCTGGACTGCGGTTGGATCAAATCATCAGGTGGTGTGATATCATGCTGTCGCAAAATTGTCCCCAGATGCGCCATCAATTAACGCATCATGAGCGACATACGTGCTCTCGGTGGGTACAGGCGAAGGTGGCGCCTCATAAGCTGAGCCCCTCGAATACCGCCGAGGCAAGTCTTCCGTGCCCGTCAATGCATCAGTAGACTTCTTTGCCAACTCCTGTAGCCGGGCAAGAACGACAGGCGAGTCCGAGTACAGCACGGCACCCCGAGAGTACGTGCAAGGGTTCGCCTTCTCCTCGTCGCCAACAAAGTCCTCATGCGCAGCCTCGCGGATGATCCTGGGGAACGGTCGAAGAATAACATGGCGTGCAGGATCGAACTTGGGGCTGCTGGGGCGCTCTCCTTTTGGGGAGTCGTACTCTTCCCAATCCTCGTTCGGCAGAGAGCCAGCCTCGGGGGCGGGAAGAGAGGCGAGAATTAGTTCGCGCTCGACACGCGCGTGTCTCCAAGTTTCCGCCGCGAGTTTCACAATCTTGCGGATGCCCGTAAGAAGAGAGTCCATGCGTCGAGGATCAGCAAAGTGCTTTAGGTGATTGCTGATTTCGTCGACGATCACTGCGGCTACCACGTTAATGGACTCTTTCGCGTCGGAAGTGGTGTACGCCGCTTTGAGGGTTTGCTGGCGCCAGAATGCCTCGCGTCGGACGGACTTGCGGCGGATGTCCATGGAAAGCATCTGGAAGAGGATATCTGCCTTGTCATATCGACGTCCTAGAGTGAACAGGAAGGGGTGGAAGATGCGGTAGGTTAGGGTTTTCGAGACAACGTGCTGTACGTACAATGCGCGCAGTTCGCGAGACGCTGGAGTGTTGTCAAGGAACGACGGCAGCTCTGGCGGGAGCTTGGAGAGGACCTCTTGGGGAGGGTCAATTGGTAGGTACGAAAAGTGCTCTTTAGAAAGAGCGACAATAAGACGTTGGAGTTGATCGAAGCAGTCCAGACTAGATTCGCATTTTTATCAGAACAGGTACATTGATAGCATTATCGACATGTCATGGTCTCTTCTCCGTAAACATTCTATCACGTAACAAAGGAAATCATAGCGAGTGAATGCATGCGGGGCGTAAAGAGATAGGCAGAAAAGATGGTCGTAAAAGAAATCGTAGACAAAAGAGACGTGAGTGTAACAAAAAAAATCCAATGAACGAGAACAAGTTCCAAATGAATCTCAACCTAGGCCACTTACAAGAATGTATCGCCTTTTGTGTTCTTGAGGTCAGTGGCTTCTCCCAGACTGTGGAGAGTCTTCCTCAATCTGTCGCAGTCCTTGTCCAGGTTGTCAATGGTCACTCGCATGCTGTCAACTGAATGCTCGAGTTGTTTCTCCTTTGAGAGGACGTCCTCCTCCAGTCGCTTGTTTTCCCTCTCGCTGTTGGCGAGCTCGTCGGTCTTTTCGGAGAGTTGCGTTTCCAAGCCAGTCTTTTCTTCGTGCCAAACTCGTTCCATTTCGGTGACTTTTTCATGATGACAGTTTTCGAGGGACTCGATTTCCTCAGCATGCGCTTTCCGGGCGTCCTCAAGCTCCTGATGTTTTTGCTCGAGTTCGTCCTTGGTGGATGCAAGCTCCGTGAGCTTCGAGTCAAACTCCGCCTGCAGGGTGTTGTGTGATTCCTGCATCTGCTGTTTCTGCTGTTCGTACTCTGTCTTCATTGCTTCTTGCTGCTCCTGCAACTCCGCTTCGCGAGCTGCCAGAGTTTCTGCGGCTGCTTTCTCGTCTTCGGCTTTAATCTCCTCAAAAAGTTCGGTCAAGTCATGCTTCTGTGTCGTAAGAGCTTCCTCTCTCTCTGCATCTTTCTCTTCGCGCTGCTTCTCGAGAGCCTGACCGTGCGCCACACGCTCTTCCTCCATGTTCGCATTCAGCTCCTTGATCTGGTTTTTGAGGTCGGCTTGTCCTTCTTCCAATTTCTTTATCACTCCATCGGAATCTGCGAGCTTCTCCTCGAGATCCTTCCGTTTGTCTTCCAGATTGCCCAGCTCCATCCGAAGCTCGTTGATCATGTTCTTGAGCTTGGAGGCTTCTTCGGCGCCCTCGTTGGCAGTCTTTCGCAGTTGGTTCTGTAGCGCCTCGATGAAAAACTCCTTGTGCATCAGCGCTTGCTTGTGCTGGCTTTCCAATTGTTTGAACTCCGCCTCACGGGATTGGAGCTTGGTCTTGGTATGCTTGAAGGTTCCTAGCAAGCGGTTGATGTCCGGGATAGCTTCCTGGATCCTTTGCAACATCTCTCGTGCATCTTCTTGGTCTGGAGGTACCATTGGTCCTCCTTTGCTGCCGGGGTGTTCGCGATCATTGCCGTAGATGGCATCCCTCATTCCCTGGAACGGATTCACGCCGTTGGGAGGCATGGGGCCTCGTTGCATGGGATGATGGGGGTGAGAGGTGGGCTGGGGCTGATAATAGCCGTAATGAGGAGGAAAGTAGCCCCCGGAGCTCATCACAGGAGACTGGTAGGCCGTGGCATAACTATGTGAGACGGACGGAGGGACGGAAGGTGGCATTGGCGGTAGAGACGTGGTATGAGGAGACATCACTGGCGAGGTATAGGCGTGCGCCAGAGGACTGCTGATTTTCGGTAGCGGCGAGGAGTGTTTCCGAATAGGAGAGGGTTGGTGCTGCACTGGGGATGCTGGCTTCTGCCGCGGGGAGTAGGATTGGTCCATGGGATACGAGGGCTGGTACAGAGGAGAAGCACTAGGCGGCGTTGGGGGCGCCGCTCTCGGAGGTGGAAAGGTTGCATCCTTAATGGTTGGGGCGTGCTGATTCCGGGGTGACGCAACTGGTGGCGTGGGAGCAGCAGGTGGAGGGATAGGCGGGATGGTATGAGGCCCATCTACAGTCTCGGCGATGCTGATTGAAGGTGAAATTGCCCTTTGCATAGGCGATGCAGACTTGTAGGAAGGCGAGGCGGTCTCAGGTGCAGGGGACTGAGGCTTTGAGGCAGGCGGAGTAACTTCCTGGGCCGGCTCCATCGCACGTTCTGGCTCCATGAATGTCTCTTGCGTCGGCGTAGTCGGATCAGGCTGTGCTACTTGTTCTGGTTCTTGCACGGATACTGGTTCTGCAATGGGCTCCGGCTGTACCGCGGGTTCTTGTACCGCCAAAGACAGGGATTCTGCGACAGGTTGTGCTTCGGAGACTGGTTCCAGTTCTAGGACAGTAGGAGCAGGGGTAGGAGCGGATTCCTGAGCAAGTTCCTGAACAGCTTCGGAAACAACTTCAGAGACGGGTTCATGAGCAAGCTCGTTGACAGGCACAATGACGACAGGCTCGACGACAGGCTCGACGACAGGCTCGACGACAGGCTCGACGGGAGGTTCAACGGCAGGCTCGGAAACAGGCTCAGAAGGAGACACAGCGAATGGGTTATTCGAGGAGAATGCAACCCCTGCTTCCGCTTCTCGAGGTGTGGTGTCCACTTCAGAGATAGACGCTTTTCGCTCGTTGTCTTCCCAGGCTGGCCAAGCTTCAGTAGGTTCAGTGGCAGTCTCCGGCGCAATGCTGAAAGTAGGCGACTGCGGTGCTGTAACTGGTGTTCTATCGGAAGCTCCTACAGAAGCACTCTGTTGAACTGTAGCGTTGTCGTCGTCGTCGTTCTTCGCTTCAGCAGCGTCGAGTTGTTCCCACGCGCCAAAATCGTCCTGGCTAGGCTCATGGACGTCTTCAACCTGGACACCGTTCATGCCGAGATGTTGCTGTGGCTCAGTGGGAATGCTGGGCTTGTTTATTTGAGTAAAACCATCGTCGTCGAATGCTGACTGAAATGGAGTTCCAAAGTCGAATGAAGTAGAGACGGGTTTGAGCGGTGCTTGTTGCGGTTGCTGTTGCTCTGGTTCTGAAGGCTGCTCTGGTAAAGGCTGCTCTGTCTCTGTGGGCAGTTCAGGTAGTTCGGGAGCTATCTCAAGCACTGGTGCAGACTCCTGTGACTCTGGTACTGGCTCTGGCGCAACTTCTGGTACTGCAGTCACTTGCGATGCAGGTTGCAGCTCGAGCTCTGGCTCTGGAGTAGCGACTGATGTCAAGTCAGCGACCTCGTCGGGAAGAGGTGTCGCTGCTGCCAGTTGCTGTTCCTCAGGCTCAGTAGAAGAGAGGTCCGGTTGAGGTGTGGGAGTCTCTGAGGTCTCTTGACTCTTGCCCTTCTTATTCTTTTTGCCGTTGTCGGCCTTGTTCTTGCTCTTCTTGCCTGACTTCGCCATGGTGATGCGTGCCCAAGTTCAATCAGATAGCAGAAAGACGTGTTTCCAGTAAGCTGGTATCAAGGTCTGTCAGTCGATATTCGGTTGGGCCAATGTTGCTTCGACAATGTACGAGTGTAGAGTGCATCCGGAAGAGTCAGAAAGATATATTCCAAATTGATATACGTACAGATAGCAAGCTAGAGGCGGTCCATATAGGAGCAGGAACAACGATCAGGTAAGCAGGAAAAAAAGGAGGCAGGGGAAAAAAAAACTTGACGCGGATCACGGAACCTGCGCGTATGCGCAAATGATCACAGTCCACGACGACAAAGAGTCGGGCGGCAGCAGACAAGTATGCAGACTTGAAAAGCTAGCGCAAGTCTGAACGGATATGTTTCTGAAATAATTGAATTCAGAAAGGGAGTCAAAAGGAGGAGGAGCAAAAGAAGAGAGAAAAGGTCGGCTCATGACCTATGTACGGAGTAGAGCTACGCCCCAGCGAGGACACTGCACGCGACAACCCAACTGCTTCTCGCCCTAAGGGGGCTAAACAAGGATTCAGTACGGACCGGACCGTAAGAGTGTGAACTGTTACCCAGAGAATGAGTCAAAACCAGGCAGGAAAGGCAAGAGCATGGAATTGGGTGTGAAACGTTGAAGCCACTGTGGGATGAGGGCTTCCATGCACAACGCAGGAGATGGCCAATGGCATCGCCTCGCCCGGGAAATTGGGCATCAATGACTGGGTGTGTTTGAGTGGCAGGAAGAACTCCTGGGAAAAAGAAAACAAAAGTTAAGCGGTCGAAGTGCTTCTCAGACACCGAAAGAGAGGCAGGTCTGTGGAGTCAGTAGCGCTAAATGTGTATAAGCGGTGACATGTTGTTCCTCTTGTCCAGAGACGACCAAGCGTGCATGGGTTGGCAGCGAAATGGACCCAATAGACAACAAGGTCCGAAACAACAGTGGGGAGAGGAGCCATAGTGAGGCAGATGGTCGGGTTGGCCATGCATGAAGACCAGAACGAGTCTGGCGCTCATGGAAGCGCCATCGTCAAGGAGCGCCAACAAAGCAACCAAGCTACCCACATGTCAGGGCGGATTTTGGTCCTGATGACCAGGGCATCGCTCGAAAACAGCATCGCCAGACCATATTAGGATCAGATCACCCGCAAAAGTACAATTTGGGCGATGAAGCGACGCCGGGCGGCAGAATGATGCTGATGAGAGGAGACATCATGAGAGAAGTAGATCGTGAAAAGAGAGGAAGAACTTTCAGTTGCCCTGAGTTGCACAGTCGGACTCGATGTGATGACACAGCGCCAAGCACCAACTACTAAGCTAGCTTGCTAAGGTTGCCACGTGACTCGCGATTCCGCTGCCGCCGCTTCTCGACTTCAATTCGCACTTCGGTGACGGCATCACGATTATCAGTGCTGCCAATTGTCGCCCTCCACACAATGATTCTTGCCCGGCGATCGGTGGCTTCGGCGCGGCATCTGCTGCAGAACCAGCAGCCACGACGATTTGACTCACATGCAGCTCACCATGCGGCACCTGTGAACGAAAGCTTCGGCGTATGTCCTTCCTTTGAATTGCTCCCAATGGAAGATGATGGCGCGCGGTGGGGGAACAAATGACACATCAGGCTAACGAATTGCTTTGTTGTAAAACATACAGCGTAGCTTCTACGTCGCCGTCGGCACCTTTGCTTCCGCTTTCGCCCTCTACCACTTCACCAAGGCCACCAAGGAGTCTGGCTCCCAGTCGCGCATCTCCAGCTTCATTGAAAAGTGGACTCCCTCGGAGAAGACCTTTGAGCAGAGAAACGCCCTTCATACCGCCGCTGTGGAAAAGGCCGCTTCTGACCGTCACTTGTTCATCAGTCAGGACCTGAAGTCGAACTATGAACTGAGGAACCCCGAGTACGTCTAGACCAGACCTATCCTGCCATGCTTGAGTAATGCGCCATTGAATTTGAGCTGACCGTTCTTTTCTTCTTTTCCGCGCACAGGGCTGCCTTCCAACCCGGTAAACCATACAATGTCATCCCCGGCAGCCAAGCCGACCTGAGCGAGGTTATTGCTCACTACGAGCGTGAGAACCAGAAGCAGGAGGCCGCCCGTGTTGCCCGCATGAAGGATGGCAAGGTTGTCTCTCTTTATGAATAGATTTGGGGTTCGCTTGGGTCTTCTGCAAGATTCCGGGGTTAGACTTGAGTCTCGGAGGGTGTTGTACATATAGCCTGTAGTCAAGGTCTCTTTCATTTGCCTTTCATTGTTTCTCTATGCAAACCTACATGCTAAAGTACTAGTATATCGAGAGATACTCGAACGGAAGCTACTTAATACGAGCTTCAATTCCACTCGAGAATCTCTCTATATCACCTCTCTATTCGCCAATGCCAATCTCCAAAATCGTCCTCCCCACCCCCTCAGACTTGACATCCAATCTCTCCTCCACCTTTACACTTAGACCATCACCACTACCAACTGTTCTCAACACGCCCAAAAACTCATCCACTCCACCCCCGACGCCAAAATAGACCTTCTTCGCCGCAACAAGCGCCCTACCACCCGCAGCAAAAGGGCGCCTCAGCAATGCAAGCAGCGTCTCCGAGAAAGCACGCAGTGACGCAGGCGAGTATATCGTCTCACTCGCAAGAATCAACGTGCTGAAGCCGACCAGTACTGGAGACGAGAATACCAAATCAACAAACGCGGGTGACCATGCGCCGGAGACGAACGAGATGGTTATGCCCCTGCGAGCGAGGTCGGTCTGGAAGGCGGATAAAAGATCGGGTGTTATGTCTAGCATTTCTTCTTCAGATTCGTTGGCTTCGCCCTCTTCTTGGGTCTGGGGATCTGAGGATGAGACGTCATGTCGAGTGACGAGATAGTTCCAGGTTAGGATGAGATTCGGTAGCGTGACCAAACGTAGAACAGCAGAGTTGTAGTCTGCGAATGTGAACTGCGTCCTTTTCGTCACAGCCTCAGTCCGCGAAAGCAGCTGAGCAAACAGCGTCAATGAGGGCACCGCGGTACCAGCTCCAAGCTATCCATCCATCTAAATCAGCACCTCTGTCAAGACTTAAGTTCGAAATAAAGCAAGAAAACCAACCTCGACAACATGTTTATCTGCATCCCCCATATTCTCACCCGCAACAAACTTCCCCAGATCAATCGAGCACTCCCACGTCTTGAAGCCTCCCTCGTAGAAATTAGGCTTGATATCGCCCTTCTCTAGCCCCGCAATGAGTTCGGCGTTTTGCTCCTCGGCGCTATCTTCGACCATTAGCTGGGCTCGGATGTCGAAGACGTCACGGCGCGCAACAGTGATGCCTGCTCTTGTACCGTCTCCCTGGGCCGAGCTAACTATACATTTGTTGTATGAGATTTGAGATGGGAGAGTGGGGAGCTAGGCTAGTCAGCGAGTTGCGCTTAAATGCCATATATACTTGTTATAGTGACATGGGGCTTCAAGCAGCCACCATTGAACATGAAACCCCACTTACCCATTCATGCATTTCATGCCTTTGGGCCTGCACCAATTCTGGGAGTGTAGAGGTAGTATCGGCTTCCTGGCCCACACGCTGCTGGTCAACCACCTGGACGTCCGCATCATCAATGTCAATGTCGTCTCCTGAGAAGCCGAAGCTGAATCCCGACATGATGGAACCTTATTGACAGGATTGTCCTGCTTATATGGACTGATGAAATGCTAATTCCAGGTGATAGTGAGCTTGGTAAAGTAATGCACTTTCAATCGAGTCCGCTGGTCTTGACGCTTTGTGCTAATTGATTGATGAGGCACGCTCTGGAGCCTGGTAGAACGGCCAACTTCAGGTCACTGGCTCTGTTCTGCAGTAATATCGTGAGAATGTAAATGTAAAGATGTCTCTCCTTTAATATTTTGTTCTGCAATTCTGATAGTGTGGACTGTAAATTTCTGGATCTTTTATGCGGATGACTAATCACGGTGCAGTGAAGTTTTAAGTCAGGCAGTAGACACATTCTGGAAGTAACAATTAGATATACTAGAATAAAGGCCTTGCGAAGCCTTATCAACAATGTTCCATTTACCGAATTGTAGACTCTTCTGTCATCATGGTCTATAATCCAAAAGCTCTATCGTTCTACTACTAATGATCATTATTTTCATGTCCCAAACTCCAAAAGCTTATGCACTTCCGTTCTTCACAGCCTGGCTAGCGGCCACGGCTTTCTCGAGAGCCTGAAGGGTATCGGCCCTCAGGTCCTCTGCATCCTCAATACCACAGCTCATGCGAACTAGATCATCGTAGACGCCAGCCGCTTCGCGCTCCTCCTTTGGAATCCCCGCATGAGTCATGCTTGAGGGGACCTCGCATAGACTCTCAACACCGCCCAGACTCTCCGCCAGGGTGAAGATCTTGGTGTACTCGCAGAACAGATGAGCGGCCTTCTGGCCACCTCTAATGCGGAAACTCAGCATGCCGCCGCCCATTCCCTGGCGGTGCTGCTTGACAGCGATTTCTCGGTTTGGGTGAGAATCAAGACCGGGATAGTTCACGGAGATCACATGTGGAGATGCTTCGAGTGCTTTAGCGACAGCAGTGGCGTTTGTTGTGGCTTCGCGCGCGCGAAGGTGAAGGGTTTTGAGACCGCGGTGGGCAAGCCAGCAGTCGAACGGGGATGGAACGGCTCCAATGGCGTTCTGGAGGAATGTGAATCGTTCTTTCAATTCGTCAGAGTTGAAGGCTGCGACGCCCATCAACACATCCTACACACTGTTAGACAGGCGTAGCTTGAGCTGGAACAGGGGTCGACTCACAGAGTGTCCATTGATATACTTTGTGACGGAGTGAATCACGACATCAGCACCGTGCTCCAAAGGATTCTGGACGTACGGGCTCATAAAAGTGTTGTCAACAACAACCAGAACGCCACGCTGATGCGCAGCGGCGGCGACTTTGCGGATATCAACAAGAGCCAGCGTAGGGTTTGATGGAGTCTCAATCCAAACCAGCTTGGTTTGGCCAGGCCGGATCAGCTTCTCAACGTCCAATTCCAGGCAAGTCGAGAAAGACACATCGACGCCGTGTGCCGAGGCGACCTTGGTGAAGTATCTGTGTGTCCCACCGTATACATCGGACACGGAGACGACATGGGAGCCAGGAGCTAACGAGTGGAGAATTGTTGCCGTAGTGGCAGATCCGGAGGAGAAGGCTAGGGCATATTTGGCATGCTCGAGGGCGGCGACAGCTTCTTCAAAGTTATCTCTGCACCATATTAGCATCTTTGGCCGGAATTCGAGCACAATGGAGTAAACTAACCGATTGGGGTTTGAGCTTCGAGTGTATTCGTACAGTCCTACTGGACTGCCAACGCTGTTCTGGGCAAATGTTGTGGACAGGGAGATCTGGCGAAGAGAGTCAGCCCTGTGTTACAACATCAGCATTGGAGTCGCAAACTCACCGGCGCAATGACAGCTCCGGTTGTGGGGTCATGAGGCGCGCCAGCATGAACCGCAAGAGTCGCAAACTGGCGCTTCTGCGATTCGCCGTTTTGGCCGTTGGATGCGAAGTCCGAATGCGCCGTCATCGTCATTTGTCTGTCACGGGACTGATTCGAGTATTGGGAAAAGCAAATAAGAAGAAAGGGCAGTCCAAATCGGGCTCTGGCGTGACGGGACTTTTTTTGTCTTGATCTCTCACCCGAAGATTGAGGCTGCTCGCTCAAGTTTCTCGACAACAAAGAAATGCTTTTCCTTTTGCCCTCGCTGATCGCAGCTCCTGTTTATACGCAAGGTGCCTAGGTGTTGCCCGACCGCTGATTTGTAATGGCGATTATTCGTCTCAGTGAAAACAATGGCAGCTTCCAGCAAGGAGTTTCCGAGTGAGCATTTATAATAATTTGACAGGGCTGGACCAGGCACGTGGAAAATTCTTTCTTCTCCAGGTTTCTTTTACGTTGCATCGCTCACCATACTGGAGGACCGTGAGGCAATCTATGATCGGGTTCCACGCGGGTTTCCAATGAAGCGATGAACCTGACGGCCTGGCTCCACTGTGTTTGACACGAGTTTAACATCTTGACACTCGTCCCGCTGGTAACCGAGAGACTGTTGGTGTGCTTAGGCCTTGTTTGTGGCTGGTTTTTCGGGTGTTTACTGGGCTCATTCCGAGTGGGTAGTCAAGAGCACTCTGGAATGCTATCTACAAGATCCCATGTTATCTCTACTTACCGCACTGAGGATTAATGGAAGTATCATTCATAGTCAAGTATGCACTCGTCGTACAGTCATACATGAAATCTAGGCCTTTTGCGGATCATTTCAAGAGTGAGTCATGATTAGTTTCCTACCACCACGATATCGGTCCGAGACCAGCCATTTGCATTGATCCCTGTATTGTGTTAGAAATGTGCCAGAGCAAAGCACCACGGCTAGATGTATACGTACGATGATCGAGTATGGTGGCTTGCGATCAGTGGGAGCGCCATCCCCCAGATCTGGAGCGTTGGGGATCTGATCATGCCATTCCTCCACCTCAACACGGAAGCGAACGACTTCTCCTACATCAAAGTAGAATGTACCTTCTTCATTCTCCCAAATCCAGACCTGGTCTTGGTAATCGCTACCTAATGTCAGTATTTATGGGATAAGCAAGACCACAAAGCTACTCACAACCTAGCGCCGTCCAGAAGAAGGTCTGGGGGTACGAGAATATCATTGAAAAACTCCACGCCGACTAGCATACGTCAATAAACACCTCGATGAAGGGGAAGAATCGGCCATGCCTTTGATGCCATGTTCAGTAGCACTGGAGATCTTGCCCAGCATAATCTCTCCTCTGAATGGACGAAAAACAATAAGCCGGAACTTGACTATAGAACGTATTAGTTCCCCAGACCCTTTGTATTTGAAAGATTCATATCAGGGCAGCTGACCGTTCACGTTCACAAGCCCTGTTCCATGGCCGATGAGACCATCCGATGACTCTAGCAGGTCATAGAAGCCAATACAAAGCCCAATCTTTTGAATAACCTTGAGAAGCATGGTCAGCAATACTCGGTCCATGAGGTGATATTGGACGTACTTTGTTGGCATATTTTTCATTGATGTTGTCTTCAATAGCAACAGAACTATACTTAGAGAAGTCCTCTGGGGAAATCTGGATAAGATCTGAGATGGTAGTCTGCCAAGAACGGGATAAGTCTCCTTGTTCCAATTCAAAGCGTTTGTGCGACTTACAAGAATAAACATGATGATGCGACGGAGGCAGAGAAGGTGTAAGAGCAGGGCGGGGATCTCTATTTCAGAGCAGTCACACGGGAGTAAGGAGAGGTTTGGTTAGGAGTGAGTTCCATGTTCAGCATTTACGTCGGAGGGGATTCCTGATGGTATTCGAGCAGAAACTCAAAGCTCATTGATTCAAAGCCATGATGCTTGTGGATATCATTCAAGAAACACGATGAAGATTCACAGCTCCCATGTCCTCCAGCCAATAGCAGTTGGTGATCTGCCTGGATTTTTTTCTGCTGCAGATGGTGGCACGTGATGAGTCTAGTCTCTGGCATTTGCCTCCGGATCGGCAGAACTTTCCGGTTTTGGGCCGCTCCGAGTGGAAACTTGACTGGGGACTCGAAGCTGCAGGGCAAAGCTTTGCCGCAGCGCCGTCAAAATGCTGTGAGGATGGGGTTCATTCTCTTTGTCTCTGAAGGTCGACTGAGATCTTCCCGCCATGAACCCTCAGGGATTCTCGTTCCCTCCACCGCCACCACCACCTCCTACACAACAACATCAGCCGCCGCAGCAATACCATCATAACGCCGGTTACACCCAGTACGGATCAACCCATCATGGCCAACGTGGTGGCCGCGGAGGTGGCGGCGGACACTTTCGAGGCCGTGGAAGAGGACACGGGAATCGGGGAGGAGGAGGAGGAGGAGGCAGAGGAGGTTATCATATGCCCTCTGATGCCAATCGTCCCAGTGCATATACCCCGGCAGCTGCTGGATACGGGCCCATGAACTATCTAGGGTATCCAACGCAGTTTATGTCGAACCAGCATGCGAGTGTCCAGGCACCGCATTATACTCAGCCGCAGACTTATCAAACCCATTTGAATGGGAATGCTTTCGCCTCGCCGACGCAATATTCTCAAGCTACGGGCCAAGGAACGCCGTATCAACGACAACAACCAGGATACGATGCCTCTTACTCTGCGCCCAGTACCCAGCAGCCGCCATACGGCAATGCACCGTCCTCTGGCCAGCCAACGATGATGGGACCGCCCATTCACTGGGGATTCGATAATGCAGGACACGCCGGATCGTTCCATCCGTCTCATCGGCCGAGTCAGCGTGGGCCTCGCCAAGCCAATGCGCACATTAACCAGCCATCTCAGGGAAAGCATACCCACAAGCGCGACCACTCGTCAGCCTTTGGAAAGCCTCAATCAACTGCTCCACGTGTTCCAGCGCCACCTCCAGTTCCGAGCTTTGGCAATCCGCTACCTTCCAAGCCACCACTACCGGCAGATTCCCCGCGCAAGCCGAAGAAGAAGAAGAGGAAGCACAATCAGCTGGGACTTACCCCCAAGACGGAGGACCACGAGTCAAGCGAGGAGGAAGACGACGCCGACGAGGAAACGAGGCTGGCTGCGAGCGGTGCGGGAGCTAGCGCCGGCTTGCAAGTCACATACAGAGGGAAAACGTCTAACCTGCAGACCTCTGCTGAAATCGCAGCCTGGATTGCAGAACGAAGAAAGCGGTTCCCCACCCAAGCTAAGATTGAAGAAAAGAAAAAGGCCATGGAAGAGGCGAAGAAGGCCAAGGAAGAAGCTCAGCGGCAGCGGGAAGCACGCAAACAAGCAGCTACGCGAGAGAAGAAACAACAGCAAGATCAGCAAAGCACGAATAAGCAGCCTCGGGCCGCTCTTGATCCTGCTGATGCAGCTGCAAAAGCTAAACGGAAAGCCGAAAAGCTGCGCCGAAAATTAGAGAAGGAGGAGAAGCGAATTGCGGAGGCAGAAGCGGATGCCGAACGGGCTCGTAAACTCCAGGAATCACAAAAAGGCACTCTGGATGCAACTATGGAACCAACGACGACCATAACAAACGAGGGTGAACACGGCTCGGAGCTGGATGGCCAGGGCCAGGAAGCGCGAAACCCGCTCGCTGGATCGGATCCCAGCGATATTCCTCCAACAGCATCTCAATCAAAGGAAGAGTCTCTAGTGTATGATGGAACTGTGGGCGACTCAGTATCGGATACGTCTGACAGTAGTGACTGGACATCGTCAAGCGGATCCGACACATCATCGGATTCTGATGATAGTGACAACGACTCTGCACCAGAGCAAGCAACCTCACGTCGCGAAGGTCCCGAGCGAGTCCCGCCGCCGCCGCGCGAAGGACAGAAGCGGCTCTGTCGGCATTTTGCCCGGTCTGGTCGCTGTGTCCGCGGGACAAACTGTAAATTTTTACACGAGAAAACAGAACGTGGGGGCAAAACAAAGCCTGCCGAAACCAAGGGACGAAAAGGCCTTCTTCAAGCGGTAAGTGCTGATTGTACAGTTTTGTTTTTGGGCGCGACTAATATAACTGTTTCTAGCTTCTGGATCGCCAGAAAGAAGATGAGAACAAGAAAGTCATGGAGACGATTGTATGGCTAGGGGAGAATGGGTTCCTCGATGAATCTGCGGCTCAAGTGGATACTGCGGTTGGCTCGACTGAGTCGAACACTGCAAGTCGTAGTCCTTGACCAAAACCCAAAGAACGGGGCTTGTACAGGAAATGAAATGATCCTTGTATATCGAAAAATGATGATCGAACGCAGCACCTACTTAATCAAGACTCCGGGTAATATGCGGCCGCAGTTTGATTACTGCGTGCTCCATGGAGCCGTTGCTGCCGAAAGTCCGAAAACCTGAATCATAATAATAATAATAATGTGACAAGGTCGTCGTCCAATTTGACTTTTCTCCTGGGCGGCGGCTGGGTCCGGCATACTGCTCTTCCCTCCTACGCTGAAAGACGAAAAGATACGCGGGATGCAGTTTGTTTATATGATGTCCGCAATGGTACCTGCAGTGAGTAAGGTGAGACACTGTTGCCATCCCCAGCAGCAGGCGCCTCATTCGCGAATCGCCCTCAAACATCGCTTATCAGGAGAAATTTGGTTCAAATTAGCGCATGTCCTTAGACCCTGCCAAGTGCTTAGCTGTGGTAAGATTCAACGTACGGTGTGACGCTCATGGCCATACAGAAGCCAGCACTCAGCATCCCTCGTGATCTTCTGCTGTCCTCGGCTCCAACTTAGTTCTCGCCTGCATGCTTCCTGGCTCGCTCGACATTGGCCTCGACCATCATAATGTCCCAGCTTCATGAAGCACGATGAACGGCCAAGATGACTGCCTCTGTGCATAAGAAAATAGCACGAATGCCAACGAGGACCTCCTCTTGGCTGAACTTTCACTTCGCTCAGCTGGAGGAAACTGACTCGGACCGCCACCAAACCATGGCACCTGGGCAACAAGTGTCCATGGGCGACGAGGGTGATCCAATTTCAGTTTATTTTTGACGCTCCGCCACTTTCCAATGGGCCGGCTTAAATTACCTCCCGATAGCACTCAGCCTAAAGCCGGGCTAAGTTCTGCCCTCCATGAGAACGGATGCCGCCGGATATCGAATTGTGGAAAGGCTATTGAGATGCAGACACTCAGCTGGCAACGAGCGCTTTGCAAGACTGTCCACTGAGTTCTTATTCGGCCGGAGATTGTGATGTTATAGCCAGAGAACCACGCCCGTTCTGGTTGGCAAGTTTATCACTCCTTGCACGAGGTCCAAGCAGAATGCAGCCTAGTCTGCTGGGGCGGGCCTTTGGTCTGCGTCGGTCTGCGGTACGTACCTGGTGCTAAGGCTCACTAGTCAACGCATGCTAAACTCGAAAGAGTCGCAAGATTTGCCTCAGTCCCCAGACTGTTCTTTGCTCGCTCCAAGGTTCTCCTTTTCACATTTCAACGCCTCGCGCTGCCTTTCCCTTTATTCTCTCTCCGATCGCCACTCCGACTCGTCTTTTCAGAGCCTGTCCACAGTCCTTCCTTTGGTTGCTTTTTCAAACTACCATCACTCTCTTTTTTGATCTTCCATTCAGTCTCTCCTTCAACTTCGTTTTTATTTGCACTACATTTTATAATCCCCGCATTCCTCAGTATACAAATACGAGATCACCCGACTCCGCAGCATCTGAGACATTCTATACCTGAATTGTTGTGTAGAGACTATACTATCAATCATCTCATCAGCCAATATGCGCTCAGTTTTCTTCCTCGCCCTCAGCGCCGTCGCGACTCTGGTCGCCGCGCGTGAAAACCCTTTCAACATCCCCTCAAGCGGATATGAGTTCACCGCTGGCGAGCCCACTACCTTGAGCTGGGATCCTACTACTGAAGGAACCGTGACTCTCAGGCTCCAATGGGGCGACGCCTTCACCTCCTCAACTGGTGAAACCATCGTCTGTGAGTTCTCCCTTTATTTTCGTGTTTGTACGACCGCCGTGGATAAGGATGAGCTGCTGACAGAACTTAGCTGGTATCCCGAACTCGGGCAGCTACACCTGGTCTGTGCCTGACGAGATCGCTGATCGTGACGACTACTCCGTCGAGATCGTCAGCGACACAGACCCCTCGACCAGCAACTACCTTCCCCGTTTCTCGATCGCCGGTGCCGAGGAGGTCACTTCCACCACTACTACTGAGACCTCCACGACAACTACCGAGACCAGCACCACCAGCACCACTAGCACCAGGACGACAACCACCAGCACCACCACTACTGAGACCACCGAGACCACCGAGACCCCGACTCCTACCCCGTCCCCGACCAGCTCTACCAGCTCGACCACTCTCACCACCACCACTACCACTGAGAGCAGCACCTCGGAGTCCGCAACCCCGACTCCTACCGAGGTCCCCAGCGTCAACGATGACGACAACGCGGGCATGTCCAACCGCGTCTCCGGCTCTATGCTGGCTCTTGCCCTTGGCGTCATCGCCCTCATCTAAGCATGTCCCTGTCGTTTCTAGTCGGCCTATCCTTCTATAAAGTATAATCCAATTCTTATCGGCCGCTTCCAGCGCGTGCCGGTTATTGATTGGGCTATCCTCTTTCCTTTTTTCCTTCTTCGCCCGTTGTTAACTTACGGACGTGCATGCGTTGCGTGTTTTCTGAATGTAGTGGTATCAGAAGACATATTTGGATGGATACAGTACCTTGTGTCGTTCACGTGTGTTTACAAATGTGGCAGCCTGACCTGAATACCCCAGTGTTTGTTACCTCTGCTTCGTTGGATGGGAGGAATCAGTGGATATATCGGTAATTGGCCTTTTTTTCCCTGGCATGCATCATGTATATATGTATCCTGTAATGAATGTGCGACGTCCCTTTTTAAGCTTTGGTACGTAGTAGGCACGGCTCGGCCGCCGGGAAATTGACCTGTCATACCCACTTGCTGATGGTAGGGCAAATCAGATTTACGGGCCAATGGACGATGAGATAGTCGTAACGAGTACGTACTACTGCTGGAGCTTCAAGGTTGCATTGCCGTTGCAGGAGACATGTACGTTGACTGTTGACACAGCGGCCGTTGACTCGGCTGGCTTAAGCGCCGGAGACTTAGTTAAAGTACTGATACTTTGGTGCGAGGGTCATGCTAATGACCTCTCTGATTCTATGACCGGGCTTAACGAGGTACTGTTCACAGATAAGAGTCTTATATGTCCCGCCTGTGGGGGATTTAGAACTAATTCTAGTTCTGGTGGCCAAGATCTCGGTACGTAGACCTATGAGGGCTATGAGGATGTAGGCAGTGTTGGGAGGCAAGCTTTGAATGCAATTGTGATTCGTAAAGTCTCTATCAAGAAGCTATCGCCTGTCCAGCGGTGACAACAACATAACAATACTGGATGGAGCATTAAGTATGAGTATCAGGAGGGATTGACAAGTCGTGATGATGATGCGTATGACCGTGCAATGTGTGGTGGCGTGAAAATGGGAAACCCGATATGGGCCGCTTGTTCGCAAAGAAGGACGGAAGGGAATAAAAAAAAACCGACAGCGAACATAAAAACAACCCAACACAACTGAGCGCAGAGGATCTACCACTGCGGCGTTACCCTCTTGAGGAACTTCATGAACTTGAAGAACCCCACGGCATGCTCTACATTCCCATAAGGATCAACAACCCGCTCTGGGAACGCGATTCCCGCACCATGCAGACCGGGAATAACTCGTCCGTTCCTGTCTGTGAAGCCGCCGAAGCTCGAATCCCACTTGAGATCCTCGGACTCTAATGCCAAACCGGCGATTGAGAGCTCAGGGAGCGGATCGCGGGTATACCCAACTGCTTGGATGAGGTATGAGCAGTCGAGTAGATGGCGTTGGTACTGGGCTGCTTCTTTCTCGGGTCCGCCGGCGCAGTCAATCTTTGTGATGAAGCGGCCGGCGGTGGATGTGGGTAGGACAGAATCCTCCAACTGGGCACGGGCGAAATCTGCGGCGCGGCCCTTTAGCCCTGTGTTGTCACGCAGGATCCAGCCGTCCATATACTCAGCGTAGCGCAGGGGATGGCGAGTGAACCATTTGATGCGAAGGCCCGGGTGCGATGTGCGGGCCAGGTCGTAGAGATTAAGAAGGGCGAGGATGGCGCTGTGGGATGCGCCGACTACGGCGACAGTTGTTGGGGATGAGAAAATGGCCGAGGCCAGCTCGCTAGGTTTGAGGACGGTATCGAGATCTAGGCGTTTGAAGCTGCCATCTGTAATGGGGACTGGGACGGTTGCTGGAGAGGAGCCTGTGCAGAGGATGAGGCGAGTTGCTGAGACTTCGACCTCGTCTTGGGCGTCTCGGCCTTTGATTCGGACTGTCCATGAAAGAGTCTAACCGGGATTAGCAATAAGAAGATTGATATGATATCTCAGTTCGGCTCAACTAACGTGATCTAGATTGGCAGCAGTGACATGGCCGCGGCAGGCGTATATTTGCTCCATCTTTACAAGGCCATCAGTCAGAGCTCGAACGACATCTGCAGCGTGGTGCAGATGGCATGTCTTGTCCTGGTCGAGCTTGGCCATGGTTGTGAAAGCATTGGGAATACGAGTGCTGCTGATAACAGACCGAAAGGGCTGGGTTGCCGTTGCATATGCTTGGAACAGAGCTACTTTGGTGTTGCTAATTCAAACCACCAAGTCAGTCTGAAGTGCTCTTCATCTGACGCATAGCAGGCATTATTAGCTCACCTTGGAACCTCACGATATTTGCTATGTACACGACCTGCCTGAAAGGACGGGTCGACCCAGACGATCTTGCCTAATTGCTTCTCGAGGAGGTTTCCAACGACAGCTAATCCAGCTGGACCGGCTCCGACCACGATGGCAGCGCATTTCTGTGGAGGACTCATAATTTGGCTGGTTTCTATAGCGAGAGCTGGCGGAGATAACCTGAATCGTGGATTCCGAATACGTGGAGTTTTGAAGTAGGAAAGAAAACGAATATCTACGTAAATCTACGCAGAGCAACCGCAGATTCCCGAAGAAAGAGTATTTGGCAACCAGGGAAAGTCCAAGGGGCGGAAATCGCGGGCATTTATAACGGTGAGTGCAGCCCAGGAGTGAAACCAATCGCCGATACAATCGAATCACGGGGTATCAGATGGACGGGCCACATTCTCAGCGTCTGAGCCGATAAGAGGGGTCGCTTGCGCAGGACACAAAGCAGTCGCACGGGACACGGACACACAGCGATAGACACGCAAAATGACGATGAGGCGCATAGAGCACCTGAGCGGCCAAAAGCGCTTCTCTCGGGCGAGAAGGGCGGTTGATCGGTTGACAGCGGTCGGAACCGTGGCGCTGCATCATATCGGTCTTGCTTGCGACAAGCGATTGGGGACCTTATTGTTGCGGGCTCAGTCAATCTCACGTTTCAAGACGAAGCATGATAAGAGGCTGATTCATTGCATCGTGGACACGATAGCATGACGAGGACGATGCCCTTTGCGCTTTGTTGCGCAGACTGCCCCACCGTGCTGTTTCCCCTCGTCTCGGGAGGCATTTCTCCAAGGCCGGTTTCCGTCGGCGATTAAATCGTCGTTGCGCGCTCAGGGTCGAGGGATGGCGCGGGGCGCCAGAAGGCGGGAGATTGGGGCCATCTCTGGGGGAGAGACTGGCAGCAGGCGCTTCCGAGCGACTTACAGCGGCGAATATGGCTTGAATTGGGGTTGAAGAGAGGAAAATTCCATGTCAAGGGCCATCAGCGCAGCCTGTCCTTTTAATATGGTTTTATATGGGTCGCTCTGAGGCCCATGCTGGGGCTTGGCGAAATTGCGTGCTTTCGCTGCCTGAGGCAGACTAATGTCTACTACCGATACTACAGTATATCTTGAGGAGCCAATTAAAGCTCGTTGATCTTGATTACCAGAAGATTATACAGCCCAGAACACTCGCACAGACAGCTCGTTCACATAGTTTATCCATCCTGGAAATCTTGCTCGGGCCCATACCATTATCGAATCCCCAGGCTCCAACTCGCGAACCTGTTTCCCAGCAAGGGTGTTTCGTCCTCGCCCCTCGCTCCGTTCGAGTTCCTCCGACTCGGGAGAGTCAGCTGCAATGTCATCGAGGTAGTGCCAGACCACTATATGTCGCTGGGGTTGTTGTATCCTGGCTCGGTTTCTCTGTAGTGCGTTTTGTCCTGGGAGAAGGTCTGGATCATCGGGTCCGAAATGTCGACGGCGCCTGGCTTCAGGGCTCATCTTTTCCCGCACGGTCTCTTTCTGTGGCGTTTCATGCGCCTTGTGGATGATCTCAGAATCAAACCATGTCCATGACCCGTTGTAGACATTTGAATTGTTCCCACGCAACCTTTGAGACTCGTTCCAGCCACCTTGGTCGTGAGAGACGATGGAGAATTGTATTTTGCGACCAGGGTGAATGGTCCTGTGCGGTAAAACTTTGGGCAAAGGCGTGTCCAACGTCTAAAACTTCATCAGCAAGTAACACATCACACATCATGGGCATCATATATTCACCTTCTCATCATAACAAAGTGGTGTTGTGCATAGCAGTACCTCGTCCACATCCTTGCGTATCACCCTTCTTTCTCCCATGGTGAACTCGTTCGACGGCCAGTATTCACCAGCATCCACTATCATATCAACCACTTCTGTTGGAAGTCCTTCCGGTTTTACCTTCCATAACAAAATGTGTCGAACTTTGAGTACATCGAGGAGCCCAGGGTAAAAAACATCTTCTACTTTCGGTCCATCTGGCTGTTGTTGTTCTGGGGGCTGGTTGTTGCCTCCTCTGGGGGGAAAGGGCCGGCCGATAGGAGGACGAACAAACATTATCAGTTGAGGCCGACCTAAAAGTCGCAGGCGCTGGGATGTCCCGGAGATATCGGCAGCGATAACTGCAAAGCTCGAGGTTGATGTATGATGCTCCCTTTGTGCTGTATAGATTGGTTGATTCAGCCGCCAGGCACCACCAACCTAAGTGTGTCGCCAGGAGAGTCAATGGTTTGGAACACAGGGGTAGCAAGTGTGAAGACTAGACATATGAGAGTTTCGTCGAGTTAGATTCACGAAACTTCAGTACAATCTCACCTGGAGAATTATTTTTAGGATGTTGAACTTTGCTCAACGCCTCAGCCTACTATGGTACTGTGCATCGGCTCCACAGCCCCGCGTTTTCGAAGCTCAAGCTGCAAGTGAGTTACGTATCGCAATAGTTAATGGTCGATTGAGCAAAACCTCAGCCAGGCCAGAGTAGAAACGCAAAAGCCTATGACAGTTGTAATTGAGTAAGTCGACGAAACTTAGAAATATATAATGCTGGGCGAATCTTCCTGTCGAATGTTTATTCCCAATATTTTATGACGTCACCGATTTCGGGCTAATTTATTACTGTATGGTCATGTGTAGTATGCAAGGGTAAACGGGCAATATTGCCCTGCCCATGCTTGTTTGATATTTCTTTTTGAAGATGGTATACATACATCATAAACTCTGCTCAGCCTCCCATCTATTTCCCTATCGCGGACCTCTTGCCTCCGGCGGCTTTGTATGCTGCGGCGCGCTTCTTGCTCCGGCTGTCCCGCTTTGCCTTTGAGCCACGGCTCTTTGTCCGCACCCTGATGCCCGATGATTCACCGGCAGTTGCACGGTTGCCCTCAAACACCAGTGAGTTCTGCGAGATGGACTTTCGATCGGAGGCCTTCAGCCGGTGTGCACTCGACCGTCCAAGCAGCTTCCCGGCACGACCATGCAATGTCCGGTCTGCATCTGCGAGGGACTTGCTGCCTTGGTTATCTTCAGATTTCTTCGCAACTTTCTTAGCTCTCACAACGCGGAGCTTCCGGGGTAGCATCGGCGGGAATTTCTTCTCGTTCAGCAGTAGAGCTTCTTCGACGCAGTTCTGATCGTAAAACTGCACGTATGCAAATCCCTTTCCGACACGAGTTGATCGGTCACGGACAACTCGCACAGACTCGACGTTCCCTCGGCCAGGCACAGTGCTCTTTGTCCCAGGTGTGTGGGCATTGAAAGTGCGCCAGAGGCCCTCCTCCACGTCCGCGGGCGCCCTATTCTTCTTTTTCTTCTCTCCATTCTCGGTACCGGTCTCGTTGTCAATAAAGTCAAGGTTGCCAACGAAGACACAGCGCTTATGATCGACCTTTGAAGGGTGCGCCACGTTGTCGACACGCAGGTGTCGGTCTAGCACTATTGTGCCATTGAGTGCCGCAGGGGCTCTCTTGGCCGCCTGGGCTGTGCTGTAGACAGCATACGCATTGGTGCTAGGGGTGGTATCGTCGTGAATTTCCTGTTTAGCAAACGCAGCGCGCTTGGGGATCTTGCCGCCACTAGAGAATGCAGTGGATCGGAAGCGAATGGAGTCCACTTTGTGAGGGCCGGTAGATTCGGGGAGCGCTGAAAGAAAAGAGGCAAGGTGTTTCAGGAGAGTCTTCCTGGCGGATTTTGAGGTAATTGCCTGGGTAGAAACGTTGCCCAGGAACACAGTGCGGTTGGACTTCTCAAGCTCATCCTTATCGTCGCCCTTGCTGCCGCCCGCTGTAGCTTCATGCTTCGGAATCTCGAATTCCTCATCGTCCTCCGATTCGCTTTGTTCTTCGGATCCCTCAGATTGTGATACTTCCACCTCAATTCCTTCGTCATCGGCCTCTACGGTGTCTTCTTCGGCAGGCTTTGAAATTTCCGCTCGACGCTTCTTCTGCTCTTTTTGCTCCTCCTTGGCTAGTCGGCGCATATAAGTGTCTTCAAGGTCATCGGCGACGGCGCGCTTTCGTTTCCGACTTGACGGTTCGGAGACTGCTTGTACCGCATCTTTGGCGACATCGTCCGGCGACTCAGGCGCATCTTCCATGAGTTCATCTTCGGTAATAGAGTCGTTGTCCTCGTCTGAAACCTCCTGGTCGTACTCCGGCTCAATTTTATTGGGCTTTGGTACCGCTCCTACAGGAGGTACGTCTGGAACTTTTACTGGACCCGCCTAATTCAGCTGCTTAGAATCCAGTTGGCCAGCCACAATCACTAGGGGAGAAGATGAACGTCAAAATACATACACTTTTATCAAATAATGAAGCCAATGTAGGATCCACGGAGGCTTTTGCGCCTAGGAAAGGCAGGGAGGGGCCTGCACTAGATTGCGAAGACTCCCCTGCTTGCGACTTTGCTTTCTTGCCCATATTGAATTCAAGCGACTCGAGGCTGAACAAGCAAGATTGAATTTTGCGGTGCTGCTAGTCAATTTGATTGCCTTTGAAATTTATCTTTTTCCTCTCGTTTTTCTCTAAGAAGGCGGTGAGGAGGCGGCAGAAAACGAAACGGTCGAATTACGCGGTCTCGTAATTTTGGTGCGCTCACTCGCGGTTGAGCGAAGACGCAGAGGAGGGAGTCCTCCCTCACTCCATTCTGGACCCAGAGCACAGCACTTCTTCGCTGCTTGCAGTCTCGACCTCGATAACCTTATCCTCTCAATCAAGAATTCACCCATCGCTCGCTATCAACTTTGCTTTTTGGCCTTCCCTTTGGCCTTGACGTCAACCCACTTCGACTTCCATGCCGCCCATTCTTCCGCTGCGCTACATCGTCCTGCCCGCTTCTTGAAAGCCCCCGTTCTCACCACGACAGCACCTTTCCTCCGAATTATCCTTCTTGCCTTCGATCTTCGTGGTCCTGTACACTCGGCCCGCTATACACATCTTGCTGGAAGTACTGCTTGCAGAGTTTCAGATCCCTGTACCCTGCTATCCTAGGCCGTGAGTGAGAAGAGTGCCGTGCTTAGTCGCGGCCAAGCTGGATGCACTACAGGTTCATCAGTAGCGCATTGTTGAATGGTATGTGCTTTCGCCTCTTACGGCCCTACCTTTCCGGTACAGAGACCCTCTGCGATTTACTCAAGGTCTCTGATTGCACACCAAGAGCTTCCTGCATCGTGGCTGGCCTGGCGCAGGTCCCTGGTGACCTTTGACGCTTCTGGGGTGAATACAAATCTCCGCACCGCCTTCTGCTCGGTCTCCCCGAACACTCCTCTTCTCGTTTCCTCTTATCCTGTTTTACATCTTTCACTCAAGTCTAGCTTCATTAACCTCTCTACGATTATGGTATATTTTCTAACGTTGTCGTCTCGGTTCCCCTAGGTTATACCTACGCGTTACGGCCTTTCTCCCTCCACCCACCCTCCTCTCCCCACAAGTACCCTCTACACCACCTCCGCTAAATATCCACCTGGTTCTTCAAAATTTCCTCCATTGGCTCTAAATCGCTTCAACGGTGAAGTAATTGTTCTCCATGGAGGTCGCAGAGAGCACAGAACCCGCCACCGTTGGTGCGCCGACTGGCGCTAGTGAGTCTATCTTCAATGGCGATCAAAATCTGCTCCTCGATGATTCGCTTCTGGATGATGAACGCTCCAGTAGTCTGAGCGAGATCGATGATGTTTCAGAACATATGCCGTCTGATTACGAATCGCCGAAACCAGAGAAAATTGCGCCAGAAAACGATTCCGAGGCAGAAACGGAACGCATCGATGACTCGCCAAACAACTACCGCCTGAGGACTAATATTGTCGTGAGCGCGAGCGGCTATGGACCTAGTCCGAGCAAGCTGGTGCACTCGACAACCTACGACGATGCTGAGGAGGACGACGAGCACGCGGCAGACGAGTCACCGAGCAAATCTCGCTCAAAAAATGGTCGCGCCGTGGAGAGTGTCGAAGAGCTACCGGAGCTCGAAGACTCCACATTGTCATCCGAAAGCGCTGGGAAGAAAAGGAAACGCCCCGAATCTGGAGATGATTTGATTTCTGAACTTGACGACGATGACTTCCCGCCCCACAAACGCCGTGGCTCAGTCAAAAGCCTCAAGAGCGATCTAAGTGATCCTCCCCCTGATCTAGCCCTGACTCCCGAACCCATTGAGGAAATTTCGAAGGTCAATGAGGAAGACACCCCGGTTGATGACCTTCCCGAATCCGATCTACCCTCGGCTCCCACGAGAGCTAAAAGAGCAAAGAAAGGCAAGCGGAAAGGGCGCAAAACAAGAGATGCTGAGGACGATATCGACAGCGGCGCCGTTGAAACAGGTGCCGAAGTCGATGACGCCCCCGCTGACGATGATGCGGCCGATCGTCCGGAAGACGCCGATGATGGGGAAGCCACTGCGAAACTTGAGGAAGAATGTGAGTTTATTCTAGCGCCTTTTGGTTGGGGAAATGTTGCTAATCGCGTTGCTCACAGCAGCTAAAAGAACCTCGGCTATGGATTCCCTTGCTATTCTGGAACGGGAGTTCGCAACCCTTCGTGATAAGTATGTCTTCCCTTTCATTTGCTACCTAGCATTGATGCTAACACCGCTGCCCCTTAGGATATATGACGAAAGAATATCCAAGCTAAACCGTGAACTGGATATGCTTAATGGACCGAACCCGACACACCCGGAATTACTGCGACAGCTCGAATGTGTGAAGCAATATCGTGACAACAAGATCCACTACGAGCACACCCTATTTCAATACCGCCTCAAATCATTATTAAATAAAAGCCAAGCAGAACGCTCTCAGGCACACAGCACGTACTTCCAGCGGGCCCGCGATATCCGTGAAAGGCATTCCAGCAGCATCAGCAAGCAATTTTACTCAATTCAGCACGACCGATTCAAGACAGATGATGTCAGCCCGCAGCACTATATTCCCTTCCCGACGCGCCGTTCACAACAAATCTCACATCAGACCGCATACAACCAAGAGGTATCAGTCCTCGCAGGAGTTTCAAAATACGTTGGCTTTCCGGCTGCACCATCACTCTCAGCTGCGCGACCGTCAGAATTGGAAGATGACCTGGAAAAGATGGGCGTGAGTACCCGCAGCATCGTTGGATCTGGCTCATCAGAAAACTAATCGCATTTGGGCAGATCTCTATTGAACCAAAGGCTCCTGTTTCTCACCACCAGCCCCCAATGCAAAGGGCTCCTGTATCAAACACCTCATCGACCGCCTATCAACCGTCTGCGGAGGAAGCCTTTCTTGAACAAACCCCATGGGCCAATCCCCAACATCCCATTCATCAACACCAGCATCTATCACATAGGGCGCAAAATCGGATATTAGACAGTTCGCGAGCGCCAACCTTTGCCACACCAGCAGGTCAAATGCGCATGGTGGATGTTAATGCGCCGAATGGATCAGCTTCCACGATTGCAGAGAATTCATCCGCCAACAACACACCCTATGGCGCGGAGCATGAAATCCTGGCAACTACTGCAGGAGTATATCATGATTACGGTGCTGACCGACGTTCTGGATTCCGGTCACTCAGTTCTTCGCCTCTCGATGTTCGAAAACCTAATCCAGCCTCGTATCTTGACCACCGGCCACCTCAAAGCGCATCGCGGAACCCGGGTTACTCGCCGCCATCCTCCCGGCTTGGCCTCTTTGGACCAACTGGGCCGAAACGGGATACCTCACCAACTTTACCCTCAAAGCCCGTCAATTCCATCCATCAATCGGCGGCAATGCTAAGCGGCGCAGGGCAAAACTCAATGGCCGCTCGATAGAACATTTTTTGCTGTTTTGACAGCACTTCTGGCATTCCTTAGCATGTGCCTGCTTGTCGATTACTTCCTCTTTTATCTGTATAGGGCCCTGGCTCCGGTGTTCATTGTAGAGTTTGTTTTGCTAATGTACGTATGGGTTGGTTTGGCATGTATGAGCGGGGCAAACGCGACGGGGCAGCTGCAAATACTTTTTAAGTGCTTTATACCACTGGGCATTTGATCATGGCGTACGAAACATTGGTGAAAGCTATCTTGTTCTCTACTCCGCGATAATCTTCTTCTTTACCTCTTCACGATGTCCTGAACGGCTACGGCGCTTGGTTGGTTTACCTGTTCGTTTTGCGATTGGATGTGAGGTATGTCTTTCTTCGCTCTTCCTCGGGTCTACGAGGATGCGCATGTATATCATGAGCTAGAATTCTTTATGATTCATCCTATGGTTTTTTAGCGTAGATACATCCAATATACCCAGGGAAACCCATTTTGTATCATATCCGATTTTTTTGAGAGAGATTAATAAAGCGTGCATGAAGTATATCCATCCGGCAATACATCAAGAAAGGCGCCCGCAGGGGTATATGGTAAGTTCAGTAAAGGCACCACACATAAATCAGAGAAACAAGAATTTAGGTGCAAGGAAGCGCGGAAAATTAGACGGGTTCAAAATATGTAAAGTGAATATTATGGTCCTAGTTCACTCGATCCTTATCCTTCTGCTCTAATTTGCTAATGAGCCGCTTCATGCCCGTCCATTCCTCAGCGGGAACATCGTCTGGTGTCCCGCTCAGGCCTCGCCCGACTTCGAAGACTGTGACCACACCGTCGAGGCCACCGGTTGCGAGGCGGCGTCCCTCGCGCTCCTCCCAGGCTACTTTGTTGAGGCTGCGAGAGAGGACGCCGGCGCGGCCTTTCGAAGGAGTGGTGCGGACGACCGGGACTTCGGTGTCTGTGTAGAGGTCCCAGACTTCGAGGTTGCCTGCGCCGTCGACGAGGGAGAAGACGCCAGGGCGGTGCGGGGACCAGCGGGCGTCGTAGACGACATCTTCGCGGTTGATGTCAAGGATTGGCGTCACGACTTGGGTGTCTGCGATGCCTGAGGTGGCGGCCGGAGCAGTCGCAGCGGGCGCCTTGATGCGCCAGAGCTTAACGCTCCAGTCAAGGGATGAACTAAGCATGAGATCCCCCAGGTCAACCGGCCCACGGGCGGGGTGGAAGGCTGTGGACATGATGGGGGCAGCGTGGCCGCGGTAAGCGAGGCGGTGGTCTGTACCTGCTTTGGCGCCGGCGCGGTCGTAGCGGTGGCAGGGGTAGATGCCGCCTTCCTCGGTGCCGACGATAAAGAAGGTTGGGTCAGATTGAGGGAAGGACATGGTTGTGGGGGCGAGGTCTTCTGTCTTGGAGGGTGGCGGGGTGGATAATTCAAGATACTCCTGGGGTTGAGAGAGCATGTCGACGGTCCAGCCGCAGACGACACCATCTGTTGATGCGGTGAGAATGTTGTGAGCATTTTGCGTGCCAATTATTGAGATGCTGTAAACTGGGTGGGTGTGCCCTGCGCCTGTCAGGGTGGTTTTCTGAACAGGTGCACCGCCACCGGCGCGAGACGAGCGGGTGTCCCAGAGGAGGACTTGGCCCGAGTAGGAACCGCCGACGATGATATTGGGGTGGAATGGGGAGAACTTTGCGGTTAGGATATCAGAGGTGGAGTGAAACACATACTCCGGACGTGAGTGCAGGTGCTGGTTCCAGACTTGAACAAGACCGTCTGGCTCATGGGGTGCTGAAGGGTTCTTGGTGTATGCTGCGAGGACCAGTTCAGGAAACTTTTAAGAGAATAAGCAACAACGGCGATGTATCGAATAGAGAGACGGCTACAAACCTTAGGGGAAAAGGATATATCGGTGATCATGCGTTTCTTGCTCCACCGTTCATCCCAGAATTGACAAACTTCTTTTATACCTCGCTTCTTCTTGCCGTGTTCATCATCTTCCTCCATCTCTGCATCCACCCCGCCGAGCTCATAGTCGGCCAGCACATCATATTCTTCGTCCAAAGCACGCTCGATGACTTTGGCAGACCGCTCAACAAAATCTAGGAAGTCATCGGAGGACGTGACAGCCTTTAGCTCGTCATCATCCAGCGTCCGCATAGGATATCGTAAAGCGGCGCCGGTTCCGTCCTCGTTCTGGTGGTTTTGCTGGGTGGCCTGTAGCTCCTCCTCAATCTCCTTGCGGAGTTTCTTGCGAATCTCTTCATCGCGTTCGCGCTGCTTCTTATTTGAGGTTAAGGCGTCTTCGCCATCCGAGTCTAATGAAGATGAATCTTGACCGCCCTGCCGTAAATCATCTGTCTGAACCCCTTTATTGTAGGTGACGACTTCCGGCTTGACTTCAGGGGGAGGCGGGGGTTCGGGGATCGAGACAAACGGCTCGGTTCCAACTGTCTGGACGGCAATGGACTGGGATAGTGGTCGCGCAGTCGGACTGAGTGCTTCTGTATTGTCTCCGCTAAGTTGGCTGGCGCTTAGCACCGAATTTGGCCGACTCCCTTTTCGTGAGAGGCCATCTGCACCATGGCTCACCGTAGCTGAGCCGGGACGGTCGACGAGGCGGGAAATCAGGTCATCTAGCTCAGCCCTGCTATCGGAGCGGCTGGGAACCGGCGAGACTACCTAAGCATCAGGTGTGATTAGATTTCCGGCCTCGCTAAAAAGGATGATAGCTAGTTGCGCCAGTACATACCTCTGAGGCATCCCCAGTACTAGCCCGAGATTGTGAGAATTCCTTTTGTCGCAACTCCCGTTGACGTTTCAGTTCTGCTAGCTTGGCCTTTTTGGCAAGGATTTCTGCCTTTCTCTGATTATTGACGGCCGACATGATGGTGTTCTGCTCTAGACCGCAATATTTACATCGGCTTTGTATATCGGCGTGTTGGTTGCATGAGACCGGGGGCGGATGACATAAGCGTGGTCCGGCGGCCCGGAAAAACTCGCGACAGGAACTTCGTCCTGAGTCTTGCTCCAGCATCCGACCCTCCTCTGCTGTCGCTATCGATCACTTGCCTGGGTTCCGGCCGTTCAGCTTCTCCAGTCTCTTTTATACCTGCAATTGTCGATCCGCAGGTCAGGATCCTTTCAACATGGCTGCTGCTCAGGGTGTCAATGTGAGCCTTCGCAAATCAACCCGTCCTGATATCCAACCACCCCTTCGGTAACTGACTAGGCCGGCTTCTCTCAACACAGGTTCTCCGCTACTCAGCTCTTGTAGCTGGTCTCGTCTACGGATTCTACCACCAGTCCTCCATTACCTCCAGCATCAAGCGTGCCGAGGCCGACCGTGAATATGCTCGCCAGGAGCGCCTGATTGAGCAGGCCAAGGCAGAATGGAAGAAGAAGACGCAACCCCAAGATGCCAAGTCAACAGGTGGTACGTTCGGCTTACTCAATCAACAAATCTGCGGAGCAATTGAGCGCGCGACACACGGTAGATCTTTCCTAGGCGAATGCTAATATGGCGGCTATAGTCATCTCGGATCCCGAAGACCCCAAGTTCGACCTAGAGGCGTTCTTGAAGCTAAAGGCTGGTGAGGCGTAAAGAGACCCGGAGTTGCAGTACGAAACGAAAAAGAGAAAAGATAGAATGAGGGGCGACCATCGCCGCTCGAGTACTACGCGTACCCCCAATCGGGCCCTAGAGATGGTTCGGGTGGAATCCCGATTATGTATTATTTGTTTGGTCTAATTTCCCAGAGTCGTGCCATTGCGAGCGAAAGGAATGCTTTTCTTTTCTTTTTCACAATTATAGAATTCCGATCCGCAGTTTGTACATACCCTGGGCTGTTGCACGTGTACTCTATGGTTGGACCAGATGACGAAGAAGTGTTGTTCGTTATGTGATTTCGGCTTATCGATTGTAGCCTCGTATAGCCTCACAGACACGCCTCTTGAAGCTTTCATTCATGGTATCAATCTATGTCGCATAGCATCATAATCCGTCAGGAGCAATCCCTCGCATGTGTTCCGGGACACCAAAACCCCAAACTCCCTTCGCCGCATACACGAATAATTAGAGCTGCGGTAGCGTCCATTAAGCGGAATGAGTGCAGTCGCCTTAGTGGCTGATTAACGCCATGACTCTGGATAGTTCTGTCTGTAGGCCATTCTCTTTCGAGGGAGCGGAAACGACGGGCTTGGGATGCAATAGCTGCGTCTCCGGGTCCCACCTCCACCCGCAGGCTGTAAACCTCTGAATGGTTTCCTGATCGCCTTGCTGGGCGAGCATTGGGTCGAGACCGAGGTAAGTCGCAGCGGCCGCGGGTCTGATAGCTTCATACGAGTTGCTCACTTCCTTCAACGTCTTTTGCTGGAAATGATCTATATTTAATTAGAAAAATTTCCATGTACAAACGACAATCATATGCCCTCTTACTCTCATAGCTCTGTACTACCGATTGAGCTCGTTCGGGCCATGGTAGCTCGCGAAGGATCTTGTAGATCGAAGTGTACTTCCTTTGCCAGACAGCTCGGAGGAGGAGTAAGCAGTTCTGTATTGAATCCGTTTGTAGAATAGGTTGTGGCATTCGTTTCGTTAACGCACGAGCTTCCTCACTATCATACTTCATGTGAGTACCGGGCGACGTAACTGGATATAGCGTGGCTCCGACTCACATCTGATCGGTGAGTAGGTGAGAGAAGAAAAATATTGTGTAGAATGCGCTCAAGAGCTCGACTTCCTTTGGGCTTATGAGACAAGCTTGTTCTTCGTAGTCAGATAGAATACTGTGGAGGTCGACTGGCGTCAGCGTAGTGGAAAGGACGGCAAATAGCTGGTCTAGGGAAAGCGGAGGCAAATCCATGACGCAGGTAGGAATGTACAGTCGGGGGAGGTTCTGGTTGCGGGAGAAGAAGTGAGTTGAACTGTTGAAGGTTGGATTATGACAATAATGCGGGGAGACTCCCGGACATACGTACCTGGTCCCGGCGCCCGCCGCCAAGCCCTTTCAGAAAGACACCTTGCACAGCTCCACGGCCCCAGTCAGTAGTTGACACCACATCAACTCCCAAAGATCTGGTCAATCGATTCGCCTGACAGGACGAGTCACCTCCTGTCATTATTTTAAGCCCCATTGGAACTCGTCCTTTCTTTTGTCCCTGGCCGTTATGGCCGAGTCTCCCGTGGATGTCCTTCTGAAGGGCAGTTCAGGCCAAAGCACGCGCGGCTTATTGAAAGTCATCATTCTTGTCACTATTGCAGCCGCTGCAGTGACCAGTCGATTGTTCAGTGTCATCCGTATGTCATCGTGATATTTAAGGCACAAGCTATCCTTCGACACCGATGCTAACAATGAAATGTTTATTCCAGGCTTTGAGAGTATAATCCACGAGTGTATGTATACAACCCACAGAGCGAGCTCTTGCGCCCTGAGTATACCTGGATCAGTCTATTGACAGCAAATCATCTAGTCGACCCGTGGTTCAACTTCCGAGCGACAAAGTATCTGGTTCAAAATGGATTCTACGCCTTTTGGGATTGGTTTGACGACCGTACGTGACCCGTTCCGACCGATCGCATACATAGACAGCATGCTGAGTTTACATCTTTCCTTTAGGTACATGGCACCCTCTGGGACGAGTTACTGGCGGTACGCTGTACCCTGGCCTCATGGTGACCAGTGGTGTCATCTACCATATCCTCCGATTCCTGACCATCCCCGTCGATATTCGCAACATTTGTGTTCTGCTCGCGCCTGGGTTCTCCGGTTTGACCGCACTGGCAATGTACCTTCTGACCAACGAAATGTCCTCTTCCCCCTCAGCTGGTCTTCTTGCGGCGGCCTTTATGGGCATCACCCCGGGCTATATCTCGCGTTCAGTGGCAGGTAGTTACGACAACGAAGCCATCGCCATCTTTCTGCTTGTCTTCACCTTCTTCCTCTGGATCAAGGCCGTCAAGATCGGATCGATAATGTGGGGAGCATTGACTGCTCTCTTCTACGGCTACATGGTGTCCGCCTGGGGTGGATACGTATTCATTACTAACCTGATCCCTCTGCACATATTTGTCCTTCTTTGCATGGGCCGATACAGCTCCAGACTCTACATCAGCTACACCACTTGGTATGCGCTAGGAACATTGGCCAGCATGCAGATTCCTTTCGTGGGCTTCTTACCAATTCGTAACAGTGATCACATGTCTGCACTCGGTAAGCTCCGCTCTCCAACTTGTCTATCAAAGTCTAACCTTGATCAGGTGTTTTCGGCTTGCTTCAGCTTGTAGCTTTCGCCGACTTTGTCCGTGGCTTCATTCCAGGCAAGCAATTCCAGCGACTACTTACCGCCTCAATCATTCTCACAGCTGGACTCGCCTTTGTCGGACTTGTCGTATTGACAATGTCCGGGGTCATTGCCCCCTGGAGCGGTCGCTTCTACTCCCTGTGGGACACCGGCTACGCCAAGATTCATATTCCAATCATTGCTTCCGTCTCAGAGCATCAGCCTACCGCATGGCCATCCTTCTTCTTCGATCTCAACTTCCTTATCTGGCTCTTCCCCGCCGGTGTTTACATGTGCTTCCGTGATCTCAAGGACGAGCATGTTTTTGTTATCATCTACTCCGTTCTTGCGAGCTACTTTGCCGGTGTCATGGTCCGACTGATGTTGACCTTGACACCTATTGTGTGTGTTGCGGCTGCTTTAGTGCTCTCGTACATTCTTGACACCTACTTGAAGGTCTCCCCTGGTCCGGTCACTCGGGGCAGGTCGAACGAAGATGCCTCTGAAGGTCTCCGCTCCGCCCGAACCCCAGAAGTTGGAATCACCTCCTACTTCTCCAAGGCTATGACGACTTCCTCCGTTATCGTCTACCTTCTATTGTTTGTCGCGCACTGCACTTGGGTGACTTCGAATGCGTACTCATCGCCATCCGTGGTCCTAGCCAGTCGCATGCCGGATGGAAGTCAATTCATCATCGACGATTACCGTGAGGCATATTACTGGCTTCGTCAGAACACTCACGCCAATGCCAAGATCATGTCCTGGTGGGATTACGGATACCAAATTGGTGGCATGGCAGACCGGCCAACGCTTGTCGACAATAACACGTGGAACAACACGCACATTGCCACAGTTGGAAAGGCTATGAGCTCTCGCGAGGAAGTCAGTTACCCTATCCTTCGCCAGCACGATGTCGACTACGTCCTGGTGGTTTTCGGTGGGTTGCTGGGATACTCTGGCGATGATATCAACAAATTCCTTTGGATGGTCCGTATCGCCGAAGGCATTTGGCCCGATGAGGTGAAGGAGCGAGATTTCTTTACCGCAAGAGGCGAGTATCGCGTGGACGACCAGGCCACCCCGGCCATGCGCAACAGCTTGATGTATGTCACTCCATCCCAGAGTTCTCAAGAACACGCGCTAATCTCTACCACAGGTACAAGATGTCATACTACAACTACAACAAGCTCTTCCCAACCGGCCAGGCCACGGACCGTGTCCGTGGTACGAAGCTCCCTGCCGAGAGTCCGCAGCTCTCAACCCTAGAAGAAGCCTTTACCAGTGAGAACTGGATCATCCGTATCTACAAGGTCAAGGACCTCGACAATTTTGGCCGTGACCACAGCAACGCCGTCGCCTTTGACAAAGGAAACAAGCGAAAGAAGGCGACTAAGAAGAAGGGTGCTCGCCTTCTGAGATCCGAGTAAATAAGAGAGAGGAGTTGAGTTCCTCTCTGTGAGTGAGAACATTTCTTCGAATTCGTGTTTTTATATTGGTTTCGCCCTCTGATCGAACCGGGGCAATGTAGAAGGGTATAAACGGATACAAAAGCCCTACTTAGAATTTACAAAATTCCAATTGTATAACCATCCACTATCTTCCGGATTTGCGCGTTTTATTTATGCCCAGGAGATATCCACAACCGTTTGCAAGCAGTAATATACAATGGCTGGAAGAAGCTTAGCTCAAAACATGAATGGAGATAGTCCGCGTCATAGATCTTCAAGACCTGGGGCCATTCAGGCATCCTTCCCCGGCGCTTCGACCTTCCATAGACGAGAGTTGCACAAGTCTATTTGCCGTGAGCGCTTTCTTTCCCGACTCCGGATACCGCGCCCCTCGATAAATGGGCTGAATAGGCTGGATTCAGAAATGCGATGAATGACCGGAGAAGACGAGGCCACGATAGTATACTCCGAACCCCATTACACCATAGCTGATAAAGTCAAAGATTACATTGTCGGTTGGCGATGCGTCTTATCGCTATCTCATTGCTGCTTCGTCTGAGTCGCGGCGGCACCGGAAGCGGGGGTTTCGGGGACCTGGACATCGGAGAACTCATCCTGGCCAACGGCACGAATTGTGTACGCATCTGTTATCAAAGATCAAAAGTCAGATCTCATAGCAATTCCAGTAGAGGAGACTCCGTAGAAAGAATCGAATGGCATGGCATGATGCGACGGTTCAGAATTCCAGAAACCACAGGTGAACATACAGACGCCAATTGTGAAGATGCAAAGACCTAGTCCCGTAGCCGCATTCTTGAAGAGGTATGGCCGGCGAGCGCGCAAAAGGGCAGCCCCGGCGCGGTAGTCTTTGCCGTAGTATGTGGAATTGAAGCTGTAGTGTCTTGTCAGTTTGTCCGAACGCGCCTGCGTGGATGATAGAGGGGTGCGAGGTCTGCTTTGAGGGGTAATCTGTAGAAGGATCGAGGACGTACATCCCGGCAGGCATAGTGATTATCTCGTAAGTACGGTATTTGGTTGTTGAGTTTGTGTTTGATCTGAGGATATATGTATTCGGAGGTGGACAGCGGAAACTCTGGAGGGATCAGCCGATGGGCCGGCCGTTGGGTTGGGCTTGGCGTTGTCCGAGTTCTACATCACAGTGTTTATGGGAGATTTTACGGACTCAATTCTATCTCGGGATGAACATACAATGATATAATAGCTTCAAGGGGAAAAATTCCCTCTTACTGGGCTCTACTCGCACCAAAGCCTACAAAAATTCAGCTCCTGCATGTGCTTGACGTACCTTTGACTGATATCATGTGACCTCGTGAACTTCATCGACAGCAGTTCGATCAATGCTTCGAGATACATTTAAGAAGGCGGAGAAGTAGAGTGGGAGTTATATGCTTGGAGACCCAAAGATCTCCGCAAACTCGGTGCTTTTACCTACTACCCTTACTACCCTTACTCTCTACGCTTTGTAGCCTTGTATACTCTGTCGGATCGGCCAAACTCGGTTCCGGGCGTCCAGAGCTTCAACAGCAGAACGGCCGGTGTCCATCCCATTGTTGCCGCAACTTCCCTCTCGCCGGTCCCTCATTCCATCCCCCGTTCGCGCCCTAATTCACCTGGAGGGCTCCGAATTAATACTCACTGGAGATCAGTTTGCTCCAACCCCTCGTCCGATTAGCGAAGTCGTTTTACGTCTTTCATGCGTCTCGTGAGCAAGCAATCATAGTGGTTGCGCATTCGTTTAAGCGCACTTTCACTGCTCCCTTCTCGACTTATCTATCCTAAAATATTGCGCAACGTAGACAGATTCCGTCCCAACCCCGGTCTCCAGTTTGGCTTTGAACTCGCCCGATCCGCCCTTTAGCTGGTCCTACTGTTTGTTACAGAGCCGCCATGGCTCAATCGGGAGACCAGGTCGTCGACCAGATTGCGCAGCTGAATGCTGCGCGTAATCTCGTCCTCGGAGACGCCGCATTCTACCCCCAAATCGTGAACGGAGTCCTCCCAATCATCGGTGCGCACGCGCGAGTGGAATTACGACGATGGGGCACCGAATTCCTGGCGGAGACCTTCGCCAGCCCTGCGTTTGCTACGGCCCAGAAGGAACAGTTGGCTACAAATGTTTTACACACAGTACGGAGTATCTTGGAGTTACCGGAACGGGATCAATTGGTCTTGAAGAATATAGTCCAAACCGCTGCCAGTTTGTATCCGCTGGTCTTTAGGTATATGTAGGTTCTTCTTCCTGGGTCGTCCTTCGTAGGCGCAGAGGGGCTGTCAAGCCTTTGTTGAGAGCCTGTCCACTGACCCTTTGACATGCAGTATCAATCATCCAGAAGACAAGCAATCCTGGGAGCATATCGAAGCCATTAAACAGAATATTCTGCGGCGATGGGATTCCTTCTCGTATCCCGTCAAGCTGTGCTGTATCAAATTTGCACAGCGAGTTGTTCTAGTGCAGACCCATGGCTTGATCGCCGATCCTAGGGTATGTATACGCCTGTTAACAAATAACATAGCTGACCTTCATCTAGCGGCCTGAGCATAATGAGACTTCATTGGCCATAGTTCCCCGAAATCACTCTATACTCTCTCTCCCAAGTCTAGAAGCAGAATCATCCGGTCTACTGGATAGAATCCTATCCATCTTTCAAGAGGACGCAAGGTACCACCGCCCTCTCCAAAGTAACAAGCAAACGCTAACGCGAGCCAAATGTCTTTAGTGACCCAATCCTCGTGAATGCAACGTTGAACTGCCTTGCTACCCTCATCCGAAGCCGCCAGTCTATTTCGAACAAAATTATCAGTGCTATTCTCAACTTCCTTCCTGCACGGCATGCGCGTTCGCCAGTGACACCCGCCGTACGGGTTGGCGTCAAGTCGATGGAACGAACTACTCGAGCATTATTAATAAACATCATGAAGCGGTAAGGGTTACTGGTATTTCGCCGGCTGATAAGTGCTAATAGTTTTGCAGGAATCCAAGCCACCCCCTCGTATCTAAGATGCAGCAGCATATTGAACGGCTGATGCAATCTCGAATTGAACATGTTGATGAGACATCACGGAAACGCGGACTACCAACTGAACCAACTGATGGCCTTGATGCTGCCAAGCGCGCGAGGCTCGATGCTGAAACCCCTCCAGTGATCAAAGTGCCGCCGCTTCCCGCAGGCCGCATAAGCTATGCACAGCTCTTTACCCTAACAGAGGACACCGGTCTCTCTTCTTTCGATGTGAAGCAGCTCCCTGCTGACCTCTTGGTCAAGATTGTTGTTCCTCTACTAGCGCGCGTTGACCAGTCTTCATTAAACCAAGTTGTTGATGCCGTACGGACGCGGTACCAAACAGTTCAAAAGCAACAAATGGCGCAGCGCCAGCCAGCAGCCGTAGAAGAGGATGATGACTATGAGCCTGAATACCAACCTATGGACATCACATCTGCGGCGTCAGATCAAGCGGGTGCGGCATCGGCTGATATACCGGGCGAGCAGCCAGATCTTGTGTCGTTGGGGCCATTTGTCTTACCACGACCCCCACCGCTCAGCGAAGACCAAGCTGCAGATGCTGGGCGAGGTGCTGTAGCGAGAGTTTTCGGAATGTTAGGCTCCACAGCAGTGACTCCGAACCCAGTCAAAGGCCAAGGACAACAGCTCGGTTTCTCTAGGCTAGCTGGTAGTACGTTTGACCGTGACGCCTGGGTAACATTACTTACCCGTCTTGCGACTCGAGCTCCGTCTGGACTAGAGACCGGTCCGAAGCCGGAAGCAGACCGGAGGAGGCCCCGAATCTCAGACTCTATACGGGAAACGCTCTACCGCTACATACTAGAAGACTTTAGAGGTCGAGTCAATGTCGGCATCATGTGGCTGAACGAGGAGTGGTACAATGACCGAATCCAGATGAAGGTCGCCGCGTCCAACCGCACAGATGAAGACGAGGAAGTTTCGGTGACCCTGAATTACGATCCCTGGGTCTTACGGCTGCTGGACGGATTCTTGCCTTATCTTGATTCCCGGGATATAAAAATCTTCATCCGATTTTTGAGCGAGATCCCGGAAGTCACTATCCCAATCGCGAAGCGCATTGCCAGCTTAGCAAAGGATCCTGAGCGCGTGAACCTCTGTGTTCAGTCCTTCATGTATGTCTCTACACCTTGGCCGCACCATACAAGTACTAATCAGTCCTAGGTATCTGATAATGTTCCGCCCCCCAGCGCGAGAGATATGCCTGGACGCCTTGGAGGAAGTATATCAGAACTGTAAGTCAATTCCGTACCAAGCCTCTCAATCAACACGTCATTAACTCGAACGAAATAGATGAAGAATCGCGCCCCTCCGCTGGCAAAGTCCTAACTCGATGGCGCCCACAAAGAATCGAACAACTCCAAGCCGAACAAACCACACTTGTAAACCGCACCGTCGAGCCTCAACACCCACCCAGCGCAACGTTCGCAAACGGAGTCCGAGACCCAAGAACCGCACACCTTACCAACTCCCAATCATCCTCCGATACCACCGTCTCATGATCAATTGAGTACATTACCCTCATCCACATCTTGATCTGAGCTCTGAGCGTTCTGTAAGAATCCATAAAAGGGAAACGAAATGTACCATAACACATATCAATGATTCCAATTTTTCGCAGTCAAATCCTGATACTTATATCCCATTCAAATCTTCTTTCTTTCTCTCGGCTGAGAATCGTGAATATTTCGGGTTGGCGTTCTGGATTTGTGTAAATTTGTGTGGCGAGACAGCAGCCAGGAACTGCTCTGGTCGAGGACAGTTCCTTTTTTATTGTAAAGGTTAGGATGTGAAGATGTATTATATCAAGATGAGTTGAAACAGTGCCAAACAAATATGGAATGTATAACGCAATCCTTCAGGTTGGCTTGTGGTTATAATACCAGATACAACCATGGGTTGGATCTGTGGTCCGAAAGTCAAATTTAAAATTTACTCCTGTATGTAAACAAAGCTTATCTCGAGTTGAGAGAGAAATTATGGGGCTGAATGAGCCCTGTTATATATTTGAGTAGCGTCTTTAACGTAGGGAGACCTAAATAGTTCCCTTGCTAAACCTGAATACCCCTTCTATATGTATATATATATATATATATACTTCCCTTCTTGTGATAGACCGTAGCCCAATCCAAGAGACCAACGACTCCCACCTAGGTTAACAGGTAAATCAGTATGTATACCGGAATCCAGCCTGTAGACACGTACATTAGCAAATACAATACGGCAAATAGAAAGATCGCAATTTAGAAGGGGGCAGTGGAAGGAAGAACATACCGTATTCTGAAGCAGAGCTCCGCGCTTCTGGTGAGAGTTCCGAATATAAAAACCTATCGTGAACAAACACACGATTCCGATCATGAGGATGTGTGACCTAGCATAGCAGAGCGAAGTTAGCTCCCCATGCTTAAATAGCACACAACAATGAAATACCCGAACCGAGTTCCCGGGGAGGGGATAAAGGTGAAGTAACTCACCCAACAGAAACCCAAACTGCAGTCTCATACTGTGGCGCCTCCTGCTGGCGGACAATATAACTCCCGGCTATCGAACCCAGCCCATTGCACGCCGCCACAGCCGCAGCGGTCGTCGCGCGCTTCCACTGGCCGACGACATTATTCGCCATATAGGCGTTCAGCGCAGCCCAGTTAGAGACATATGCACCTGTTGCGAGGAATGTGCCGATGTAGCGTACTGGGACGGAGGTTGATGAGGGAAGCCCAAACATGAGAAAGCCGGCTATGAGACATAGTGCGTTGAATGTTATTAGAGGGCCCCGAACGCGGTAGGTGTCGCCGAGATAGGATGTTATGAGGACGGGGAGAATGGCGTAGTAGTAAGGCTGTGGTTGGGATTAGAGATGAAATGAGATGAAATGGGAATGGAGGTCCTGAAAGCAGACTACGAACCGGGGTAGAGAGTAGGATGGACTCGTTAGCAGAGAAGCCCATGCCCGAGACGAGAATCTGCGGGAGGAAGTAATTGAGGGCGGTTGAGACCAGGTTCAGGAGGAAGTACATGCAGGCGAGGCCGTACAGCTTCGGGTCTGCAAAGTTGATGAGGATCTTACGCCAGGAGAAGGAGTCGAGAACGACATCGCCGCGATCAGCCTGGATGCGCTGCGCGGCGATCTTGGCCTCTGCCTCGGTGAGAAAATGGAAGCTTTTACGGGCGTTTTCTGGGAAGTCGACCATCCACCAGTAGGTGAGTACGCCTATGACGCAGGTGACGATGCCTTGAACGAGGTACATCCAGCGCCAGCCCTCTATACCTGCTCGGCCATGGAGCTGATTGAGGCCATAATTGACGATGTACCCTGTGGCAAGTACAGCAACTTCAGAGGACTGAAGGAGGGCGAACCTCAGTTGCTGTTCCCTCCTGGTATACCATGTGCTTACGAGGTACGTCAAACCAGGGTAGATGCCGGACATGGCAATGCCCAAGAGAACGCGAACGACGATCAGTTGGCGCCAAGTTTGGACGAATGCCGTGCACAGGGTTATCAGACCGAAACATATTCTGGAGCAATGAGGTTAGTATAAAGACGACATGCAAGGAGATAGGGAGACTGAACGTGATTGCCGATAGCCATAACCGCGGGCCGAAGACTCTGACGCCGATGGTTGAGGGTAGTTGGCAGACGATAGAGCTGACCGTGAAAATGAAGATCGAAACAGAGTACCTTTGGCCCTGTAAATCTAGGTCCTGGTTTAGGGTGGTAACTGAGGCAGAGGCGAGTATGCCAGAATCAAGAAGATTGAGGCCGGCCTACGTAAACATCCTTAGTACGTATGAATAAAAAGGAAAATCACTTTCTTTCCTACCAGAATCCCTGCAATAGAGCACAGGCGAAGATCAGTCTTTCGGCGAATCCTTGCCTCGAGTTGCGTCCATTCCTCGGGAACAGCCTCGGGCGTCGCTAAGCCATTGAGATTTACCGTTTCATTGACGTGAGAGGGCGACTTTTCCAGGGTCAACTGCTGGCCATCGTTGTGCAGCATTGCGCGAGCGACGCTCTAGTGGGATGCGTTCTGGAAGAGGGGAAAAGTGAAGTTGTGGAGAAGGAGAGATTTTTGAGTCAAGGGTCCTTATCACGACATTCTGACTCGATGCGTGGTTTGCTTCATCCTTGCATTTTGTCGTCGCACAACATTATCAACAAATTGAACAACGACAGAGGAGAGAACGTCGGGATTATTTGTTCAGTCGGCCTGCCAAGCTCTAGATAGTCAATGGGCTGCATGTCGTGGACCAAATGCAGTGTACGAGGTTAAAGAGGCTGTGTGTATCTGATCCCGCGGGGTCGATCCCCTCTCATCGGAAAGTGATACGAGGTTGGAATTTACTACTACTCGATTACATCTCTATAGTCTCACCCGAGTAACACTCAGGTTAGTGAGTTATTTCTTGCTCATCCCTGGCCCTCGATGCGTTGATATCATGGGACCGCGAGTGCAACACTCACTAATCGCAATGGAGAATCTCAAGCTTGGCTAATGCAAGTTTGAATGCCCTAATTTGCCCGGCATCCACTGCATACAAGGTACCGAACCAATCGAGATAGCGATTGACAGGGGACCTCTCCACTGCTCGCCTTGCGGGGAGTCAGTATACGACTTCCAATTATATCAGAATCTTCAATTGAAGATGGTGCGGACTTGTTTCAGAGTACGTTTCCTTCCCAGACACACTCTCTAAGTCACTGCCACTCACCACCATCCGGCTGTGCTTGAGCCTAATCCCGAGAGATTCAGGCCCATGGAGATCACTCAGTAGCTGAGTTCGAGGGGAAAGCACCAGGGATGTTCGGGTTGTGAGCGGGGTCTTTGGGCGATCCTTGTACTCGGGTGCATGAACGTACGACCGCAGCCGTTCGCGATCCGCCTCGTTCAGACAAGTGTGGATGGCATTGTCCTGCGAAGGATTCATGTGGAGACAGGGTCAGAGGTGTGACGTACGGATGCCAGTTATATATAGTAAGCCCCAAGTTTTCTGCACAGAGCGATCAGACCAGGGCCCCAACGCAGCCGTATCGCCGTATTCAGGTTCCTCATGCGATTCCAGCGGCAGTTGGCTAGCATGAAGACTCTATGCGGATTCATAACTATCACAGCGCAGTATGTGCTCCTATGTTCCGCCGCGGGTATGGATGGTTCCCTGTAAGATGAGATGCCGAACGTTAAATAACTTACCTGAAAACGACAGGACTCTTTGACGGAACACCATTTCACCTCCTGGATCCCATGATAAATACCCCGTCTCACTCTATCGCTGAGCTTCTGGACTTCAATATAACTGCCGAAGTTGAGGGCTATAATCAGCAGCTCGCTTTCGTCCTAGAGCCGAATCGCGACCTCATCACCCAAGAGACACGAATTCGGTACCTGAATAGCAGCCGACAAAGCGAAGACGCCATTTCAACAACCAGACTGCCTTATTATGTGACCAAGGGCGAGGTATGGACAAAGCTGCCTGGCCGAGCATGGGGTAGATCTGGGTGGGCGAGGTTGATGGTGATCCGAGACGGTTTGAATCCATTAATTGAAGGCACTTTCACAATCATGTCCTACCAATTCCAGGTCCGACCGCAGGATGGCAGAGGCACTCTCGAAGTCTATCCATCCTCAGTGACAACAGATTCGACGAATTCTTCACAAACCGAATTAGCACTGCAAAAAGCGGGCTGTGCGATAACAGGACCGAGACTGAACAAGCGGCAATCGTGGTTCGACGAGCATGGTCCGACAATAGACAATATTGGCGACTTGGCTGGCTGTTTCGCTACAAAGCGGATTGCGTACGTTGGCGTCGCAATTGACTGCTCTTATAGGGCAGCGTTCAAGTCTGACGATGATGTGAAACGTAACATCATCAACGTCGTGAACACAGCGTCGGTCGTCTTTGAAAACAGCCTCAATATTGCTCTGGCCCTTCGAGATGTGTTGATTAGCGACTCTGAATGTACAAATGATGCGTCTGGCACGCACCAGTGGGATGTTCCATGCCCCATGGGTGACCTTAATTGGAGACTACACCGGTTCTCTGCATGGAGAGCCAACCGTCGAGATGACAATGCATTTTGGACACTTATGACGGGCTGCGCTGCCGGCGTAGGTGAGATTGGGGTGTCTTGGGTGGGTGAGGTTTGCAAGACAGGCGACAACTATGAGGGTATCGGCTCTGGTATTGGCGCTAATGTCGTTGGCCATTCGAATACCGAATGGCAAGTCTTTGCGTGAGACTCCTTGCGTTGTTGGCCCCCTGTTCGTTGGGCCATTTCTGACATGAGACTACCAGACACGAGTCAGCCCATATGTTTGGTGCAATTCATGACTGTGACTCTGACGCCTGTGCTTCTGGTCTTGATTCGACGTGGAAGTGCTGTCCGTTGTCGTCGTCCACCTGTGATGCCGGCGAAGAATACCTGATGAACCCCATTGCTGGAAAAGGCATGACCAGATTCTCACCCTGTACAATAGGAAGTATTTGTTCCCAGATAGGTCAAGGCGGCATCGACACGCAGTGTTTGGTTTCTCCTGCGGAGGTAAATCAGTCGCAAGGCGAGGTGAATCTTCCAGATAGCGAGTGCGGCAATGGTGTTGTTGAAGGTGAGGAACCCTGGAATCCTGATATATTAAAGAGATTTCCAACTAATATCCCGCAGAGGGTGAGGGGTGTGATGACCCTGAAGACCACTGCTGCGATATGCAAACCTGTCAGTGGCGGGATGAAGGAGAATGTGCCCTGGGCCAAGAGGGCGATGACGGCGGGGATAACGGCATGTCTAATGATTTTTCATCATGGGTAGGACAACACCGGGCTCTATTTGTCGGGTTGTGCACTGGTTTAGGAGGCTCTCTTGTTCTCTTCGTGGCGTTCATGGTTTTTGCTTCTGCTTACCGCAAGCGCCGCAGGTTGAGGCTCAAAGAGGAAGCATTCAGATACTGACTTTATGAATGAAGGCAAGCCACATGGAATGCCAGAGTATGTCGTGTTGTAGAACCATGGAACAATGGAAAGTCTGGCATGCGTGGGCGTCAGCTGATACAGTCTCGAGCAAGTCAAGGCCCGCAAACGAACCATTCCATCATCTCCACGTTTGAACCAAGCTCCAAGTCTGCCTGCTTGGAAACCAGAAGGCTTATCGCTGGGTCATGGCCCATAACTCCTGGAGATAAATTTAATGCTTGAGCTTTATTTGTGGACGGCCCTGCTGGTGGACCTGGTGCTCTCGACCCCGCAGGCCGCAGCCTCTGGCCCGCGCCGTTCGCCCGAAGCTCTCACTCTCCCTGCTCGCCTCTCCAACTTAAAGTCTGGTGTCACGGCCTGTCTCGGGCAATGGCATTTACCTTTGGTACTACCTCTCCCCGATTGCGCTGCCTCCTTTCCTGAAGCTGATTCCTTCCCTTCTCACTTGTTCTTGAAGGCTCACCGCCACAGAATATTTCCTCACCTGACCAACTTTTATCTGAATCTTTCAGGATTAGATAGATAGCATCTAACTCGAACATTCCCCAAACAACGCTCTACGAGAACGACTATGGTCGAGCTTATCCCTCCTCCCGATCCTCGCACCTTGCTTCCTCCGCTATTGGCTTGCCTGCCGACTGCCTTTGTCTCCCCTCAGCCTCCACCGGCCCTGCTTCCGCTCCTATCACCGATTTTGCGCCAGAGACTGCAGGTTCTCAGTTCAGTGGCTGTCTCATCAACGGAATCATGGCTTAGATTGCTTTGTTGGGATTCTGGGAAAGCGGAGCGTCTTCAGTCGTTGGTTGATGGCGCCGACTTTGAGCCTCATCCTGTTTCCGGGGAGATTGAGCTACCCGGTGATATCCCTGTGACATATAAACGGCTAGACGAGGAGACCCTTCAGTCGCGTGTGATAATACCAGATTACGATCTGAAGGTCGTATATTTGTGGTGCCCGCAGGAGGAGAGCGCCCCAGGCTGGTTGGTAGCCGAAGTCCTCCCCAATGAAGGCACTTGCGAGGAAGACGAGGCTTGGTCAGTTTCTATCGGAGAGGCGAATACGCATGCCCGGGAAAAACTCGTGGAGGATGCTCTGAAAGCGGCCGAGAGCCATGAGCGGTTAGCGGCTCACAAGCAAGAGGAGGAGGAAGATGACGATGATGATTACTGGGCACAGTACGATGCTACACCCGGACGTACACCTGCAGCCAAAACCCCCACCCCAATGGCTTTGTCCTCCTTGCAGCAGCAGCAAGGACCATCGGAGTCTTCATACTTTTCTCGGTATGCCGATGTGCAGCCTGCGATGGACAGCCATGACCCAGATGAAGAGAACCCGGAGCTTGGACCTTCTTCACTTACCGGTGACATGCTAGCTCAAATTGTTAAGCGGAATTTGGAGAGCACAGAGCCTGCGCAATCCGACCATTCGTATCAGGCCAACGGCACGCAACTGAACCATCCGCGCCCGGCATCTGCCTCGTCTGCGAGCTCCGAGGCAGTCGCGAAGCTGGAGCAAGAGGCGGAGAACCATTCCACATACGAAGTGGGAGTAAAGCAGCACATCGGCTCGAATATCAAGAGCCTTTTCCGACTCGCAAAAGCCACGGGAATCTCTCGAGCGGAATTCCAGTCGTTGGTCAAGACTGAGCTGGACCTCTTAAATATATCCGATGACGACTGATTCGGCACATGCTTGCACGTTTTTTTATCACATCTTCGAAACCTTCAAATTGGCATCAGTATAGTTCTCGCATTCCTGGAGCGTTTTGGAGCATTGAGCTGTGTTGGGATATCCGACATTTGGAATTTCTTGTGGTTTATACATGCATTTGCTTTGGAACAGATACTGTAAACTTCCATCATCAAGATAGAAAAAAATGCAAAAATAGAATTATTGAATATTTCCTGAATGTAAGACATGCCCCCTGAGTTTCGGAAATAGGATGAGGCTCACATGCCCAGTGGCTGGCCTTTACTTGTTCCGTTCCGCAGCTTTTCCTTGGATCATGACACGCAATCCAGACGCACGCCGAACTATTTGCAGCAGCAATACCCCCAGCTCGATTATGCTGATTTCTTGATCAGCTCGCAGCTAATTTTGAACTGTAAGTCCCTCTCCGTTCTCTGAACAGCATTCTCTTTCAATGTGTACTGTGCTAATTCCCCTATCCTTCAGTTCTATTCTTCATACTTTCTTTTATCCTCCTTTCTGATTATGTCTTCTTCGCCCTCTCTCCGCAAGAGGGGGGGGAAGCGAGAGGAAACTCCGGTGCCCTCTGACCGTTCTTTCACTCCTTCGCCTTCGAAACCCGTTGCGCCTCGCTCGTCAGAATGGGACTATCGGCTGGCCATTACCATTTTGACCGTGCTGGCTTTCATCACTCGATTCTACAAAATCTCGTATCCTGACCAGGTTGTATTCGATGAGGTGCATTTTGGGAAGGTAGGCTCAATTGACTCCGCTATCCTCTGCAATATTTCCTGACATGCACGATTGTTCTCCAGTTTGCTTCCTACTACCTGCGACGGACGTATTTCTTCGATGTACACCCTCCTTTCGCTAAACTCCTGCTCGCTTTCACCGGCTGGTTGATTGGATATGACGGCCACTTTCTCTTCGATAATATCGGCGACTCGTACATTGAGAACAAGGTCCCCTATGTGGCCCTCCGCGCTATGCCCGCTGCCCTCGGTGCCCTCACCATCCCCGTGGTGTTCCTGATCATGTGGGAGTCTGGATACTCTCTACCGGCTTGCGTCCTGGCTGCGGGCCTCGTCCTGTTTGACAATGCTCATATCGGAGAAGATCGATTGATCCTGTTGGACTCGACCCTGGTTATCACCATGGCCCTGAGCATTCTATGCTATGTTCGGTTCTACAAACTGCGTCACGAACCTTTCGGACGGAAGTGGTGGAAGTGGCTTCTCCTGACTGGTGTTTCTCTTAGCTGCGTCATATCCACCAAGTACGTCGGTGTTTTCACCTTCGTTACTATTGGCTCTGCTGTAATGGTTGATCTGTGGAATTTGCTGGACATTCGCCGACCCAGTGGTGCCCTGACCATGTTCGAATGGAGCAAGCACTTTGCTGCGCGCGCGTTCGCCCTTATCATTGTACCTTTCTTCTTCTACCTGTTCTGGTTCCAGGTCCACTTTGCCATCCTGACTCAGTCCGGCCCCGGTGATGATTTCATGACGCCCGCGTTCCAGGAAACGCTGAGTGATAATGTTATGGCTTCCCAATCAGTAAGCATCGAGTACTATGATCACATCTCCATCCGACACAAGGACACCAAGGTATTCTTGCACAGTCACCCCGACACCTACCCCCTGCGCTACGATGACGGACGTATCTCCAGTCAAGGCCAGCAAGTCACTGGATATCCCTTCAATGATACCAACAACCACTGGGAAATCATCCCTACCGTTCCTCTGAACGTCACCGACGAGAAGAGCCGCAAGGTGCGCAACGGCGATGTTGTCCAGCTCCGTCACGTGGCCACCGATACCATTCTCCTTACCCACGACGTTGCCTCGCCTTCTTTCCCCACCAACCAGGAGTTTACCACTGTTTCACACGAACTTGCTGACGGCAAGAGACATAACGATACCCTGTTTGAAATCAAGGTTGAGCATGGCAAATCCAAGCAGGAATTCCGCACTCTATCTAGCCAGTTTAAGCTCGTACATGTCCCAACAAAGGTGGCCATGTGGACTCACACAAAGCCTCTACCTGAATGGGCTTTCAAGCAGGCAGAGATCAATGGCAACAAGAATGTTGCGCAGAGCAGCAACATCTGGTTTGTGGAATCTGTCGAATCTCTAACCGAGGACAGCCCGCGTCTTCAGAAGGAGGAACGCAAGGTCAAGCACTTGCCCTTCTGGCGGAAGTACCTCGAGCTGCAGCGGGCTATGTTCTTCCACAACAATGCCCTCACGAGCAGCCATCCGTATGCCAGTGAGCCGTTCCAGTGGCCTTTCCTTCTCCGTGGTGTCAGCTTCTGGACAAAGAACGATACCCGCGAGCAGATTTATTTCCTGGGTAACCCCGTTGGATGGTGGATCTCCAGCAGTCTTTTGGCCGTTTTCGCTGGTGTCATTGGTGCTGATCAGCTTTCCCTGCGACGCGGGGTGGATGCTGTCGAAGAAAGTGAGTATCGATTTCTGGCCCCCTTTCGCTACAAAAGTTGACTGAATCTAGTCTGGGGTGTTGGCTCCCGTTCGCGCCTGTACAACAGCACCGGATTTTTGTTCTTGTGCTGGGCTGCTCACTACTTCCCCTTCTGGCTGATGGGCCGTCAACGTTTCTTGCACCACTACTTACCTGCGCACGTCGCCTCGGCCCTTGTAACCGGCGCGCTGATTGAGTTTATCTTTAACATCCAGCCGATCTCGGTCCCAGCAACAATCCCCGTGGTCCTGGATGACCCCACGGGTAAGGCCAAGATTAGACGGTTTGTCACTGCCAGAGAGCGTATGGGCTTCAGGTCCATGCTCGCTGGCTGGCTTGCGTCTCTAACTATCCTCGCTGCCACCTTTTGGGGATTCTGGTTCTTCGCTCCCTTGACCTACGGAACTCCTGGCCTGGATGTCGCCGGAGTCAACGCACGCAAGTGGCTTGGATATGACCTGCACTTCGCTAAATAAGCTCTGCCTGCAGGTATCGTGGCATTGGAGTAGGCGCTCGATGCCGTGTAAGATGAAATCTTGGGGTTACCCCTAGTGCCGAGAACTATGACCATACGGGGTCTGACAGCGCCAGGTAGGGCTGTACCAGAATCTAACTCCGAACTTGCGCCGACTTTGGATATGTGATGCCTGGCGTGGATTCTCCCTCTCTTGTTGATTTTCTTTACCTTGTGTAACTGATATAGCGTATGCAGTGTTGTTTTAGCATCTACTAATCCAAAAATGATACGGATCAAACATCTGAAGTAAAGCCTCTCAATATAACATGTGATATTCAAACCAAAACGCCTATCGCTTGGAGTATCTAAAGCCTAACGATATACAGGAAAAAAAAAAAGAAGAAAAGAGTTACAAGTGCAAAAGTTTTTAGTAAGCCATCCGCTTCCCAATCTCACTCTCCCATCCTCTCACTCTTTCGAACCCATTCGAGGCGGTCTGGTAATCAAGCATTGCCTGATAGACCTCCTCCTGGCTCGTCAACACAAACGGTCCATACTGCACAACCTTCTGGTCTAGCGGCTGCCCCGCAACAATAATGAATCTTCCTTCCTCCTCCGCGTTATCCGGCACGGACGCCTCGACATAATCGCCCGGCTGATCAAAGACAACATTATGGTACTGCTTGACGGTCTGAGTCGAGTCATGCGATCCAAAGATCGTCGTTCCCGAAAGCGTGTACGCAAACGCATTCCATCCCACAGGCAAGACCTGCGAGATCCGGCCACCGGGCTTCACGGTCACATCAAGCAGCCAAACAGGCGTATAAGCAAGGTCGCGCACAGAGTCGACGCCGTGCGATTGACCCGAGATGACCTTGACACTGACGCGGCCGCCGTCCACTTCCGCGACGGGGATCTCGCTCGCGCGCAGATCGCGGTAGCGCGGCTCACACATTTTCAGCTTCTTGGGTAGATCCACCCACAGTTGCATTCCGACGTTGGGGCTTCCATCGGGGTTCTCGTGAGGCATCTCGGCGTGCATGATGCCCTTTCCTGCTGTCATGAATTGCAAATCGCCTGGTCCGATTGTTCCCTTGTTTCCTGCGAAATCCTCGTGGTCGACGCCGCCGGAGAGAAGGTATGTGATGGTCTCTTGGCCGCGGTGCGGGTGGTCTGGGAAGCCGGCGCCCTTGCCGATTGTGAAGTGGTCGAGCATTAGGAAGGGAGAGAAGTTGCGCAGTTTCGGGGTTCCGATGGAGCGTCTGACGCGGGCACCAGCGCCCTCGGCTTGCTCGATGGCAAGGAAGACTGTGCGGATCTTGCGAGCGACGGACATGTTGGTGAGTTTGAGCTCGGTTTGTTGTTCGGGGTTGTAGAAGTGTGTCGAGGGCTCTGATATGACTGGCGAAGTTGAGGCTGTAGTCGTAGACGTGGACGCAGTAGTGTAGCTCTGTAAACTCTCCACAACGCCTTTCAAGTAATCGATATCAATCGCGATCTTGAGATCAAGCTTGGATATCGTAAAGAGAATAGCTGCAATGGCAACGAAAAAAGACCAGAGCAGTTTCATCGGCGAAGAACGCGGCTACTTATACTTCCTTTGGCGCAAAAGAACCGAAAGAAGTAGAAGAACCTCGAGAACACTACGTAGCTACGAGAGGGGCAGTTAGTCAATTTTTATAAATCCCCAGCTAAGCTAGGACAATAATTCATCCCCGGCTTCCAGTGTTCATCTGATAGTGGGGGGGTGAAATAGCTATTGGATGGCCTGTGGTTGGCTGAAGGTCGCTGGTGCGATGACGATTTGTTCAGCGGCGCCGGATTTACGGTCGTTGACAAAGATTTGTGTAAGCAAAGGTACGCCAAGCCTTTTGCGGGCGGAATTGAATTTCCAAGCATGAATCAGCGGGGGTTTTATTTGGTGGAAGATACATACATGAAAGTTGTGCATGGCGGGATTATCGATTGTCCATGTAAAGTTCCAATGCATTGGAACATTGGAGGTTGTATGTATTTACATTTCTTTCAGGGTTTCTAAAGCTTGCGCATTACTATGACGACCTGATACATTGTGAGCACAGACGTGGATGCGCACCCAATCGGGAAAGATTAAGATGGGGCACGTGCTGATAAGATCAACTTCAACAGCTGTCATCAACATTCGAGGCCTTGGTTGGCTGCATCCTTTCATCTTCAATGACCTGATTCTCTTGAACTTGGAAACTGAGTTCTTCTACCCTTTGTCGGTCACCATTACTTGAAGGCTCCTCCCACAAGGGTTGACCAGCCACGCTTCAGTCAAGGGCGCCGAAAGGACACTCCGCTCCAATGAGCAGACAATCAAGGATAGCAGCCTCTCTGCTTGTGTTCGCATGCGCGAGCTCTGGGGCTTTGGCGGACCGAAAATTCAATATTCACGATGATTTACTCGCGTTTCCTCAGGTAGACAATCCAATGATACTTCGGCTCCGTTGACTCCGTCCTAATCGCATCGTAGTACCGTCTCCATTTCCCCGATGCTTTCGTTCTCGACTCCCAGGCGCGCGCATTCCTAGAACAGTCTCCTCATAGCCCCTCCGCCGATAAGCGAGATGATGAACAAGCTCCATTGACAGATGAGACTCATGGTTCGGCACACGGGTCGAACGACGACGAGATAAAGCTATCATACGAGGAGCTGATCCTTGAGGGCCAGCGATATCTGTGCCAAATCCCGATAGTACCAGATACCAAAGGGAATCAGACTGCAGCGGAGGTCGACGAGGAGGAGGAACGAAAGGAATTGGCCCGGGCAACGGACCGTGGCCTGGAGCTACTGAGCGACATGGAAGGGAGATGTCTCTACTACATCTCGGGTTGGTGGTCATATTCCTTCTGCTATAACAACGAGATCAAGCAGTTTCACGCGCTCTCATCGGCAGGGGGCGCTCCGAGTTACCCCCCAATGGAGGACCCGCAAACCCACTCTTTCATCCTCGGAAGATTTCATCGCGACGACGGCCATAACGATGAAGAGAGCGGGGCCAAAACCGAAAAAACGACTACAGATCTAGCGGAACTACAAACTAGAGGAGGATCCCGGTACCTCGTACAACACCTCGATGGCGGTGATCAGTGCGATATCACAAAGGTAGACCGCAAAATCGAGGTTCAATTCCACTGCAATCCCCAGTCGACGGACCGAATCGGTTGGATCAAGGAACTCGCAACCTGCTCGTATCTGATGCTTATATATACCCCGCGCCTATGCAATGACGTCGCCTTCCTTCCGCCTCAGGAGGAGGAAGTCCATACCATCGAATGTCGTGAGATTCTCACGCCAGAGGAAGTCTCTGGCTGGACGGCCATGCAGGAATACCAATTGTCCCAGAAACTCGTGGAATCGGCAGAAACACCAGAGTACCCAATCATCGGGGGTATCGAAGTTGGTGCCCAGCGGTCAGTAGGAAGTGAGGGCAAGGTCATGGAGAAGGGTCGCATAACCACCATTGGCGAAGAAAACGTCGAGATTGTCGCCAAAAGCGTGAATGGAGAGTTCAAGATGATACCACCCGAAGAGCTAAAGAAGCTTGACCTTGATCCCGAGAAACTCGAGAAATTCAGGAAGAAAGTGGAGGAGTTCGCAAAGGGAAAAGACTGGACCCTAGAATTCGTTACGAGCCTGGGGAAACCGTCGTTTGTGCGAGGAGTAGTAGATACAGAGGATGAAACAGTAGGAGGAAATGAAGAAACAGCGGCGAAAGAAGAAGAGAAGAAGGATGACCAAAAACAAGACAAGCTTGGGTCAAAGGACCCTCAAGAAGAGAAGGTTCAGGGCAAGGCTGACGTGAGGGTTGGTGAGCAGGAGCCGACAGTCGACGCGGAAGATTCGGATGGGAGCGAAGAGATTTTCAAGGATGAATTGTAAATAGACATTCTATATTGACGATTTATATGTCGTATACGTATACCTGTGGTTGAGGACTCCAGATCTGACTTGGAACGCACGCAAGCGTCTGCACTGAGGATCGTGGAGCCTGGATAGACTTTTGGCAGGAGAACGTGCTCCCTGCATCTATAGTTCTGAATTGAGCCTAAAGGGTTTAGACATCATGCAGACACCAAGTCCTTGAGTGCCGTACGTAGTAGTAGTTTACAGTGTTGTATTTGTACCCCTCTCAGCCAACAAGGCAGAGTCAGGTACTGCTGATTTGCGCAACTGCCCCCTCAGCCCCAGCGATCGGCGGTTCTCTCATTCTTCATCTCATCTTCCTCGACAGTCTGTCAATTCCTCGTTTCTTTCTCTGCGCAACCTTGCGATATCTCGTCGCTACCCCGGATTCGCTCCGTTCCAGCCTGATCCCATGAGTTGGGAGCTGCCAAGCCCAACCCACTCTATCTCTCCGTCCAGTCTCTCTCACGGCCTCTCCAACTATTACGACTACTGATCACCCCCGACCGTCCGACCGGTTACCACCCTCTTCAAGTACATACCTCTGGCCTACCGCACCCCTCACATAAACCCACCTTGACGCCAGACTCATCTACGCTGCAGCTGCAGCCGGGATCCCTCCGACCCGCCGCTTCCTACCCCCCGATCAACACACGCGGCCGATCACTCGATTGACTGGCGCCCACCATGGGTTTCATCGGTGTTTATACCGCTATTTACGAGTATCAGCCACGGGCGCAGGGTGAATTAGAGCTTCGTGAAGGCGATTTACTTTATATTCTCGAGAAGAACGATGAGGACGATTGGTGGAAGGCCAAAAAGAAGGCGGACCGGGAGGACGAGGAGGAGCCCGAGGGCCTAGTGCCGAACAACTACGTTAAAGAGGTAAGCACATTTGTTCTATGCTCTCTGCAGATTGAGCACAAGAAAGGAACTCGGCAGTGAGCCTTTGGCTTGGGTTCGCGGTTCGCGAAAGCTCCTCTGGCTTTCAGGGGTTCGCGGAGACACGATGACGCTTCTACTGCAGCAAGCTAATAGCACGATTGAATGAACAGGCTACGCCAACTCACACGGCGAGAGCGCTTTACGACTATACACGCCAAACAGATGAGGAGGTGTCTTTCTCAGACAATGCGGCCTTGGTGGTGTACGACACGTCGGACCCGGACTGGACTCTTGTCGGGGTCAATTCCGATTTTGGATTCGCTCCGTCAAATTATATTGAGTTTGTAGATGAATATGCAGGCCATGCAGCTGCCGCTTCGGTCCCGACGTCACCGGAACCTGCCTCTCCACCTGTCGCCTCTCCAATTCCCGCGGCATCACCTCCCAGCCTCCCCCAGCGACCGGCTCCGGCGCCAGTTGAAGAAGACGCTGGCGCGTCCGCTCCTAGCTCTCCTGCAGGAGCTGTCCACAATCCTGCAGCGGCCGCGATAGCCAATATCCTTCACCAGCAGCACAGTGACAGCGGCCGGGCAATCCCTCCTCCGCCGAAGCCCGAACCGCAAGAGACCTACCGTGAGCCTTCGCCCCCGCCGCCCACTTTACCTCAAAGGCCTCTGTGGGAACAAACAACTTCTCCACCTCCCCTGGAGTCGCCAAGGTCTGAGCCATCGCCCCCTACTCATCCTCGTCATGCGCAAATACGCGATAACGCCGGCCCACAGGCGTCGCCGCCCTACAATCGTGTGGGACGGACGGCGCCACGGTCGCCCTCGGGCTATCATATGTATAATATCAACGAAATGGTAGAAGTTATGGGCAAAAGGAAGAAGATGCCCACCACGCTAGGGATCAATATCGCTACAGGGACCATCTTTATCTCGCCCGAGGACGATGGTGACATACAGGAGTGGACTGCTGAGAAGTTGACCCATTACTCCATCGAAGGAAAGCACGTGTTTATCGACCTGGTTCGCCCCAGCAAGAGCGTTGATTTTCACGCTGGAGCCAAGGATACGGCCCGCGAGATTGTCTCGGCGTTGGGTGAGATTTCTGGCGCCTATCGCGCGGAGGGTTTGCGGGAAGTGATTGCGGCGGGGACCGGCGGCGGTGGCTCGCAAAAGAAGGGTACTATACTGTACGACTTTATGGCGCAAGGTGACGATGAGGTCACAGTTGGCGTGGGCGATGAGGTTGCTGTTTTGGATGACACCAAGTCCGAGGAATGGTGGATGGTTCGACGTTTGAAGAACGGCAAGGAAGGTGTAGTCCCAAGCAGCTACGTGGAGATTACCGGATTCATCAGCAGCCCGTCAGCCGCGACTCCAATCGAGTCCGGGTTGTCGGCCGTCGAGAGAAATCGACTAGAAGAAGCCCGCCTAGCCAAGGAGGCTACCCAGAAATCAATTGCCGAACAGGATGCACCACGAAGCCCACGGGTATGGATTCTTTCCTTTAGATCGCAGGCAAAGCTAACAGCCTACACAGCACCACCACAAGAAGGACAGCAAGAGCAGCCAGAAATCCAGTAAGTTCCATACCACTGAGATACAAAAGAAGGAGAACTGATGCAAGTTAGAACCGGATCCAGCCAAGGTGAGGACGTGGGTCGACCGGTCAAAGGCATTTACGGTAGAGGCTCAATTCATTGGCCTTCAAGATGGCAAAATTCACCTGCACAAGACGAATGGCATCAAGATCGCCGTTCCCATCCCAAAGATGTCGTTTGAAGACTTGGAGTACGTCGAGAAAGTGACTGGGATCTCTCTTGATGAGGACAAGCCCTTGTCCGACATCCGCCGTCAGTCCCTTCTCAAGGCTGGAAAGGCCGAAAAGGCTCAGGCGTCGACCGACGGAAAGAAGGCAGGCGCTACATTCCAACAGTCTGACTATGACTGGTTCGAGTTTTTCCTCAAGGCTGGAGTTGGTCCTCACCAGTGCGAGCGATACGCGCAGAATTTTGCCAAAGACTCGATGGATGAAGGTATCTTGCCAGAGATCTCGGCCGAGACTTTGCGTACGCTGGGTCTCAAAGAGGGCGACATTCTGCGTGTGATGCGCTACCTGGACAACATGTTCCAGCGACCCGGTGGCAAGTCATCAAAGGCGCGCAACGTTAGCTTTGGCGGAGAAGAGGTCATCAGCAACGGCGAGGATGGTTCATCTGGTGGTCTCTTTGCTGGGCCCGGTGGAAGCCTGCTCAACAATACCCGAAAGTCTCGGCCTGCACCAGCTGTCCAGACAAGTGATGTGGTTGATCCGAAGGTGTTTGAGCAGGATAAACCAAAGTCCGCGGAAACCAGCAGCACCCCCCCACCAGCTGCTGCTTCCGCTCCCGCCACCGAGAAGCCTGTACAGAAAGGATTCGATGACGATGCGTGGGAGGTCAAGGCACCCAAACAAGCGGCGGCCCCAGCTCCCACTGCAAGTTCACCTCCTCCTGCGGCAGCTCCCGCCGCAGCACCGGCCGCCAGCCAACCCGCTCCACCAGCTCAGCCAACTCTCAGCGGTGCGATGGCGGATCTGTCCCTCCTCCAGGCGCCTCTTCAGCCGACTCCCGCACAGCCTGCTCCAGCCCCCGCTCAATCACCTCCCGTGGCGCAGCCCATCCAAGTCCAGCCAACTGCAATCCCCGCGCCCCAGCCGCAGCAGCCACAACAAACTGGAGCTACACCGGGCTTCTTTACACAGATTGCACAGCAACAGCCTCTGCAGACCGGCCAAGGGTTCAGTCCCCAAGCTACTGGTTTCCAGCAGCCAAGGCAGCGCCCACAGGCTCCACAGATCATGAACCAAGGCTCTCTTATTCCTCCTCCGCCTCAACGGCCCCTCTCGGCGCCTCAGAATATGCCACTGCAGCCACATTTCGGTCTCCCTCAGCTACAGCCGCAACTGACGGGTCTACCCCAGCAAGGTCCTCAGCTTGCTCCTCCTGGACAGAGTTTAGCCGAAATGAACCAGCAAAGGTTCCAGCCTTCCTATCAACAGCCACAGCCTACAGGATTCATGGCGCCAAATCAGTTCCAAAACGGATTGATGCCGCAGCCGACTGGCTTTCAGCCCCAATCGCAATTCGGTATTCAGCAGCAACAGCAACAGCAGACCGGGTTCCAAGGTTTGATGCCTCAGCATACAAGCTTTGGAGGCTTCCCAGCTCCACAACAGCAGCCTATGGCGACTGGCATCAACTCTGTTCTTCCTCCGGCATTACAGCCCCAGCCTACCGGTCTGAATGGTTCTGGCTCTATGCCCTATACCCCGTCCCCTCCCCCTATCCCACCAATTCCCCAACAGCACACAATCACGCCTTTGCAGCCTCAGAAGACTGGCCCAGCTCCTCCCATCCGATTTGGTGTGAAGCCTGAGGCGCCCAAGAAGCTCGCTCCTCAGCCAACAGGAATGAAGGCCAACCTTGCGCAAGCCAGTAAGTCTACCGTAAATTTTAACGAGACATGAAGGAGGAAACTGACTTGAACAGCACCTACAAATCCATTCGGTTTCTAAAACAGTGTACATAGGATACCAACTCTGCAGCACATGACTTATTATGCATTATACTTTGCTCTTTCTGCTGGCGGGATGCAGCATGTCCTCCTCCACTCTTCCACAAGCACCATGATTTACATGCAGCGATCTAGGCATGACCGACATCTACACGCAGCAACCCTTGAGGATCTTGTTACGTGACGCAGCTTCAGCGAGCTAGACTTGATACCGTTTCATTTCTCCCCTTCGTCCTTTTTCACCCCTTCTTCTCTCGCTCCAGTTTCCTCCGTGTTTTGTTTCTTTCTTCATTGGACCGGGCTGAACAATATACGTAATTTTGGAAGACATTCGTCCGTACCTGCACAGACAACTTTCTCCTTTGTCCTCGTTTTCTCGACTACACCGCACGGCTTGGCGAGTCATGTCCAGCATATTGTCGCTTTTCCCCTTTTTCCTCGAGATGCATTGTCTTTCCCATTCATGTTGCTATTGTTATTGTTATCGTTTGTCAGCTGTGTATCCACGCTCTGACGGTGTTGTTTATTCGTTCTTAATGCTAGTTTTATATCATAATTGGTTTATCTAATGTTAATCGTAGTAAGATGGCCTTGCATTCCATTGAGATCCCTGTAACGAGTAGTTACCCTTCTCTCACTATTGGCCCGTTCGGCCCTCTCTTCTTCTACCCATTTTTGTTATCACGCTGTCTATGTCCTCTACCGCCATGTGGCAGGCGTCCCGGCAAAGCACCGCTGGCGCATGTAGTCCCATCTTAAGGAAGAAGAGCAGAATCAGCCAGCCAGTGCTCGATCATACACATTGCAAAGTCTCTGGACCCTGGAGCACTATTTTATTGCCTTTACATGGTAGGAGATTCTCGCAACCCTGCGTGGCGCCTTTCAAGAGGTTCTCAGATAAAGGCTAACGTGCGAATGACCGGCTGTCGACGTGTACAGCATTGAGCGATGTGTTAAAGCCGCGAGCGAAAGGGGTCCTATTCTTCGGAAAGATCCTTTAGTTTGAGTGGGTAGAGATAGGATGGACGACTCCATCTTTTCAGGGTGCGGATGATGTGTCAGGCCGTGCCAGTAGAATTCGGTGCGTTTTGGGAGAATATGGCCATTTCCCGGGTCCACAAGAGACCAAGGTGTTGGGCTGCTTTAGGTTCGGTTTCCAATGGCGATGTTGATGCCATGTGCATTTCTAGAGTCGTGGGCCTCTTGTTCTTTGTTCTCGCTATGCGCGAGGCGGGTTAGCGGCCCGGGGAATTTCATCTTCCAAGGTTCATCACTCCACGCACTTCCCAAGTTGACTTGGTTGAATATACCGAGATTCGTTTGCTTCACTTGGTGGTGTAACAGAGGCCTATGAAAGACTTATACTATCATAAAATCTAGCACAACAGGAGCCAAAGCAACTGAGCCTCGCCAAGTTCGTATCCGCTGGCCAGTTCGTATTCCGGGAAATTAGGGCTTCTTGGGACCCGCCCGGTCTACCCAGGGCAGCGCTGTGCCCGAGTCTTGGACTAGGGCGTGTGCATGGTCCTCGCAGTGTTTAATGCCATGGAGTTTAACATAGTATAGCCCCATGTAGAAATCTCCATCTAATTATCTACGTATTCTCCCTGTTCGCCCTTGATCTATTCTATCTGAAGGAGAGTCATGCTAATATGAACGCGTAAATGTCCTTATGGTCTGGCATGCAGCTCCTCTTTTGAATCTATCATGGTTCGGAGACTAGATCTCAATAGTTTCGCTCAGTACCCTGTTTCCCTGGGAGGAGATTGGACGTATCCTATACTCCTATTCCCCTTCCTAAAGTATCTTATCTACCACTTACTCACATATACCTCCCAGAAGAAGGCTGCAGTCGGCCACAATGACCTAACATGGCCCTACACCCTCCAAACCGTGATTCACGGTGGGTACTTGTTCATGCAGTCCAGGTGGAGTCCGTCCGCATTGCGCCATGTTAATCCCTATGTAACCGCTCTCGATGTAGGTAACCGCACAGAAAGTCGCGATAAACCCAGCATCCAAAAGACGGGAGTATCTTGATACAGCGCTCTCGTTGAACTAACGAAGATCATGCCTGTAAAAGTGCCACCCAAGCAATTAACCCACAGTCATAAAATGATTATAAAAGATCTAATAGATCAGCCTCCTCACGTCTCATCCCAAAGCCCAAAAACAGGCAGATCTTCCGCCATATACAGCAGCCCATTATCAGACAGGATCATATCAGATAGCGGGGTCTGCCCGTCCCCGCCTGCACCCGCTCCAGCGGTAGGCATGGTAGGAGTAGACCCAGACGGAAGAATCGTTCCTGTGCCTCCGGGTGAGAACCCAACGGGGATGCCTGTTGTTGTTAGGGTTGAGATTGCCCCATCGTATGGGAAGGAACCGGTTGCAGCGGCGCCGCAGAGGGCGTCCCAGATGCTGTTGTCTTGGAGGGTCGTATGAGGAGTTGCATTTGCAGGGTTAGGGGAGGGTTGCGCGGGTTGATTAGGCGTGGCGTTGGAGTTTAATGGTGCAAGTTTGTCTGGGGAGAGGGGAGAAGGGACACTGATGGGCTCAGCTTGATGTCGGGCGGATGTGTTGCGAGTAGTAGTGGTAGGATCAAGCGAGGCAGAGTCGCTAGCAGGGCCGACTTGCCCGAAGAGCTGGTCGACTTGTCGACTGCGGCGGTCCATCCATTGGCGATTACGCCGGCGGACGTACTCGGCCACCGCACCGCGGAGGTACTTGACTATTTGGAGGAAACGGCAGGAATGCGGGTCATGCGGCACGAAGAGGCTGAGAAACTTTTCTGCCTTGTTCAACCCCTCTTCGAGCGGGAGGAGGTTGTCGTAGTCGGCGAAAAACGCTGCGCCGAGGACGACAGCGGAATTGAAGACGGAGTTGATTAGGAAGGGTAGTCTGCGCGGGAGGGTGTCGTATTTGGAGAGACCGTCGATGATGTCGAGGCCACGGAGGGCAGAGTAGACGCAGGCGTCGGCGAAGAGGGAGAGACGGGATGTGCCGTTGCGGGCTTCAGGGACTCCGGCGGAGTCCTTTTTGCTTCGGACGTATTGAGAGACCCAGAAGATAAGGAAAGGGCGCGTTAGGAGGATGATAGACCAGTAGTATGAGCCGAACACATGCGCGGCGGCTAGGCTCTCTTCTATGCTTTTGGACTCTAAACGCTCGGTTTGCACTTGGAGGAAACCGGGCAGGTTTCGGACCCAGGTTCGGTGTTGATTTGATATGTTCTCTGCAACATGTATTGAGACAACTTGCCGCATATACACCTCTGTCAGGATTCGCTCAAAGATGCGGCACAGCGATACCACTGTCAATGATAACTGATCTTGAGGTAAATGTGATTCTCTTCGAGTCTCGTCCTCGCGCAGGTCATAGTCGAAATCCGACGTAGCAGGCGGTCGTCCTAAGGACGCACTGAGGAATAAGTCCATCATACGAAGACTCTTCCACACGCGTTCGCGAGCTCTTCGTTCCCGCGCGGTGAATAGAGAATTCGCATCTTTTCTATGTATGCCTACTGCATATGCTGCCCGGAGCGCGATGCCGAGGTTCATAAAGGCACCGTTGCGCCGGCAAGCACCAAGCATATACATCGATATAAGGACATATGATTGAATAGTATACAGACTGGGAGTCTCGGTAAATGCGGAAAATGCCAGTTGCCGGCCACTGACAAAATATTGCTCGGCTAGGTTTTGGTTGGCGTCGGATACTTGCGCGCCGATAGCGAGGACTAGGTAGAATATCGAACTAACGGTATCCTCGTCGCCCGTAGGGTTTCCTATCCAGTTTGAGAGACGAGGATGGAATTCCTCCAGATCAAATAGATCCAGCAGCGGACTGGTCGCTAGAACAAACTGGCGGGCAAGTCTCTGCGCCTCTTCATTATCTGGAGGTTGAATCAAAGGTCCAGACTGAGTCGTCGAGCTGCTCTGGAAAGCTTCCAGCATCGAATGTCGGGAGGTATCTTCCGTAAACTCGCATCGACCAATTGACAGCGAAACGATGCGCCGAACGCTTTGCAGAAATGACAGACTCGCAGAGTCTCCGATATACATAAACTTCCCCTGGCCGTCCCTTAGCAGTCGCGCGACCTTGGGCACAGGTGCCGCGCCATCTTTATCATCTGGAACCTGTTGCTCCAAGTTCGCGCCTTGATCCTCAAGCGAGTTGAGCAAGTGGTCCATGGCCGTTTGCCTTTGCGGCGTCGGTACTAAGTGTTCGCTAAGCAACATTGCCTCTTTCGGATTGTTGTTTGGTCTTAGCAGCCGCGCTGGCTTATCGGAGAAATGGCATTCAGCCTCTTTGCGACGTTGGATACAGATCGTACACGGATGCTCGCCATTGCACTTCTGTTTCCTCCTCTTGCAGCTGTCACAAGCCCTTCGGCACCGGAGCCGAGCGCCAGGCGCTGTACTGGCTCGAGGCATATCGCAATCCGGTGCGCCGGGTTTACGGCGTTGTCGCAGAGGAGGTTATGCGGGCGGAGGTAACGCGGGGAAAGCCGAGCGGCGGTTGATGGGTGGCAGGTCGTTGAGAAAGCCCAATTTGGCTACCCGTAAGGTGTATTGCTAAACATATCTTGTGGGTATTTGTTTCGATAGTGCGACGCACTCTTCGAGCGGTTCGATGGGGATCGGAGTGGAATTTTCAATGTGTTTGCGAGTCGCGATCTTCCCCAGACCGCGAGATGTCCGGTATTCCGATTGGCGCCTGAGATCGTCAGTCGACACCTTAGGCACAAACCGCTAGAACTACTCAACGGTCAACAATTACTGGCTCTCTCCGACCTGAGGTGGTAGATATAGCACAGACGTTGGACCTCGCGACATTCGCATTTAGACAGCCTCAATCAAGGCAAGATGAGCTAACACTATCACAGTGACGGAGTTTATCAGAACATCCATCCATTCATTCCGAATCTCACATCGACCTCAGATAACTACTCCGGCCTGAAAGACACAAGCTTGCCAAAAGTATCTGCCGTACCCCATATCCCATGGCGCAGACATGACAGCTGAACGATCTGACTATGGTCGACAAAAACATTGACATCGATCCCGAACTCCCTTAGGTACCAAGTATAAACCTTGGGATCCGCCGCTTCGAACATGACCCGTTCAGGCGGAAGCTCTTTCATTATCGTGGAAACCACGTCCGTTCTCCACGACGTCACGTTCTCTGTAATTCCCTCCGACTCAATCATCAAGCGCTCAACACCTGCTTCCAGGAACTTGCGGCCCAGATTCACTAGCTTTCCCGGATCAGAGGTGCCAATTGCCTCCAGGTCGGCCGCTGGTGTGTCGCCGCCGGCACCGAACTGGATGCCGAGCTCTGGCTTTGCTTTCAGGCCGTATGAGTGGACTTTGTCGACCAGGCGAAGCCAATCATCTTGTGGGATTGAGAGGAATCCAGATGAGAGTTCGATCACGTCAAATCTATAACGAACTTAGACCGGACTCATACGCAAACTGGAAGTGACGTACCCGAGATCTTTGCACTTCTGGAGATATTTGTCGAACACTGTGTTTGGATCTGGGTGTGTGAGAAGATGCTCCGCCCATCCTCCCTGTCCAGTCGGGTTAGTCGTCCATCTTGCCATCTATCTCATCAGCACTAACCGTCGAAACATAAACATCATGTTCATGCGCGAGATCTATCAACTCTTTCAACGGCTTTTCCGGGAAGAGTGAGAAAGACCCTCCCGCGAATTTGAGTCCATCGACATGTGTACCCATCCTGCGAGTCATTAGACCAGTGCTCGATAATTACCATCTCTAGCGGCACTCACGTCTCAAGCACATCTGCCAGGTATCTCTTGCCCATCACCTACAACCGCCATCAGCAACTCACCCTTAGTCTCCATTGGTACTTGCGCAACGCACCGTATAATATGGTCCCCGAATTTCAGTAACGCCCTTCGTCCTCGGCTTCTTGGGTCTCGGGTTCGACCGCGCAAACCCGAATCCATTCTCCTTATCTTGGAGTAATGTGGTGACCTCCTTCCTCGCAGGCGCTGATGTAGACAAGTTTCTAGTCGCGGAGCATATCATCGGAGCCGCAGCCTTATGGAACGCGGATCTGAGGGCGCTCCCAGACAATAGACTAGTGGATCGAGCGATGGGGGAGACCATTTTAGCATAGGAAATATAGAGGAGGCGGCACGTGGCTCAGGGTTTACTGTTTAGAAAGTTCGGGTTTTAGTATCAGTACGGAGTACAGAAAACACTGCGTGTAAACTGTGGATATTGACATTAAGATGATGATTATTGCTTCAGGCAGCTGATAGAAAAGGTGGGCATATAAACTGGAATAAGACAGTTTGTTTCTCTATGACTTCAAGTTTCATGTTTCATCATACGTACATCATCTGAAACTGACCTGGCCTCCATGGCGAACAGTGTGGGATGATGTCATGGTTGTTATGATAACTGAGCTGTTGTTCTTGTAGTACAATCTCGAGTTCATGGTAAAGCCTCCCGAGTTAGCCATAATAACAATGATTTATCTTCTCAAACTCAAGTAACGAGTGCCTTGGTCTTTACATATATCGGATGATACCAATGATAAGGCAGGATTGTGTTTTCATAAGAGTTATGCAATGCAGGTGAAGCCAGTAGATCCGGAGACCGGCCCAACTACTTCGTAAGGCTTGGTTTCCGGGGGCCGAAGACTGCCGGTGCTGACAGTTCCGCCTTTGAAACCACCTGTAGTTCTGGAAAGTAAGTAAGCGGTTTGAGCTTCAAGCAGCGCCGCAGCCCTCAACAACTAAAACCCCTGCCAGTTCACCTCCAGGACCATAGTAACCAACAATCTCTCTGCCGGGCACTGACAACCTCTACCCTACACACAAACATCTTGATAAGTTGCTGTCCTCCTCTTCCGAACCCCCACATAAGCGATTGTCCAATGATGGGCAACCAAAAGCGTCTGCCTGCACCAGAAGTTGGAACAAGTCACCACGCACCAGCCATCTCGCTCTTAAGCTCGACGTCAAGCAATCATTGGCACAGCGTATCCTACCGTTTGCTCGTGTGATCTCCTTCTTCCCCCTCGACCGATAGCGAGGTGACCATATTGGGTTACACGAGTCGCACGCCAAGTAAGTAGTGTGGCTCTTCGACCGGCCACAGGACAAAGCAAACACAAACCGAAAAATAGAGGTCGGGTCGGATGACGGAAGCTAAGCTGGGGTGGGCTTGTGTTCGTGAAACTGCGTACCGGTAACGGTATGTTGACTCTTGAGGAGAGTAGTTACCTGGTTTAGTCATGGAAAAGGTCAAGGGCCGTCAGAACAGGGTCATCCAGGAATAATAGCTTATGAAATTGAGGACGGGGGCCAGAAGGCTGGAGCACAGTCCAGATACCTCGGCGTTGGAGCCTTGAAAGAGCGCCTTCCCCACTTCGTGTCAGGGCTGGCACGACCACCTACCATAATTGGTCCGGATCATGTTGATCTCCAAGGAATTTGGAGCTCCCGAGGATCGCTGGGCGCTGTGCTCACTTCTAAGTGTGCTTGATACTCCGCTTCCTGATTACTCTATGAGGCAACTCATCTGTTGAGCTCAGCTTATCAGGAGCAAAGGCAAACCAAGAGAGTTGAAACAGTGATGAGAGAAAGAATGGACAAGCAAAAACGAAACTGAAATGACTCGTACTAGTACTGGTAGGAAGTATTAGGAGGTACCTGGGAATGGTTAGACTGTTCTCCAATGCGGACCCTACAGGGCTGTTGACATCCATTCGGTCTCCAGCTTCCGGCTGATCCGGCCTTTGTACGTATCTCGCCCTCTTCGCTACTCAATCTACCTGATCGGAACCATGGAAGAGAGACTCGCGCACTTTACGGGCTCCGGTGTCCGCTTACTACAAATGCTATGAGAGCTCTCTCCCTACGTAAATAGAAGGAGCCAGCGCCATCTTAGTCACTTGAGATCTTGTACAATCACTACAAGCCGTTGACAACACACACAAGAGTCGACCGGCCAAGTGGAGGGCTGCTGTGTACTGTACAATCTTGAGGCGGTTCCGTGTTTATCCTAAGTGATGCCATTCTGCGTTACTTAAACGTTCCTGTTCCTGTTTTTGTTCCTGTGGTTCTACTTTCTGCCATCCGCTGTGACGCCCAACTTCCTGGGCCTCCCCCTCTTAATACCTGACCTCCTCAACACTCCTACAAGCTATCCTCAGTTGTTCGGCTCTGGCGCACGCCGTCCTGCATTCGCATCATGGGGGTTGGTGCTATTTTGGAACCTTTGGTCGTTATTGTTCTTCTTTTTGGTGGCACTTGGATTAATCGCACACTTGGGTCTTTTCCTTCCGCGCGGTCTGCTCGCCGCAAGTCTACTGATCGATATCGCGGAGCTTCACCAGATTTCCTCGAGTCGGGCCTTTCTTCGCCTACAGCTAAGGATGGCCTCTTGAGCAGTCGATCACTTTCCCCAACGAGTTCACTCCTCGGACAAGAGGCATGGCGCAAGCGGTCATTTGGAATACTCTCTTGGACGTGGGAAGCCACATCTCCGAACACTGCTGTGTTTCAAGATCGCCTTCTCAGTCGCTTGCTTCGAAAATTTCCGTTCCTGGCCGAATGCTGGTATTGGGCGTTGGTATACTGGGTAGGTTCCCGCTTCCATGGGTCAACCTTGCTATACGAACGCTAATTTGTGTACTGCAGACCTACCAGCTAGGTAGAGCGTTCACGGCCGTAACCTTACAAGAAGGAACCGTTGATGTCGCGAGAGGGCACGCGCTGAAGCTTATTCGGATAGAGCAGGCTCTGGGTATATTTTGGGAAGTCCCGATACAGCAGCTTTTCCTCCGACACCCTCTGCTCATGAAATGGACCAACTGGATATATTCGTTTATTCATATTCCGGGGACGATTGCATTTCTAGTTTGGCTATATTACTATACTATCACAAGGAATCGGTTCAATGAATCCCAGTCGGGGAAGCCTCGGGGGGTAATGAGTGGCTCGCCTGCAGGACCTCTTCTCTATCAAGCTCGTCGGCGGACACTTGCCGTGTGCAATCTCCTTGCATTTGTCGTCTTCACCCTGTGGCCATGCATGCCACCTCGCCTGTTGAGTGACGAGAGCGTGGAAGGGCCAGAAGGAAAGCTAGCGCGCAGCTATGGCTTCGTCGACACCGTACATGGAACCAACGGTGCTGGAAGCGTGTGGACTGAGAACCGATTCTGCAATCAATATGGTAAGTAGTGCCCACTCACTCTCATACATCGTGTACTGATTACTCTCTGTGCCACAGCTGCCATGCCCTCTCTACACTTTGGCTATTCACTCATGATTGGACTCACCATCATGACCATTCCGCTTCCTGCTCACCATCGCGTGTCGTCTCGAGTCCAAATCGGTCCCGTTGGAATCCAGATTCCGTCATGGCGTCGCTTGGCTTGTCTATCCCTTGGTTTCGCTTATCCTGCCATCATCCTGGCCGCAATCGTCGCAACGGCAAACCATTTCATCCTCGATGCGGTTGCTGGGGCACTAGTCTGTACTCTGGGCTGGAAGTTCAACGGGATCCTGCTCAATTTGATTCCCTTGGAAGACTACTTCCTGTGGTTGGTGCGGATTCACAAGCCAGAGCCAGCAGAAACGATTGGAGAGCCGGACTCTGATGAATGGGACGACGATGATGAGTCTCGGTATGCCTTGTTTCATTGAACATATAGGGCGAGGGAGCCGGAGCGCCCTGCGTTGCGCTGTGTTTTACGATGATACCCTTCTCATTACTATCACGACTGCCATGTTTCACCTTAAACACTTTTTCAGCAAGAACATATCTCTAGAGTCTTTCTTTCGCCCTATTTTTACGGGAGACTATATACTTAATGACCGCATAAGTATATCTAATACGATCATGAACCTCAACCAACTCCACATCTACATTTGAGAATTAGCAGACTGCATATCCCCTATATCACTAAGATGAATAACGTTGCCAGCCTGCTAGATCTAGAGAAAGTGACGGTGTCCTCGTTCTGTATAGTAAGTAGTCAACCCTATATTGAGTCCTTCATAAAAAGGTTTAACGCAGTTGGTCGCACTCACACCACTTAATAAACATATATAGCTGAATAAGAAACAGTAGTGAATATTTATTCCCCCTGACTAAACACCTAAAAGCTCAGAACATGCCTGTGAATATAATTATTGATTAAATATAGCCTTTTGTGGTGAATGATCAATATGATCGCTGTTAAGCAGCCTTGGGTTCGCTGAATGGCCCAACATTTACCGTCCAAACAGCCAACTCACATGGTAAAGTTCATCGCATCGTCTCCCACAGTATTGACCTCCACCTTTGAAATAGTTGACGAGGTCGACGCTGAATTGCCTCTGTGCTGCGCTTACCACGGTTGTCGTTCGCGATCGCGGGGTATAAACGGCTGTCTACTCCCGCTGAACGCCCCAGTCCAAGTCCTGACATCTCTCGGCTCTCGACTGTAGCAATAGGTACGTGGCTCACCTCCCTTTTACTAGGAAACCGTCTCTAATACTGCTTGACAGACATCTGGTCAGTTCAATCGTCCCGTTGAACCCCTCGTATCAGACTCTGCGACGCATCACGGGCATCGCCAGTTACGCGTCGGTCGCGCGCGAAACCGCTCGATTCATCTCGTCCAGATTGTGCTTTGCTGTCTGCGCAAAGCTCTAGAGGGGCCTTTCGTGCTTCATCGCCCTTTCAAATCGGCTGTGCTGACCAGCTTGTATCGATTGTAGCTTCTCCGCGTTTTAAGGGGCAAGAGGATCGACTGCCGTGAGAACCCGCGTCAAACTTCTTTGCTCTACGGTGTGACCGTCGCAACCCATCCACGGATCTGCTCTGTCTTCGCACATAGGCTACTCTACAGGCGTGGCTTATCAGTCTACTGGAACTAAGGCGCCGTTTGTTGCTCCTGATGAGCGCTGTTGACCGGGCTCTTCCCTGTAAGTGCTGCTGCGGTCCCCAGTGCTGCGAGTTGTCGCCGCTAACCTTTGGACAAAGAATTATTTAATCGGTTGAGGATTGAGAAAACAGACCTAAGAGACGAGGGAGTTAGCTCTTGCGTTGATAATTGAGGTTGTTGCTGAGCTCGATCGTTGCGTCATTTGCTGGCCGCGAGCGACCCTTTTCTCTTTTTCGCCCAGTGCAACGCGTTGTCGACTTCCCGCCTCCCGGCGTCGCGACCTTCTCCACCACTCTCTTTCCCACTGAAAACCACCTTGACCTTCCCACACCATCTACTGCAGGAAGGCCTTGGCTCCGCTCTCATCGTCTAGGTCTTTCTCTGCATCTCTAAATTAATATCGCGCTCTGTTACCCACCATGGCTGAAGCCAAAACCGCCTCCTCGGCGCCTGCCGCGGATGCTGTTGCTGAGGCGCCCGTCGAGCGCACTCCTGCGGAGCTCGAAGCTGGTGCTGAGAAGTCGGCGCCAGAGCCTACCAAGGACAACAATGAGCAGAAGGCCAATGGAGGAGAGGAGAAACCCGCTGGTAAGTCCTGGTCAGACCCTTGCTACTGGTCTCCAGCTTGCCCATTGCACATGGCGATCGCGTGGACCTGAGTCGTACCTCCGAGGGGTGATTTGGCTGACCATTGTCGTTTGTCTGCCACAGAGAACACAACCGCCGAGGATGAGAAGAAGGAATCATCCGATGCACCCGCTGAGAAGGCTGACGCCTCTGCTGAATCCGCTGACGCGAAGAACTCCGACGAGGGCGCCGCTACCCCTGCGAAGGCTGAGCCCGCCGCCGCTACCGATGCCAACGGAACTCCCGCAACCACGAAGAAGTCATCTTCCAAACGCAAGTCGACGGGAGGAGATACCAAATCCAAGCTTAACCGCAAGAAGTCCCAAAGTCGCATCACGCACCTGGATGCGAAGCCTGGCGAGTACTACCTCGCGCGCCTTCGCAGCTTTCCTCCCTGGCCGGCCATCATCTGTGATGAGGAGATCCTGCCTCAGACTCTGCTGACCACGCGTCCCGTGACCGCTCAGCGACCCGACGGGACCTACAGGGAAGACTACGCTGATGGTGGTAAGCGCGTCGCGGAGAGGACGTTCCCCGTCATGTTCCTTCAGACGAATGAATTGTACGATTTTTCCATCCTGGGATATGTGTATGTATTGACTGTTACTAACACCGACAACAGCGCCTGGATCCCCAATACCGATCTCGCCCCCCTCGATCCCGCTACGTGCAAGGATGTCTCAGAAAAGGGCAAGTCGAAGCAGCTCATTGCCGCGTACCACGTTGCTGCCGAGAATAATGACCTTGCACACTTCAAAGACCTACTTGCAGACCACCAGCGGGCCATCCAGCAAGAGGAAGAAGAGATGGAGGCTCAAGCTGCCGCCAAGGCTGCCGCGAAGGCTGAGAAGGAGTCTAAGAAAAACAAGCGCAAGAGCATGGACATCCACGATGACGTGGACATGGAAGATGCAGAGGAAGGAGGAAAGGCACCAAAGAGCTCCAAGAAGAGAAAGAAGGATGCCGAGGCTGAAGATGAGAAGGTTTGTAATAACACCCATCTTCGCTATGACTCAAGAAGCTAACGCGACGCGGATCTAGCCTGCTAAGACTCCCAAGACCGGCACCAAGTTGAAGCTCACAACTCCCAAGACCCCAACCGGCGAGACTGGAAAGAAGGCCGCCGGCAGCAGGGCAAAACAGACTGCAAGCAGCAAGAAGGGAAAGGCTGCAGCCAACGAGGACAGTGATGAGTCCAGTCCCCCCGCCAAAGAGCCTGAACCCAAGGTCAACGTAGAGGAAGCTAAGAAAAAGAGAGAGAAAGAAGGTATGTTTAACTCGCAAAGGTATAGAGTCAAAGCTTACTCGGCTTTTTTCAAGTTTTGTTCGTCCGCCATCGCCTTCAGAAGGGCTTCATCTCCCGTGATCACCCTCCTAAGGAGGAGGAAATGTCCCAGATGGCCGGTTTATTCAGCAAACTAGAGAAGATTGAAGACCTAGAAGTCTCAATTATCCGCGAAACCAAGATCCACAAGGTTCTGCGGATGATCGTTAAACTCGCTACCATCCCCCGTGATGAGGAATTCCAGTTCCGAAAGCGCGCCGTTGACATCCTCTCCAAGTGGAAGAACGTCTTGGAGAGCGACCGTGCAACCCCCTCACAGGACAAGGAGAAGGACGAGAAACCCAAGGCCAACGGCGTCCACAAGGAGTCCAGCGCCGAGGCCCCGGCCAAGGGCGAGGCCAAGACCGACAAGGAGGATGACAGCAAGCTCGAGACACCGGATCAGGATGAGGCCATGCCTGATGCTGATGCCGACGCTGCCGAGAAAGAGAAGTCCGAGGAGACGCCTGCGCCGGCGAAAGATGAGGCTGAGAAGGTAGCAGCGCCAGAGGATCCAGAGAAAGAGAAGGAGACATCAGCGGAGGAGGGTAAGACAGAGAAAGAGAAGACTGCTGAGGCCGCGGCGTAAAAAAGCACACACAACTACATACTACTATCACCGGTATCTACTACTCGTTGCTGTCATCTACGTGACGTGCATGGCATGGCATTCTTGGTTGGTTCAAGGTTTCAAGGTTTCGATTTTCAATTGTTTCCTGATGAATGATCTCTGATTCTGTTGTTTCTCAACTCTTTTTACTCTTACTCTTCACCTCAGGTGTGTTGATCTGTATGTGTGCGTGCTCTCTCAGTGTTTCTCTTTCTTTCTGGGTTTCAGCTCTCTTTTCTCCTGCTTTTGTTCCATCTTTTCCTACAAGTATCGCGGTAGGCCTGTATGTGCTCGAAACTCCATAGTTACCTGCTAATTATGTTTCATTCTTCTTCGTCTTCGATCGCCTTTTGGTATTGTCCGTTTGTCTTCATCTCGATCTCGATCTCGGTGTATTGGTTGAGGCACGTTGTCCTCTCTGTTGTTCTTATCTCTTTAGGGAGGTTGTGTGCAGCGGCCTCGAAGCAGCGGATGAATGGATTAAAAAGCCTTTGAAATTTCTATCCACTAGAAAGCGAGCCATGGAAGTAGAACTCAGATGCCAACTAGGTAAACCATGCAGTGTAATGCTTGCGCAAAGGGTAGGGGTATAGTGTAGTTGTGAATCTGAACTGAATCTGAATCTATCTATCGTCTATACTGTAGTAACCGGGGGTTATAGTAAGTATGATATATAAAGGGAGTAAGAAATAAAGCTGTGAAAAAAACTGAAAAAGGACTTCCCTCCCACATCCAGCCTTACCCCCGAACAGGCCCAAATGCAAATGCTGATTATGCAGTATGTCATATAATATAAACAGAACCAAAGCAGGACTCTTTCTATGCTATGACCATTGACCACCGTCTCTATGAAAACGAGGGGGCAAAGAGAAAGAAGAAACTGGACAGATAAAAAAGGGTGTTATTGCTCAACAGCAATAATTACCAATACCGTGATATCGTCAACTTTCCCGCCACGGTAGTAATCGCCGGGGTAATACCGCTGCGCTTCCTTTGCGAAGGGTCCGTCGCGGCGCAGGTCCATGCTGGCGAGTTTGGCCTCGCCTGCAATCGTGGCTGCGAGAAGGGATTGGAGGGTATATGTGGCATCGTGCGGGTTCGATGCCGTGGCAGGTTTCGTATTCAAGGAGGGTTTTGATTCGGATGAGGGGCTCTGAGGGAGGAGGGCGGCGAGACCATCAGGGCCCGTAAGTGCGGCGAGAGTCTCCGACGAGGCTGGTGTGATTCCCGTACTAGGGGATGTAGAGGCGGACCAGGCTTTTGTGTAGAGCATGCGACTTGTGACGAGTTTGAGGATATCCTGGTTGTTGAGGTTATCGAAGAGGCCGTCTGTGGCGAGGACGAGGACGTCACCGTGGTGCAGGTGGAGGGTTGTTGTGATTGCGTCTCGCGGGAAGTCTTCTAGGTAGGCGCCGCCGAAGATCGAGGCTTGCTGGCGCATTCGCGGTGGGATAATACTGAGTTGGTAAGGGGTGTTGAAGCCGTGGGTTTGCGGGATGGAGTAGTGGTGGACTGCGGCCTGGCGGAGGAGGACAGAACCCGAGTCGCCGAGGTTTGCTAGCTCAACGCGGCCATCCTCAAGGCCTATACCAACGGAAGCGGTGCTGCCGCCTGCAGGGACCGACTTGTCTGCGACGACCATATCGTAGCCGGTTTGGAGGAGGGACTTGGCGCGGAGCTGGTCCGCGGGTTGATCCCAGGCCAGCGCGGACTCGGCCATGTAGCCGCATAGAGCGTGCGAGAAGTCTGCAGGGTCAACGCGCGACTCCGCCCAACCGCCGACGCCATCGGCAACTGCAAAGGCGATGGAGTTATCTGAAGGGGAACCGGACCGGCCGACTCTGCTCACGAAGAACGCATCCTCTCCGCTATCTGGGCGCCGTTTGCGCTTCGCGGCTGGGTTCTGTGTGTCGACGGCGACGCCGAGGGCCGCGTGGAGGTCAGGGTTGAAGTTATAGGCATTTTTGGCAGGGGTAAAAGGGCGGCCTTTGCCGGATGCTGATGCCGCAACCCGGTAGGAGATTCGCGGGGATTGTGAGTTACACTCGCGAGTCGAATGGAAGGCTCTCAACGTTGTTCGTGGGTGTGGAGGTCTGGATTGCGGAAGGCGTCGGGGACATTGCGCTCTGGCTGCAGGAGATGCAGAGACCCCTGTTAACCATTCAAATTGTAGGCCACTGCAGGCTGAACCGCAGGCTCTACTGCTGGATCGGACCGATAAGAGCATGAGCAGAAAGCCGGACGAGCGTCGCCGGAGGGTCTCCGTCAACTTCGAGACCCAACTGAGGCGTGTGCGAGCGACGGGATGTAAGAGGCTTAAGGCGATAAAACTGCGCGCATCGAGGAGGCCAGGGAACGGTAGGAGATGCCGGGGAGAAGGACGGGAGATTCTTTTCGTCAAAATCGCGGACTGACGTAGACAGGGAGAGATTTCCGACCGCCTGCTTCACACGCCGCAGAACGAGCCAACCCACGGTACTCGGGGGAGCGATGCGACAAAGGAATTGCCTTCATTTTTATCGAGACATTATCCGTAGCTAGCCGCTTGTCGACAGCTGAAGCAGTATCGGGGGCTAAGGCGAGATAGCACGCTGTAGAAACTTTGAGCCATTGTAGAGATAAAACTAGCAATATCAGAAAACCCGGGTGCTTAACTCAGTCAGTTAGAATGTAAAGATTAGATATGCGATAACAATTCAAGGGAGAGCCCCAGAAAAGCTGAACAGTGAGCTGAGGGGAGCTCTGCTGTCTGCTCGTCCGTGTCTTTTTGCTTCCGCTTTTCGACTTTCTGCCTTCTTCCAACTCAAAAAAGTGTCCCGCGAATACACCATCAGCAACCCTTCTCTGACGACCTTATTGACGGCCTCTCTTGCTTCCGAATCGCCTACAGCTATCTGGTGCCGCCTTCCTACTTTTTACGTCGGTTGTTCGCCATTTCCTCGGGTCGTGAGGACCCTCTCAGCGCCCATTATGATGCACCCATCGAGACAGGCCTACGTGGAGGAGGCCAATGTAAGCGCCTTCCCCATCCTTCAGTTGAACGCCTCAGACCTCATTGTATAAATCGCCTCGCGCTTCAAGGCCTTGGCCTAAATTTTGGCCAGTTGAAGGCTTCGCGAGCCCAGCTGACCTATTGCTTGTTTGCAGGAAATGGAAGGCATCAACTTGGCTGATTTGCGTGAGTAACCACCCTTATGCGTCCCAGTTCCACTCCTTCGGTATATTTTAACTTGAATTCATTAGCCGTCGACCGCGACTATGTTATCCCCCCATCTATGGCCGGTGTCCCGGCAGAGAAGGCGTCCGCCATCTTCTCCCAGTTCGAACGCAAACGAAGAGCCGCCGCGATGGCAGTACCGACGGACGATACTCGTGTGCGCGCGCGACTACGAGAGCTCGGGGAACCCATCACGCTATTTGGCGAAGGCCCGGCGGACCGGAGAGATCGATTGAGAGAGCTCTTGACGGACATTGCAGAGCAGCAAGAAGCTGCAGCAGCGGAGGAGGATATTGAAATGGAGGAGGCTGCAGATGAGGAAGAGGGGGAACAACAGGAAGAATTTTACACTGAGGGCACCGAGGATCTATTGAAAGCTCGGAAGGACATTGCGCGATTCTCGCTGCCGCGCGCGAAGGCCCGCGTGGCTCGACAACGAGAAGAGTCGACGATTCCGCTACGGACACATATCAAGCACAGAAAGGCGATCAAGGAGAAACTACATAACTTCGACCTCTACGGGTCTCAGATTGCGGGTGACCGGCCAGTCAGCATTTGTCGGTTTGCGCCGGATGGCCAGACGATAGCTACCGGTAACTGGGGTGGCGGTATTCGTTTGCTAACGGTGCCGAATCTCGAGGAGAAGCTCTCTGTCAAGGGTCATACTGATCGAGTCGGGGGTCTGTCCTGGTTTCCGGGAGCTACACTTCCTGAATCGAATGTGTCCGAATCATCTGTCAACCTTGTGTCTGGTGGAGGGGATGGAAATGTTTGTCTGTGGTCTCTCAACAACGACAAGCCGCTGGCAACACTCGAGGGCCATACAGAACGTGTATGTCGGACCGAGTTTCATCCATCGGGAAAATACCTCGCCTCGGCATCTTATGACACAACATGGCGGTTATGGGATGTTGAGACAACAACGGAGCTATTACTCCAGGAAGGCCACTCGCGGGAAGTTTACACAGTTGCGTTCAACAACGACGGATCTCTCCTAGCGAGTGGTGGTCTCGACAGTATTGGGCGTGTCTGGGATCTCCGGACGGGCCGTACAGTAATGATTTTGGAGGGTCATATTCGAGAAATCTTCGGACTAGACTGGGGAGTGGATGGGTATCGAATACTCTCCGGTTCCGGAGATGGCTGGGTGAAGTGCTGGGACTTGCGCCAGGTCAAGAACTCTGGCGGAATCGGCGCGCATAAGAGTGTGGTGTCCGATGTGCGATGGTACAAGGGAACCGAATCGGAGACAGCGTCTTTCCTGCCGACCACCGAGGGACAGGCTTCGCGTATGGAGGTCGATGGAGCCCCGGCTCCTGTACAGCCGAAGAAATCTGGGACATTCTTTGTTACGAGTGGGTTCGACAAGAATGTTAATATCTTCAGCGCAGACGACTGGTCCCTAATCAAGACATTGAGCGGGCACTCGGGCAATGTGCTCAGCGCCGATGTCAGTTACGATGCGCAGTGGATTGCCAGCTGCGGACATGACCGGACGGTGAAGTTGTGGGGGATTGAATGAGTTACCACTGATCCGTCTCCTCTTCAGGGGAGGCGCGTTGACCAGTGTGGCATCCCATATCTGAACATGACGCGCAGGGGCCGCCACGGCAGCTCAGCCGAGGAGTCAGACCTGGACATTCAATGATGATGATACAGTCTCTGAGCCCTTGGAATGTGTCTGGGATAATAACCACTACTACGGAGATCAGAATATATCTCTTTAAAACATTCCTCATCCGCAGCCCGTAACTGTAACAGAATATATGTTCGAGGAGAATAAGTATATATGCTACAAATAGCTAGTTTCTCCTGTGACGATTTTTAGAACCGCTTGACACGATGCTAGTAATGATTGATACTATATTAATAAGCTCAAAGGCCTCGTAAAGCCAAACAAAATTCAACCCTAAGGGTCGAACTGGATTAGGTCAGAACTCAGAAAATTGAATATAAGCCACTCGAGGAATATTTCCTTCAACCAATCACAGCCGGGCTAGCTCAATCGGCAGAGCGTGAGACTCTTAATCTCAAGGTTGCGGGTTCAACCCCCGCGTTCGGCTTCATTTATTTTTTTACTTTTCATTTTCTTACCTCCGCTCCGAGTCTCCGACGCCTCACCGACGCCGACGCCGGCTATGTGACGTTATTAAACTCTTGCCTCTTACCTTCGTTCTCTCTCTTTTCTATTTCTTACAACGGTCTGAATTCACCAAGCTGAAGAAGAAGCGCATCAAAATCATGGCATCTACGCTCCGCGCTCCGAGAATCATCCAGCGTCTCGCGACCTCCGCTTCACGGCCGTCGCCGCAGACAGGAATCCTAGTCAGGAACAGCCGGGCATTTGCCTCTGCCTCGCCATCACACTGTATCTGTATCCGCTGCCAGCTCCGACTCGCAAGAATCAGTACAAGCACGAGAACCAGCATCCTCACCCGCCACGCGCAACACCGCACCTTCACAACCTCACCTACCCTCACCAACCAGGAACCCAGCAGCGGAACAGAAACCGAAACACTGCAAATCCCCAACCCGCCCAACACAACAAACAACTACACGATCTTCCCGCAGACCCTCCCATCAGGCCCGCCGCCCTCCGCCCCCTTCACCATCGACCTCCCAACCCTAAAGCGCGAATTCCTCTCCTTGCAAAACACGCTCCACCCGGATAAGTACCCACCGGGACCCCTCAAGTCGCAAGCCGAGAGGCTCTCGGCGCGGATCAACGACGCATACCGCACTCTCGCCGACCCGCTGCTGCGCGCGCAATATATCCTGAAGGAGTTCCATGGAATCGATGTTCTGGCGGAGGATGGCGCCGGGCAACACCCGCTTGATCCGGAGCTGTTGATGGAGGTTATGGATGTGCAGGAGGCGATCGAGGAGGTTGGGGAGGGGGAGGAGGCGATTAAGGCGATTGAGGGGATGAAGAGGGAGAATGAGGAGCGGGTGGAGGAGTGTGTGGGGAGGATGGCGGAGGCGTTTGATAATGGGGATGTGCAGGGGGCTGTGGAGGAGTGTGTGCGGTTGAAGTTTTGGGTTAGTGTTGGGGAGGGATTAAGGGAGTGGGAGCCCGGAATGGGCGGGATTAGGTTGATTCATTGATTGGTTAACTGGAGTTGTATGATATGTAGTGATACTATATCCTGCTCTGCGCTGTTATAGACTTACTCCTGGCGATGCCCAGTATACACCAAAAACCGAATATATAATGACCCAGTCTCGTGGCGCTTCAACCGTGCAGCCTTGAGCCCACGAGGGACTGAGGAGATGCTCAAGGGACCCTCTCGCAAGATGACATCAATGTGCCCACGTTCCTTCCAGCAAAGCGATGATATGAAGCAACGAAATTTGGAATGGCAACTGATTTCGTGCTACATTTAGATCCTGCTGCAGACTCTGCAGACGCACCAGCAAGTGTGTGTGGTGTTTATCATCTGGATTCGAAACACGACAGTTCAGATGAGTCGCGTGAAGCTAACGCATGGAGATTCAGTTCCATCTTTCGATAGGACACTGTTTGTTGGCCGTCTTATGTGCCGATAGACCCTGGTGCATATCTATACAGTATGCACTGTTCGTAGCCTGCAAAGGATATGCTTGCCTACCTTGAATCTATGAGATGAGTACCCAAGACCGTATGATTTATCAAACGGAAGAATATCCCAACTGATTGTCGACCGAGGCATTGACTGACCGCCACACTTCCGGGGAAATCACTGCGAGTTCATCTGTCGAGTTCGCGGAGTCGTGAACAGCCGTTGGGTCTTTGACCGACCCATTGGGCAACAATCGCCAAAACAAAAGCTTGGAATCGCCCTGATAGTGCCAGCAAGGCTTTGAATGGCCATGAACTCGCAGACTCTCTGAGCTAGCTGCCGGAACTTACCACTCACGAGGCGGAATTATCTGTCGACCCCATATCGAGTAGTTCCGTGGAATGTGACCTTGCATCTGAGCCCTGGTGTGTGCTGTCCTTGCGTTGAACGAACTTCAGCACTGCTTCCTTTAGTTTTCTGTTCTGCACGAGGTTCATCACAAGAAATAACTCGACCCTCCATCATAATCACGCGATAAGAGATGATCCTCTGGCATTGTTACGAAGTCCGAATCGGAACTTGGGTGGTGGCAGCGCGCGAAGGAAGCTGGCGGTCAATTTGGCATGTCCCCTCATGGCTGCACACGTAGCAAACACATCGTGACCAATTTGGGTCGGGTCCCGCGCTTGCTCTTCCCCGATTTCGTGCTGATTGCTCCCAGCTAGTGGAGAGGGCAAAATGAGGCTGGAGGACGACTGTGACAGGGACATAAAATCTGTTGGCCCCGGTATTAATATGGCGTGAGCCCTGTCAAGTAACACCCAAGGACGGGGACTTCCTGTGTGAAGCCATCCTCCGCTTGACTTTACTTCTCCTTGCTTCGTGATACTACTGTGAGCTTCCTTGTCAATGGAGCGGAGACGGGATTTTAGGAGGTGAGTCAAGATGGCTGGCGACAAAAGAGGGGAGCCTCTCATAGACTGCATTCTGCTTGTTTGTTTGCCTGTATCGCGCGGCTTGCTTTTTCTTCGACGAGTTGCTGACTGGGACCTGCAGCATCATCAATTCAGTCCCCTTCACCTTTCTTGTCGGCCCAAGTCATACGAAATTGACCATCCAGTCGGGTCTCGCCCGTCATGTATCCAGGCCACTCGACCATCTCATGAACAGTGGCCAGACGCGAGAGTCTAAGCATCAGATTGCTATCCTAGAAGACGAAGACGTGGAGACCTTTGTCGCATTCTGCGAATATGCGTACTCGGGAGACTATAGCGTGCCGGCGCCGGGTTCGCGAGAGGACGATGGCGTTCAAGATTCCTTCAACAACCCGTTCCAGGGAATGTTCTCCGGGAATGCCGGTGGCTCGCCCCGTCAATCGGCAAAAGCCGCCGAGATGACATGCGAGAAGGCTCAGTGTGAGGCCGACAATGGGTATAATGTCGCTGCTAGTAACGAAGGGAAAGTTGGGAATCGCGGCCAACAGTCACCAGGAGCAGGCCAGGCTTGGTATCTCTCGACCACTACAGAGTATCCACCTCAGGATCCAACAATTACACCCCGAGAATCAGTGCGTTCCCATTCTCCTTCCGAGGACCCCTCATCCTCTAGGGGAAGGAGGCGCCACCGAGGGAAATCCGACGCACAACGACAAACCCAGAATCCTACTTCAAAGCTCACGCCACCACGCACCCCTCCTGGTTATGCGAAGGTCAAACCTGTCGGATACTCAAATGTAGAGTCAGCTGAACCCCCCCTCGCCATGGACCCAGAGCAAACCGAGGCGGATCAGCTTGCCACACATATGAGCGATTGGGAGCGTTCCACATCAATCTTCAGCAACAACGACGATGGCGACCACACATATGAGCGGCATAAACATCAGCAACGAGAGAGCCCCAGTAGAAGCCGGGCGCGGCCAGTCATAGATACCTCGTTTGCCAATCAGGAATTCTCACCGCACCACGAGCAGGGAACAAGTCTGTGGGATGAGTTCACAGGCATCGATGACCCCAATTTCGAGTCCGCAGAACCTTCGGACCCGCTTCCAGGGCCTGAATTGCCATACCTGATCTTTCACGCCAAGTTGTATGTCTTTGCTACACGTTACCTGATCCCAGACCTCGCCCACCTGTGTTTGCAAAAACTGCACCGAGACCTTCTGAATCTGGCATTCTCGGACCCCGACCCGGAAGACCAGTATGCAGAGGAATTCGTCTTGACGACGACCAAGGCCAGGATGGTGGTCGACCTTCTGGAGTACACCTACATAAAAACGACCCGCCTGGAGCCGATCACACCCTCCTCAGCCACTCAACTTCGAGATAATGAGCTTCGGAGACTTGTTGTGCACTACGCGGCATGCAAGGTGCGGGATCTTGCAGAGTACTGTCCTCCGACAGAGCCCATTGCAGGCTCACCCTTCTATCCAGAAAAGGCGTCGGCTCGTGGATTTCGTGCACTTCTGGATACCATTCCAGAACTCGCTTCAGACCTGATATATCGCATGATTTAGCGGCGTCTGAGATCAGCTTGCCTATGGCCTAGCGAGATGCATCGGCTATGGGTGGATGGCCTGGGCCCTTTCTGTACTCGCATATTGATGACTGAAACAAATGATGATGTGAATGAAACGATCCGGGTTGGAGATATGGAGTTGCTATTGCTACGTCGTCCCTTCTCCCTTGCGTTATTGGTCGAATGGAATCTCGACTCTGCTTCTCCCTGTTATCAGGATAATTTCTATAGCCGAGGTTGCATTAATTTTGAGTCTTCGGACCCGATGTGCCTTTTCCCCTTCAAAACAACCAAGTGCTGGTAATTATGTGTTGAATAAGTTGTGATTTTTCATCGCAAGCATGTGCCAAGTCGATCTAGGCCTTAAGCACTTACAGTCTCGGAATGTAATTCACTCCCCCACCCACCTGCAATGAAAGGGTAGAATATACTCCGCAGTAGAGGTTGGATGATCGACCACCTTGCCTTCCGAGCTCTAGATGGTAGTCGGGTCTTCAGCGCTGATCAGGTTTCTTCACACTTCACCGGGACAGTCGATGCGTAGTCTAACGTCATCCGTGACCTTGCTCTCTACATAGAAGGGCGAGGGCCGTAAACTCCGAACCCCCCACTCAGTATTGAAACGGGGCATTCCCAGCGGGATGACCTCAACTAGCCCTTCATGCAGAGACTAATGGGTTGAACGGGCGCAAAGAAAAGAGCAAAAGACGAAGTCCCCCCCC